CTACGATTGTCGATGTTAGGTTAGTTTGTACTATTTCTCTTTCAGACGACAACGAAACAGACATAGGAATATGAAAAACAATGGCACGTTGTTGAATTGCGTGAGTCTATGACATTTCTTATTTGAAGATCATCATCATTCAAGAGCACATGTAACACTTTCAATTCAATTCGTTTGATTTAAGACTATTACTTCATCCTTTACATAAGGAAAGAAAGAAAGAATTAGTATCTACTAGAGCCTTTTCTTCTAACAAGTCAATATTGATTTGCATTTCGAATACGTGACATCTGTAATAGCTATTGATGATAAAAAATAAATAGTTATTGTAAAACTTGTAACTAATCCTCTATTAATACTCGAAGCAAAAGTTCTATTGAATGAGCATGCATTACATAAGATTGCGGATGGTGCTTGTATATAATAACGATGAGGATGTATCGATCTATGAACACTTTCAGTACTAGTCTTACCGTCATCGTTTGTTGAAGTAATGAATATGTCGGGAGAAAGTACCGATTCAGAATGTACATCAGCCGAGAATAGCTTTCGATCTCGATCACTGTTACGTCATGTACGGAATAAATTAGCACGTAAAAGTTTCAATCGCCATCATACGCAAACAGCAACGGATCGGTCATTATCTGTGGCGTTGATTCGCACGAGTCATCGATCGTTCGATTATGCAGAGATCGAAAAACGATCGATTAGTAAAACACCCACATCGTATTCGCATCGTATGTCTCTACTCAATCAAGTTAGATCACATTTCACTGGATCAAGAAAATACCGTCAAACTATTCCTTCTGATTGGAACGATGACGATAATGATGATAGGTTATCATTTCGATCAGTTCACTCACTTGCAGTAAGTTACATTGACCTTTTATAGATTTAATATAATAACTTCTCTTTTCCGCATTATTTACCACAGGTATCGTTTTTTTTTCTCTCGACGTCATTTACCCATTTCTATTAGTATTCACACATGTGAATAGAAACATGTAATTTTCGATTAATTCGCTGAATTCTCCGTTGGAAAATCATCCTATCGTAGTATTTTTTCTACCTATAAAATGTGCTCGAATACAATCATTGTAAACAACGATTCGCTTGACTGATTTCGTTCGATAGATTCATTTTGTTTACCTTCAAATATTTCTACGCAGTCGACAGAGGTTAGGATCAAATCAATACAAAGAAAAATATTTCTTATGGCCAACGGAGTAAGTACTGAACTAGTTCTGATCGTCGTCGTTTCCTCTAAGTTGTATGTCGAGTTCTCGAGGTTATGTACGTGCTGACTTTTCGTGCCAGTATTCAGTAAAATAGTAATAGCGTTTTATGGCTTTGATGCCTCCTTTTTATATGCAATAGTCAATAAAGACACATTGTGCTTTTCTTTTTCTCATTGTAACTAATCATCTGTTGCATTTTTCGACATATGCATGCTGTTTCGAGCTAGACGATTTTGAAAAGAACAAAACTGACCTTGAAGATTAAGAACCAGTTCGCATGGCATTTTTAAAATGAATATTCTAAGAAACTTAACATACATGTAATCATGAAATACTTTTGTTCTTGTATCAAGGTGACTTTAATTTACTCCATATTTTTACATACGAGAGAAAAACAGTGAAGTTTTCTTTTTCTCTAGGAGATCAAGCCGTCGCCGACGAGCGAAGAACAGCTGAGTTCCACAACAAATGGGATTGATTCATCTTCATCTGACTCTCCTCTTTCTTCGAACCACAAAGCTGAAGATGGTCATGACAAAACAGCGCTGCTCAATGGCTCCACGAATATGACTGTAGAAGAAAATGGATCCACGGATCTCAGTAAAACATTGAATAACAGTCGAGTGACATTAAACAAATTCAAAGATCAACTAACACAACGTGCGCGCACTGTAATTCCCAAAACGCCAGCGATCGGTTCGATTTTCAACAATTCAACGCCGACAACACCGACAGACAATGAACCCGATGAAGCGTATTGGACGGAAATCTGTATCGAACGAGGAGCCAATCTTTGTGTTAAAGACATTGGCGGCTCAAGTGATCCTTACGTAAAGGTCGTCTACGGTACCGAAGAAAAGTATACAACACAAACAGTATCAAAAAGTCTGAATCCTGTTTGGAATGAGAAATTTTCCATATTTACCAATGATCTGAATTTGCCATTGTACTTCCATGTTTATGATCATGATCGTATTGGACGGGACGAGTCGATGGGCACAGCCAAAATTGAATTGTGGAAGTTACCATTCGAAAGATTATATGGTGCGAATCTTGAATTGGAAGGTGAAGATCGAAGTGATAACAAAAATGGTACACTAAAAGTCAGCATTACGATAACACCGAAATCTTTAGAATTCCATGATGAGGTGAGAGAAAGCGAATTTCAGTTCGCTCTCAAAGAATTTATTCGATTTCTTCTTACAGGTTCTTCGAAACATAGCAAAACAATCTCAAGTGAAATCCTTTTTTGGCGGTCGATCGGGAAATAATAGTGGTGTCGTCGTACCTCGGCGTACAATTGATGTCTTTGTCATCGAAGGACGAAATTTGAAATCCCGCAATCCGGACGGATTCTGTAGTCCTTTTGTTCGACTTAAATATGGCAATAAGAAAAGTCGAACACAAGTTAGACTTCTCTCCGAACAACAACCTGATTTCATTTGTTTGTTTCATCTTTAGACAATTAAATATACTCGTAGTCCCGTATGGCATCAATCATTTATGTACGATACATACGTTGGTGAACTTCCTCCAATTGAAATCGCTGTATTTGATGATGCAAGTAGTTCCGGAGATTTCATCGGCCGGTAAGGACTGATTTAAAAGAAGTTTTATGCACATTGATTTTCTTCTAGAGGACTTTGCAACTTAGCACATTTGAACGAAGAACGCACACATCGAATTCCAGTGGACTTAGAAGATGGTGCTGGTATTGTAGATCTGTTTGTGACGATCACTCAGACTACTGCATTGCAAGAGGCAACTAATGATGGAGATAGTGCATCGAACATCCCTCTCGATGCGATGCCATCGAGATTGAAACCAGAAGATGCAAATCGTTATGTTCGTAACCATTTTCTTTACGAATTCGATCTTTAAATAGAAAATTGACTTGTTTTCTAGACGTTTCTTCAAACATTTAAGAATATGAATCCAATTCTTGACGTTGGCAAACTCGAAATCAAAAGTAAATCGTAGATTTCCACTCGATTCATTCTTTCTAACAAATACAATGATTTCGTTTCAGTTTTTCAAGCACGTGATCTCAGTGCAAAAGATATTATTGGTAAATCGGATCCATTTTGTATCGTTGAGCTTGATTCCAGTCGTTTACGCACACATACAATATATAAAACACTCGATCCTGTTTGGAATAAATCATTCATTATGCCATGTCAAGATATTCATTCTGTGGTAGAATTAACTATCTATGACGAGGACTCCAATGGTGATAATGAATTTATTGGCAAAGTGGCAATTCCGCTATTGACTGTAGGAAGTATTTAACGTCCATAAATGTCTTGTATGTTGTTTGTTTAGATCCAAAATGGTCAAAAGAAATGGATGCAATTGAAAGATCGAAAATGCCTTTTACCTGTGAAAGGAGCCATCGAAATTGAAGCTTCGTTTTTCTATTCGAATGTGAGAATTCCTTTTCTCGTCATGTCCATTCAATGAACTTTTTGATAAACTTCTAGTTGAAAGCAGTTATTCGAACGATCAATCCCCGACAAGTTGCATACTATCAAATGGATAATAAATTCAGTATTGGGGTCTGTATAGGAAAATAATTTACTGAAGAAATTTTCATCTAGTAGAATTTTTTCAGGCGATCAAACAACATCTAGCACGTATCACAAATATGCTGTCAGGTGTAATCAATGTGATGAAATTTATTAATCACTGTTTCCAATGGGACAATCCATGGTTGAGTTTCGGAACATTTATGGTACGGAATTGATCAAAGAAGCATTTCGTTGTCGAAGAAAAGTTGTCTCTCTAGGTAACTTTGATCATTGTTTGGAATTTCGAGTTATATATGTTACCTGCCGCACTGTTACTCATATTGGCAAGAAACTTCCTGAACGAATATCGACGCGGACGAATTGGAAAAGCTTATGCACCTATTGAAAACGAAACAATCGCTGCTCTTGTTCAACCAGCTCCTGTTATAGAAGAAGAATTACCTGACGCGGAACTAAGTGCTAAAGTAAGACAAAGAAACGTGCAGATTAAGTTCAAACTATATTACTAATACTTGTAGGAACCAAAGAAATCCTTTATGGGTGTCATATCAGGTATTCAAGATACGGTTTTGGAAATTCAAGGTTACATCGATGATGTTGCATCGACATTGGAACGAGTTAAGAAGTATGTTGAATACTCTCGTTTGAAAATCTAACTGTCGTTGAATCTTTTTAGCCTGTTCAATTATAGTGTTCCTTGGCTATCAACATTACTTATTATTATCTTAGTTTTAGTATCTGTGTTACTCTATTACGTTCCCCTTCGAGCTTTAATTTTAGCATTTGTTATCAACAAATTTACCAAACGATTCCGTAAACCAAAAGGTTTCATTGATAATAACGAACTGGCCGATTTCTTTTCTCGATTGCCTTCGGATCCCGAATTGGTACGTCATTCTTCTTCTTCTTCTTCTCAACGAAAAGGAGAGTAACATGCACTTGTTTGTGTTTGTAGGTACGATATCGTGAACTGAAAGTTATTCAACGTGCTGGAACGCAGAAAAAGAGCAAACCAAGCAAGAAATAAACGTACACAGACATTTCTCATTCCACAGTTCTTGTAAAACGTCATTTGTGATAAAGAAATCTGTTTGCTTACACTTTCAATTCGGATTCTTTTTTTGATTTTTTTCAAAAATATTCTCATCGATTGTATATGATGAATTCGTTCACAGTAGAAACAAACGTCTTTCTTTTTCGTATCATCAGTAAACTACATCGTTTGAGAACCAAATCATTCGATAGACGTTCGATCTCTTTCATCAAGTAGTTTATATAAATCATTGACTTCCTTCGGACACGACTTTGTTAACACCTCGTAACCTTGATCAGTTATTAATACATCGTCTTCGATTCGAGTGGCAAAACCACGATACATCAATGGGACGTCTTGGCAGTCCCACGGAATATAGAGACCTAAGTAGAGGTAATCGTTAATGATGAAATTTGACGATTCGCTTTGTACCTGGCTCGATGGTAATCACATTTCCTGATTGTAATGGTTCAGAGAATGGTATTGCTTCACAATCGTGAACATCTAAACCTGTGTAAAAGCGAAGAATTCTCCATTAATCCAGATAAAGTTCATGATTTACCAAGATGATGACTAACACTTGTTGGACACAGATCATTGACAATTCGTTTTGCATCTCTCTCATCAATGGATCGTGAGAGAATGAATTCTTCGCGTAGATATTTGATCATATACTGATCAGCGACAGCATTCAATTTACTTCTAGATATAGATTTATCTCCTGAGCTGAAATATCCAATCAGGTCTTTTTGAACGGTTAGCAAAATTTCATAGAGTTGCTGTTGTGCAGAGGTAAATCGACCGTTCATGGGCCATAAACGTGTTATATCACCTGCATATTGTTTATACAAACAACCGCCGTCTAACATGATTAAATCATCCTTAGTAATCGGCTGATCATTCTTTTGATAGTGAAGAACATTGGATCTAAATAAGTTATTTCTTTATAGTTAAGGAAACGAATGGATTTAGCAGATCTACCTCCCCTTAGCAGCTACAACTGGATAGAATGCCATAGAAGTACTCCCTAATCGTGCACATTCGTATTGAAATCTGGCTTGAATCAAGTATTCATTGTCAATCCTTTTCTTGCAGTTTTTGATTGTTTGAATGAAAGCGCTCGAAGTTAATTGACACGCGTGACGAAGAAGATCCTGCTCTGTTGTCGATTTTATTGATCGTAGTGAATGCAAGAAATGGTTTAATTGATTACAAACAGTTGATGTAGAGAATCGTTTGAAGAACGGCACTAAATTCTTTTTATTGATACTCGCATCGTCAATCAGTTGTGAATTATGAAACAGAACTGATGACGAAGGAATTTTCCATGTTGTTAATTGATTCATTGGATAAACATGGTCAATACCGAATATTTCACAAATTTGTTCCTTATTCTTTATCGTTGGTCCAAACCATCGCTCGTATTCGTCAATCAATGTCATTGGGCAAGGTGGTAGGAATAAACTAGTCGAATACGTTTGATCGTTACCGTTGAGTAAAAGTAACGCATCAGGCTGCATGCAGCCAGTAAGATAGTAAAAGTCGGATTGTTGTTTGAACGGAAAATAAGCAACATCAGGACCCATGAATAATCTTGACGATGCTGGTAGACAAATCGTGAAATTCGTTGAAGTTTTATCTTCCTTCTGTGTTTTGATATAATTACGAATAAGATTTACAAGTGCTTGACGTCGTTGCTGAAATTCGTTCAATGATATTCCAGTCGTTGATAGATCATAATGATCAATGTAAGTGTGAGAATGGCGAAGGAACGATTTTATGAGAGATTTAGAGCGAATGGTAAACATTTGTTTTGTCTACAGTGAATGAACAGTTTAGATTGGAATGAAGCTTGTGAATATTAGAAAATATTCGTCGAAGATTTATTGGTCACAGAAGTAAAAAAAATAAAATTTTAAAATTAGGTATTTAAAGATTTAATCCATTTCTTCGATCGTCGGACCACGGCTTGTACTTTCATTTCCATTACCGCCTAAAGAACAATCATACGGTTAGAGAATGTCGTTTTGTTGAATTCGACTACTTACCATGAAGTTTGGCCATAATGGGTGAGCAAATACGTTCGACTTCTTGTCGTTTATGCTCGAACTCGTCTTTGTCAGCGAGTTGATTTGATTCAGCCCATGTTAATGTTGATTTCACAATTTCACTAATTTTCCTCTTGTCGTCGGACGAAAGTTTCGACGAAATCTGTTCATCGTCAATAGATGATTTCATTCGAAAACAGTAATCTTCCAATGCACCTTTAGCAGTAATTCGTTCACGCTGAATTCTATCTTCTTGCTTGTATGTTTCGGCATCGGAAACCATGCGGTCGATTTCATCTTTGGATAATCGACTACCATCATTTCGAATGGTGATATTCTTTTCTTGACCACCGGATTTCTCTACCGCCGATACGTTCAATATACCATTTGCATCGATATCAAAACAAACTTCAATCTTCGGTACACCACGTGGTGCCGGAGGAATTCCAGTGAGTGTAAAACTGCCCAGTAAATGATTATCTTTTGTCATGGCACGTTCACCTTCGAAGACTTTTATATCAACACCAGGCTGATTATCTGCATAGGTCGTAAATGTCTGCGTTTGCCTTGTTGGAATACTGGAATTTCGTGCAATTAATGTGGTCATGACACCACCAGCTGTTTCAATGCCCTACAATAGAAGAATTGTATATGTAAACGAAAAAAAGTTCATGATGATTGCTTACCATCGATAATGGAATGATATCGATGAGAAGAACAGATTTGACTGCTTTGGATTGATCACCGGTGAGAACAGCGGCTTGAACTGCTGCACCGTAAGCAACAGCTTCATCGGGATTGATCGATCTGTTCAGAGTTTTGCCATTGAAGAAGTCCTGAAGTAGTTTTTGGACTCGAGGAATACGTGTTGAGCCTCCGACAAGAACGATTTCATGAATTTGCGATTTGTCGAGTTTTGCATCACGTAGAGCTTTTCCTACTGGATCCAATGTTGAACGGAAAAGATCAGCACATAGTTCTTCGAATCGAGCACGTGTAATGGTTGCATTAAAATCGATACCTTCATGGAGAGAATCGATTTCGATTGTCGTTTGGGCGCTTGCTGATAATGTTCGCTAGAAGGAAAGAAAATCAAATTTATTAAAATTATCTATCTCTCGAAAACAAATTCAACTTACTTTAGCTCTTTCGCATGCTGTTCGTAATCGTCGTAGTGCTCGTTTATTTTGTGAAATATCCTTATGGTTTTTTCGTTTGAATTCTTCGACAAAGTGCGTCACCATACGATTGTCAAAATCTTCACCGCCTAAATGAGTATCACCAGCGGTCGATTTCACTTCGAATACACCATTATCCATGACTAGTACTGATACATCGAATGTACCACCACCCAAATCGAAAATGAGAACATTTTTTTCACCGGTCACTTGTTTATCTAAGCCATAAGCAATGGCGGCTGCAGTTGGTTCATTAATAATTCGAAGGACGTTAAGACCAGCAATGATACCTGCATCTCGAGTCGCTTGTCGTTGTGCGTCGTTGAAGTACGCTGGTACGGTGATAACAGCTTGGGAAACTGTTCTGCCAAGATAAGCTTCAGCTGTTTCTTTCATTTTTGTCAAAACCATCGAAGAGATTTCTTCTGGCGTAAAGGATTTTGTTTCACTACGATATTCGACTTGAATTTTTGGTTTACCGCCATCGTTGATAACTGTGAACGGCCAATGTTTCATATCTGACTGTACAGTTGGATCATCGTATTTACGACCAATCAATCGTTTCGCATCGAAAACTGTGTTGGTCGGGTTCATTGCTACTTGATTCTTAGCTGCATCACCGATTAAACGTTCACTATCGGTGAATCCTACATACGATGGCGTTGTTCGATTGCCTTGATCATTGGCGATAATTTCAACTTTACCATTTTCGAAAATACCAACACACTACAATGAAAAGTTCAATTAGAATCCATCAGATAGCGTGCTTAATACTTACTGAGTATGTAGTTCCTAAATCAATACCAATTGCGCGAGCCATTTCGGTATATTCTGAAGACGTTGTAGGAAGAATTGTTGATGAAAAATCGTTTGAAAATGCATTTTATATATACAAATGATGAGATTTTTCGAATATAATCGAGAATCTTCTAGTAAATTCGAGTAAAAGGTAGAATATTTGAGAATGGTGATGAAATGAGTCTTCTCATCAAACACTATACAACGATCATAAAAAGTTGCGCAAGCATGTATCATTTCCTTTCCCTTGACACACACGGTTCGAAAGAATGTGTCATAGCGTATCCTCTCATTGGTTATTTGAGAAACGTGCACGACTGTCATAATGATTCCGTACGACATCTTTGTAAAGTACAATTTAGAAAAAGTCTTCGAAATATAGTGCACGCGTAGGTGTGCGTTGAAAGTATCCTTAGGAGTGGAAGCTTCCCAATAACTTTTCTAATTCACTTCCTGCCTATTAGGACTAATTTTCTGGTGAACGAGAGCAAACAACATCATTCCATTTCGTGGACACAGTTTCGGATGACTTATTCCTTTTGACTTTCAAATAAATTTTTACACTAAAAGCACTATGGAATACAAAGCAAACCCACTACAGAACAACCACACACCGTTCTAAATTCTCTCGAACGGTGAAAGCATACAACGAATAAAATCATTTTTAAGACAACCATTTATAAATTCATCTCTTGTAAGTTTTTGATTGTGATCGATATCCAATGCGTGAAAGATATCACAAGCAAGAGTTGCTGTGGATTGATTGCGCGTCCTCCGACCGGTTATCGAACAGAGTTTGTCGAGTAAATCAATCATTTCGTTGGGCTCGATGGTGTCCGAATGATCTTTGTCAAATAATGAAAATGCATAGCTTAGTTTCTCTACTGGATCACCGATTGATGTTAATGCATAGGCAATGAGAAATTCATTGAAATCAATTCGATTGTTTCCTAGAAAAGAGATTTCTTCGTATGAAACAACTGAAAATCAACGAACGAACGAACCATTTCGATCGAACGCTTGAAAAACATCTTCGGCGATTTTCTCGACATTTTTCGTCGATGAATTCTCTAATTGATTGTAGAACTTGATAAATTGCTGTTTATTCAACTGACCAGTGGGACATATACTGAGAAATTCTCGATACCAACCTTGAATCACGTGTGGTGTTAAATGTGTTTGTTTCATTAAATATCGATAATCATTTAACGACAAATCTTCTTCTAATTGATGTGCTTGATGATTCCCCATTTGTGAGCAAGGTCAAATGGTTTCAGTATAGTAAATGACTCAAGTTATGTCTGTCGATACACAACAAAGAGAAGCTGATCGTTACTGTCTTGACTCGTTTTCCAAGAAAAAGCATTCGCAAGTAAATGTTAACAGTTCTAATGAATTTATATATGAGTTAGAGCAAGATAAAGAGAGAAAAACACGAGAGGAAAAAACGCGTTTTGTTGAAGATACTAGTTGCATTTTTTCCTTGATTACAAATAGAAAAGGATGCCCTCTGTTCGTCTTTTCAAGATCACGACAAGCGACACGGATTTTTTCCTCAATGTAAACATACATTTATGGTATTTCAATTAAGTGAGTACAAAGGTTTCTTCATTGAAAGGCCGAAATGATAGAAAAAAAAGACCGAGAAGTCTTCATCAATATAGATCATCAGTCTTGAAAATCTTTCATCGAACAGATGTTATATCTTTTTTTTTTCTAAGTGATTGAGTTTCCGTTGCATCTGCTCTACTCATTATCATGCATGCTTAGTTAAATGACAAAACAAAATGCACGGCGAAGAATAATTCTCATGGTAATCATAAATTTCAATGTGACGATAAACTATTCATTGACCAAACGTCAATGATATATGTCAATATGCCATTGATCGAATATTTTGAGCATCTTTATTATTACTAAAAAGGTAGACAGACAGGGTCAAAATCGAAGTATTCTGCAGATATGATAACCTTGATCATAGCTCATATCATTTTCGAGTACGTTTTCTTTCGCGTTGCCTCGCATGCCTATGTCATGTTCTACCTTCCGTGATGATGCGAATCTGTACAAGATGCAAGCTCATTAACTAAGAATGTGTACACATTTATGTTTTTATTTTCTTACGTTCTTCTGGTTCGTCGCTTTTTCATCTTCAAGGTTCGGAATATTTTTGCCTTAGTCTATACTCTGCGAGTTTTTTTCAATGACTTTTTTCACCTGTTCAACAAAGAAGAATCAGTCAGCCGTACGGACGTAATAGTCATGCTTTTTCTGATCAAGTAACGTTACGTTTCACTTATGAATAACAACAAATTATCAAGGATATCTAATATATTTCATCTATATATGTAATAAAGGTAATCAGAGTGCGACAGCATCAAAAGTTGTAATCTCAATTCTTCGCTTTAATAGCCGTGATCGAACTAGAGGGACAGGGAAAGAGAGAAGAGAGAGAGCGTGCGCGCGAAAGGAACGGATATCATCTTATGGGCAGTAGTAACGGTAAACAAAATGATGAAACGGAAAATAAAAGAAGACGAAATTTTCGAAGAATACTGCACCTCGCTTCTCGTCACACAAACAACCTATCACTACCTAGAAGTAACTCCGGTCTAAATCAATATTGTCAAGAATTTCAAGGTTTACAACAAGACATGTCTGTGTTTAATGTTATTCAACTAGATATCAATGAACAAACTTCTACTGATCCCCTTCCAACTGATATGAATCAATCGTCTTCGTCTTCTTCATCGTCATCAATGAGACCAAGTAAGACATTTCAATGTTCAGGTCAATCCACCATCGGCAAACTTTTCTTTCGCGCTAGATGAATCATCCAACGATACAAGCAGCGATCCTGATGAGCCACTCGAATACCCTATGACAACGAAGTAGGCAAGTTTAAGAATTCGATAGAAATATTTATATTGTCTTTTCTTTGTCTCGATTAGATTTGATGAATACGACTGGAAATCGTATCTTCCCATCACACTGGACAAAATCCGTTCGATCACACTATTGAAAGATTCGATCTGCGAACGCTTAAATACAGAATTAAATCATATTTTAAATCGTCTACTTCGACTAAATCAAACTGGCGAACACGAAGGATTTCTCCAGTGGTTTCTTAGAGAGATTGAATTTTGCATGCATTCGAGTGATCACGATCAGATTTACTCCCATAAATCCATATTGTTACGTTCAATTGAACAAGATCGTTTCGATTGCACGAAACATTTACTCGAACAACAATTATTATCTCGCAAACTAGACATTAATACTATCAATGATCAAGGCCGGCATTGTCTACTTATGCTTGCGCACAAAAATGGTCCCGCTGATTTAATAAAGTATCTTCTAACACATCATTTATCCTGTTTAGATACAAATAAACTTGATTTCAATCGATACAGTTCATTACATCACGCTTGTCGACATTTCAATCTACCCATATGTGAAGCTCTTCTTCCATATACAAACCGACATGTCCTACAAATTGACAATTCCGAACTTCACACTCCGCTCGACTACTGGCTGGAATGTTTATATTCATTGAAGAAATTGAAACCCACACATTTACAACACGATGTGGACACGTTACGTCTCGATCATTTGTTAACCAATAAAGATTTCAATTCGAACATTTACTTTCTTCAAACAGTGATCAATCGCGGTGGACAATTAACAAAACTACCTTTACGTTACATACGCTCAATCCTACCACAATTATCATTCGAACAGAAAATGCTTTACGTCGATCATCATGTTAATCTGTGTTGTATCTTATATAAGAATCGCTTGTCAACATTGGTGCATGATTACGATCAACTGAAAATGAGTATTCAAGCAGGAGAGATTCTCACGGAATTCATCTATGCACTAGGCACTGTTCAGGTTGAAATTCAAAATCGTTTAGCTGAAAATGCGTGCTCGGACAAAGATCAACAGACGAAAAGTAAAGAACATGAACTATTACAATCAACGATGCGAATGTTATACGGGAAATTTTTTCGTCTGTTTGATTGTATTTATAATAATCCAGATGTTAATGTAAAGAACTTTCATTTTGAACATATTTTTCGGCGTGTTTGGATTTATTGGAAAGAACCAGTGAAATTATTTATAAAACAAGCTAAGGAGAAGAATCTTTTGTTAAAATCAATCTGTCGAATTGAATTATTCAAACGGTTAATGAATTATCCAGGTGATATACAAAATTTACCGATTAATTCATCTTTAAAACAATTTCTTGCTTTGGATAATCGATTTTTTGTGGTGCAAAGAAAAGCTTGACATTTTTTTTTCTCATATATATATGTGTTTGTCATTTTTCATGTAGATCAATAGTAGACAGATCAATGTACGCGTACATACATTTGATTCTCGCTCAACGAAAGACTCACAAATACATTCTCTGTATAGATAAATGAAACGCGTAATTGAAAGAGAAAAGATGGATGAAGTAGTCATAATCGTAAAAAGAATGATAAGCAATTCAAAGTTAACATTTCGCGTCTCATTCTCCCTCAATTTTTTCTCATACTCATACTCTACTTCTGATGAGCACGAAATATCAAAATAGTAGATGTCGCTAGACACGGGAAATCTTCGCGGTGAGGTATACTATGCAATGTTTATGGCGACAATGGACATGGACAAAGATATGTATTTCGATGTGAGTCAGTCGTTTATTGCTTATTAGATCGTTTTATTCAATCATCATAATCCGCAACGTTTCAGTACAATGATGAAAAAGGGTTCGGTTTTTGCTGGCAAAAAGGGTCCCTTAACCACTGTATATGGAACACCGGGAAATATTTCATCGACATCGTTATCATTCTTTGATAATAGTCTTCAACAAATGCCGCCCAGTGCACTGGGAGGACATTCACGAAATTGGCAAGCCACCCCTATGAATTCTCATCGATTTCCTTCATCTCAACAACCAAATTCAACTACTAGCATTCGATCGCATCCCATGGTTGTTAATACTCCCAATTCGAGTATGATCAACCGAGCAAAACCGCATACATTACAAACGCTTGTGGAGAATCTCAATGAAGTAAGCCATATCCTAATCATGAGCGCTGCTATTCTATCATTTTTCTACAGTTACTTGCCGAACTTGGTATTCCGCATGCAATGCGTTATGACACGAAATACAGTTTCGAAGATATTCTCACTGTACTCGATGTATGTAATCAATTGTAACCTTCGTGAATTTCATTTCTTAATTTCTGAATTTTTAAGCAATTGACCAATCCAAGCCGGTATGAAGTTCATCGTTTTCAACCATTCCCACCTTTACCTCAACCGACCAAGGCTGGCGGAAAACTTTCACTTAGTGATCGATGGGGATACCTAAAACAAGTTGCTCTGCTCTATCGTCTATCGACTGTTGATCAGCTGACTCGAATCAAGCCAGAACGTACAATGGCACATGATCATATGATAATTATTCTGGAATTATTGATACAATTAGCAACATGTGTATTGAAAAGTCAACAGGAACAAGAACGCATCGCAACAAATCATTTTCTTAGCGAATTCAAGTTGTTAATGCGACAAATGTTTTGGATAGGCCGACACGACCCATCGGTCATGGAAGAATCCATGTATGAATTACGACGTCATGTCTATGCAAAAGACAACCTGGACGTTGTCGATCGGCTACAACATGAAAAACAAATGAATGAAATGACTACAGAACGTGATCAGTTGAAAGAACAAGTAAACAACGAATTTTCTCTTTTCTGACAAAAAACTTTCACCTTGATAACGTTTAGTGTGATGAATTGAAGGTGACTCGCGATGAACTAGAAAAGGAATGTACAACGTTAACGAGTGCGAATGAGAATGATCTAGTGGAATTTACGCGAAAACAAGAAGAATTAGCGGATGAACAATCAAAACTAATCGAATTGACACAAATTGTCGAACAAAAAGGTAGGAAACAATTTGACTTTCGTCATCCAAACGATCGATTTCTCATTAAGAAATGGATAAAAAACATTTAACTGATCGCAATCAAACACTGTCAGATAAACTATTTGCTCAACAAACGGATGTTGAATTACAGCGTCATGTTCGTTCAAATAGCGAACTCAAACAACAGCATGAAGTTCTTCTTTCGACATTACTACTCGAACAACAATTGCACACGACAGCATCGAATGAACACAAACAGCTCGTGAAAGAAGTAAGTCAAACAAGATTTTCTCCTTGTCAACAAGTTCAGTATCGAAACTTTCCTTTCAGCTCCAAGAATTACTTGGTAAATATCAAATATTACTCAGCGCATACAAGCATAAAGCTGTTCGGCCACCTCCGACAGCGGTTGATTTCGATTTGAGCGATATTATTGGCGATACAACATCAAACATAAACAACGATTCGGTTCAACAAGCTCAGCTAGCGATCGAAAACTTAACAAAAGAAATTAGTGCACAAGAAATGTTACTTACCCAACGTCATCGTGAGCTTGAACAGGAATCCAAACAAGTATTAGGAATGCTTCATTAGGATGAATGAAAAGAAATTTCTTGTTTTAGAAAATCGAAGAATTACAAGCAGCTGAACGCGATTGGAAATCAGCTGCTAAGCAAGGCCAGCGGCGAGCGGCTCAGCAGAATGAATTGAGTCGTTTTCAACAAGAAATTCGACTGTTAACAACGAAAAATATCGATCTCGAACGACGTATCGAAGAAAAGAAAAATTCCACAGGCGAATTGAAAAAAGAATTCGATCGAGTAAGATTGTTCCATTTTCAAATCAGCATGACTCGGATTTTCCTTTCTATCACAGATCAAATCTGGTATTGTCGAACTGTTAGTTCGTTTCGAAACATTGGAAAGCAATTATATCACTAAGGAAGACGAACTTCGACAACAATTAGCCTGGTTTATCTCTGATCAAACACAATTGGCGAAAATCTATCGACGCGATGTCGAAGAAATCAAGCGCATGCAGCAGGAGCACATGTCGAAACTGGATATCAATATGAACACAACATCATTTGACGAGCTCACTCAACAACAAGTCAATAAATATTACCAATACCGCAACTTTGATGATGATGATGATGACGACGATGAAGATGAAACGAATAATCATCGAAATGAAAAACGCATGATAAATGAGTCAGATAAATTGCATGAAGAGCATGTTCTATGGTTGAAGAAGAAGAAACGAGATGCGAAAAATATGGCACCGTTCGTAGAACGACTTCGTATGTGTTCCTTTCTCATTCATTCTCTAGAAAATTCTTTTTCTTTTTCAGAGGAACTTCATGATCATATGGAAATACTCAACGTCAAATAAAACCAATCGTGTTTTCGTCTTATTTTTGCTTGTATATTGTTTATAATCTTGTCAGATATGTGAAATTAGTTGTTATGTTTATGAAATATTGTCAAGCATTGATTTTGTTCAATAATAACAATCGTTAATAGTTTTAGATTATTCTTACAAAAGTCAGACTATCTGAGGAAGTTTTTCTTTCCAATGAAAGTAGTATATTTTTGTACTTTCAGATATTCCTAATCTCTGTTCATCGACAATGGATGAGTACGATGAAGATGTCGATCCACTTGCTGGTCCTATTGCTGATCTAATGGCTGAACATAGTCTATCTTCGACCACTTCGACGAGCACATCGAAAGCACAAAGCCCAACTGACCTCTTACATGAACCGCTGACGAAAACGAAAATTTTCGATTTGTTATTCCATCTCAATCTTCGATCGCATTTTCACCAAATATTTGCATATCTTCTAGACAAACTCTGGTATCATTATCTTCATAAAACTTGTCCTAAAACCGATCAAGATATCAGCCTTAATCATCCATCTCCGACAAAACTCATTTCACTTCTTCTCGTAAGTGAACTTCTTCTTCTATTCTTTATAGATTGCATTGATTTTTCTTTCAGATCTCGATTCTTCTTATTTTCCTATTTCCTCTCATCTTCTGCATGTTCATCGTATTTCTCATCATCATCGACTTTCTCATTCCACTCTACATTTATCACATTTGGTTTAATTGCTTACGAACAACGCGCAAGTTTCTCCACACGATTCAAGCTCATCAGCAATGGTTAGTGTACATTCATGGTTTTCAATTGATTCGTCCGACATCATCTCTATTTGAAAATCAATTACATCAACTTCGTCAACAGATCTTTGTTGAATTACAAAAATCTTTCCTACTATCCCGTCAAATCGCTCGGCAACATTCGACAGCCAACGAACAACTCATCTGTTACATTGACCTGGAAGAATTCGGTCCATTGATACAATCGGATCCAAGTGAACTCGACAAATTGACCAATCAATTCGATCAGATTTCTGTCAATTCAATCTTCAAATTAGCTCATCTACAAATCAACGAATGCATTCAGCTGATACACTTAACTCGTCCGAGTTCATATTGGATGTTCGACAATTTTCAAACGAAACTACTCGATGCTATGAACAGATTAAATAAAACCAAACAAAATTGTTCGATTATGATCGATTATACCGATTTGGAAACAAATCCTTCGCCAAAACGATTAATTTCATCCTATTTTCTTCTTCGATCGAGCTGTGAACAGTTATTTCAAATGAATGAAAGCAATTCTACCAATCACGAACAATTAAAACGCATTATTCAAGATTTGAAGACAGTTATTCATTCTCTTGAAGCCATACAAGCAAAGCCAATAGTGAAAACTAATGAAGATAACTCCGAAGAACTTCTGACCAAAGACAGCCATCCATCGAATATCACGAGTTACCATCGATTTGACGATGAAATCGAAGAGACAACTGATGAAATTCTCATATGTCACACTGGAAAATCGTTCAATGATGGTGAGAACGATGAAATGGCTCATAGTCTAGATCTTAACGATTACGAACAGCAGTTATTACGTGAACAGACGAACTGTTTGATGAAAGAACTTCAAACAGCTATTCAAGGCAAGAAACAGGATTGGAATGAACGTGAACAGCGTTTGCTTGGAGCTGTTGACCAAGTAGAAGAAGAACCATTGACAGAGATTAAACAGGAAGTTGTGAACGAAGAACCTTTTGAAAAATTATTGCCTATGTCAAATACCATATCAATGTTGGATGAATTGAAAAATACGTTTGTTTTGAACAGAAAGAAACTTAATATCAATGAAGATATTTTTGGGGAAGATGATATTGAAGATTTCGATGATGAGGATAATTGAGACGTAGGTATATTCTTGTTAAACATTTACGGTAGGATAAATGAATTGTGTTGAACTCTTAAACACCGATTGTTTGGAATATTTATATAAAACGTTCGTTTTCTATTCTAGATAGAAGGTATATCGAACTCATATCGAAGAGAAAAATCAAAAATTAATACTCAATGTTTGAAATAAACGATCTTTTCGATACGTTTCTTTTTCGCACGACAACAGTCACAGGTTTTCTTTTCTATTGGTTACCAATCATATGCATACTGTCGCCAACTTATCTGAGTCCATTTACGTTCGTGGATTCGACTCAAGAATTCAAAGCCTATCGAATGGTTCAATACGATTTATATGGTCAAGCTTATGGCAGCCGACAAGCGTTTGTTTCGAGTGAAGTTCGTTTATGGTCACACGCAAATTTGAACCGCAAAGCTGCATTGATACGTCTTGAAAATCTAACCATCGAACGATTTCGTTCATTAGTTTCCAAAGGTATCAATGGCTTGTTTGTTGTTATTCCTTCAACAACTACGCAATGGTCAGACGAACAAAAGTCCGAAATCTGCGATTTGGAAACCATTTTACTTGCTGAAAGTGTTCCAATTCCTATTTATTTTCTACCTGAAAACCAACAAATGAATGATTTATATAAATCGATCGAATCACGTCGCGACTCAACAAAAGATTCTGCTCTAGCCGTCATATACGATATGATCACAGCTGACGGATACCAATTGTCTGTTAATACAGGCAAATACAATCAACGAACGGACAGTGTTTTGTACAATATTGTCGGTAAGCTAGTTGGTCATGGAATCGAAGAACGTCTTCCCAAAATTCTTTTCGTTACGCATTATGATGCCATGGGTTTGGCAAGCGGATTGGCACAAGGTGCTGATTCGAATGCCAGTGGAGTTTTAATTTTATTGAAATTAATTCGTTTGTTTTCCAAATTATATGCTAAACAAACAACACGAGCTAAGTACAATCTTCATTTCCTCTTTGCTGCTGGTGGAAAGTTGAATTATCAAGGAAGTAAGAAGTGGATCGATGATTATCATGATCAAAAACAGCAACAACAACTTCCGAATGACGTCGATGTTGTTGTTTGTCTAGGTGAATATGTTTGCTAATTACACAAATAGGAAACTGACATGCGATCTTCTGTTTTAGACTCACTAGGACAATCCAATGAACTTTACATGCATGTTTCAAAACCACCCAAGGACACACAAACAGTATGAGCGGAGAAACCCCATTGTCTGCTTTATTTTGACCGATTTCTTTCTAGGCTGGTATTTTACGTGAACTTCTGGCGCAATTGAGTGAGAAATCAACACACGGTCCATTAACATTCGAACAAATTCATAAGAAAATCTTAAAAACGAGCGACTTTGTCGCATGGGAACATGAAAAATACTCATGGGCGAAGCTACCCGCTTTCACCTTTTCACATTTAAATTCATCAAAATCATGTTCACATTCATCAATTAGTGATGTGTACGATGAAGTTAATCTCGCATCTATCGAACGTAACTATCAATACATCAGCGATGCACTTATTCGTTTAATTTTCAATAAAACCGATGTTACTTTTCCCATCATTGATCAAAATTATCTTTTATCGGATCAACAGTCGGATTACGATCAGGTGACATTCACCAAACAATGGCTAACATTTTTAACAAATTATTCGCGGACACCATCCTTGTTAACTAAAACTCATCCTGTCGTACTTGCACTGGAGCAATATGCTCATCGGTATTTAAGTAATGTTGTAAAAACAACGATTCGTCCAAATAAAAAAGATCCCGAGTTCGTCTTTTTCGACGGTGATGATGATCAAGGACGACAGTTATACGTTTATCGTATCAAACCAGCTATCTTCGATCTTGTCTTAGCCATATTCATCGCTATTTATCTCGGTTTGGTGTATTTGGTCGCCGCTCACTGGTCAACAATCATCAGTGTACTCTTACGTTATAGATCGTATACGAATATGTTTTTATCCCCAGCATCATCCCAATATGGTGCATACAAGCGTAAAATTAATTAGATGAAAAGTAAACAAGAAAATTTCTTCCTATTCTGAACAAAAAGCAGACGTTTCTTTGTGTTTTCTTGCACTTTCTGTTGTTGTTGTTGTTGTTTTGTTTATCTTTGCAATGTCTTTTTTCAACCGGTTGGTGTCATATTCTTGGGGGTTTTCGTAGAATAAATTTCACAAGAAGAAGAAAAAATAAATCAAAATCGAGATTTTCCAAATAAGATCATGGTTGGTTTCAAGTCATTAGACGCTTAGATTAAGGAATGTCTCAAGTTAACAGCACCATAATATAATCATCTTATAATAATTATATCCTTAGTGGTAATCCCAATTTACATCTAGGGAACTTTGTCCCCGTTAAACACTTAGGCTGAAACGATTACTGTTTGTTACCTATTGAATGGTAGCTTTGAACTATAAACTCTCGCTTCAATAGAATATATCCGATATGAAACTGCTGTGAAATAAAAAGAACTCATTATGACTGTTTGCGGTCAGTTCTATCTTGATTTACCTCGTTGGGAACCTCGCACCGATTAAACTCAAAGTTTAAGGAAAACTCTCTATTGTTAGAATCATCACAAAACTCTTTCGCTGTATGTTTACTAAATATAAATCAGATAGATCGGAACAATCCATGTGTTTCAAAGTAGGCTGAATATGTAATTATCCTACAGGCGTATTTGCTTACTGTAAAATCAGCATCTAAATACTGTTTATTATATTTGTACAAACTACAACCTTAATTCTTATTATACAGCGCGAATATCATGTGTTATAAACTACGCTTGATTTGTTGCCAACAGAAAGATCTAATTACAGTGTGAAAAGCACCGGAGGCCAGGATACTTACTTACGACAGTGCCAGTATGTTCCTAATTCTCATACTTGAATTTTGTATCCTAGATTAAATCACGCTATATCATATCATTACTAGACGCAGTCAGATATTTCACTGGAGGAATAGATCACCTGTACGCTTCAATTAACGAATAAGAAAAGGAAATGGTAGACTGCTGATGTTAGTCAGCTTTCATATTGTGAGAAAAGAAACAAAACTAATGCGTTAGAGATGGGTTTTCATCAACTGAAATATTCGTACACAGTGGTGAATGCGAATAGTTTCCACCCTGTTAGTATCAAAAAGACAAATACAGTTATCTTTGGAATAAAATCTAAATAGCAAATAAATCCGTTAGTTTTATTTAAAAACAAAAGAAAAGCAAATCGACTCAAGACTTCAATGTTAACTCGTTAGCATGATTGTCTTTGAGTAATGGAGTTGTCACTGGAGAATGATTTATAACTTCCGGACTCGATTTCTTCTTCAGAAGATTGACATCATTTAGTACTATGCTCGTTCGTTGATCATCGGAGTATTTATAATTGGAGCCCTGTTCTTTAACAAATGATGCCGACAACTGTTTTCGTCGATTTTTAATTAAAGACAAGTTAGCAAATGACGTCGATGATTCATGTTGGGCAACTTTATAACACTCGAAGCCAAATGTTTGCTTAAAGGTGTCACGAAAGGCACGTGACATTAAACAGTACAAAATAAAATTAACTGAATTATTAATCAATGCTAATATATCGAATGTATCACCTAGAGAAAAAAAAAGAGACCGATGATTATTGGCAGATTGAACAATTGACTTTACCTAAATGCTGATAGATTCCATAGTAATACTTCGAATTGTTTTTGGAAATGAATGACAAGAGTAAAATGGCACCTTGTGGTAATTCTGTGACAAGAAAAAGAACACAAACAATGACTAACATTAAAGTTGTTCGACGATTTTCTTTCTCTCGCCGACGTCCGCGACCTCGTCCATTTTGACCATGGTTCGATGCTGGTATCGAATGCTTTTGTAACTTCTCCGCATTTTCTAACGCATGTCTCAATTGTTGGATTAATAGAAAGCTAAATACGAGTAATAATATGCATGGTATTAATTTAAATATAACGCTATGTAAGACAAAAACAGTGTCACGTAATGACAAGGCTTTACTAAGCTTGGTCTCTGCAAAGATATAAGATTTTGATACATCAGTGGCGTTAGTATCATTATTTATAACTTCAACAAGTCGATGTTCGATATATGACGGAATACAAAGAATCGTCGAGATGAAGACCACCGTACACACGCCAAGTAAAGCACGATTTGGTGTTGAAACGTACGGCGTCAACGACTTACAACTCAAGAACACAAAGCGAAAACCAGCGAGCAAAACGGTCAACCTAAACAAACAATCATATACTGCAAAATCACGACTATATTAGAATTTCATAGATGTCAAGTGTGCATTGTTATCTAGCCGGTTTTTTTTTTAATAAAATGAACAAATATCATTGATTGATGTGAGTTTAATGTAAAGAAAGACATCTGCAACATTTTGTATGCAAGATTCAACTTTTTTTTACGTAGATACGAGAAAAATGATTCAAGTTGTTTTTCTCCTCACAAAAAAATGACTTACCATGTACTTATACAATGCAAGGTTAATGTTACTAGCATTTGTACCATATAGAATGTGACTTGCGAACGTGATTGAAAGTTCGGTTCACTTTTATGTTGACTAGTTTGTAAACAATAGAAAATAATCACTGCTGGCAAAACGAATAACATTTTGATGAGATCAGACAATGCTAAAGACGTTAAAATCGTATTTGTCGATGAACGCATAAGTGGACGTGTTAAAACGATAATATTAAATAGATTACAGGTTAAACCAAATATGCATACAAAACTTGATATTATTCCATGATATTCACGATAGAGTGTCTTATAACGCACAAGTGAGCTATTGCTAAAGTCATGATCATTTCCATTCAAATCGTTGCTGAGAAGTGATTTCGACACATTGTACATGAATTGTTCGGCAAATGTCGAAGTCACATAGGGACTGGTTTGATTGAATGATTCCGAGGAATACGGAGACATTGTGATAAGAAAGAAATCTATTAGTGAGGCTAAAATAGAAGACGAGCAAGTTTAACAATATATTCAACTGTGGAAAGAAGCTTTGTTTTCTCTTTGACAATATAACTGTGCATGATTTTCTTCCTTTCCTAGTCGGATACATGACGCAGATCGCAACTCATGTGTGGGCTGTTAATATGCTCTTTTTTTTCTCCTCTATCAGTCATGATTATTATTTCTGGTCTAACATAACTTTGACCGATAAGAGCGTGGTGAACATCAATGGTAACAACTAATCGAAAGGATTTTTCTTGTGTTTATACGATCTTCTGTTACATTGTTTATCGTAGAGTTAATGTTCTTTGACAGGATCATATTTATAATCTTACATATACAAGCAGTAGATGGAGAAAAGAAACGGGGAGTTTTCTTCACTGATGATAACATACGAAAGAAATCAACAGCGGAGTAAAATATTTCAATTACTTGTAAGAAAAGTGCGTTCAGTTGAGTGTATGCGAAAGTTAAAAGGTCTCAAGTAGAAAAATGAAAAACATTCAAAGATCAGAGAGGGAACTCGTACGCACTACCGAGTGATACAAAAGCAAATCGAATGAAATTTGTTACTTGAAAAAGGCATGTGAACAACGCACAGCTGTCAGTTGTTTTATTGATTATATCGCAATAATACTGAAGAATATCAGACGGTTCTCTCTTTTTCTTCTCCTGCTTACCAATGATGATTTGAAAGAAATACGAAATATGTCGGAGGGAAGAAATATGTCAAATTCAATTAACTACTTTTCAGTGCACATCCGAGAGAATGACTGACACTTACGTTTGAAAAAATGTCTTTTTCATTGAAATACAATTCCTGTCGATTACAAAAGATGAGACTGTATTATTCAAATCAATAGAATGAACTGAATAGATGAGAAAAGAAAGAAAGAAACAAACTTGATGCGTGTATACGATACGACAACTAATTCTGTCGCGTTCGGCATACACTTTCGACGAGAAAATATGTTAGTAAACTAGAGTGGAGAAAAGTGCAATTTATAATTACAATTAACATTCAACAAATGCAGTAATTAGCAAACAAAGGCATCTCACCATCGAGCTAAACGAAACATTTCATAAGTGATTTCTTCTCTTCTTTTACGTTAGCAAGTGGCGCAAGAGAGAAAACATTTCGATCAATGTTTCTTTGTAGTTTAGATATGGATACTCGTAAATAGATATGTGTTCCGCATGTGCTCAACGGTGAATATTCTTCTAATTAACGTAGAAGGGAAAAACGTTTCAAATGAATGGCGCATTACCTTGCTGAATGCAATAGGATGTTCTGAAAAGAAGCAAATGTGTTTTTATATTTTCTATTTATATCATTTCTTTCGAAGTAATGCAATCTCCGGCTGTTTCATTGGGAAAGATTCACTTCATCAACATAAAAGTCCTTAGTCATCTTGAAAACTACCTTGACTTTGAACTTGTGTTGTTGTCAGTCGGCTGAATTTTCTATTCAATCATCCCACGAAGATTCGGTTGGTATCGTCAGCAAAGTGAGCAGTCGCACTAGTCGCTACTTCAAAAAATAATTGATCTAAAATAATATAATGTGACTTGAACGAGAGAAAGAAAAAAAAACGAGTTATGCAAAGTTTCCTCACATATCTTAAAAGCTTTCCTCCTTCATTAAAATCTATAATAGGTAGAAATAGAAAGAATAGAAAAACGTCTCTCTGATACTTATTAGTTTCTATTATTCAATTATATTTTGAATATTCAGTACAATGGAACGATAACTCTCAAATAGGTATAGAGAAGTTCAGAAAGTTAACTTCAGTCTGTTCATCGAAGATAAGTCAAAATCAGCTTATGTGTTCTTTTAAAGAAAATAACTCTTGATAGTCTAGCTAATCGTGCGGAGATAAACAAGTCTATGCGTTGGGTATACTTAAAATGCTTTTTTTTCGGAGAATCTCTTTGAAACAACATGCTCCGCTCTGCATCAATTACCGAAATGATTGTCTCTCATCATACCTCGTTTGATATTGAAATGCATCGCCGAAGAAATTCTAATCGCATTGAGTACATGCTCCACATAAACGAATAACAAATGGTATACGTGCCCAAAGGCACTCGACTCCTCGTACATTTTCTAATAATCTGAGATCTTAAGAAAATTGAATACGAACCACAACCACGCTTCCCTGAACGTGACTAGTAATGCGATACTGATGCATGTACATTGTCGGAAAATTAACTAAGTTGTTTTTATTTTGTGAGAAAACAAAAAAACGTGAATACAAGCCATTGTTCTTTGACAACTCTCAAAGGAACCAACAGAACAATTACTTTCCATAAAGATATTTAGCGCAATTTAACATCCAATTACTCCCAACACGTCTGTGATCTATTCGAAGTGTAGTGAGTAAGCAAGTTCTTTAATTTGCACGTATTTTCATGAGAAGACTTGAGTTTTCCGCGCTAGAAACATCTCATCTATTCTCTATTTCAATTACGGAAAGAAAGCAATATGTTTTACCTTAATTAGCTATTCAATCTTGTTTTCGGTGTATATTTCATCTTTTATTTTTCTCGTAGAGTAATCAATGTACTGGAAGGAGATAATGAACTGGAAGTAGAACACTCAGCAACTCCTATCTCGTTTGTGAAAACTTCTCATATTATTTTATACTTAGGCTCGTTCTTCTCTACTGATGATAATAATAAGTTCAAAAGTGAAAGACAAATTTCGACGAATGTAAGAGAACTAAATGGAGTTTGCCTCTTCCGTTACTTTCTTCTTTTCTCTACTGTCTTTCGACGTATTTGCTTACGAGCTTTGCATTTCTCTGTAATTATTGTTCAGTGTTTCCTTACCCGAACTTCAATAATGAAACGATTTTGATCTATAATACGTTCGAACGCTTCTAGCAAATTGATGAGATGAGAGAAATCCGCAGAAAGGCAGTAGATACTCAGTTCTTCTCTCGGTACTATCTTTTCTGTCAATATTGATTCATTTTTGCCATGTTCGAGATTGATTTCTCTCGTTTTTTGACCATTTATCGAAATGAGCGTGTTAACATAATCTTGTGCTTAATTATTTTATAATAACTGACAGTTAAAAAAAGTAATTACCGACAATATCTATATGCAAGTATACGGATGTTCGCGTGTTGAGTTCAGAACATTGATGTTCGGTTGGGAAAAAAGCTCGGGATTAGTGCAGCACTGAAAACTTCATATAATCGAACAATGACAAAACGCATTCTGCCCCTCAGAACTTCTCCGATGTAATAAATTTTCTTTTTTTCAATATGACCTTTTATTTTCAGGAACATCTGCTAAGTCAATTACATTAATCGAATGTGTTTCTTTTTATCTCAATATTGATTCAATAATCCTGTAACAAACAAATAGTCGACGTATTCACCGCATGGAAAACTATACTTTTAATCAGCTTAGAAGTATAGGATGATGTAGGGAGATAAGAATTTCAAGTAGAAAACTTTCTCGGATTTCATGTTCATATAGTACATCTAATGATACGACTATTTGTTGTGCAGAACATGCTCTGTCGTTGTCAATATCCAGTAACAGTCATGCCTGTTATTTGTTGACGCCCACATTCGCTTTCGCAGGAGGGAAGAGGAAAACTTACCTTTGCTATCGAAGATTCAATTATGAAAATGTATTTGGTTCGGAACCGATTGATTAGAAGATCAATCGACAAATATCCGATGACGTACGTCAATATGATAAAAAAAAACGGAACTCTCTATCAGAACGGCTCTCATCACGAGCACAAATTTTTCTTTCATTTCAATTATGAGTATTGTGTGACTAAAACACACATTCATAAGTAAGAGGAGATTTTTTCTCTGTGTGACTGTTGATTAAGAAGAAGAATCAATTGCTGAAGATTTGATTAATACGAATGTAAATCAGCACAGTGATGTAACTGTATGCAAATTAGAGGAAATTGTTTATGCACTCGTCAAACTAATGACCATTAGACAATGGTTTCTGTGTCAACATGGATGTTTATTGTCAAGACATTGACTAATGGAATGCACATCCTGCTTTGAAGTTGTCTTATATGCAAACGAGTCGGTAATCCAACGATTATTTTTTATTTTTGTTTTCTATCTGTTCGAATTCATCATCTTCAGTAACATTCAATGCAAAATGTTCGCGATTTTGTCGTTCTTTCTCAATCGCCATGATTCCATAGGTTGCACTTCGTTGTTCACGAACACGCTTCATGCGTTTCGTCAATGCAAACGCTTTCATACGTCTTTGCAATTGGTCAACATTCAATAGATCGTCGCTATTGCTTGACTTGCTCTCGTCTACTGATAGCTTTCGAAGAATCGTAGTGCGATCACTATCATATAAGTCTTGACGCTGTGTTGTTGTCGGAGTTAACGCTTCAGATCGTCCAGTGTCTGCGACATCGAGCAAATTGTTGATTTTTTCACGTTGAGTCGGTGTATTATCTCGTTTGAAAATCACCGGTGGTAGATTTGGTAGTAACTGAGCATGTCGAATAGCTGTCCTGAAATTCCGAGTTACTTTACAGTAGATTATTAACTTCTATATCTTACTTTAATTCTTCACCAGCGGTTTTCAGAAGATCTTCGATCAGATTGACTTCTTGTTCTGGCGACCACCATAGAATTTCTATACGATTCAAATCCACAGGAACAACGATCTAGGAATAGAAATGATCATCAAATCAAATAGAAATTTTCCTTTCAACAAACATTGGTTAATTGAAAGTTTTTTCCCGATAAGATATCACCGATTTCACCCGAACCAATACGATCGGCAACAAACGCACGTAGAATTTTACTCAAATGTATCGCGCGCTTTTGTCCAATATGATCGTACGATCTATGTTGTCGTTGTTTGAGTACCGATGAATCCGACTATTCTACAAATTGGAATAATATTCTAATTAGAAAAGTAGAACACTCACCGATTGTGAGAAATACTCATTATAATCACCCGTTCTAAAAGAACAAATCTATGCAATCAGTTCGAATATCATGCAGAAAAGAGCGGATACCGTTTTTTAACTAAACGTTCTAATATTCCTTGCTGTTGCCTCCTGTGCAGTTCTTTTTCACGAACAGTTTGTACTTGAGGATTTTTGATTGCTTGCAGATCTAATTTTTTCATATTATAAGTACGTTTCAACAACAGTGGTATTGTTTTAGTTGTTTTCTCTAATTGAAATTTTTTCAGGAACATCTATAAATAATATTCAATAGAATATTCTTCCGGTACTTCTTTAATAAATGAAAGTGAAATAACACAAAGAGTACGGGACAGACTTGATGAGCTGTGACATTGTAGAAAAGAGTAATGTAAAGTAGCGAAACACATCTATCTAGAAAAACATTTTCAACAATTTATAATTCCAAAATGCTCATGAAGAAAAATACGGAAGGATTTGGTACAGAACCATCGAAAATTAGAAGCTAATCTAAAATAAAAGTGAACTTCAAAGCGTTAATTTTTCAATAACGTTTTTAGAAGTGAATAAATCACGCACGTCCTCGTCTGATTGATGGAATGCATGAAAAGCAAAAAACAAAGGAAGAAGATTCATTAATTTATCTATTTAAACTAATCAAAATAATGGAAGAAAAGAAACTGTTCAAGAATATTCAGACATTAAACAGTAATGTATCGTCAAGGGAGAAGATTCTAAGCACCAGACAAAAATACATAAATAAATGCAGAAACTCAATGATGATTCGCAATATGAGATCTACCGAATGAGTATTAAGCAATGTTCAAGATTGTGCCATTCTTGATTGAGATAATAATGTATACATATTACATTGAAATAAAATATCGTCATTTTTTCCTCGCCGGGTATTCTCATAAATGTGTTGCGGAATGAGGTGAGGATGTCATTAATTTGCATATCTTTGTTTAAGTACAGACCAAATGATCATTGATTGGAGAAATAAAAAAATACATATTGCTAGTCCAGTGCAAACGAATAATATAGTTAAAAGCAAAAGATGTCCATGAGTCGGTAACCAAATCCAATATGGATTATTAGATGGAAAGTAAAGTATAAAACCAATTGCATAGAACCTAAAAAATTAATGAAAATATTTATTATACATTTAACATTTTCTCTTACCAAGCACCTTGCAGGAATGTTCCTGCAATTCTTCCGTAAGTTGCTAAAATCTGATGCGGCCGATTGTATTCCCAAATTGCAGCGGCCGTGCAGAGTAAAATGGAATAAAGTAAGAGTGTATGAACATGTATATCGACTGCATCACGTCCATGTAGATGAAAATGAAATAGAAATGCTTCGAGACCGTATGCAAAGATATTGCCGAGAAATTCAATGCCATCTGGAAGGGGATACTTTCGATGCACAAGTACTTCCAATAATGAAGCTAAAGCGAATCCCAGAAACATTGTGATATGTTGAACATTATTTTCACCAAAAATTAAAATCTTCTTCTTCGACGTTGTGTCATCGATGTATCCAAAACCGGTAATGAATTCGCCTAGTATTCCAACGACGGAACAGAAAATCTTGATTTGAGATTCAATCGGTCGATTTCGTCCCGAGGAACAGCATATACATGAGAATGTTGTCGACGATTGATAAAGAGGAGGCTTTTGATGCTGACCTCGTCTTCGGTATCTGATATGGTAATGTTTAATTGCAAGACAATAGCCCCACCATATAGGAAAAAGTATAAAAAATGTACCGGGCACAACATGACCAAGAAGAGTACCCATAATGACTAGATTAATTGACTATTGATTTTGAATACTAAACAACGGTTATTTCATAAGCGTTATGGTAAAAATCGTAATATTAATCAGTTCATTCCCATCCGGATTTTGATCGATCGATTATCCCGACCCGACAGAACGTTTATCGTAGTTTGATGGAAGAGACGAGCAAAAACTCCATTGGTTCGTGTATTCTGACTAACAAATATGGCCGAACGAAAGGGGGCGCGCATTGTCATCTGGAAAAAAACGAAGTTCATTATATCAAACTACACTAGTATGTCCTTCAGGCATAGATTAATATTTACAAACAAATGTTATGCCCTCTCTATCGTTGAATCGCAACAATTCTCAGATATTTCTATAGATTTTGCCTTGACTTCGTCACAATTGTTATTGAATGTCCTTCGAAGTTAAACACCTAAACTTCACCACTACAAAGTATATTGGCCTCGTTCATTGTCGCAAAATATTATTGTTATTGTTGCTTTTCTTTTCAAGTCATAGTTTTCATCCTTTTATAACACTTGAAATTCGATTCTTGAGCAAGAGTGTTTCTCTTCTTTCTGTTTAAAGATGCCAGGTACAATTTCTGAAGTGTTGACACATATCCATCAAAGTATATTATTGCAATAGCAGCATACAAAATATGCCATTTGATCTGCGTCTTTGTTTGATATATTATCGGTCTCGAATATTCAATTGCATCATCAAAATACTATAGACACTTTGACACTACTGAATAAACGAATCAACAGTTCATTTGCTTTTCGTCTTCGCAATCGACACGACCGTCAAAAGTTCAATAAGACGACAGCAAAAGAAGCCTATCTTTTCATTGAACCAAGGTAAGTGCCTATAGACAAATTTCAAAGAAAAGATCGATTGATGATAATAATCGATTGAGGCAAAAACAAGCTGCCAGCTGTATTTAAGCTCGCATGTTCTCTCTCTCTCTCTCTCTCTCTCTACTCCTCTTTCTTTTTTCAACCGATAAGTAGTAGTGCCGTTCATCTATTCGTGATGTTTGTCGATTTATTCATTTAATTTAAAAACGATTTGAATAAGTAATCGTATACATGTGTCAACAATCATCAGTATCATTTGCAATCTACTAGAACATCGATCAGCTAGGTAAAGCACAAGACATTAGTTAACACAAATCCTTCGAAGATGATTTATGAGGTTCGTTTTATCTCAAACGTTTAAATCATTGAATCAAAAGAGAACTGATTACGATCGAATATTTTATTCAGTAACTTAAGCAGTTCGTCTTAATCCTTGATGAGATCAACAGTTGACGTTCGTTTTTGAAAAATTTGTCGTCTGACTTAGATTTATCAGCGATTGTTAAAATAACAGATTGTACGCTTACTTGGTAAATATTTTCTTAGAAAAGAATCGATAGTTGCTTTTTGTTCTATACAACTTCGGTGGTTTTAGTTTGAAATGCAACAACATTACCAATCTGAAATGTTTGGCAATAAAACGAACGATTGAATTTGGTTGTTACATTGTTAAATGATGCATCGTAACAATCAACCGTCATCTCCAACGAAATGGCCGTCGACAACGCAATATTCAACCTATCAACCGGATCGGGTAACAGATTATGTCCTTTTTTTTCTGACTATTTGATTAGTATACATAACATTTTCTAAAATGAGAGTTTTTTTTTTGTAAGAATATAATAACAGTTTCATCTTGAGTCGCTTTCGTACTATTGAAATTAACCATAGGGAAAGGAGTTACAGAATTTTGACGCAAAGTTAATTTATCAATATGAAATTCAATGTTTTTATTTGGATTCCTTTTAAGCGACTGAAGCATTTTTGGTTACTTGTTTTGGCAATTATTACACTTATCCTAAGTGTTACAGCATTGATTATTGTTTTCGCTGTTGAGCATTCCTGGTTTTCGGATTATTATAATAAAACAACAAATCATTATGGTTTGTGGCGTTTGTGCTTCTTCACCAACCAAACGTGCGACAGCTGGTTTTCGTCCGATGGGCCGTTTAGTTCCTATATTGAAACTCGTCACAATCAAGACAGAGGTAAAAACATGGAAATAACTCGAAGGAATATTGAAATTTTCTTTTCATAGTTGGAATCAATGCATGGCAAGCATTGGAAATCGTCTTTTTGTTTCTAACTACATCAACATTGATCATTGCGGTAACTTCGATCGTATGCTATCGACTACGAAGAAATATTCATTATTACCTAGCTATCCTAGCAGGATTCGCTATATGGCCAGCAGGTAAACACTGATTCATCGTATACGATTGAATATGTCCTTGACTTTATTCTAAATAATAGCAATGGTTGGTATTGCCGGATTATTTGTATTTGGATTTTCTGTCTATAATGCATCGCCGGCACCGCATAGTCTTGACTGGTGTTTCTATGTCAATCTTGTTGCAGTCATACTTGCTCTCATTAGCGCGATTATTATAACAATCTATGATATTCTTGTAAAGAAACCATTGAAGTATGTCATAAAACGGTTTATTCTGTTGACATTTAGAATTTTCTTATAGAGATGATCCAGATACAGCTGGCATTAATAAATTCACTGAGTATGATCGCTATCCACCGACAGTTGATTCACCTCCAACATATGTGGTTGTTCGACAGAATAAGAAGAAAAAGAAAAACAAAGAGCCGTATGATTATCCACAAGTTCTCTATCCACAACAATATTTTCCACCGTCAACAGCAAACACTAATCCAAACACGGATTACGTGACAAATCCGAACCATCGTATGCTCACAACTCCATTTGCAAGCCCAATGAATAATCTACCAATTGCCCCTCCGACTGTATCACATCACCAATCGTTGAGTCCTTATCGAGGTGCAAATCTTTTCTCATCACCTTCCACAATTTCACTTCCGCCTCCAACGCAATTTTATCAACCTGCAATGCCAACCTATCCTTATCAACCAGCACACTGGCATCGAACAGGAGAACAAGCTAATGATTATATCCAACGAGGAATCTATCGTCCAACTCGCTTGAATCCTTTTGAGAATCCTTTCGAGCAACGAGAGGAACCACGTGTCTTACACTATTACACAGGTTATGATCATTTCTCAACGGTTGATCCAGATGACGTTACCTACGCTCGACATCATCCATCGACGATACGATCGATTTCACCTGTCCGCTATCCTGTTAATCCTCCATATTATCATCAAAATAACTACATTAAAAGTGCTTTGTAAACCATTCATACACAAACATTCGTTTTTGTTAAGATACTGCTGTTAGTTTGTCTTTTCTCATTCCTAGGACAAGAAAAACGAGTTTCTTACTGTTTTCATTCAATGTTTTATTACAATAAACATTTCTGAGAAAAAAAAAGGTTAACTTTCGAACAGTTTCCGTTTGATTTCATCAAAATCTGTTTGAAGTGATGTCGTTAATTTCCTCAATTCATGATGAATACGTGCATTCGAACGTTCGAAAACATCTCGTAATTCATCTGCTTTGTGCATTAAACGAACGTGCTCATTCTCTTGTAACAATGGTTCACCAGCACGATCGATATGATGTCGATAGTATCCCACTTGGCATAAGACACGTTCTTTTGTCGTTTGAGCTTTACTACTACGATTCGATGCCGTTCGATTGCTCATATCGATTGGGCGTGGTATTTCTACGAGATATTCGCGTAGCTCTAATTTCCAGAGATGATATTTTTTCAGATTATGCATGCGAAAACGCGGTATGCACGAATATTTTGATAGCGTTAGTACTAATCGTGAGCATGCTTCACATAATACACCGAATTTTGATTGGAGACCAAGACATGTCTCAATTCTAGCACGTAGATGTTCGCGTTTGGCATTCAAACGAAAACTTTTTACATCCGAAACAGCTAAACCGACCTACCAAAGAAAAAAAAAGGTCACATCTCTCTTGAATTATCAGTGTTCGTAAGACTTACCATAATATTCATAATGACAATGTTCATAGTGAATATAAATATCGAAAATAGTACCATGGCAGCATGACTTCCAGGTAGAATCTTTCCATTCGGAAAAAATAAATCATCGAAGTCATATTCTCCTGTCAACATGGCTAATGTTCTTGGTGCTGCATACGATAAATATGTAAATTGTGGTTTCTTATGAATAAATAACATGTGAAATGCAATAATATACCCAATCCAAATAAACACATAAATCAGACAGAATTTCAGAAAAGTCAAGAAGACATTCACAAATAAAAGACCGTATTTGCCAATCTTCAATGAATTCATTACCACAAATAGCAACAGCGTCCAGACGCTCGTTATGCCTAGTGCACCACTCTCCCATTGCCATTTACATCGAAGGCCAGTATCTTGTGTACAATAGTTCAGATCGATCGAAAATAGAATGCCGCATACATAGGCAAAGACTTCGAGAAAATTGATGAAAATGTCGCGGAAGTATTTTTCACGTTGATTCAGCAATTGAAAGAACTCTTTTAACAAAGCAACACATGAACAAAATAACAACATATACCGTAGACAACCTAAATGTACATTGGATTTTATCGAGAAAATACTTTCGAGTATGGAATCTTACGAAGTACTGAGTTTCCAGGCAAGGAATCATGGACATCTGAGGTTAGATTTTGACATAATTCAATACAAGTGAAATTTGATGTGTCATAATACGAACGCGATGGTGTCGGTGATGTTAATGCTACCCCTGTGTAGAGAAAAACAAATAATATCTGAGCGCATAAGATCAATAGATAGAGGAAATTTCCGAATAATTGAAATTTTAAATCGACGCATATTTTCACTACATCATGATCGTAAACTGGAGCGTGATTTGCTTCAACAATTAATGATAACGGGTGTTGTTTGAGCCAGTCCGACGACGCAAATCGTTTAGAATGACCGAACATACAATGACTGAATGATGGACAAGTTCTTAGACAGTCGTCAACAACGGACAGATCAACTCCATCTTCGCCTACGAATTGTTCAAGTAATAACGGCACCAATGGAATCATTTCTGTCTAGAGTGCAAAAGAAACAAAAGAATTTTCTCTTTCATCATTGTTTTCTGATTTACCATCGTTAACATTCGTTGTATCGGAGTTTGATTGTACGTTGAACCGGAGTACGGAGCATTAAAATGTTTTAGGAAATATTTGTATGAACTGTAAAGTTCACGTTCGTCACCGGGTATTCGTACACTGATAAATATGCGTACGAAATCAGGTTTCTTCAAAGCAATTGAATATTCTAATACATTATAAATGCGATCATTGGCATTGATTTTTATTTGAATTATTGCAGCAAAACGCTGCAAATTGGAAACAAAATATGAAGCGATGTCTAATTGATCCTTGTCAATCGTTGTTTTCAATGAATCAGCATTGATAAAATCACCGATGTCAACATTACGATGTAACCATTTACTGCTTAGGATATATTTGACACATTTCAATGAACCTTTTTCTATGGCAATTACGAATGGAGTTTTTTTATTCGCATTTTTCTCTACAAGACGCTGCAATGCCTATGAAGAAAAAAGAAATGAAAGCAAATAAATCAAAATCTTTTCGTTTAACACACTGTTAATCGGGAAGCACTTGAACTAAGTCTTTTAAGTAATGAAATTGCTCGACTGAGAACAACATCATTACATTGTTCAGTTGCATAATGGAATACACTCGAACCAATGCTATCTTTGCATGTTAATGACAATGGATCTTGTTCCATTAATAGCGTTGCGGTTGACGTTGCGCCTGCTTCAATTGCACAAAGTAAAGGAGTCTGTCCGCATTCGTTCAATAACGAGTTGGCATGAGATGTTTCGTTGATTAGCACTCGCATGATTTCTTCATGGCCAAGTTTAGCAGCTAGATGCAATAATGTTTGTCCATGACTTTCAATTAAGTCTGTGCTATCATCGCGTTTAGAAAGTGTTGCATGGCCAGGTGTAGACAGCCCGGCTAAACCGGTTGGCAAGTCAACGATTGGGGCGGATACAATGGCTGTCACAGATGGCTGTTGTGCTTCATGTTCTTCGATTCGAGGAAGTGGTTCTTGATATCTCGGACGTCGACGTTGAATGACTGTCGAACGACGTCCGAAACGTTGGTCTTCATCGTCGAAATCCAAGAAATTGTCGGCAACTAGCTGAGGCGGATTGATACGCATCGATAGTCGATTATCACTTGGAAATTTGGTTTGCTCATCGATTGGAGTAGTCGTTTCTGATGATGAATTGCTCGTCTGTCGAGTCGATTTGGTACTCAATGATATTCCTAATGGTCGATGCAATTTTGGTGACTTGGGTGGAATAATAAATACTTGAGTAGGCATTTTAATCTATTTCGACAAGAAATAAATAATGATTTGTATTCTCATAGAAGATTATCTTATTCGGCGACTGAATCTAACAACACATCGGAAAGTATCAACATCTGGCCAACGTTTTTCTCGACTTCTCTGAAAATACGTATATATCAGCTTGAATTGACTGAGACTACATGGATCTAGCATGCACAAACGAGATTGAAGTTCTATTAAAAGCACATGTGTAGAATTACCAATCACGGACTTTTTTATGCATTAAGAAAGAAAAGAAAAAAAGCATTGGAGAAAAGCGAGAGAGAGAACACAGCACATTCTTTCTTTTTTTACAGTCTTAATCATACATTCTTTCATCGCTGATAACCTTTCAAAAGAAATACTAATGCACAGTTTTTTTTCTGCGTCTTCCATAGTAATCCATCAAAACAAGTTTTTACCATATGTAGCGGAAGATCTGAGTTGTTTTCACTTTTCACTATGATAAACTACGATGTAGGATTATTTAACAATGCTAATGAGTAGATTAAATATTCCTATCCATTTCCTTCCAAATGTTGAGTAAATTATGCCGAATGCATCAGTCGTTCGTTTTCCATCCTTCAGAAGTTGTTGAAAGATAATCATTTATAATAAGATAGCAGTGCTAAAGCAAGGGCATTAGTATCTGTCATCATCTTTATCAGTTCATAGAATAGTATCAAGTCGAATATAATCAGCTCGAAGAGTTTTTTTTTCCTCGATAATTACCGTCTGTTTGTACAAAAGAAAACAAAAAACAAATTATACAATAGCAACTGTATCCGAGCGTCGTTGCACTCGATGTTTCTTTCGTCGTTCATTGGCAACAGTTTCTTTGAATGAATCTCGCTCGTCGGATACACTTGCTGCTTGTTGAAATTTTCTTAACCGTTTGTCGGTTATCATGGGCATCTGTTCATGTTCGGTTTCGGATGATGTCTTATTTCGGTCTCGACCGGAACGAAACATGGCTTGCAGGTGCTGAAAAGGAGTTCGACGTGATGAGTATTGTCGCCGTTGGGCTGTATCGATTGTTTGACGACGACGAAGTTTAGTTGGACGAGTCAATATCGGTGTTGTTGCACAAAATACTTCAGGTAGATCACTGTCATCGTACGAATCAGCATCATTGACATCAGGCTAGAAAATTTCGTTGAATTCAATCTCTACTAGTTATAATTATTCAAATCAATTAGTACATGCAACTAATCTGATTAGTATGATGTGTCAGGATTAGTTTAGTCTCTACTAACGACTTACTTTTATGGATTTATACGTATATGTTCATTCTATAATGTAAGGGGGAAAGATGGAGGAGAAATTCAACTGATCATTAACTCGTTCTGACAGTTTCATTACAAACGGTTGAAAACAATGATCCGTGCATCAGACGAGAAGAGAATTATTGATAGACGTCGATGTCATAGGATGAAAATGTTAGATTATACTTACGAGACTGACAGTGTCAGCAGGCGCTGATAATTCAGCTAGTCCAGATGCTGTTACCGATGAATTCAGATGTTGACTATTTTGGCTTATTCCCGTGGAATTCTGTCGTTCAGTTTTCGTGCCCCAGCGAAATTTGTTTACATTTTTGAAAATATTTTTCGAACGCTTGGTTAAACTTCCATCCGGACCTCGACTCGTACTTGCATTCAAAATAACATTTGCTATTCCGTTGAGTGTATTTCGGCCAACACTTTCATTACTTTGTAAATGATCTAAGCTATTCATTCGACGCGGTACTGATCGCGTTTTATTCGTATCACTCGATGTTCGTGGTAGTTTTTTTTTCGCTTTCAAGATGATATTCTTTCGTATATTAATACATCGAATGTACTCTTCACCAGTTGCGTGCAGAATCGGTATGCATCCCATCGATGTCAAATTTGTATTCGCATCTCCACAACAAGCTAACTGGACGAGGTCGGATTGTTCAGTCGAATTGTTCTGTTGTTGTAAAACGGGATCGATTATCACATGAATGATTTCTCTCCAAGCAATGTGTGGTTGCCAGTCCGGATTGGTGGAATTTTGATAAGTTTTATACATGGTTGTTTTCATATTTGTCATCAATTGATCGAAGACAACAGCTAAATTACGCACGACACAATAAGTCAAGATATTATGTCGAATATCACTTGGCTTTGTTCGACATGAATCGTAGTAAATAAGAGCATGATTTTTTATTAAATAATCCAACTCAATCTTCGCATTTCGACGTACACAGCATGCAAATGCGTGGACAAACATTCGTTGTATCGTTGCTGAATTCTCTTCGATAAACGGATCGCCATCTAGCTGATAGTACCGACTTAATGTAGTACATAATGATAGGAAAGTTGTGCAATTATTCTTGATTTGCAAAACACCATCTAATCAAACAAAACAACCATTTACACCTTTAAGATTTTCTTCGCTTCAACTTACCGAAACAGTGTTCTAGATGTTTTCTTGCAACTGTACCCCAGCAATTCAAATGTCGACGTTTGAAGAACGAGTCAAATATCGTATCCATCATAGTAGTTGAATCCGTCATACATGAAATATAGAACGGTGTCTGATATACGTTTGCTAACGCATCAGCAAATGGATCAGCGAAGGATTCGAAGAAGTAGTAATCGACTTGCATATACAATGATTGACCTGTATCGGAACTCAAACGATATTTAACGATCACTTCCCAGGTTAGATCACTGCGTTTACGAGAAGAGATTATATCGCCGTCAGGATAGAGTATCGTCGGTCGACAACCGAGAGCGTTTTCTAATTCGGAAAAATGCTCTTCGATATTTTCACGAAGGAGATGAAAATCCCAGCGTGGGTACTGAAGAAAAATATCACGTAGGACGAGAACGGTTAGAAAACAACGAACACTGATAGGTGTTTCAGTTTGCTGACCATCTTCTGAGCCAGCTGATTCGTCATTTTTTGATGTATTCAATGTTGCCGATGAGCCTGACAAAGCGCCTGTTAACGGTTTGACATCTTGATTAACAATAAAACCATCGAATTGATAGAACAGATATGTTGACGGACCTTCGACTTCCGTATCACGATAGACTGGTACTTGTTGGAATGATGCATAATCTTTCCGTTGCATATAGTCCAAAACATAATTGAGAATACATTCATGATTTAATCCATCGTATTCAACAAGATGTGAATCAAGTAAGATCTTTACGATCTCTTCGTAATCATTGCGTTCACCACATGTTGCTAGACAGGCCAGAATCAGTGGTGATGGTATAAGCATTTGTTTCGTATCATACATATGTATAACTTTGTCAATGAATTCATCACGTTGTATCAATGGCAGTGAACTTAATTCGAGTTCATCCGCATCAGGAATGTCATTGTCATTGGTAACAGTTATATTATTATTACTATTGAGAATATTTGCTCCTAGTGATGGTTGGTCACGTATATCAAGATTCGATCGAGAGTTCGCGTGCAGAAAATGTGCTTTCGGATGATCGGATTGTCCTTGAGAGGATCGACGTTCTCTCGTTTGATGTGTATCGCGTTCGACACCGCATGTCTTCAAAATATATTCATTCGGATTTGATGAAAATTGTCGCTGTTTGAAATTTGGAATAAACAATGACATTGTATCGAAGGGAATTGTCGACGTTGGTGATGTTAATACATCACATATGATTTGAACGATTTGTTTGTCACCGACGTAAGCTGCATAGTGTAATGGTAACCATCCACGTTCAGTGGTTAAATTTATCGACACATCTAACCAATTGAGTTTTTCACCGAAAAGTTTTGTAATCAAATCGATTTTACGATGTGCAATAGAAAAATGTATCAAGTCATTGTATTCATTTTGGGATAATCGTACTATGGACGATTGAAGTAGGTTGTAAACTTTGGCGTTTTCGTTAATGATAGGTTTGTCTAACTGTTCCATGTATAAATATGTATGTAAAGGTGTATACAAATTGAAAAGACCGTGAATCGGCGAATTTAGATAATGTTCTTCTAGAACTACACCCTCTTCCATCATTTGCGATACGGATGGATTACTATCAATCAAATATTCAAGTGCAGTTAAAATATGTTGACGACAATTATCTGTGTCAATCGTTAAATGTCTCGCAGAAATCAACTTCTTCTTTATTCGATGATACCAACGCCATAGTGGATATCGGTCACGTGGACAACCATGTGCATCATATAATAAAAGGAGAAGAAAGTGAAGATTGTTAAAATTATCCGGCTTGCGAACCAGTCCATTTTGCAATTCTTGCAAAAGATCGATTAAAAATCCATATTCGAGTTCTTCGTATGGTAAGTCTTGATTACCAATACTCGTCATTGAAATTGCCACGCGATCTAAACATAGAACAATTTAGATGGATGAAACAAAACAGATCTGATCAAGTTTTAGAAAAGGAATTGGCAATGACGTTAGAAATTGCCCAGACATTCTTGATTGATTACTCAGAACTATAAGCATAATCTTGGCTCTTCTTTGAAGAACTTTTGTAGCTGTGACCTTTTCCTCCTTTTTATTGATTACCTGCTAATAGATCGATGCGTTAAAAGATATCGCAAAAGCCTATCTACATTGATATAACTTACATGGTGTTAAGTAATCTTTTGTTAGATCTTCAGCAGATGCATGAAGGCGCACATTGACGGTCATCGTTCTCGCAGGATTCTTTCTGTTGTTCTTTAATGTTAATGCGAAATGTAAATGGCACTTTGCTACCAAATCAATCTTATTATTTTTTGCGTATCTGCTAGTTTTTCTTTCTCCTTTTCCTCTCTGTTCTATTCTTCGTCTTTCTCCGGATGAGAATAGTTCTCACTAGAAAAAAAACGCGAGTCAGTTGAAAAATAACATCTGTTAAGAATTAATGATATTCAAAACGCTACGGACGAGTATATGATGTACGCTCATGTTTGAATGAATGGGAAATGGGGAAATTTATAATTATACATAGACATCACTATTCAACCGACCGTGGAGATGTGTTCGCGATCGTAGTACGTGTGTAGTTTAATCATCTACGCTCATCCTTGGTCGCCTTGATGTTGATCATATCAGTATTGTCAAGAACATTGAATTGAAAATACGTATTCATTTGTTTATGTGGGCATTTTCTTGTACAGATTTTAGAGAAGCAAATTTCGATACGGCATCTGTCACAAGTGCATAATGTCTGCGACAAATTACACTCTACGTGCATAAATATGTTGACTTATGAGTAACTATGACATAGATCTGTCAACACAATGATATGAATAAAGATAATTTAATAACAGCATATCATAATTATAGATCACAAGGTTTTTCATTTCATTACAAAAACAAATTATTCGTCGAGAGCACATACTTCACAATCAATTTCGTTATTTTTCGAGAGATTCTTCACCACAGATAGGAAATTATCAACTATTGCATTCAATACATATATTTCATTCAAATCTATTGCTTTATACAAACAAACAAAAAACAGATCAGACAAATACTGATTATGGAATGATGTATAACAAAAAAAGAAAATAAGAAAAAATAATTTAACACATTCTTTATGCATCCATTTCAAAGTGCAAATGAAGAACATCCGTTGACTGCCGCACGTGAACGTGGAACATTATTCATTAAAATTGCACCATTAAACGCAACAGTTAAATCCGTTTCATCTGTTTCATTGTCTTCAGGAATCTTATTTGTTAAATGATTATTTGACATGTATGTATACAACTGTTGGGGCAACGCATGATACCAAGGATAATCCGAAGTCGATTGATTTTCATCCGAAGTCTGATGATTGTGATTGTTGTTTAGAAGACTCTTAGTACTAGTTAAATCATCGTAAACAATCGGAGTCGGGATGGGTCGAGGAGGAGAACGACTTGAAAAGTTATTGTATAAGAGATCACTCAATGCGAGACTATCACGATTTCGTTGAATGGTTAACTCACGATTGATTGGAGTGAGTAGCGTCGATGCTGTGTATAGACTTTGCTTCGATTCTGCGATATTCAAATTCGATGATAAGGTGTTCGTTGATTGTAATAGTTTTCGTTTGTTTAATTTCATTCGACAACAGCAACATGTGGTGATCACACAACATAACATCACGAGAAGTAGAACTAATAGACTGAGAATAACATAGAAGAAGAATTGATTGGTTCGAAGAAATGTTTGAATATTTGAAAAGATGCGTAGTGGAGATAGGAATGAGGATGATAGGGATGTTAAATTGTATTTATATACTTCACTTGATTCACTCATACCGATGTGATTGACAGCGAATATTCGAAAGGAATATACCATGGAAGTATTACTTTGAAAAACATTTGGATTGATAAAATAAGGAGATTTTGTCACTCGATCGAGATACTTCCAATTTCGACCATCATCATTTGAGTATTCGAGAAGAAAATATTCGGATTGTATAGACGATTTCCAAACGAATTCGTTGTACCGATCAATAAACAGATCGAATGGTGGGAGAGGAGCATTGACTTGTGGACCAGTTCGAATGGATTTGTAGACGCACGGGCCGCATTGAATTGTACATGCACAAAGAGTAAATTCATAGAATTGATACGGATCCAGTTCGTCGATGCGCAAAGATGTACTGTTAGGTGATAGAAGTTGTTTGATAGTCTTCACACGGGTTGAAGAAGTATTCGCTGAGGTTGAAAATGATAGGCGATTGTCATAAGTTAAATCGTACGAACGAAGAATTCCATTTAATGCATTTGGTGGCTGCCAATCGAGTTGTAATGAAGTAAATGTTATATACGAGAATGTTAATTGCTCAATCATACCGGGCGCTAGAAACATTAAAACGACAAGTTTGTGTAAGTTTATGTTTGTCAAGATTATGACCTACCATCTTCATTTGTTCGTACTATATCTGCATCGTATGTTGGCCCATCGCCGTTAATATTAAAGATATTCAGCATTATTTTATAAACGGTGTATGGAACTAAATTATTCAATACTGTGTTCGTGTCATTTGACGAAGCGATATAGTTTTGTTCTTGACTATTTGTTTCATTTGCTGCTATCCATCGAATGCGATATCCAGTCGACGGTACAAATCGGTTCACCGTCCACTTAACGAAAATTTCTGTTGAGCTTAAAACTGTGACGTTCAGTGATGTGATTGATACATCTGTGGGTGTTGGTGATTGTATATGGAAGTAATGCGCATAGGAAAGTGGACCATCACCTATCGAATTGCTCAAGCAAACGTACACAACATATGTATCATTGATTGATGAATCTGTGCATAGATTGTTCAGTTGTATAGAATAATCTTCCGTGATTGGATGAAAACTTTTCTGGAAAGTCTGATCAGCAGAAAGAGGTTTGATTAAAACTTTGAAACGGGTGGCGTTGTCTATTGAATCAAATCTCTGGAAATAGGGGAGAATGTTATCGAACTCGTGAATGTGAAAAGACTGTCTTACGCTCAACTGAAGTTTCAATTGACACGGTTGATTTGTTGATAAAGATTCAATGATGGGTTGTATTAATGGTACTAAATGAAGGATAGGAATAAATGATATGCTATATTCCTGTATTTACCACTTTGTTTCGTTCGAATAGAATTCGTTGGTCGACTGTAATCACTGATACCCATATCATTCTGGGATGCTAATCGAAAGCGATATTTCGTATTCGATTTCAAACTAAAAGATATGAATTGAAAACTTGAGATTGAAGGATAAGCTATGTTCTACTTTTGTATCGAAATGGATGTTATTTGTCCATCAGGTTTATTCGATGGATCATACGGTTTCCACACTGGTGAGCCGTCTTCTTCGTATTCGATTAGCGTATATCGGATTGGGGCATAGTTGAAATCGGAATCTTTACGCCATGTTAAGGTTAAATTAGTAGCATTGATCGATGTTTCGATGATTGTGGGTGGATAGGGAGCAGCCGGTCGATCTGAGCGATTGTTGTGTTTAAGTTCAGGAAATAGATGAAAAGAAACCTATTTACCTCGCTTTTCCATGGTTAATAAACGATTGACACTGTTCTCACCACAACCAATGCGAGTTTTGGCGCAAAGAATGAATGTATACGGCGTAGTTTTCTCCAAATCTATGAAAAAAAGCATGAAATATCTCTTCGTGCAACAGTTCGGAGAGGAAGAATCTTCCGGCAGATGAAATCTTGACGTACTTGCTGCCAGATACGAGTTTGTTGTATTCGTCAGATTATCGATCTCAATCCGTGCCTGTTCGTCGTCTGATCGCCAGTACACAAGTCTATATCCAATTAAGATTCCATTCAATCTCAATGGTTGCTGCCAAATCATTCTTGCAGACCAATGATCTACATCGGGAAAGAACACTTCAGTTGGTTTCGACGGAACTACAACAAATTCCCGTGAAAAATTATTGAACCAATAAAACCATGTAATGTACCGTATTCATCCGTCGTAAATTCTATTGGATCACTGTAGATTCCGCATCCACTTGATGTACAAGCGCTGATTGCACAAGAGTATCTCGTGTACCCATCAAGATTTGTTAGGATAAAGCTAACCGATGAACCATTATCGGCATGGTCCATCGTCGATATTGATGACGGCGATGAAAGTGGAAAATACATGATCTACATGTGGATAATAGAATTTTTTTTCTCCGTATGTGATTCAATTTACCTTATAGTTCGTAATGAAACCTCCTTGATCAACAGGTTTCAACGAGTTCCAAGAAAGTTTTGCCGATGTGCCGGTAATCGAATCGATATGAATGTTCAATGGCGGACCGAGCGGCACTAAAATATGCGTTTACAAATAGAATGACTTCGTTACATTTATTTGTACTGACCGCTTTCAAATGTTTTTTCCATTGTTTCGATCGCTGTTCGACTAGTACCAAAACTATTGAACGTACGTAATCGAATGGAAAACACTGTGTTCGGAGGCGATAAATTGATGAAAGTAAACTCCGTGACAGATGGATCTTCAATTTTAATATCATTAATTCGTGAATCATTGATTGAAATGATATAACCGACGTCTTTTCCAGTTGACGAAACTGAATTCCATTCATTGCTTGGTATCGACTAAAATCAAGTTTTTACACATGTATTTCGTTTCTAAAACGCAACAATTACCATCCAACGAACACGAATAGCACTGAAATTTGTGGCTTGTGCTAATAAAATCTGCGGCACACCAGATGGTACATCCGGTTTTGTTCGAAAGAAATCCGTTGGAATGCTTGCATTACTTGCACCTTTGATATTCACTGCTGACATTCGTATTCGATATAACTGACAGGGATGTAAATCACGAAGATTCAATGTCGATTGTTCAACATTGAAAGACTAACAGAAAAGAACGATTTCTTTGAGATAATGATTGAAAATACTTTACTTCGAAATGTTCCCATTGTGAATTGTTACTTTTAGTTTGAATTTCAACAATATATCGAAGAATATTTGTCTTTCCGGTATAACCAGGAGAAAACTTGACAACAGCTGAACGCTTTTCGATCGAAACAGCCTCAAGATTAGTTGGTGGTGATGGTATTTCAGGCGGATAGCCTGATTCGATCGATGCCGAACGCTTCAAACCAAAACCTTTCCGTGTCTTCGCTCGCACGCTAATTGTGTACCAAGTTGTTGCCGAGAGATTATTGATTTTGTAAGTGGTCAGTTCAGGTTTTATCTCAATGACCGAACGATCAGGTACAGTCGACTTGGTATTATTCAATTGATACCATTCGAGTTCATAACCAATGAGATCACCGTTGGTCTCAAGTGGTTCTTGCCAACTGATGTCCAGTGAGGTATCATAGACGTTTGAAAACGTTAAATTTTCAACTTGGTCAGGAACTGAAATAAAGATTTTTTTATTAAAAAAACACGAGCTAGTTCGATTTCGAATATGATCAAAGCAAAATATCATACCGTCTTCGAGCGTTTGAACATAAACGATTGGTGATGACCACGGTCCGCTTCCAATTTTCGTCGCACAATTAATTCTCAAGGAATAATTTGTATATTTCTTCAACGAACCAATCATGAATTGATACATTTCAATCGGTTTAGCTTGCTGTACTTGATACAGTGTGAGGTTTCGTTTCAAATCGACGAGTTCAATCTAAAAGACACCTATTAGTCCGTTGCTGAGTTTTGTTTCGCCATACTTTAAATGAATTCAGAATTCCATTGATATACGAGGATGCCGGGCCTTGCCATTTCATGAAAATCGCTGTCGAATTGATCGCTTCGTACTGTGTGATAGTTGGTGCACGACTTGGCACACCTTCAAGTGTACGAACTTTAACAATTTCGCTTGCAGGCCCAACACCAACATTATTAACAACAGAAACTGTGATCAGATATGATTCCCATGTCATTAGATCTAAGATAAAAAAAGATAATTCATCACAACGTGTCAACTATTTCCTCGATAAACAAAACCTTTTAGAATATACGACTGCACTGATGCATTGATACGAACGGATTTCCAATTTAAATTTGGATAGTTCAATGCATAATTAACGCTATATCCAATTAGTTGCCCATTGATACTCGATGCCGATGGTTTTATGAATTCAATTAGTACCGATGTTGAATCACGAGGAACAGCCGTGAGCGATTTCACAGTACCATTTGGAACTTAAATAATGGAATATGAATATTGTGATGATATTTTTCAAAGAAGTAAACTTACTCTCTTCCGGTAATGTTATATTATTACTAGGAGAACTGACTTGTCCTTCTCCTAATTGATTCCAAGCTGACAAACGAAAGCGGTAAGTTGTAAACGGCTGGAGATGACGTATTAAAGTCCATGTTTTCGTTTGATTCCTTGCCACCAAAACATCCTCCTTATTTTGCCAACCGAGCTCGTCATAATCGTTAATATCTGGTGAAGATGAATCCTTCATTTGAATTGTATACCGCTCGATAGGTATACTTCCATCGAAGTTTGGTATCCATGTCAAATTTACTGCAACAGATTTACCTATAGAATCATTGACCAATGAAGCGCGAACAAACGTGGGTGGCCAGGGCAATTCTATCATGAATAGTCGTTAGTTAAACGTCGAATAATACCGATAAACTCACCGATAATTGTAACTTCTGTTGTTCGACTATCGTTGCCGGCCTCAGATTCGACCGTACAAGTATAATTACCCTAATAAAAAAAAATATTTCGGTGAGTTCACCCGATAAATCATTTTCACGCTTTGATAGAGGCGATTATTAATGCTCAATGTGAACAAATCGTTTTTCGTCACGGACACGGTTATGACACACGCGTCTTTGATTAACCAAATGATGAAGTTTTAATAGAGATTCACGTATAACTAGTACTAGTATTTTTGTTTTACTTACAGTGTCTTGATTCTGTGGTGTGTCAATGACAATTGTGCTCTCATTATAAAGTCTATTATGTGATATCGGTTGATTTGAATTAAAATACCAATGAATCCTTTTCGCTATATCCTCTTCGCTGATTACATGACAGACGAGCACTAATGGTTGTGCTTTCACAATTTTCATCGTTGGTGGCAATGAGATAATTCTTGTGCGTCCTAAAGAATAGCTGTACCGAAACAAAAAGGCTGCGTTTTTTCCTCAGATACTTACGTCGAACTAGTAGTGTTGTACGTGCGTGTGCTGATCCGAGGATATTCTGCGCTAGACATTCATATGCACCTGAATCGTCGCGCATAGTGTTCAAAATGGATAAAACACCAGTTCGACTATCCGTATGAAAGCGATTTTGCAGATCTCTTATTAAGATACGTTCATCATTAACATTCACTAAATGAAGACATCGATAGAATACTTAGACAGAAAGCGAATTTTTGTATTACGTTTAAACCAAGTAATATTTGGTGTAGGAGATCCATTAGTTGTGCAGGTTAATTGAACATCAGTACCATTGAAAACGATCAGATCTTTGCTAACAGTTACCGTGGGTGCTTCACCTAAATGATTCATTGTATTCGAGAAATAGTTGATGCAGTTACAACAAACAATGTCTTACTTTTGATTTTGAGCCATGTCGAACGCGTATCTTCCCCAACATCATTTGTTAAAAAACATTGGTACATACCTTGATCGTCCCATTCGATACTATTCAATATCAATCTATTTTCAACTAATTGAATTCTAAAAATGAAATCGATCTTCATAAATCCATTGCTCTTTTTTCCTTACTTTGAAAATTGATCGATTAAACGAACGGCATTTTTATACCAAGTTACATTAACATTGGTCGACATAGGAGTTCCATCGCATGTAAAATTGACATTGTCTTGAAGATCAACATTTTGAATCAACGGAAAGTTAGTTGATATGATAGGTACACCTAATGCAAGTATTTGTATTTTATTCATTTTCCCAAAAGACTTGTTTACCTCGAACGATTAAATTCGCACTTGCATTGAGAAACTGTTCACTGTTTCGTGTTCGAATGTGACAAGAGTATATGCCTTGATCATCAGCGACGATCCCTCGAACTTCGAGCGTTCGATTGTATGGACCAATGTGAAATCGGCCATTGGTTTGATCGATTAAAACTGAATTCTTTTGCCAAATGATTTCTATGGTATTACTCGGACTAAAACAACAGGTCAATAGTTTTCCGATGACGATTTCATCTTACCCGGCATTGGCAACACATTCGAATGACTTGATAGCATCACCAATCGTAGCTAGCTGATCGGTTGGTTTAACAATAAAGTCTAAAGTTGATTGAGGGAATTGAGATTTTCGTCGATTGATTTGTAAACGATAATCAGGCGATTGTTTCGTTCCTCCGACGAAAATATTCTCGACCACAGCAAAATAAATTCTTTCGTCTTGATAATCTGCATTCAAGATCACTAGATTGTGTGTCGATGTAATGAAATATTTCTCATTGATAATAATACGAATGTTATCTCGAGATGACGAACTACTTTTCATGAACCATTGTACACTTGGCTCCGGTGACGAACTAATCGTTGGTAATTGTAAAATAACAGCATCAGATTCGTAAACGTTGACAAACTGATCGCGTTGACCACTTTGGAAGCCATCAAAGTACCAAACTGTCAAATGTGCTGCTTTGCTTGCAACTATTCCTACGTCATTCTTCGCCAGACATCGATATGAACCTTGGTCGTCTTTTTTCGCTGATGGAATCTCGAAATAACTCAATGGAGAGAAGTTGCTCGTTAAATTCTCCCATTCACGTAACCACATATACGTAGGAGGTGGATAACCAATTGCATTACAAGTAAATACTTTTCGTGAACCTAGTGGAACGTCATTATCACTTGATTCACGTAGAATTATTGGAGCTTGTAATTGTTCACCTATTCAGATCAAGAGATAGACACAAACAAAGGTTATGGTAATGTCTTTCTTACTGGAAATTGAGACAAAGAGAGTACATATAATATAAAACGAGTTGAAGAACATAGGAAAGGTATGTACATTCGCTAGATGACAATATCTTAAATACGAATAGAAATAAACTTTCTTAGTTTCATTACAATAAGTGACAGTTGACCGACCGTTGACACCTTTGAAAGGTATGCTTTTATGATTCATTCAAATGACCAATGACCGCTTCTCGTTGGTTGACCATCGCCATCTTGCACTTGTCATATCCTCTTTCTCTCCTCCGTGTTCGCGCGGTGTATATATATATATATACGCTCGTTCAGCCTTATACATGTATCGTCAGAAATGTCCTTTAGCTATAGACAATATGTGTATTTGTGTGGAATACTAATAGACAATTTCGATAATGATCGATTCATTGAAGCAGATCTTCTGTGTTTATTTTTTTAAATACTTTTTTCAGATGTTCAATGCGCGCACGCATCGAACGGGAAGAAATTATCCGCCATCAGACACGATTGCATTCGTGATGAGAAGATTGCATGAGTATCTTCTACAAGGCGGTAGGTAAGATAACTCGCTCGATTCGGACCTCAAAGCGAAGTCATGTATCTCGAGCGGGTGTTTGACGGTAATCGATTTGAATGCAATGTATATAGGAGAAAAAATTGCAAAACTTGCATAGTCACCGATAGTATTTTGTTGCTTCTTTGGCTTTCACCTATTTCTATAAGTTATTTCATTGTAATTACTCAAGTCAACATTACACAATCCAACATTTGAAATCAATATAAGTCTTGCTGTTTCATATCGCAAAGAACGTTCAATGTGAAATAGGCCATAATCTAAAACTGGAGACGAAAAGAGTCATCTTTAAAGTGCAAAACATTAGTTTCGAAATAAAAAAGAGGTCGCTGACTCCTGCGTGTGCGTATTGATACACACCTCGCTTACATTCACCCAATAAATTCATTTTTCTTCGAAATCTAGTCATTTATTATAGCACTGTCTCAAATTTGAATCTGTTAGTTTGATTGCTCGCTATGTAACCATCTTGTGATTTATGAAAATACTTTAACCTGTCTTATCGAACTATAACAGATAAGATAAAAGTCCTCTCCTAAACCATTTTTAAAAACCTTTTAAATTTGACTTCAAACATCGAGTGATATACATTCTTGCATTCTATATTCCGATGTCGGCGCAACGTTTGGAAACAATTGGTCGACATATCCGACTGAGTACCCAATATGTAAGTCATTCGGAACGTTTGAAGACTAACTTTCTAGTTACGAGGTTGAATGTGTTTCAGAAAAACGAGCCGGTACGTGCTGAATACCGTTTCACATTAGAAAATGGAATGTTGACCGATGAGCAACGTGATTTTTATGAAAAGAATGGTTTTATTGTTATTCGAAATTTAGTAACACCGGAAGCACTCGAACGATTCCGGTGTGTAGAACTTCGTATGAATATCCGTATGGTTTGTATACTGTATCTCTGTTTAGAAAACGTTTCCAAGATGTCTGCACAGGCAAAGTCGAAACATTTGGCATGACAATCATGAAAGATATCGCAATTGCGAAATCGGAATTTGCCGATGGTGAAAAGGCAATAACTAAAATTCAAGATTTTACATTGGATGACGAATTGTTTAAATACTGTTGTCTTCCAGAAATTATTCAATATGTTGAAAGTTTCACTGGTCCAAATATCATGGCAATGCATACAATGGTAAAAAGGAAGGTGATAGATAGAAGCAGCACCGTATTGATTCTGTTTAGTTGATTAATAAACCACCTGATCCGGGTACTCAAACATCACGTCACCCACTTCATCAAGATTTGTACTATTTTCCATTTCGACCGACTGACCGAATTGTTTGTGCATGGACAGCAATGGAACATATTCATCGTGGAAATGGCTGTCTAGTCGTTTTGCCAGGCACACATAAAGGTGAACTTATAGAACATGGATACCCTCAATGGGAAGTAAGCAAGAAAGACAAGAAGTCTCTTTTGTCCGTGTCTTCACGGCAAAACATTTTAAATATACGTATAGGGTGGTGTGAATAAAATGTATCACGGAATCCAAAAATTTGATCCAAATGCTGAACGTGTTCACTTGGAAATGTGGACAGGTGATACTGTTTTCTTTCATCCAGTGTTAATTCATGGTAGTGGAACGAATCGAACGGAAGGCTTTCGAAAAGTACAAACGTTAATATAGTATTCTCAGACGGAAAACGGAGCGGTTTGTTTTTCCATCTAGGCTATATCCTGTCATTATGCTGATTCCGGCTGCGAATATGTGGATTGCGGTGATGTGCAAGATTTGATTTCGAAGGAGGTCACAGCAATATTTCGAAAACGCACAGGTGTCGAAGATGCTCGTTTTGAAGTAAGATGAACAAAGAATCGATTGGTATATCTCTTTTCTTGCTATTTAGGATGTTTGGAGAGTCAAAAGCCGACTTGTGAAAGGAGAACGAATCAATTTATGAAACCATACGATCATTTCATCTTGAAACTGTAAACTCTTTTTTAAAATAAACTAACTTATGCAAGTCGATGATTGATGAGTCATCGTTTCTTCTCGTTCGTTTCGCTACTCTACTATGCAATTTATGAGAATGAGGAAAGCATATATGCGAATGGATGACATTTCGGTAGGCATACTTACCTGCCACGGATGCATTCACGATCACCAACGTGAATGCTCCAGGCTGAGGCGCAAGCATTGCACATCGCTTGTGTTGACGCCTGCGAAGAGTTCAAATCGAGCTTTCTCGAGTGGATAATTTGTTCCGCGGTCACATGCGTTCGCGCATTGACCATTCTATAGAAGCCGCATGAAAATTTTTTTCTATCAGTACCTTGAGAATGTGACTGAGTTAGACACTCTCCGTTCTCTTGCCAGATATCTTTTATCATTTTTCGATAAGTAAGAAAACGTGCACAAAAGCGTTCGTGATTAAAACTCCTTGGTTATATGTTCAATGTTGTTTGTGTTATGAAAAAAAGAACGTGGCTGAGTAATTAGTAGATCGTGAAAGAAAAAAGACAACACATATTCAGTTTTTTGCAAGAATTAATGTTTTTTCAGAAGGAGATAGTAAAACAAAAGGCAACAAAAAGTGAAAGGATCGTCCAGTGCGTAGGTTTTTGTTTAAAATTGAATCCAATTCTGCCCATAGACCGATGTGTTGTTGACTTCTATATTTCGTGATATATCTTCAGGAATCGTATGGCCCAACCATCGTCGATGCAATGCCCGATATCGCTCTTCACACAAATGCAAAGGATTACCACGTCTAAAAGTAAATTTCGTTTTCTTGGACACCAGCCAAAATTTCCCTTTTCGGAAAGAAAGGGTTACAGCGTTCTAAAATCAGTGGCTCAAATGCTAAAAGTTTGTGAGTTTGTCCGATCCAATCAGGTTGCAGCCTTTTATAAACCAATAAAACCTTAGATATGACCATACGGAAATGATTCACCTGAGCCTATCAAGGTCGAGGATCACGAATCCGGTATTAGTTTTTCCGTAAAAACTATCTGTCCTATTTTTGCGACAACGGTTCACTTTTTTTGGAAAAAGAAATTTTATTATAAGGGTTGACGGAAGGGTAATCGGGGTCGAGGAACTCGAATCTGAGATTAGTTTTAACTGACTATTAACCATTAATTAACTATCTGTCAACTAGACATAAATTATTAATATGCAGGGTAAGGGTTGGCCGGAGGGTAATCGGGGTCGAGGATCTCGAATCTGAGGTTAGCTTCTCGAAACTCTAATTAACTAATTAAGTAATGAAAATTTTCTTCGTTGTTGAGTAAGGGTTGAATTTTTCATTAACTAGCCACGACTTATTAACATCCATTGTTAGAGTAGATCGGAGGGTTTCTGACGTCGAGAAGTTCGAAGTTGAGTGTGAATTTCGTCTTATTCGCTGACCCTGGGCTTGTTCCTTTCTCTTTACAAAGGAGATCTTTTTTCTTGACCTGTTCTGAAATGTTTTGTAGAAGATGGTGAGCTGAACGGTATTCACGGGCGTCATGCGTACTAAGATAGAAGCTCAAGAACTTACACGAAAAGATCTAATTCGTTGTACATGATGATGTTTCTAATTGAAAAAAATCTAAAAAAGTGATATGAGCTTAGTATCATCTTTGTTTTGTATAGTACAGACATCATGTCTTTTTAAGGGAATTTAGTAGAAGCAGTTCGCAAAGTGATATACCCGTCGGTGGAATTCCATCTTAGTAACTACAGACGCGTGGACTATACAAACAGTATTCTGAACACATACAGCACTATGAAAGATGATCGTTTCGAAGCAAAATATAGAATAAGACTTTCTTATCTAGTTTCTTTTGGTAGTCGAATGAATAGAAGATCATGACTGTCGAATCGACAATAAAAGAAAACACAATCGTTCAGTATGAAAGCCGATCGAAGGCGAAAGGAATAACAGAGACAGCATGGCAACGGCTAGCCGTGAGTGGCCGTCTGACTAGCCGTTGAGCGATGAATTTTTCAGTCAACAGAGTTAGTGCTGGAGAATTATCCACTGACAAATGGCTAATCGGTCTGATTCCTAAAAGGACCTCTGTAACCTATTCATTCTAGTTCTAGTGTGTGACATAGTACCATGATTCAGTTGAGCACCAGTAGTATAATCGCAGTGCATTTTTTCTCTTTCGAAGTCTCTGAATGTGTTCAGCATTCGGTAAAGTCTTTCAGAAAAGGGTCAGCGAATCCAAAGGGTGAGCGTTCCTTGTGTTCTACCTGAGATTTTGATCTGTTTCACCATAGTCATCCAAATATGGGGCGGGCATAAAAGTTCCACGTGTTTTGTTGATTCGTCCATCATTATTGATATTCAACAAGAGTAACGAACATTCTTTCACTCGCAAGTAGAGTCCAACTGTTCCACAACATTGTTGTGTGTGAATATTACACGGGCCAGCTGTTTGATCAGGATTGAGATATGCGGAAATAATTCCATTTGCCGTTGGAGGAATAGGCGAATTTGTTGATGATGATCGAACAACAACATCGCCACAAATGAGACATATGCATGGTGAACGTATTTCATCACGGGCATATTTGTATGGTGCAACGCTAAATATCAAACGAATGGAACTTTACGGTAATCGAGAGAGATTTTTTCATACCCTTGAGATACTTGATTCATTAGATCGATGTATTCCTTTGGTAATGGATGTAATTCATTGATTGAGACCGGATATTTAACCCATGATTTGCCAGTAGACGAATTTGAAATCCAACTATTGATTAAATCGTTGACACATCGTTCGTTATCTGTATCCAATAATTCAGATAAACTTGTCGGTAGGCCAAGATATTGACAAATAGCAGAATATTCATCGAAATCTACCATCTCTGCTGGCCATGCAGTTCCAGTGATTTGGTGATAGAAAAGTGCTGAACAACGGAGCAGTGGGAGTAGCGATTGTTTGAGTTTGTTACGAATACGTTCTGGCGATAAGATTTGAGTAGATGATGATGTCAGTCTAAAAACTCAAGCGTTTATATTCATGCAAATATTGTTAGAGAGATTTTACATTTGAATCTTGGTAATTTTGTCTACTAACGCTTGAATAGTTTGTATCTCTGCTTCATCGTTGGCTTTCGTTTTCGTCTGTTGTTGAGAAATATTCTCTTCTACAAGAGAAACGCTGAAAAAATTTTACTTTGTCGAATCGATTCATACTATCGTCGCATAAGAATCCTTGACTTGAGAGAATTTGTATGCAATGAGCCATGACAATCAATCTCATTAGATAGAGATCATTGAGATTTCCGGTTGGAACATGCGTTAATGACGGAGAAACTTCTTTCGAGGCGAATAGTATTGGCAGAGTAAAACAAAGCGAAATCAATAAATGAAATAGATCAATCTCGACTAACGATGGAATTTGAATGGTTGTACGAGAGAGAAGAAGCACTATGAAGAAATGAAAGCGACTGTTTCGTTTGTTCGGAACTGGTGACAATTGCTACCTGATAATAATTTCAAGCAATGTTTGCGTATTTTTTCACTATCGTTTAATAAGCCATAAACAGCAGCAACTTTCGTCAAAGAATTGATAAGTTCACTTTGTCGGATTGACAACTGAGAAAAGATTGATTTCGAATCGATGCGAAGAACTTGCTCTACTGATTGAATTGTATATGCACAAGCTGTCCAAACGATCAATGGCACACGATCATTTGCATCATCGAGATCAACGTTCAATCCAAACTGAAATCGATCGAGAATATGAGAAAAACATAAGTGGAAAACAAGCAGTTGCTTACCACATAAACATTATTAGCAAAATTCAATAAACGTTCACGAATACTGTCAGAGAAATCTTGAACTCTAACAATATTTATAGAAATAAGTATTCATTCGAAAAGAAACGCTTATCGATTACCTTGAATCTCCTGGAAAACCGAATAGTAACTGGAAGTTTTGCGCAGCACGTTCAGCCATCATTTTCGTAATTGATGTCAATGGACATGGATTGAAAAACAGTTGTTCTTCATGTGTTTCAATTTCATATCGAGATTCAATGCTACCATTCAATGCTTTCTCTAGTCCATCTAGCCATTCGCTGAATGATATTTGTGCTACTTTTCTTTCGCGGGCAAAGGTACGTAATGCTGGGAGAACTGGGATGATTGTGTTACTTAAAGTTTGACATAGTGGACAAAGAAATTCATTGCGGTCAGTATCGTAGTTTGCCGAACCACGTATACGTAATGCTCGGCGATGATCCTGAGATGTTATTGAGTTGTGATACCTAAACCAAGGCATTGGATGAAGTCGTTTAATGATTCAAACTTACTTCGTCCAACATGAGGCATGAATAGCATGGCCACATGATGAAACATGTACACCCCAATGAAGATCATTGGACATGAATGTCGAATCAAATGCGTCCCAATTTTCGATTCGTCTCGATCGATTTTTCGATAAGACTCTTGAGCTAAAATACCAAAAGAACTTATTCGAATAAGTTGAATTAGCATCAAAATACAAACTTTTGTACGTAAGCTGGTAAGACGATAGCTTCAGCATTCAATTTGACATCGCTGTTTTCCTGACAGAAAATGCACGTTATTGAATGTTTGCTCGACTGTGATCCATCGGTATCATATGTTCCTAAGCATGATTGTATAGTTGAACGCATATCATCGACAAGCATCGGTTCGAATTTTGGTATCGTGTCCGGAGATGTGGAAAAAATCTGTGGGTCTGGTGATTGTTGTTCGTCGGTACTTTCGCCACACAGCGAAAGATTTTTTTCCATAAAATTCTTCTGTAATTCGGTCATATGTGCAATGATCTTAGCACGTTTTTGTGCTGCTAGATCTTTGCGTTTACGGTGGGCACGTTTGGATAGATCTTCGGTTTCTTGGAGGGTGCTGATTGTTGATGATCCCAGGGTTTGTTCGTTAGTTTCATTATGTTTTCCAAAAAGCTGAGAAAAGGAATTCATGTACAGATAATGATGGACTCGGTATGAGTACATACTTTATTGATATGATTGATCAATTCTTTGCAGATTTCAGCTTTGCTTGGTACATGAAGATGTAATTGACTAAATAACTTATTGAGTTCACATTTTTGACATTTGGAATAAAATTGAAAGTTCGGTTCGCGTTCTTGTTCGTAAAAAGCCAATATGATCAGATGTAATGCCTAGAGTAATGAACAGTTCAAGTTCTCTTTCTATTCGAAACTTTCAACACTTGTCTTACGCGATTTAGAATAGCTTCAGACCATAGCTGAGCTTTGGGATCTGTTGATCGATAGAGACACGCTCTAAGTAACGTTAGAAATATATCACAGTCAAGAAGATGAACTATTGGCCGAAACGCTTCGGAAAATAATGGTGGACAAGGAGGAAGTAGTGTTGTTGGACTGCCATCATCAATCAATTTTCGACGTTTGATTACGTATTCTTCAGACTAAGATAATTCTTGTTGTATAAACGAACGAAAGGAAAGATCGAAAATTCTTACTTTGCATTGATCAGCTTTTGTATAGTGATAGTAGAATGGATTATATTCGGACAATCGATTCGCTTTCAATTCATAGTTTCCTTTTGTTGCATTGCCACGTCTACGAAATGAATGTAGAATATATTCAATAGAGATGACTTTTGCTTACCTAAAGTCTGCCACTTCTTTCAAGATGCTTTCTAAATCGCCTGATCCCTACAATGCAAGAATGAGTGTCATCAAGAAGCGTCTGTATGTAGAATACCTACTGTTTCTAATTGTCCAGAGTCTTGTAAGCCTCGTATTAACTCCGAATGTGCCATGGGTGAAATGCATAACTGATGAATAACTTCTCGTGTCAGTTTTTGGTCACGCGTTATTTTACCAACACCTGGCTCATATCGTTCGCCAACAATAACAAGCAGCAAGCAAAGAAATTCTTCCATAATTCGCACCTTTTCTTTGATTTTCGATTCTGTATCGGACGAATGACCATTCTCCGGAGAGCTAAAGTTCCATCGTCAATAATAACCAATCTCTTGTGAAAAGAATTCTTACCGAACCCACTCCAATAAATTGAATTTATGAAGTAATTGAACAAAAAACGCATTAGCTGGTGTCAATGAAGCACCAACTTGTAAGGCAAGTATGTCTCTATCATACATTTCTTTTCGACATTTGACATTTGAATAGTAATAAATCTAACCGAGTCATATGGAATTTTCAAAGCAGATCACTACATTCGTCTTACTTGATTTGACAGTGAGTGACCGTTACGCTTCCAGAGACCAGCCTCATGTTGAGCACTCAGAACTTGAATTCGTAAGGACTCTTCATAGACAAAACACGAATGTACTTTGTATTTCTCGCACTAAAATTCCGCAATCAGAACGAATATGCTGAACGTTGTAGATCGACACTCACTATAGTAGTAAATGTTGCCATTGTATCTGCATATTTTTGTAGATGAGCATGCAAAGCTAAATGAAAAGGTCAAAAGTGAGCTACATAGTGACAGAACTCTTACCAACAAAGAGTCTAACAACCGGTATGTGTACTGTGACAGGATCTTTAGCTACATCGTATGCAAAACAGTCGACTTTGAGATCATGCACAGATGTTTTCACAATTGGTGAATTGTTTTTATCTTTAATTAAATGTGAAATGTCAGTTGTCCTTTCTATCTCGCCTAAAACTGAACCAGCTACGTCGTATGCACGAAGTAACAATTCGGCCTAGAATTCAACGTCAAGGTCAACTGAGGAAATCATCAAGTCTTCATTTACATCAGAGGAACACCAATCCAATATCGATGCGATAACTGTTTGCGTTTTAATGACTAAATTGAACGCAGTTTCCCATTCTGGATCGAATTCGATGTGTTGGCCGACTTGTCGTGTCACTTTGTCCATACCCTAGGTGATGATCCAGTTTAGAAAGAAACGAAATGGCAAGCACAGTTTCCAATTATTTACGTGCATAAATTTTAACAACTGAAGAAACGCTCGAAAACCGTTGATAAAATTTTCGCGTAGTTCAGATGTGTACTGGTCAGGAATAACACCTAATAGGTATCTAGAAATTCAATCACACGATTCTATAGATGATGAATTGTGTCGAACGAAAGTAATACCTTAAATCATAAAGAATTGATTGAGCACGCCGAAACTCATGATGTAGGATTGTATTCATTGTTCTTGAAAAGATCAGTCGACCGTTTTCAACTTTCGATTGGCAATACTCAAGGAATGCATCTACTATTGTTTGAAATGCATTATGTGAAGATATCAAATATCTCGCCTAAAGGAAAACATTGTTGTATTACGAATTTAAGTGCAATCTTCAGTGCTTTCAAGCACGTTGTAAACATCAACAGATTTTCTTACAAGACTTTGAGTCGTCAATAGTTGAACCGATAGTTTCAAGAAACAATCAGTACGAAAAATGGTAGTAGAGTCAGTACGATATTGTCGGACAAGATTCGGATAACACTACAAATGAGATGATTAGAGAGATCGAACGAATTCGAGAGCTGTGACCGACGAGGAAAAACGCAAAGTTCTATGTTTACAACGTGCTTTTTGTTAAAATGAATCAAATGTTTACCAAAGTTGGTACAGTGTATATTTGAACAGAAAGATCGGTAAATGAAACATATTCGTCGGGATCTTTGACAAAATTTCGCCAAACTGTCGCATAATTCTAAAACACCGGTAAGATGTTAGTAGATCGTCGTTTTTCCTCGTCGGATAGACAGTTATGACGCAATACGAGTAGCGTAGAAAAGTCGTCTGCTCGTCTTTTCGTCTCTTATCCAGACAGCTTTGTTTATTTGATGAGATCTTCTCCAGTTTTGCTACTCGTATTGCGTATTCCAATCATCCTGTTAGTCTTACTTTCATATATAGGATTGCAAATGTTTTCTTCCAGTCAGCATCCATAAAAAAGCTAACAAATACATGAGAAGATTTGCTTATATGGATAAAGGTTTTTTTACCTGTTGATGAATATTTGATGCAATGCTGATCTGGCGCTTTTCCAAACGAACTTTTCTCCTAGTAGGACTTTTTCGGTAAGAGCGATGTTCTGTTGCTCATCGCGTTCCATTTCACATTCACAAAATATGCGTCGGAAGCCATCGGAGATTGCGATCGTATCTTGAAGATAAGTTAGAAGTTTCTGGGCAAAATATTGTAGTGAAATAAATGAACTAGGATAGATTTCACATTTCAATGGATTCTCGACAGTGCGCGTACGAATTGTCTGTTGCGCTTCACGACATTGTTCCATTGTACCTATTCGAATCACTGTACGACCTTCGCGATCAACTAGTGACGCGAATTCGTGACCTTCGTGTTTTGAACACTGTATTGCACGGTTTAAAACATTGATCACTTGGTCATAAGTATGAACTTCATCGTTAAACAACATCGTCGCATATCGTTCGTGATCACCATCCCAATATCTAAATACAATCAGTTTCATTCGATTGTTGACAACAGAAACGAGCGCACGTACTCATTCTTTAGTTCCGCTGGTATGTCTTGATAGTTTTCAGTAAAAAGTAGTTTTATAATAAAACGAAGTAAAATCCCAAATAAATCTTTTGCACGTTGACGAACGTCAGCTGGTAAACGATTCAGCACATCATCAGGCGATTCGCTATCATCTCCACGTGGTAAGTGTATATTGCAATGTACATGTTGTTTCCAAGCTTCGCTATCTCCACAATCACAGTAGCCTCCACCCGCAGAAACATTCATCTAAAGCAAACAAGATTTTTCGAGCAATCAAAAGCACACGTCAGTACTTTATATCGATGTTTTCGATGTTCACTTTGAAGAAAACAATCTGTACATAAGACACATGTCGGATCGATGCAACAATCTCGACAAAAGTACGTCGGCTCTTCAGCTTTAAATAGATGTCCACAAACAGTGGATGGTTTATTGAATGATCGAATTTTGTCTATGGCTTCATCAATTTTCAATGTCCCATATAAATAAACATTCAATGGCCGAAAAAGAATATCTTGCGCACGCAGTTCGTTGATACCTTTGATCAATTGTGTATGATAAACGTAACATTGCGGCACAAACGTTTTCCAATGTTCTGATAAGCCCTTTTCTAAATCAGCTTTCTGAAGTAATTCTTCACCAAATTTATTTCCATCGAAATTCAGTAGTTCATCCGAAATCGGTGTTAGATCAGAAGTAATAGTAGTGACTGTTGGTAAATTACTATTACTATTATCGTCAGCTAAAGCCATGTTGATAACGTCTTGAACATTAGCAGGATTTATTTCAATATCAAGCATGAATTCATCGGTATCGGACAAATCGATTGAATCATCATCATCCATGTGCGATAAACTGAAAGTGAACGAGAAAATGAAGATATAAACAAACAAAACGAGCACAGAATTTTTATCTAGAATAAAAAGAAATTAGTCATCATTAATGATGCAAACCTATAAGTGAGGGTGTGTATTCTTTTTCGGGCTGTTAATGTTTCGACAATATTTAGAAGTGCAGTCATGCGACTTATATAACAAGGATAGTGGCGCTTACGTATCATCCATAATACAACTATTTTATAGATGGCAGTGATGAACAGCGATTGTTCAAATATGTTTTAGCCATTGAGTCATGGTGAGACGAAGTGTGAATATAGGCGAGAGCGAAAAGGAATTGCGATCGATGTCAAGTTTTTCGTACTCTCGTGTGTCATGTATACTCTTACTGGTAACGTCAATATCTGTCGTTATCATTTTAGGAAGGTGTTCTTTTGTTAACGTTTCTGATTGAAGAAATCTGCTATGATCAATCTATCGTTACAGAAACGCGTGAAGTAAAACAAATAAGACTGTATAAGTCACATGAATTTTTCTTCAATATTCCTTTTTTTGCTGATCAAAATCACCGACACTTCGCTATGAAATTTTCGAATGGAGTCTGTTCTGTACGGCATGCACGTACATAGATCGATAGAGAGCACAGTACTATAGCGCTTGTTGAGTCAGTGCTAACAATAGAGGTCACTTGAAACATAGCATCCTTACTCTAATTCGTGCATCTTTGACGTCCATCCCGTGGGCAGGAGAGATTCATTTGTTTTGTTTATTTATTTACTTATCTTGCTCAGATCGAACACTGTTGTTGTCATCCTTTAACTCAGGCACGTGTACAGAAGTTAACGCTAACGAATAAGTTTCTATTCATTCATTTCGTGCACAACAATGCAAACTATTAAATGTGTGGTCGTAGGAGATGGTGCAGTCGGTACGAGAATACGAATCTTTTTTTTCTTGACACAATCATCGATATTCTTTTCTCCAGGAAAAACATGTTTATTGATTAGTTATACAACGAATAAATTTCCAAGTGAATATGTTCCAACCGTACGTATTCTCTTACGAAAAAAAAAGATGCTAACAATTGGTAATTTGTCTTTTTTCACGCAATAGGTATTTGATAACTATGCTGTTACAGTCATGATTGGTGGCGAACCATATACATTAGGCTTATTTGATACTGCTGGTATGTTGTATTATGTGATTGAATTTCTGATGTATGCTGAGGAAAAAAACCACATACTTTAGGTCAGGAAGATTATGATCGTCTCCGTCCATTGAGTTATCCTCAAACGGATGTCTTCTTGGTGTGCTTTAGTGTTGTGTCACCGTCATCATTTGAAAACGTTCGCGAAAAAGTAAGTGTCATCTTCCATACAAGCCTTACATAGTCGAACGAAATATGTACGGTTCACTATAACGAGTAAAAGTCATTGAATATGATTACGTTCGCTAATGAGTTCTCTTAGTAATAAATATCCGAGATCGATTAAATCCATTGAGTGTACACAGTCTGTTTTGTTAGAATTCAATAGATTAATGAAGATCCGTTTTGAATAGATTATTATATAATAACTGTACTGAATGCCCTGGAGACTTCTATGTGAGCGTAGTTCATTTGCATATTCGATGATAATCAACCTTGACCCAGTGAAATTATTCGAATAAGAACATCTTTCTTTTCTTGTCAATTAGTGGGTGCCAGAAATCTCTCATCATTGTGCTAAAACTCCATTTTTACTTGTTGGTACTCAAATTGATCTTCGGGAAGATCCTAATACTATGGAAAAACTGCAAAAGTCTCGCCAAAAGCCGACGTCATCTGAACAAGGGGATAAACTTGCGCGAGAACTCAGAGCTGTCAAATATGTCGAATGCAGTGCATTGACACAAGTAAGTAAATCATCTCATTGTAAATGTTGTCATTGATTGGCGTCGTTCTTGTTTGTAGAAAGGTTTGAAAAACGTCTTCGATGAAGCTATTCTGGCCGCACTCGAACCACCGAAAAAATCGAAGAAAACAACATGTGCACTGCTATAAAACAAAAACAAAACGACCAAATCGAATGAGTCGTGTTCAAACCAAAGAGAAACACATAGACAATTTTTCTTTGCATCTTTTCTTTTCTTTTTCAATTTAACTAACTTGGTCTTTTTCGTCTTTTGTGAGAATTGGTTTCTTCTATTAGATGTATGTGTCATTGAGTATTATACAGAGAAAGTGAGAGAAACGTTGTTTCTTTTCGTTAAACTAAAAAGCAAACGCAAATGATTTTTTGTTCCTTCTTTCTTCTCATCAATAATCTCTTCTAATCTTGTGTGTTCCATCATCAACTATATATATACATATATACATATACATGTTTGTCTTTTGTCGATGTCTCTTTTTTTTATCTGTATACCAACATAATATCTTTTGCCTGGTCTTCGTCAATAGTATAAACGATTGCAAACTTTGAATGCAAGCAAATGACTTGTTTTATTATCGATAGAAGTTGACGCGAAATAGTCCCCAACTAATGGCAGTCACATCTCGACAAAGTCTTTTGTTTACCTCTCAGTAGGAGATCTCTTTTCTTAACATTGAGACGAATGTTAAAACAACAAAGTCGATAACTGATAGACTGTCAATTAGTTCTGACAGTTCAGCCAATGTCTTCGTTCTGGAATGCAGAACTTCCATCATACATATGTACCAACATTTAGGTCGTCGTTTGAACGCTTCCGATGCTTGCTTATTAATAATAAAAATATCGGACAGGATAACTATTGAAATGAAATATGCGCAAGTGTTCTACTTCATGGGAATACCATTAATATGATGAATAGTTTAATTTCTAAATTTATTGAAAAGTTTAGAAGAGGAAAACACCAATTAGCTAATAATATGTGATTGTCGAGCAACTTCTGGCAATGCATGATGACATAGGTTTTGATACGTACTTAAATATGCACCCAAAACTTATGAGCAGGATCTTTCGCGATCAATCTTTGAAAAGATGCACACTTCTGTAGTTCAATAAAAGACCAAATATGATTTATTCAGATACAAGAGGATAACTGAAATCGATGACATAGATGCCTCGCTTTAATATCTCTTTTGCATACTGATTTACTGCTCGCGCATTGTCTAACATGATAGAACGAATCAGATGACTATCTTCTAAAATCTAAACACACAATTCAAGTAAAACAACTAACTACAGAATGAGTCTTACCGTGAAATTCAATCTTTTCATTCCAGCTGGAATATAATTCGCGTTACGAGGAGCATGTTTCGGCAAATTTGTTTGCTTTTTCAATTATATTAATTGCTTTCACTGCGCTTATCACAATCGAGGTTGGGAAACAAACGCCAAGAAAATCATACTTGAAATTAAAACTTTTTCCGCATCACTATTGGTGGAAATTAAGCAGTACTTTTCCTAACGTGGTATTAATGGTATACACACACCTAGACACATTTATTTAAATGTTCTTTAGTTTCTATAAGATGAATACTTGTTCAGTTAGCTTTGCAAAAGAAAAATAGACGAGGAGCATTTTTCGTGTAACTCTATGAAGAGTAGTATATGCATATGTTCAAAGTGATTGAGTCGTGTCATGTTCTTTCCATGTCGTCAAACAGTAAGAGTTGTATGAATTGTTTTTCACGGAAGCATTTAGTACAAAAACATCGTCCTACAAGTTTGTCTCTTGTTATTTAAATGCAAACAATAAAATCATTTGCTGGTAAGATGCTGCGATGACCAATAAAATAACAATTACTACAGATATATTTTAAGCAATTAAACGTTTCCAGTCAAGCTTGATAAAATGCTAAAGAGAAATACACTCTGTTAGAAACTAATGTGATTATCACATTATCCTTCTCCTCTGACATTTTATATCGCAATGCGAAAATGTTGCACCTACAATTACATTCGAGTCTATGGTAGAGTTATTAATAACGAGTGAGCTGCACTTTCGATATTTTAATAATAGACTCTGTCTCAACTGTAATATTACACTTTACCAGCTGAATTACTCTTTGAACAGCTAGCTTAACAGGCTTTCGTTCAAATTAGAAAAAAGTACCGCAAACAACTGTTGCGCGGAGGTCGATAGTACCTATTAAACTCATCAATCGCCATATCCTCTTGGGTATTTTCAATTGTGAACGATGTCTGGACACCTTTTCTATGTCTTGATAAGATGAAGAACAAGAACGGGAAGAAATCAAATTCTACCAAAATGAACAGATGAAGTAAATCACTTGTTTAAATAGATAGAGAGAGAGAGAGAGTGGCCAGGATGATAGAAATCATAAAATAAAAACCTATTTTTCTCACTATGTTATCACTATTTAGTTAAGTGACGATTTTACGTTCGGTAAATGCATCGAGGAACGAAGCAACGTGCTTTCCGTTGGTTACATAGATATAAGGTTGGTGCAGTGCAAAATTCTTTTTGTCAATTTTTAATGAATTCCGATGTGGTTTGATGCGCTGAATCCGAATATGTATGATTTAATTAGATAAGAAATGAGCTTACTACTGGAAATTGAAACATACTGCGAAAACCGAGGGGTTAAAAAAACAGGTTTTCTACTGGGATTTTAACGATGGCGCTTCGAAAAAATTTATTATAGCTTTGAAAGTTTTCTCTGCGAATTCAGCATCAAAAACTGATACTAGGAGTGGTGGGTGAAGGTGTCCAGGAAATATGAGTGCTCTTATAAGCTTTATACATACGGTGACTGCACCCACCCTCAACCAACCTAATTTCACTCATACCCCTAAATTTTTTTCAAAATAGTTAGATCGGCCCTTCAAATGTCAATAACAGCGATCTTTCTCAGTCCGAACGTATAATAAGATTGGAAAAAAGAAAATAAGCAAAAATTGCTGTTAAAAATCGAAAAATGACTCAAAAATTTTGAGAAACAACGTGAGTTAAGGAAAGATAATACGTAGATTATATCTAGGACATCTAAGGAGTCGAACGGTGAAAGAAAAAAGTTTATATCTTCATTAGAAAATGAGTTGATGCATTTTCAATGAGGTTCACTCGAATGGTTGGTGTGTGAAAAGAAATAAACTTTTTCGAAGCGCCATCGTCAAAATCCCAGTAGAAAACCTGTTTTTTTAACCCCTCGGTTTTCGCAGTATGTTTCGATTTCCGGTAGTAAGCTCATTTCTTATCTAACTAAATCATACATATTCGGATTCAGCGCGTCAAACCACATCGGAATTCATTGCAATTGAAAAAAAAAATTTGCATTGCACCAACCTTATTTTCATTTCATTTTTGTTAATGTAACTGAGTATAAATCTTTAGGCAGATGACTATTTAGTAATAATACTGATTTCACGTGTTGTTTGACTGAACTAGAATCATGGATAAAGTGTTCTCCGATTCATTGTGAGTCGCGACAAAATTTTTTTAATTCAGATTATTTTGTCATCATTGCATTTTCCACTGTTTCGTATGCCGAACGGCGAAAACTGCAAATCGATAGTTGTCTTTTTTTGTAATGATGAAAACAACTATAATGTTCGTGATGTCATCCTCTGTTGCATTTTTCGTAATGAGTGTAAGGATATATATAAATGTCTCCGAGATTGTTTATTTCGAGTAAAAGAAGAGTCTGTTTTCCATACAAACATCGATTCCTATCAATTGCATACATCTTGGGAACAAAACATAAAGCAATCGAATGTGCGCATACGTTTGATGCAACCCCCGTTTCGATGACTGATCTTTTCTTGAATTAGTTTGTATTCAGCCGAGATCGTCGACATACAGCCACGCTGAACATTTGTTTCAACTAAAAAACGAAAAAAACTACAGCATGAACAAATGGAAGTCGATTGATTTTTACTGCCACGATGAAACCATGAATAGCAAACACTATTTTTGTCATCGCATACTTGGGTGTGATCGTTCGAAGGTGTGTCGCACGATGGGTCGATTTTGTCACATGTTCTACACTCAAGTGCATCACCTAAATGGATGACTCTGTGTACAGTAATCAGATAAACTTTTCGACTTACTAATAGATAATAAACAGCATAAGAAAAGCGCATGGAGTACATACTTGCCCATTGGTTGCATCTCGGATATGTTGAAGCAAAGAAGAACCACTCGACTTGATTCGACGTTCCTGACGATAACTATATAAAGAGTTATTAATCATAGAAAAAGTTCAGTTCTCATGAGTATTTATAGGAAAAACAAGAAAAAAGTCCTGCAACACGTATCAAATGATAAAAAAATGCAGAAAAAAAAGACTAATTACACAAATTGTATGTAAAACTATTAGGTAAATTAGATTGTCAGCTTGTACTAAACAGATGATATTTCATTCATATATTTAACTTATCATATCTCGATAGGTTGGACATATACATTTTAAATTGTTCCTATTTCGTGTTGTTATCGATAAACAAAGCTCATTTATCAATAGTATCTGACTAATGACAAATGCAAACTGTCAAATATCTCGTTTGTATTCAAGTTACTCCCTATTCGAAAGCAAGCAAATGAATCGCTTTTTTTATTCAAAGAATCTATTCGGACTTCGATCAATTCAAATTCGAGCACAATGAAATACGCTTAGAAACATGTTCTCCGTATGGAGATGACTTATCGAGTGAACAAATGTATGCTGAATGCCTCGAATAGGTGACCGTACACCTTACCAGCTTGAACTCCTCAGTTCCGTCTGCAGTGTATAAGGTGAAATTGATCTCTTCCATGTATAACACATTTTTAACTTGGATGTCGAGTGCATTCCGGTAGATACCGTCGATCAATTTATTACTCAATACATTTTCTTTGCTCCGTACACGTGACAAACGTTCTTGAAATTGTAAGACCATGGATGAGTTTTGCATGCAATACATTCGACTATTATCTTCGATTGTTTTATTCACAGGTGTGTTCATTACACAGATTTCATGTAGACATTCATGGGAGTCACTCTGCAGTTAGCCATTGGGGAGCGTCTAGCATTGAATATCGATGATACAAAAGAATCTGTTCTTTTTTATTTGTATGTCGCACACAGGCAAAAGAAATCGTTTTTTTTACAATGAAGACAGAAGAAAAGCAAAAATATATGTGTATGTATAATGAGTGAAAGAAAGATAGAGAAGAAGATGGGATCAACCATTCCATTGCTATACTTCCCTAGAAAAGATATAAGAGAAATAAATTCATGGATTTGAATCGAAGGAAAAAACTTACGTAGCATCGAGTGTTGTATTTAGTAACAGATGACTTCGAATATCAATTAATCGTCGCGATGTTAGAGAATCTCTACGGTAGGCGAGAAGATTGGGTGACGGTGCACTGTCATCTAATGATGGGATATTCGTTTTCGCGGAAGGATTTGTTGATGATGACGATGATATTCTAATAATATCTGACTGTTGACTGTTAGAATTTTCAATATGAGTATCATTATGAAGTGTAATTTCATTTTGATCGCCCAATAGAAGATCGTCTGTACGTATCAATTCATTAGAACAAACAAACGTATTCACCGGTAGTCGAACAGTCGTTGATCGGTTATTATCATAATCACTCTCATTACCACTAGCAATAAGAGATGGACTATCGTCAGATGAATGCTTTGTTCGCAGAGATATTTGTTCATCCAGAGATCTTGGTGAATCATACACGTTGAGATGAATGGAAGAACCAACGTCATTCTCATCAAATATTCGATGACGACGATGACCTTGCTGCTGCTGTTGCTGTTGCTGTTGTTGACATGAAGGTCGATGAGGTTGAGTGCGTTTTTTAACACTTGCATATGGAGTACGACGAAGAGAAGATTCCGGTGATGGTGAGGATGTTTGACCTGTCAAAGATGATGGAGTGTCTAGAGAAAACAAAATGTGAAGAATAATTCAATGGAGTTTTCGTATCTACCTGCTATTATTTGATTGTTCGATGTAAGTGTACTCGTACTTGATGAGGATGATAGTTGTGTGTTTAATTGTTGATTGTTTTTTGCTTCTAAATCATTTTTCGTACAATCATCCCGTCCTTGATAGGAAACGCTTTGTCGAGGTTGAGCGTCTATTGCTATAACAGTTGTTATTGAGCTTTTCCCATCCAATTCTTCGTTTTTTATCGATGGAACAATTGAGGGTACGGACGATGACGTCGTTGTCGTTACTGATGAATCTTCATCTGCGCTGAATAAAAATGATCCTGTGGAACTAACACCACTTGAACTATGTACACTACGGAAGGAATTCGTAATCAAAGATGAATCATTCTTTTCACTTGACTGTTCATTATTCCATGACATCCGTTTGAGAATCGTGATTGATGATGAGGAGATTTGTTTCGTTGGAGTGGCTGCTGAATTTGTGTCATGTGTACTTGTGCCATCCGCTGTGAAGTACCGACCGAAATTCTTTCGGTCTGTACGGGAATTTCGTCGTGTCTGTTCGACTATTTTAAACACATCCGATTCAACTTTCGATGAACGTCGAGAAGCGTCATCAGTGCCGGGATTTGGACTTTCCGTATTCGATACAGGTATATCAATAGATGGTGAGGAAGGCGTCGATGGACATTCTGGAGCTGTATTGGTTGACACAGATGAACTCGTCGTTGCATGGAGAGTTTGAAACTTGAGTTTAGATTCTTCCATTAGCGATAGAAAATTCGCTTTCGTTGTTCGAATATTCTCTATCCATTGCTTGCTCAAATTCGTTTGAAACAAATAACCACTTTCGATAAGATTATACTCCGAAAAGATCAATGCAACAAATGATGCCTAGAATACAAGCAAAAGACGTTCGTTTAAAATAAAGAAAACGAATTTGTTCTTTTTGCTGTTGAACGTACCGTGTTTGGTTCTGTATTATTACTATTGCCACCACGACGATCATATTCACGAACGTCGATACGGTCAATGCGTATCGGTGGTTTGAGAATTTTATTTACTATATTTGATGATAGACGATTGGATTGTCCATCGCTGTGAGAAGATGTCAAGGGCGAATTTGTTGAACCACTTCGTTTGCCACCTTTGGTGATAAGAAACATGTCGGAAAAGAGATAACAATAAACATCTTGACTATTCTTAGCATCTTTCATTTTCATGGGTCCTTGTTGAATAATCTGACGGCGATACCCACGAACATGTAATGGCATATCTTGTTGAAGATCCAAGCGATTCGATAATGCATCACGGTTATACTCTTGAAGGATCTGAAAGAGTTTTCAGAGACAAACAACTTAGATCGAACCGAAACATCAAGTTGAATAAATACCGAAGAGAGTTCAGGTGGTGCTGAAACATATTCATATGGGCCGATACGATCATTTATCTGACGAATACGTTCTTCTTGCTCTTGATTATGTAGCTTCGAATTCACTCGATTGACAAACGTTGCCACTTTTTGAATCTAATATAACAATGCCGATGAAATTCACATATCGAAGTTTAATGTCGAACTACTTTTTAGTAGCAAACAGAATAGCTTAGACTGTTGAGATAGCGTAGCTAATTCTTCTCTCTGTACGACACAATTAGAAAGAGAAGTATTCAAGGTTTTATGTAAGCGAAGACGCGTCTTTTCCATTTTGTTACTTGCTGAGTTAGTCTACGCTCCACAATAATGGCATTTGGGAATCTATCCAATGCCAATAATAGACAAAATATTTTGCTAGATGACGGGGAGATAAACAGTTGCTCGAGATGTGATAGTATTTCTTCTCAAAAACGGCATCGTTATTGTAAATCTGATAAAACTGACAAAATAGCGCGACATGTCTACATATAGAAATAATGTAGAGAAATTTTTGTCGGTTTCTAGATTAGATCAACAACTACGGTGAAGATTGTCACGTTACTCTTTCGAAATTATTACGAGAGGATCTGATTGACATACCATTTCATGTAGATCGTGTCTTTGCTGCGTATCGTTTGTTTTCTTTTGGATAGCTTCGAGTAGCAATTTATACCGAGTTAAGCGTTGAAGAGGTTTGATGGTCAAATCCGAAAATGATAAACGATTCGTATAATTGCCTTCGATCCACTAGAACCAGGCTCAATCGTTAATTTGACCAAATAGCTTTACTTCACTTACCGAGATCAAATATTGAAACAATTCATCGCGCGAAAGCCTCTGTTTGAAATACTCGGCACTTGTTTTCTGATCAAGAACGTAGTGTAGATACGATTTGAAATAGACGTCAAACTGAAAGAAAAAAACATATCGAAATATAATCGAGACAATCAGCAATGATGTTTACATTGACAAATCCGTTTTTTAAGTCAGATGGATTCATTGGTAGACCATTCTGTTTAAGTTTGACTTTAATCGGTAGTAGAATTTCTTTCCAAAACAGTAAATTTCCATGCAGAACTTCTTGAATATTGGAAAATAACTTCTCCATATCAATATCGTTGAAGATTCCTTCACGCTGTGATGATTTCAATATGCTAACACTGGTCATCAGTATATCCGTCATAGTAAGAATCTGACGTATGTAAGAAACTTCGGTTGTAAGTAATTCATAGATCGCTTCTTGTTGTAGTTTGATGTTTTCAGACATTGACTAAAAGAAATGAAGTTTTCTCCGAGTGTCCTTAACCTCTCAGTATCCTAATCCTTCATGGTAAAACTATCCGGAAAGAAGAGAAATCAGTCTTGACTTGATTGTGCCAAGGAAAATAAAGATTATGTAATTTAGACAAACTTTATCCTTTGAATCTTGCACTCGCCTACGAGAGATAAGAGGAAACGTGGCTTTTCTTTACCGATCGTGCTTGTTCGGTCAAAAATGGTTGCCATTCTTTTTCAATGACCAGATCACATTCATCAATCGAACATTGAAGTTGAGCTAATTTCGGCAGCCCATGCGTCAACCATTCTTCACATTTTCGACGAACAAACGAGAGATTACTTTCGCTACGTTCTGATAACTCAGATGTATCCTAGGAAGAAAAAGCGTGATTGAATTGTGCATGAAAAGAGGTCGAACTCACTCGTGTGAATATACTTCCAGCGAATATACTTGATCGATTGGTTTTATTGATTCGAGTGGACGATTTTGCATCTTGATTCTCGTCATTGTCGAGCATCATACAATGCGTTGAGAGACGTTTCGATGTTGCTTTGGAATTCTTAAAAAGAAATGAAAAGGTCGGTTCATGTCATGCGCTGACAAGAGTTGTTTTAGTTGCGATACTGGAAATCGAGAAATAACAATAATAGGATAAAGAAGGCAATGTTGTTCGATGCTTCCTAACTACCGCAAATGAAGCTAATCTTCGAAACTTGAGATATATGAAAATAAAACAGACAAGAACTCTAAATATATTTGTTGACAGTAAGCAAGACGATTTTCCTCTCTCTGCTTAACGTCGATTATCGAAAGTATCCATTAAGATGAAAACCGAGACGAGACATCGCTTTATTGCGTCTTTTTTCCCTTCGTGTCTATACGCCATGATGAGAAGGTCACATTTTTTCTCACTATTATCACTGAGAAAAGAATACAACAAACTAATAATATCATATCAATCATTTAAGATACATTTGATTCTTTTCCTTGATGCCAACGATGATTAACAGGTGAATAACATCTTCCTTGTTAGATTATTAACGACTGTCAAGTGTTTATCTGTTGTTTACTACAGACAAATTTACTCCAATCACTTACCGAGGGTAATACCGCTGAACCCGTTGAATTCCGCTTCTCTTTTCGTTCCTTTCCCGCTGATGTCTTCGCCAAAGCCGGATTGATTGTTTCTAAACGAGCAAAAAAGAAATTAATCAGAAATCTTCTTTTCTTGTGCGGAAAAAGAACTTAAATGACCATTCTCAATCGATTCATGTGCCGAAGAAAGGTATGTCATATCATGGTAACTGATGCTTTTTTGTTTAACAAAATAATGTCTATCAATCTGTCCGCGAACAGGCGAATCTTCTTCAGTCAATGCACAATTCCAAACGAATTTCGAGTTCGATGAATGCGAATCCGAATACGATTTCCGTTTCGATTTCCACGCATCAGATAATTGTCGACAAATCGATACACGTCGGCACAGCTCTCCTTCAGTCATTTTTCATACGCAGAATAAGCTGTAAGATTTCTTTGTACAATGAATGAAAGAAGTAATAAACGCTAATCGAAGGAGAGAGAATTATGTAATAAGGCGTATATAGGACAATAACAACAAAAAACTGATAAGTAAGTTTTTTTTGCTTCTCTCGCGTGCCTTAAATAGACTTTTCTATGCATGGTTGGCAGGAAAAAACGAGCAAGTTCTAATCGATGGATCTAATCACATGATAAATCGATTTTTTTCGAACTCGCTTCTTTTTTAACTTGTCAACTAACTTCAACTTCGGACAGGAACAGCAGTGATGAAATATCAAGATTAGCCGTTCTATTACATCATTGTATACATTTACAGACATTTCAAGAATGTATGCCAAGTGAGTTTTTTATGTGTGCGTGTATGAAGGGAACGAGAGAGAGAGAGAGAGAGAGAAGAAAAGGTTTTATCGTTAATTAGAACAGAAAGACGATATGACATAATCAATCGAATGGCTTCAATGTTTTAGATTTCTTTTCTATACCTGTTACGACAAGATCATTTAAAAGAAGATGTTTAACTGGTTGATCCAAGGACAATGGTAATGTAGGAGCACTTCGTAAACAAATGTAATATGTATCGATGGAAAGATTATGCTTTTCGAAGAGTTTTATCAACATTTCTCTAGAACAAACAAGAAAATCGCAAACCAATCGAGACAGTCGACCCTCTTACCTCAATGTTGTGTTTTCAGATGTAGTGGAATATTTGAGTTTTTCTTTGAAGTTTTGCCCATTGATATCGTTGAAATAAATATACGTATTATCCTAGAATAGATATAAAAGCAATTATTTTCAAGGCGAAACCGTTTCTCACATATCGATTATATTCAATTTGCATGATTACTTGTCTCCACATTAATTCAAATCCTCCTTTCTCTCAATCAATTTTTTTCTGTCTACCCAAACATACATTTCTAATCTGTCCTTCATAATAAGCACTCATTTACAAATAAATAAACTCTCCGAATAAACGCAAATCGAATCGAAGGTTTCATATATTTACAAAGAACTTTTCTTCAACAATAAACATACCACTGATGGCAAATTTTCTTCAGATAAAGCATGTTTTCGTGGATCAAATGTTGATTCATTAACTGTTGCTATTGCACTATTTCTTCGACTTGTATTAATTGATGTTGCTAGATTAAGAACTGACATACTGAATTGTTTACCAGACATATTCGTCTATTTAAACAAAAAAAAAGAGAAGTTTTTGTCGAGGTGAAGAAGAACCATTGAATATTTACTTCAGGTGAATCCAAAGCTAGATTGGATCGTCGTGTACGAAAGACATTGGTTAATAAACTACGAGTTTTTTCTCTAAAGAACAAAATGAATCAGAATGAGAATGTTTCTCTGTTTTTTTCTTTTAAATAAGAAAAACCTTCGCTTGTGAACATCTGTTCTTGACATGGATATTTTCAAGTTAATGTGAAAGATTGACAATCATTCCCGAACTTTTCTTTTTGTTTCTCTCCGATTCGCTGTGCTTTGTTTCTTCGTTTCTCACCATGCGTAATCATCTGATGTGAGGTGTGAACAATCGTTATACAAATAGTGAAGCTTATTTACTTAGTGTCGATGCGGACAACGAAAGAAAAGGAATGACAAGCAAGATTAATTAGAATATGAATTCCTTTTATATCCGCTATCACATATTCATATCGATGTCAACAGGTAAATAATGACACTTTGCAATTGACAATAGGAAGAAAAAGAAATGATATTTCATGATTAGATAATCTGAGAGAAAGAGCGAACGCTGTGTTTCAAGAAGATAAATACTGATTAATATACCAAAAAGTCGATTCGTTGATGACTCGAAATAACAAAAACAGTTGCTATTTACTAATGACACATCGCTAATATTTTCAAAGGCGTCATAACTTACTCGGGAGGATGTAGAAATTGTTGATGTATAGTGTTATTTTCTAATGTGAATTCGACGTTGCTTGTTGTCGTTGAATCATGGGGTTCGTCTAAAAGAGTAGAGATTTTTCTTTGTAGAAAATAAACACGAAAACGAATTCGCGTCTTCGTTTTATATATTTACCTATCTCAGGGACAAGTTCATTATCATTTTCGTCTTTGATGCCGCCCTAAAACATAATCCAGAAGTAGAAACCTTCATTTCATGTCGAACTGTCTATATGCAAATGAAAATTCATTCCGACTCTTTCCTTCCTTCGATATTTTAGCCGAAAAAAGAACAGCAATCATTTTTTTGCTTTTTTTTTTAGGATTGTTTGTATTTCATCTCCTTCGATTCAATTAAAATAACACTAGCTTAGCTTTTTCTATTTATATATTCTCTCGAAATAAGGATTCGATTTTGATTCGATCAAATCGAGAATGTACAAAATAAATACTCCGAGAGATTTCTTTTATCTAATAATCATCTTGCGTGAGAGACAAGGTCAGTTCGATTGAATAGACAAACTATCGAGACATCATATGCTTAGTAAATTAGAGTTTTCAATTTAATCTAACGAATCATTGATGCACCTTTCATTCGACGCTGTTTGCTTTTCGTTTTCTTTCCGCTGTTTATACATGCATGCGTGTAGACAATCTTCTGATCGAATTAGAGCGTCCATACCAATGACGGACGTGCCAGATAATAGTCTGTATGGAAAATTAGTTCTCGTCACACAACAATGACATTTTGAAAGAAGAGAGAAAAAAAACAAATCAAACTATGAAAGAGAACGAAAGAAGAGAAGAGATAGGTGAAGTATTTTGGTCTACTTAGAAGAAATTTCATAGTAAGGTGTAATTAGCATACGTTGTAGTCTATTGATTCTTTCTTGAATGGTAAGTAATATGACACACACACATCCAACTTGCCATCGTCTCAATGACAGAAGAAAGCCGTAAATATATGTATGGTCAAGTTGACTGTCCCCTTTTATTATTAGTCGTTCTATTGACAAGGGAGAAAATCAAATATTGTCAATAAGCATATGACAGAAGAAGAAGAATGAATAATACTGGGCAATAATCATCATCAGCATTGATTCAATGATTGTTGGTTCATGCCATTGAGACATGAGAGAGAAAGAGAACGTAAAAAGGTCAGTAGCTAGCAATAATGTGATTCTCTCATGTGTACTTATAAATATGCATGTGTAATACAATGCAATGTCTGACATGATTGAAGTACAAATGGTGAAATATATATATATTCGTTCATTCTATCGATACTTTGACCATCATTTCTAACTATATTGAAGGTATATCATTAAACAGTGAAAATGTCATTGCCATTGTTGTTCTTAGTCTCGCAGACACCAGGCTCTCTATTATTAACAATAACAGAACGATACTGTCGGCGCTCATCATTATTGCTGTCTCGACAACCGTATCTACGTATGTGTGTATCAGGGCCAAACAATAATAAATTTTCTCGTTTTTTTTTACGGAGACCAACTGTATTAACACTTGACCTTCATTCTATGTACATATACGCATATGTGTGTGTGTATATGCATGTTGAAAGTACGCGTGCCGCTCGTCAACAAACAAATCTTCTGACTAATGATAGGCGCATCTTTAGCTGATTAACTTCCTTACCTTTTCAGCTTGTTGTGATGAGTCATGGTAATTGGTGCGTTGTCGTTTTAATGAATTATTCTCATGATTATCATCAGATCCTGTTAATGAACAAAATGAATGAGATATGTTCAGCGATGTTGTTTGATGATGTTGTTCGTGATCGATGTTATCATTGACAACATTCGAATTTAACGTGGTTACAGATGAGGACTCTAACAGATGATGAAATAATGATGGAAGACTTTGACGTCTTTTTATATGTAATTGTAATTGTTTTTGATCACGAAGTATTTTTGATGGTGATAATTGTCGTTGATCATCGTTCATCGTTAAACTTGGTCTCAAATATGTTTTCTTACATATGGAGCAACGAGTCGATGCGGGATCGGATGGTGTGTTTAGCTTCGAAGCGAAGACACCAAATATCGATGGACGTCGCTTGTTCTTCGGGTTTAGGTCAAGATTGGAAGAATGTTGACATGCGAGACAAATATGTTCATGATCTACTTTTGTCACGGAGAGTTTCGATGACGACGAATGATTCCCCGAGCGAAATGTGAATGAGTGAAAAAGACGTGAAAAAGTCTCCTTTGACAAGCTTGACTTTGGTGTAGCCGGCAGTTTCATCGTTTTTGACGATGACGAACTCGTGTGTTCATCATCGTCAGCGTCATCGTCGTCGTCATCATCATCATCATCGTCGTCATTATCATTATTGTCGTCATCGGCGATAACTACTGTCTCTGCTATATTTGGTTTTGAACCAAGCGAAAAGGAAAAACTTCGTTGTTGACCAAGAGGTACTCCAATATGATCAATGGAATCATGTTGTTTGAGTGATAATGTGCGACTAACTAATATACGTTTGGATTCGTTTTCTAGAACCTGATCAAATTCGTCGAGAATCGTTATATGACCATTATCGTCACCATCATCGTCATTATTGTTCACACAGATTTGAGGTATGGGTAATGTTGGTGGTTGCTGAGTTTTACCGCGAAATTTACGAGTCGGAGTAGCTGGTGACGACGTAGCGTCAATTAAAAGCTGAGAAGGCGATGTAGGAGCGTTTTGAGATTCCATTGAATGTTGTTTTTGATGTTGTAAATAACGACGAACCTTGTTTGAGCTCGTCATTATTTGATGACTGCTGTCGAACCTATAATGATGATGAAAGATTATCTTCTTTTTTTTTAATGCTAGTTATAGTAGACAAGAGAGTGTTCACTATCAGTGAAAGTAATAGAGAGGGATGGAGGGATGGAGGGAGGGAAGCAGGAGGGAGAGAAGAGCAGTCAAATTCGTTTCATGTGTTCTGTTCTTCTCCTTTTATTATAGGATGAAAGAGCAACGACCAAAATTGAATATCAAGAGCGTCATGGAGAAGAGACACGCTCGCATGAGAGAAAGAAGAAGAAGGGAAAAAATATCGAGTATAAAAGCAGAAGAAAGAGAGCTCATCGGACAAAAGGGAAAAGAGAGATGATAATAAAGTCAAAATTCCATTACATCAATTTTCGACGATGTTCATTGAATGCGTAAAACATCTTTCATCTTGTCTCTTGCGATTTCCTTTTATTTGTTCAATAAAAAACAAAAAAGTCGAGCTGAAAAAATACAAAAACATTTGCCGAAAAATGCCGAAAACACATGCACAGATTGAGATTAACTCAATTATCAGAATCGATTGGTTTAAGATGAAGAGCTCTAATTGTTTTCTAATCAATATCTTTCGTCTTCGCTTTAACAGAACTTAGTCGCTTGTGACAGTGAGTGTAATTATTCATGAGAAGTCGAAGAAAGAGAAAGGGAGAGAAGGTAAAAAACAATCGAAGCTGATAAAATGCTCTTTACCTTTCTTTTCCCTTCATTTATCGAAGACAGACCAAAAAAATGCAATCAAGAAAAGAAAAGACATCGATTATGCATGAGAAAAAATTTTTTTCACTATTTTCATCAATCTATTCTGATGTGACATATAACTCTTACTTTATGCGTTGATTACGATTGTCATTTTAGCCGATAGGCATTAAAGACATCACATCACGTCTGTTCTGTTAACCGATTTTCTTCGTCTTCTCTTTCTTTCCTTCGTGTCTGTTTGTCTCTTTCGAAGAGATCGTTTGTTTGATATGACAGACAATATACACAAGAAAGAACATCGAAGTTAATCATTTGTGTTTCTATTCCGTTGAAAATAACTTCAAACAAGGTAAATGTACTGGTTTCTTGTAAACATCACAGCATACACACGCACACAGGGACAGACAGACACTCTAATGATCATATCAGATGAATAAGAAAGGTTTCGGTTTTTCGTTCGTTTGTTTTTTCAAACAGCTGTTTTGATAAGACGACGGATTAGAAAAAAAGGACGAAGAAATACAATTTATTTTCTTCTCGAAATAATAACTCCAGCTTCGTCACTTCTTCTTCCTTCGAGGCTTTGACAACAACTGTGACACACCAGTGATATATGTCTATTTCTGTTGATTATCCTTCGGTTTCCTGTGTATCTATGTATATATTTGATATTCCAACTTAATCACAACAGTACAAAAAAAGTTCACTAGTCGAAATGAATTTGTTGATATTGAGATTTGATCAATGTCCGTGATCGATATAATCGACAATGTGGTAAAAGATAATGAGCAAGTAATTGTTTAAGTAACAATCGTCGTTTTACGCGTGTCATACGGAAACGTATTTCATCGGAGTTATTCCCATTCAAATCCTTTTGTTTACATATTCGAATCTAACGAAATAAACAGATGAAAAGAAGAAACTATTCGGTACAATCCGTTCTTACTGCTAATCTTTTCTTATCTTCATATCCACGCAAGTTCAGATTATCTAGAAAAAGAAAAACAGAAAACCAGCTGTTACTGAGCGAGACAAAACAGTAAATATGTTTACTAATTAAACTTTCCAATAACGCTAAATCCCAAATACATTCATAATAATCATCGATATCGTCGTTCATGTAATTTTCTTGTAAGGTTTTGAATATTGTATTATAATCAGGTGTCGAAAGCAATTGACACATACAAGCGACTTGGGTATGATAACCTAAAAGAATAGGATGGATATGTGGAACATTCATGAACAGCGTACGCGCCAAGTCAATCATATGGAAAGATCTGATTATTAATCTGGAGGTTAACTAATAGATCGAAATGAATGAGCCAGTTGTCTGGGTAGGTTATACTCAAGGAAAAATAGCAGATTCCATATGTCTTGAACCTTTTCTAATTAGCTTCTATTTCCATCTGGATTTACTCGAGAAAACTAATCAGAAAACTCTGCCTCGAACGGATGGATCGATGTCGAAAACGAACCTAATTGTAATGCTGCTTTGATCATGTTTCGTATCAGTGCATCATCTTGTTGAGTGATGGTTGGCGAAGTGAAAAGTCCACTTTCAATTCCTATAGAGCTTATGTAAGCATGCATGGCTTGGGTGTATTGTTGTAACGTAAGATGAAGGTCAGCTTGGGTACGAAGTAAAGACGATTTTGCCTGAATTGGTAGATATTCTCGCGTTTGAATATGTTGAGATAAAATTTGAATTAATTGTGCTAATATAGACGATCGAATTGAACGTTGTCGATAATCAATCGATGTTGGCCAGTAACGAGAATACTCGGAATAGATATCAACATGCGATTGATCGACGAGTACAAGAGAATAGAGACGTGAAAGGAGAGAGAATAGGATTTGTAATAGGATTGGATGGTTGAGGTTGAGTAAGAACTTTTGAAGTTCAACAACGGTGAGTTTCTCGTTGAGTGTACTCGATTGTTGATGGCGATTTCTTGATTGTCGACCGCCAGGCAGTTCTTGTAGTTTCTCTGATAAGATATCTGATATTCTTTCCCATAATTCTCGAGCAAGTTCAGGACGTATCTGTGGTTGATTTTCATTCGATAATAAACCTAAACAATTGACTATATCATTACCAGTCGATCACTGATCATCAAAATCTTACGTGCGAATAGATTGGCCATATCAAGGTACGGACGCATGCGACGTACGGTTGGATTCAATGATTGAAGAAACTGAATTTCATTGCGAGACAATGCGTACGCAAGAATAGCTGATACTAAATCAGTATCGATATCTAAATATAGATAGATGAAGATTTCCAAGTGCGTCAGTCAGACGGAATTAATCAAAATGCTAATGAGAGGAAATTCTTTTATCGTTTAGAGTGAACTCAGTTCCTTTGATCAGTTTGTTTTCAGTAAACAAGAACATGACTTTATTTTTAGATTTGCAATCGGAAGAGGAATATCTTTGAAGTTCATCAATTATTTACCTGTCTCAGAATGATTTTTCATGAGAAAATTTTGACATTCCATCCATAAACTATTTTCATTTTCGGGATACGTTTGTCTGGATATGACTTCGTAAAGGTTGAACAATAGGCGATCATGTTGCAAACATTTGATCACTTGTTCGATGCACAGATCTTGATGATGGAACGATTTCAGAAGATCAATTGCTTGAGTTAACGATCGGTAGCTTTGAGAATAGTTCTAAGAATAATGTCTTTGAAAGGAATCGAGGTTCAGTTTTGAAGATACCTACTTTGTACGATTGTGCACGTTTGGCTTTATTATAGATAATACGAATGACATGTCCAAGTAAATGATTGCTATTCATAAGCATGTTTATTGCTTGATCAGTGAATGTTTGTTTAAATAACTAGTGAAGAAAAGGGTTTACCGTTGGATGTAATTTGTTTTGCTATTTTACCGGTGGAAATAATTCTTCAAGTATGGGAATCGATTTGGCATTTTCTAAATCTGTGATCATTTGTGTGAGGACTTCGGGTTCTGTGGAGTGAATTAAACGTGTTTGACACTTGAATTGTATTGAGCCTATGTGGGAGATAGAGAGAGAGAGAGCAATAATTTCGAAAACCATTCGTTGTACGAGTTACTCACTATTGGGTCTGTCGAGTAAAGTCGATCGTGGCACTGATTCGAATGCTTTTGACCGAGAGATAGGAGCAGAGAATGCTGAACCAACTAGATGTGTTAAATTATTCGAACGTAGTTGATCTTGCAAAGTCTTTGGTAGTTTGTGAAAATGAATTCTAGAGTAAAGTGGTATTTGTCTTAGTAATTTACGTTATAAGCTCGTGCATACTTTAGGAAACTGTTCAGCAATGACTGTTGTTTGAGTGGCACTTGTTTTAAACGTTGAAGTGCCTTAAAATAGACAATGACCAAAATGCTACTCTTTGAAATAATCTGCTACTTTGTCCAGATAATCGAAAGCATATTGAGTATTAGAAACATGTTTTCCATCGAGTAAAGATCGAACTAGATTGAATGAACATACTACTCTATATTGCTGGGATCCACTAAACGATAAAAAGGAAATAATCAGCTAGATAGAGAGAATTGTTCAGCAAATCGAATCTGTCGCGATTATCAACATAGAAATAATGCTCATTTGGACACTAGTCTATTAAAAATGAAGAAACGAATTCTTACATTTCTAATCGATCCTCTAATCGATGTCGTGCTGCCATGGTCATCTCCTTCGTTTCATTATCATCTCCTAACATTGATATATAATCCTAAATGCAAAATTCCAATATAACAACTACAAACGATCATAGTTTGATTTACATCGATCGAGGTGCGTGGCGATGGTATTCCGATTAGAAATCGCTCTTTTGATTTATGTGAAAGATTTGACTCCATAGATGGATTGATCGAATTTAACGATGTTAAATATCCATCTAATGACGAGAAATAAGTCGTTGGTTGTAGCTGACTGCGCACGTCAGCGACGCGCCGAAACATGGTGTGAGCGTTCAAATAATTTTGTTCATAGAAATAGATCGTTCCGAGATCATATGCAATCTAATGGAGAACAATGTTCCTAATGAATATCGAAATCAACAGACAAAAGTTGAATTCTTACACGTGCCACACATTCGACCAGCGGATAAACTTGAGTACGAGACCAATCGCATGGTACTGTACCATTCTCAATATCGACTAAGTCAAAACACGCGTCTACAGGTATGCGCACGACCGATTTCCATTCTAGTAGAGCTTCTAACGCTTGAATACTCTCTCTCACCTTTACGCGTGCCATTTCTATAACATTTTCATTCGGTCCGCGCATATGCTGTAAAGGATTTACGTATCCAGCTCTACAAAGATAAGTTTCATCAATATTTCGACGAAGAATCAATCATACACATTCACTTGAAAGATCTTCACCGGTTTCGTTGGGAATGATGATTGCACACATGTACGTACGGTCCTGCATAATAAGAGAAGGAAAATTTATGGAAAAGTGCTAAATCAATCATATACATACCATCGATGTAGCAATTGTACTGCAAACAATGCCGGCTCGTCAAGTTTGTTCAATTGCTGTAATTGTTCGCGATCTTTATAATTCTTATCACTCTGAGTAGTTAATCGAACGAAACAATGTATGAGATCTGATGCAACTGCTACCGGAATACTAGAGTCAAAATACGGTAGTAGATTATCAATGTGTTCATCTGTTTTCTTACCGCTTTTCGATTACGGTCAAATCCCAGTTGAGTTTGGCCGCAATTTTCATTGCCAAATGTCTTAACGCTCGAATTCGATTGTCTTTCAACTCAATATCATCTAAATGAATTCTGTAAAACAGCGAATACTCTCGATTAAGTTAAAATCTCCTACTTGGATTCTCGGTCGCTGTTTTAAGTTTGGTCTTTTGTTCAATTAAATTTGCACTGATCAAAAACTGAATAATCAAGTCAGTGCCAGTGACCTCTTCAAAATAGAACAAAAGAAAAAACAGGTATTATCTTCATTGAGACATTTCAAATGAAAAAAGCTTTACCAAGATTGTCTTCTGTGATGAATGTATCTAGCAACGTTGGGTTGAGTAAAAATTCAAACCAACTGGCTGTTTGAGACTGTCCAGATATAAATTCGCTCATAATAATCTTATCTACAACATTCATATCTTTATTAAAGTAATAGCACAAGAATAGAAATTAAAAAAAGTAGAGCTCTTTTTTTGTTTTTCAATATCCTTTTCAAGAGAAAACTGCAATAGAGAGAGAGAAAGAAAGGAAAGGGCAGCTTAGCTGCTTACAAAATAACCATAACAAGTGATAATAACAAGAAAAAACACATCTATTTGTTTTTGGAATTGATTCAATTATTGGACGATATTGCTTCAGGGAAGTGTTCATGATATCGTTCGAGGCGCAGATATTTAGCAATGATTTCTCGACCTAGAATCAGAACAAAATGTATTGGAGTTGACAGATTGAGAGAATCTTACCGTGATATTTCCAATTGTTCAGTAAATGAAAACCTTTCGAAGCGGCTTCTTTCGATGAAAACTTCAGATAAACATAGACTGAATAGATGCCGATATGTTCGATTCGGTGAACCGTTGCACAACGATTACGTATACTATCAATAACGAGATCGATTTCATCATCGTCAACCATCCTAAAACAACGAACGACTGATTTACTGTCTTTTCAGATTTTTTTACTCTTACGTGTCTGAATCGAAGAAGTTTCGTAATTTGAGACATTGTGTCAGGCCAACATCGGGTGGCATATACACATAGCTATCTTCGTTTGTGCCATGTGGTGATTCCTAGAACAAGTCGATGAGACACCATTCGATGAGAGAAATGAACAATTTACCGGTCGTTTTTTTCTGGGTGACGACGGACTTGATGATGAACGTGGTTGTATCCATCTCCATACATCATGCTCTTCACCATGAATCAATTGGGATTCAGCGCGAACACGTGATTCACGTTCGCTGATTTGTTTCTTCGCTCGCTCCCAAAGTTCCTTCAGTTTTTGTCTAGAAAAATCAAAAGAAAATCTAAGCAGAGAAATAATTGCAAAACTACCAACCGTTCGTGTGTCGGAATAAGCATGTCACGAATATGATTGATGGCAACCCATGGATCAGTTTCAGGATTACGTAAATGTTCATCGTATTGTTCTTCTAAGAGATCGATAATCTTTTGAGTCAGGTCTTTGTAAGTTTTTTCGCGTTCTTCGAATTGGTTATGACGTCGTTTCCAAAGCCAGCCTAAAGCCAAGAAGCCACTTGTACCTAAAACCGATACGATGGTGAATGTATCGAACAGATAATCCTTCTCACCTAATGAGAGCCATGCTAAATTTCGCATGATGGATTGTGCACTTTTTTGCAAACGACACGTTAGGGAATATTTGCCTTCTTCTGAACTCAATTTCGCCGCGTTGTTATAATCACCTGTTGGTGCGTTATCAGAAGACCATATTCTAAATGTATGAAAATCAAACATTCGTTGGACTACTACGAGTAAGAAACGTACGAGAGCTCATGATCACCCTCACGACCAAGTATATAAGCTACTAGTGTCTTCCATCGTTCTTCAGGACCGTTTTCAAATTTAAATCCCTAAAAGTAGAGTAAATCATGCAACTCAGCAAAGAATCACGATCTTTATGTTTACTTTTTTATCAAGATACTGATTGATTTCTCTTTCGGGAACGTATCGTTCACTTTTTTTGCGCATACCACACTCGACTTCTCCTAAAACAGACGGTATGGAAAATATTTTCTTGTTCATCAAGTCAAATTACCAGTTCGTATTTCCAGATATTGTTTGACAGCATCGTATACCGGTATCATTTCGTCGCACTGTGTCTACAAGACCACCATAATGATGATATAAGTAAATAGTAAAAAAACAACAACTAACTTACCGCATTCTGCGGAGTGCAAGTAATACCTTTGAAAAAAAGAGAAAAGAAGTTCAAATCGAGTTTTTTATGCAAAGAAACTCTACCTCGTGAATGTGGAATTATCTCATGTGCTTTCTTTTTTAAAACAATTAAACCACCGCCGAGAAGTATGCCGATGAAAGCCATTTTAAGCACATTTAATATTACGTCTCTATTCACTTTCCAAAACGACTGAATTCGCTTTCCTGTGCGATTAAACCATGATGGTTCTTTGGGCTTGGCTAGTTCAGATCTTGGCGGTTGTCGTGAACGAATTGAAGTTGAGGTTGCGGTTGGACGAAGAGGTGTCGTGATTGGTGATGGTTCATAATTAGACGAAGAGATATTTGCGTGAGCAGCACGCGTTCGATCACGTGCAGAATTGATCAATTGTTGAATTTCACGCCGATGACGGGCAACTGAATAAAAAGCCAATCATTTCATTAGAAAATATCAAAACTACGACTTACTAGATTCTTCAACATCTGAAGTTGCTCTGGGTGATGTGTGAGTATCTCTTCCAACGGCAATCGATCGTGTTGTTGGCTTAGCTCCTCTCGATGGAGAACGTGATGGTGAAGTATCTGTTTCCGAATCGCTCAACTCAATCAAACGACGCCCAGGACGTGAACGCGCCGCTGCACGTGATGGTGACGTAGTGGAACGTGTACGTGTTGTTAATGTTCGAGGAGGTGAACGCGAGCGCGTTTGAAGAGCTTCAAGACGAGCGCGTAGTTGTTCACGGTTTCGTTGTGTTATGGGAGGAACTGTTTCACCTAATTGTATCAGCTCCTGACGCAACTGTTGATCAGTAAGAGGCATTCTATTCCTTAGATCTGTTTGAAAGAAATGAATGTTCTGAAGTATCAAACAAGAGATGAGGTTCAATACAAAATCATTATTGCGAAACAAAGAGTGAATAATAACGTTGATATTTTGAAATGAACGAACAAAGAACCAATCGGTATTCGTTATAATAATAACTAATCAGAAGATGACGCCCGAAGTGACATCTAACTCGCTAATCTTCTTATTACTTCATAATAATTTTTCTTTAATTTCTTTAAGTATGTCATAGCCCATCCGTTGAATTTAGTCACGGGTTCTTTTACACGTCGTCAAGAATTCATTTGATTCTCTGTGTACGAGAACTTCATTTTAATGAAATGTCTCTATTTAACATTGTACATCGTGATTTCGGCGAAAGTTTGCATATATGTCGTTCAATGAATATGCAAACACATAAGATGTATTCTCGCTGCCATGATACTTGTTTGTCTTATGATCAGACATGTATATACATTTTGAAAATGAAAAAAAGTCATTGTCTTAAATAAACAAACCGAGAGTTGAAGGGAAGGCAAGAGAGAGAGACAGAGACTGAGAAAGAATAAGAGAAGTCGTCGAACGTCAAACAAACTCATTTGCTTGTAACAATATTTGATATCTTGCTGTATTTATTCTCAATCTCTACTAGAATACAGATGAAAATCATAGTAGAGAGAGAAGTTTACTAATCGCATATACGGTACAACCGATCACCTGTTTCAAAATGCTAGAAGAAAGGAAGTACGATTCTTTTATTCTTTCTCTCTGTGCCTTTTCACTTGCCTTGTGTCAAACACACCCTGTTTTAATAGAATTTCAAAAAGCATCCTACATTGAAGTAAAAGAGAGAGAGAGAGAGCGCAAGACAGCGCTACGCACACACTCTCTTGGCGAACTTTTCACAATTCTCTCTCTCTCTCTCATTTTTCTCTCTGCTATACTTCTTCTGCAACAATCATTCTCTCTTTCATTCGACACAACAGTCTTCCACTTGTCTTTACAGAGTACACATCTGAAAAAACCAGTTCGATGTGGATTCATTCTAAACTCGTAAGTTGAGGTAATTCTAATAGAACTTCATCCTTTTAAGTTCACTATTCATTCAAGTCGGTACCAGGAACAGACAGACGTATATCATTGTCACTAACCGTTCGTAGAACTCTACACTCACTTGAATTACCTTACGGTACTATATGTCTGAATGTCAATTTCCTTTATTTTGAGATAGGTATATGACAACGTTTCTCTTCATATCTGAGCAATTTGACGTGATAGCGGAAATACATTCGTTTTTCTTTGTCGCATCTTTTCTTTTTTTCAATCTATCTTACACATTACTTTTTGCCTCGCTGTACGTCTGTCATTTCAAATCATCAGCCGAAACGCGCGATGACGTGCATGTGTATATTCCTCCAAGTTAGTTGTTACGAATGAATAAGAAGTGAGCGAGAAAGTGACGGACATAGACAGGACAAAAGAAGTTATTACAGTGGAAATGAAAAGAAATATTTCAATCAGTGCTAGAGAGATATGAGGGTCAATTTAGACACCATACACATCCATCCATTCACCTACCAATCTGCTCTCATCTCCATGTTATTCACTTCAGTTGCATTTAATCACTTTACTTTGTCGTCACACTTGAAAGAAAAGAGCTTTTATGTTATACTTTTAGGGAATGAAAAAAAGTATTTTTACAGAGTGTGAGATGAGAGAATCATACCTTAAGGAAAAAAAAAAGGTTGAATCAAATAGAATGGATTCATCAAGCGAAACATTGTTCAAAAATGTATGATCACTCATTGAAGAAAAGCGAATGGAAAGTACTCCTCAGATGTTAGTTGATTCTTTCATTCTTGGACATGTAGCGTCAATTTATTCGAGTTAGGCCAAAAATCATCGATTCCATTGTCCTATTTTTAGAATTTCTACCACAAACGTGCTCTTTCTTTTTGTTTAAATCAACACCACGCTTTCTACCTTCATCTTTTTTCTCATCGCATGCATAGATTTAAGTATACATTTATGTAGCTAACAATCATTCGAAGGCAAATACACACCGTTCATTATTGAGATGTATCTTTACTGAGCGGTTGATTTCTACGATTCCGCTTAGTATCGTTGCATCTTCAACAATCGGATTCGGTATAGCGAAAACAATGAAATCCACCATGATTTGTTCATATTTGATTTTTTACATAGATTTTTCGTTATTTTTTTGTTGTTGTTGATGTGCAAATAAATAACAACGACGAATAAAAAGGCTTCTCTATTGTCATAGTCAAGTACCATCGAACAGACATATGACACTGAAAAATAGTTTTAATTTCGAGCTCTGGAAATCTTCAAAAGTTTCTTATCAATGAGGAAAAAGCATCAGCAAGATCAATTCCTAATTAGCATTCATTACACTACATAATCAAAAGTTATTTATTTAGGTGTCTGATCAGATCAGGTGGAAGATGAAAAAAGTTTCCGCTATTCTTCTTTTTCTTCTTCTTCTTTAAAATAAAAATATTGAATAAGATAGTTTTTAAAAGCCCAATGGATGCACTGGTATCGTTGCTTCTTTGTCGACTATTTCTTTGGCTAATTCGCTCATTAATCTCGATCGTTGAAGGAAGGCCGAACTTTGAATGAGATTAATATTATTATTGATTCGATCGTAAGCTTCTTCGCACCAAATTCGAACTAGATTCGATTCATGTACAGCAGAAGGCACTTGGTTGCGAAATGATTGTGAGCAACGTGATAAACTTGCTGCCATAGCATACAAGTCGATAGTAATATCTCCGATACGATAGACAATGAACTGTTCATCACGAATTGTTTTGCCGTGTTTAAGAAGAACTTGTTCGATCATCGCACCAAAACGATCAACCGATTTCGATAAGAGTAAACCCGATGATTGCAGTGATGAATGAACATGTTCATTAATATTTGGACCTGCCGACATTCCTATACCGCGTCGTAAACGTTTCGAACTTTCACCCATAATGACATTGAAATTGAAGTTTTTTACTGCTTTTTGTAATTCACGAAGGTGTAAACCAACATATTGTAAACCAGTGAGTGCAACGAATAAACGAAGAATATCATTTGCACCTTCGAAGATACGGAAGATGCGTAAATCTCGCATGACACGCTCAAGTCCAGTAGCTTTCATAAAGCCCATACCACCATGAATTTGAATAGCTTCATCGAGCACAAACCATGCTGATTCAGATGCGAAAATTTTTCCAATAGCTGCTTCGCCTATGAGTTGAATTTAGTCATACAAACTGGAGTACATAGAGAGACTTATTCTTACACTGATATTCAGGAATTCCTCGGTCCATGTTTTGTGCTAAGAGAAATGCCAAACTTTCAGTAACATATTGTCGCATTGCCATACGAACAAGTTTCTCTTGGACATTGCCGTAAGTATCGATAGTGCGACCGAATTGACGACGATTTTTAGCGAAGTCCTACAAGATCATTTCAAAATGAGAATAAGTTCTTATTTTCATCGGAAAACCACAACTTACAATTGATTTACGTATCGCCATTTTCATGGTTCCAGATAAACCAGCAACCATGCCAAATCGACCATTATTTAAAATATTCATGGCTACCTTTACTCAACGAAGTATGCAAATGATATCGATCAGTTTCTCTAACGAAAACTCACTTTAAATCCATTACCGACACCACCGAGTACATTTTCCACGGGAACTTTACAATCTTCGAAATACACTTCCGCTGTATTCGATGCTTTAATACCCATCTTTTTCTCGGGTGGGCCATGTGTAAGTCCACCGAATTTTCTTTCGACGATAAACGCGGTCATTTTATTGCGTGCTTGACCTGTTTTCTCATCGATGCTGGGTGTTTGGGCAAAGACCGTGAATACTTCGGCGAGACCACCATTCGATATCCAGATCTTTGAACCGTTCAAAATATAATGTTTACCGTCAGGTGATAGTTCAGCTTTTGTTTTAATTGAAGCTGCGTCACTGCCAGCTGAAATAAGTGCGAACAACTCTCAATGAATAATTTCTCCTAGCAGATAGATCATACCCGATGGTTCAGTGAGAGCGAAGGCAGCAAGCTGTTCTCCCGATGCTAATTTCGGTAGATATTTCTGCTTCTGTTCGTCGGTGCCGAAGAGAAGAATACCTTTGAAACCAATCGACTGATGTGCACCGGTGCAAATTGAAATTGCTAAATCATGAGCGCTAACTACTTCGAAGAGACGAGCTGCTTGTGTATTTGTTAAACCAAGTCCACCGAATTCCACGGGTACTTGAATACCGAATGCGCCTTGCTCCTTTAAACCGTTCATAACATCTTCTGAAATCTGAAGATAAAATGAAAATGATCAATTATTGGATGCGAAGACAAACGGCGAAGACATACTTGTTCTTGTTGATCGTTTTTAGCTGGATCATTTTTTTCTTCGAAAAATTTCCAGATGGGATCAATGAGCATTTTCACATTGTCTCGTTGTTCTTCATTGAGCACATTTGGATATGGGAAAACTTCGTTGGGATGAAATTGACCACGGAATAGATTCAGTACGAACGAGTTCGACGTTCTTGGTTGTTTATCGACTTTTTCATCTTTACTTGATGCTGGTGAAAGTCGTTCCTTCTTCGTCTGCTGATGTTCTTTGCTTTCCTTCGACTGCGGTCGTTGTTCCTTGATTAAGGATTCAGGTGTCACGGGAGCAGAAGCTAATGGCGCAGTCGCTGCAGTCCGATAAATGATCGAACGATTAAATGCATTAACGTAAGACGGAGCGCGTCGACAAGCAGTATTCACTAGTGTTGAGGTCATTATTATCTAGAAAATAACTTCTTATTTGTTGGCTTTTATCACACGGCAACATAACATTGTAGGAAAAAAAGGCAGCAAACAAATAACAAAACAAGTTATAGTTCTTTTTACGATGATACGTACAGAACGCAAAGAAGTACGTACGCATACGTCATCTCTTCATCGGTGAAATAGAACGGAGTTATAAAGTCCATTCGTACTGCTATGGACTTTAAATATTTTCATCTGTAGTTGATTGTTTCTCTTGTTTTTTTCTTCGTTTCTCTTCTTGTTCTTCCAATCGCTGATTTTTACGCTTATGATAGGAACTATCACCCGGATCACCTCGCGTCTTGAATAATTGTTTAAATATAACTTCCAATGAATTGATATTATTCATTAAATGAAATCCTTTAGTAGCTAATATCGCACTGATCGATGAGTCATTGTCTTGCACATATTCACTTTTATCACACGAGAGTACGGAAGGTATGTTCACTGTTAGCAAATTGTGACTATCGAAGAGAATGTATAAATCATTCGATGAAAAACAGTAATCAATAATAGTGCCATATGTAGAATTAAACGTCAGTTTACGCTGTTCATTACTTGTTTTTTCTAGATTCGTTAAAGTAGTCAGATAGATCGAATGTGCACGATCGGCATAGATTGAAAAAGCGAGAAAAACATCAGACGCAGATGCCACATCCATTTTCCAAATGGAATGATTGATCGACGAAGAACTTTGATAGTCAGATGACGACGACTGACCGTAGAAGATTTGCTTTGCTGAGGATGTCAATGTTTGTGAATCGAAGACATTTAATTGAATACAATCTGGCAAATGCCATAGACGAAGTGTACCTACAAGATACAAGAGTAATGAATAGGTTTTTCTAGGTGCACGATATACAAACCGTCGCCTGAGGCCGAAAGGATTCGATTTGAATCAATGAGTTTCACATGAGAAACAAATTCTGTATGTCCGAGACAATAGCCTTCGATATTATAAGCATTTGGATAATGACTCAGTCGAATCTTTTCATCTCGATCAGCAGTTAAGATATATTCTTGTTCATCATTCGTACGAACAAAAGCTACATCGAGTAACATGGATAGATGTCCCATCAGACAATTTTCTCCTGTTAGAGTCACATTGTTTGTGGTCGATAAGTCAGTTTGATAAACATCACCACTCTTATCAGCGATGAGTAGAAAATCATTAGTTAAATCTAATGCTGATGCACGTTTGATCACTGTGATGATTCGCTGCAATTGCCAATATGTTTTCTTGTCGTCCGATGGTATATAGATGTATATTTGTTTGTTCTGTCCATTGATCACCAATTTCTGACCATCAGGAGTGAATTTAACCAAATTCCGATTGAGATCAGATGTATTTTCATCATCATCGTCATTCGTCTTCTGTTGTGATTGGTCATTTGCTACATCGGGTTGAAGATACTGCCATTGTTTTGTATCATTTAAATTGAATACAATACCAGCACCGTTTCGTAATGAAATCACGAGCCATTTCGTGGAACTGATTGCTAATTCTGACATATCTGAAAAAATAATTTTATGCATGAGATTTTATTTTTCTATATAATCGAAAAATCAATTAATTTTAAATCGTCGAAATGATTGGAATCGGGATGTTGACTACAATTTTTCACATCATTATCTACTAAAATAAATGATTCGATATCATTCATATTGAATTCATTTAACAGATGCCCGTTGTCGGTTAAATTTACAATCGTTTCATCAACCAATGTGTCCTTCTTTTGTTCGTCATTCACAGTTAGTTCATATTCAGTTCCACCTTCCAAAACGTCTTTTTTCTTAATGGTGACATTCAGATTATGCTTATCTTTCATGTGCAACCGTAGTTTCGAAGCATGAAAGAATTCTTTGGCACATAACCAACAAACAAATGGCTAGAAAAAAACAAGTTCAATTGATAGTATCGAATGTTTTCGACACTAACCTTATAGTCTGCATGAATAACCAGATGTTTCCGTAGATCATCATTGCATCGAAATGTTGCTTGACATTGATCACATACGTAGGGACGTTCATCAAGATGTCCTCGGATATGTACTTCGAGTTTACACGGGGCAATGAATGTTTTCTTACAATATGGACATGCATATGGACTGATGCCTAAATGGCGTTGAATGTGATGTCGTAAATTACCCCATTGAGAAAACTTCGAACCACAAAAGTCGCATGAAAATGGTTTATCTAGCGAACAGAGCAAAAAGGTCATTAGACAAAGAAGAATGCGCTTCGAACCTCGTGTATGTACACGCTGATGTTTTCGTAATGTGTATGTTGATGAAAATGTTGCTTTGCATTTATCACAACTTAACGAGGAGATTTTCTTTTGAGATTTGAAATCTTCTAAATGAAGTGTTTGACCATGTTGATTGATATGTCGTTGCAAACGCTCGATTGACACTGTAACCAAACCACATATTGGACACGTATATCGGATGGACTTTGGTCCGCGCACACGTGCTTTGTCTATTGACTGACGATTTGTTAGATGTAATAATTCAACATTACTTAAACGTTCGATCTGTACAGTGGACGCTTTTACTATTGAATAGGCGAGAATCCAATCGTTAGGATTTGCCATATCGAAGTGCGTAGGGATTGTGTCATTGAGAAAAGTTAAATTGAAATCATTGAGAAATATTTCGTCAAGATTTGACATCATTTTTTTTCTATTATAAGTAATAATAGAAATCAATTATATGTTCTGTCAAGTTCGATTGGAGAACGAATTCGATTCGATAGATGCCACATGAATCAATTTATTTTCATTCGAAAAAGTTTATTTGAACAATTTTTTTGTGTTGAATTACATATATTCGCTTATATTTTCGAAATATTTTTCATTACAACCATTGGTATTCAGCGTCCTCTATCAAACGCCAACACAATTGAGTAACATAACCGATCATTAGTAAAATAAAACGGTTTCTTTACCTTCGACAATTGATTGTTGTCAAGCCTTTTACAGTGATGTTTAAGAATTTAAAAGATAAATTAGCTACTCAAGTCAATAAAACCAATCAAACTCTATTCTCAACTATTCTCCCAACAGATTCCGTATGTTTGACAAGAGATTCTTTTCATAATCATATCTTCCGTTCATTAGGCATCCTCATCTTCAACTACTAGTCACGATGTGAGTCATGTAAATACTTTCTTCTATGATCTAAATGAACATTTATGGATTTGTATTCTTTTGCCAAGGAAAATAATCGTTCACGGATAGACTCAGCTTCGAGTGATATCAGTCAAACTCAAATAGGCAACACAAGCTACGTCTCACCAGCACGTCAATTCGTACCGCCCTCAGATGTCGATTCCGAATATGGCGCGGATGAGAGTGATCATGAAACTCGTACAGTAAATATAATTTAAAGCTTTCGATGGTTGAAATTCTTGTTTGGTTTGCTTAGAAAGCACAGAAATTACTCAATATATATAAGAATAAATTTTCACAGTTGAAAAATGCGTACGATGAAGTGGAACGCGAAAGGGATAATTTAAAGAGTGTCTTACAACAACAGCAAGATAATGCGATCAAACGACAAAGTGAATTGCGTCAGAAAATGAAACAAGAACTACAAATGAAAGAACAAACGGAAAGCATCTATCTCAATGAGATCAAAGCACGTGAGAAAACAGTCGAAGAACTCACTCAACAAGTAATACTTACAATTTTTCATCATAATGAAACGATCTTTCTTTGTGCTCATAGCTTTCAGAACGAAATAAGACTATTCGAGAACTTGAGGAAGATGTTAAAAATCTACACGAAAAGGTCAGATGAGCTTTCATTCACTAACTCATACGTTTCATTTCTTTCGTAGAATACGCAACGTGAAAAATTGCTTCTTCAATGTAAAGAGAAAATAAATATTCATCAGGAAAAGCAAAATGCTCTAATCGTCGAACGCGATAATCTCAAAACGCAGTTAGACGAAAAAGATGCATTCATTCAGTCATTAACTAAAGTATGTTTGCTTGGTTTCTAAGTACATAGATGGATGACTCTGTTTATAACAGGAAGATCACGCGGCAAAATCAAATGATCTTCAAAAAATATACGATGAATTACTTGTGAAATTCAATGAACTTTCAGAGATTAACCAACAGTTGCAAGACAAACACCATAACGAAGAATCTAATCCAGTTGAACACACAGGTTTGTTATCAGATGAGAAATGCACTCCGCGTTGAAACATACCATGTATAATTAGTTGACATCGATACGATTGTTACAAACTTGAAGCGTGACCACGAAGTCGAATTAAACAAAAAAATCGATGAACTACGAGAAGAACAGCAAGAAGCAATTGATAAGTTAGAAAAGACTCACAAACAACAATTAACGGAAGTCGAAGGTTTAGTTAGAAAAACGCAACACAAGTCAGATGACTTATCTTTACAAAATACTGAGCAGCAGAAAGAAATCGATCGTCTTCAACAATCACTAAACGAACAAAATACGAAAATAACTCAGTACGAAAATGAACTGCAGGCGAAAACTACTCGTATTGCTGAACTCGAACAAACAACTACATCTAATCTACAAGACAACATCGAAAAGCAACTTTTAGAAAATCAAACAGAACTTCTGCAACTTCGTACAACTATTGCCGAGCTCGTGAACACGATTGCTAAACAGAAAGAACTACTCGAACAAAAAGACGGTGAAGTATGTTAAGTCAAAACGCCTTATCGTTACTCTTACCTTTTCTTTGTTGACTAGATCGATACATTCAAGCAAACTCTATCCAATCAAGAATCACTTTATCAATCTTTAACAAATGAACATCAACAAACAATGGAAGATCGAAATAGATACCGATCTTTAGCTGATGAAGTTCAACAACAGTTAGCTCTCCAGAAATCTCAATTGGACGAGCAAGAGAAGACGTTGAGTAATGAATTGAAACGATCTGAAGACAAGACTCGTAAGCTTCAAGTAAATTTTCACGACTGAGCTTAAGACGTGCAGACGAACGATGACTATTTTTCTTTTAGACTCAATGTGAATCACAGCAGACTGAAATTGCCTCTTTGCAAACTGAACTTGCAAGTTTGGTAGATACGAACGAAGAGAATACTCGTCGGATAGATGAATTTGAAAATGAAAAGTTCAATCTCGAACAAGAAATCATCGAGAAAGACCGACAAATCGATGAATTGAATGAGAAAACTATCGAACTCGAATCAGATCTCAAACAGGCACAAGAAAGTGGGGCAAAACTACGTAAAGCATTACAAAAAATGAAAGAATCCGTGGCAAATAAAGAACAAAGTAACGTGCAGGATACAGGTAACGTTTTTGACGAAAGTACCGATCCTTTCTTTACCATTTTGCGGTTTACGCAGAAAATCAATTGAGGAAAACCGTGGAAGAATATGAACAACGATTGAGAATACAAGAAAAAGAATATGATTCGAAATTGAAAGCGATGGCAAAAGAAATGAATCGACAAATTGAGGAACGAGAAGCGAATTATCATCAACAATTAAGCGATCTAAAGCGTAAATTTAACCGTTTCTATAGGTACAGTGTTTCAAAACAGTATTTTTAGGTAAAAATCAGCAAATCGAACAACAAGATGTCTCTAAATGGGAAGAGAAAGTAAATGATGCCGAAGAACGTGCTCTAAATGCTGAACGAGAGATGTCGAAGTTGCATGAACAACTGAAAGTTTGTTTAGTTGATCTCTTCAAGCCATTCGATCAGCATTTATTCTCTAGGAGAAACAGCTGGAACATTATCGAGCCACACAAGACTTGCAAGTTCAAATACAAAAGTTACAAAAACAACTTCCTCAGTGAATATTCATATTTAATTGTTTTCAAATTAAAAACGTTCATGTTCTTTTAGGACGACTGACGATTCTACTCAAACTATTATCGAAGGTAACTATTTGTCTTTATATGATGATTGACAAGCTATTCTTGTTGCAGAAAATGGCTTACATTCATTTCTATCTGCACCGACGGAAGTTGACTACTTGAAACAGATTGTACTTGCATATATGATTGGAAAAGATCAACTAGTAAGTTAAATATATTCCTATAAAAGCACAGAACAAAATGGCTTATTCTTCGTTCCATTAGACAATGGCCAAAGTTATCTGTGCGGTTCTTCGTTATACCGACGAGGAAAAATCGTTGATACTAGAACATGAAAGACACCGTCACTCTGTAAGTTTTTCTGAACACATGGACATTCTATAGATATCTTTTTTGTTCAGAGATGGCTCAACTCAATAAAAACATAGTCATTGGCTTGGTTAGATCCTCTTCCTATTCTAATTGGAATTTCTATTTATTTATTTATTACAAATGGAGACTGGATATATTCATTCAATTTTATTGTTACAAAAAAGAAAAATAATACTTTTCTTTTTTTGTTCTTGCTTTGTTTTTGATCACAATTGTTCTTCCTATAAATTTATTTCTGAAACATACCTCTTGATTAGTGTTTTATTAGAAGAAAGTAAAGTTTATCAATAATTCTAAGCATCATCATCTACGCTTACGGCCATACCACGTTGAATACACCAGTTCTCGTCCGATCACTGAAGTTAAGCAACGTCGGGCTCGGTTAGTACTTGGATGGGTGACCGCCTGGGAATACCGAGTGTCGTAAGCTTTTTTGTTTTGCTCAATTTTGATACATAGGAACTTTGAATAAAATCATCATCATTGATTAGTCGATCTGCTGTTTCTAGTTTAATACTAACAACATCTCAACGCACAACTGATTTTCAAGTATATCTCGATCTAATACAAGTAGCAGCGTTTTGTTGAAACATGATTTTTTTCCACTGACACGTTCTCTACTAAAAGAAATGAAATTTTGTCTTGCATGATACTTGTTTTCTCATGGACATAATCTCTCATTAGTTGTTTACAATTAAAAGTTTTGGAACATGCACTTTCCTTGGAAACTGTGTCAATTGAAAAACTCTTTCCGGATGTTTTCAACAATTTTGATTTGTTGGTGATGGATGCGAACAGATACTTATTTAGCAGAAAGCATGCATATATGATTGAACACTGCTCTATGCTCTGTAGTCCATCCTACCGATGGGTTCGATGGAGAATGCCGAGTATAAAAACGTCGAAAAAGGAAAAGGAAATATCCTTATATAAAAGTTTTCGCTTTTTCCGGAATTTTCCAACGAACTGTGAAAACTTATGTGTAATGTAGCATGCTATATTCTATACAGGATTACAGGAACGTTTGCATATGTATGACGTAAGTGTATATTTTCCTTTCTTGTTTTTTCCCTATATATATATGTCTTCTTTCTATATGTTTGTGTATGGATAGATCTCTATCTCCAGTGTCCTCTTCTCTTTCCCTGATCTTTTCATTTGATCAATTTCAATACGTAACATAGCAATTCCGCACTGATTTTCCACAAGACATTTTTCTAGAGTGTTGATGATAGTTAGATTATCTCTGACGAATATGGTTTCTCATCAATTTGTCATGCAGATGACTAGAAATGCGATGATTCGAACGCTTACGAATTGCGCTATTTGATAGCAACCTCCGACGTAGATAGGTACAAACTGAGACAATATAATTTTTTCTTTTAACAAACAGGCATACCACTTGAAAGATATTAGTGTATTGGATATAGCCAATAGCAACTTCTAGAAAACAGAGTAGAGCTTCGAATCCAACATGGCAACTGGTTTGGATGGCACAACAAAGCGGAACGTAGATTCATCAATGGCCGAAATACTGGAGGCGATTAAAGTTACTGGTACTTTTCAACGTTTAGTCGTCGAATATTACAGCAATGGCACTATCAAACGTATAGAGAAAGAGTTGAATCATTTTGCTATCATCACAGTTGGGCTAACTACCATTGCGTTCGGCGTTACCGTTCATTTTCTCGGTCCAAGCAACGTGACTGAATATGCCAAAGCAGCGCTAGCAGCGGCTCAAGCAGTAGAGGCCGTCTCCAGTGTCGCACGTGGCAAACCTGTGCCAAACGGTTTAATGCATCCAATGGGCATATAGAGGAAAATGCATGGATGCACTTTGCTTAGGACTATGTAATCTAGATATGCATTTTGATTAAGCGAATAAAATATATCAGTTTACACAAGACAAGTAAGCTTCTTCACAGGATAAAAAAAAAACTCATATTTGTATTGCTAATGGAAAAAATGTTTTAATCAAATAAACTCGAATGACATACTCAAACTGAATCAAAACCACGAATAGAATAACGTGAAAATCACACTGTTGCGATTTAAGGAAGAATCAACATGATTTTAAAAATACTAACTAATTTTCCAAACTTTCAATCAAAGTGCAAAATACATAGCAGAGTGTATAGATCAGCGTGTGTACAACAGAAATCGCAGATGCTCTCTACAAGTGAATTTAGTATGCATTCAAATATTTTCTTGTACAACGGAATATTTATTCCTTCAAACAAAACAAAAAATGGTACTTTTCGTGAATGATGGCGACATCTACATCATACATCTAACGGACGCAGAAAGTGGCTTTCTTTATTGTTTTGTTCATATATCATCGAATGAAAGTTTCACTAAGAAAGATGAGATTAATTTCGAAAGTGCCGTGTAGAAAGCTATTTGGTTGACGATATACTCGTTCAGACACACAGTTTTCCACTGTACACTGATCCGTGGTCACAAAATGTCTGAACCTACACGTGTCACTTTCAAACTGGGTGGTTTCAAGCGACCTGCTCTGAACAATCTGGTACCAGCAACCAGTCAGTTTGACACATCGACATCCAATACAGATGATCAACAATTAGAACTTGTAACCGGTTTTGACAATGGTGAACTCAAAGGCAATGCACCAGTTGTAAAAAAGGAAGAATTAGTTATACCTAGTCAACCAAACGCTCATAATCAATTTTTCAAAATGAAAATAGAAAGTAAAAAGAAGATGACATCAAATGGAACGGATATGAGTCAATTAGAAGATGAAGCCAAACGTGCACTCATTCTGGATGCCCAAGCAGCTAATGAAGCTTGGAATGAACGAAATGAGAACGGACCAGTTCGTGTACATACAATCGAACAAGATTCAGCGAACACGTTTATGATTAACACGGACGAAGAAGCCAATGCAAAGGAACCCGAAGAAGAAAAAGAAGTTGAAAACGCTGATTACGAACAGGTTCCAATCGAAGACTTTGGAATGGCTGTCTTACGTGGCATGGGTTATAAAGAAGATTCCGGCCTTGGTATATCAAATAAGAAACAAGTCGATGTTTTTGTTCCCGAAAGTCGTCCTCGCGGTCTTGGTTTAGGTGCCGATCGAAAAGTTTTAGAAAAAATTAATCAATTGAAACGTAATTTAAAAAAAGCTGGCATTGACGAAAAAGATGATTTATGCTTTGAAAAAGGAGCTTTTGTTCTTATTGAGAAAGGTCCTCATCAAGATTTGTATGGTACAATTGAATCCATTGATGAAGATGTTACTCGTTTAACCGTTTCATTAGCTGTTAGTGGTACAAACAAGAAGAAAGAAGTCATATCGATATCACAGTACAGCGTTAAATTAGTGACAGAAAAGGAATTTCTCAAATATAGCAAATATGTCAATAAATCCAAAGCTGATCGGGTGGACAAAGAAACAAGTGAACGTCTGATCAAAGATTACCATCGATCTGAGACGAAGAGCACTAGTTCTGGTGACGATCGCGACCGTGAACGTGATCATAAACATCATCGTTCATCTAAAAATGATGACCACGACCGAAAGCATCATCGACATCGAGATGACGACAGAAATCGATCAAGACGGCATTAATTATTCAATTGTTTCCTCTTTTTTTTTCTACATGTATAATAAATATCCATACATATTTTGTTATCATCCTTGTAATTTTCTTATTCTGGATTTTATACGATGGCTGGCGGTAAAAAATCAAGAAAGCAAAACAGATGAATTTCAATTGCAAATAGGCAGATATTCCATAGACGCGAGAAAAGCAAACATAGAGTATATCAAAATAGATGTATGGTCTAATGAAAAAAACAGAATCATGCAGACATTTGGGAATAAATTTAATATATACGAGAAAAGGAAAAAAGATGTGTGAAATCTATCTATATTCCTAAACGAAATACTATGTTCGAATTGTGGTCATGTGTGCGCATCCTGTCGATGGTGAAGTAAGTGCAGAAGAAGGAGAATAACACAAAAGGAAGTAGTTTTATTCTTATAATTATCAAAACCAATAGCATTGTTTCTATTATCTGAGAAAAAAAAACGAGAGAGAATGAAGAGAACATTGTTGCTTTTCTTTCTCTGCTATTGTAATATTTTATATTTACAGTAGCAGTTCGACTTTTCTAACGGTAAGTACCATGTTTAATTATAAAAAAAAAGACGCGTTTTATATGCTTTTACAAAATTCAAGTATTAATGGCAGCAACAGCCGGAAATCTGTTGGTTTCAAAGGATTTCAAAAGTAGTTCATATCTTGATCGCCTATTACCAAAGCATAGAAACGTCAATAGAGCGTTAAGTTTCACACCACTCAGTAACTTGAACTGACTATTTCTCTATTAACGACACATACAATTTTCTTTTTAGGTTCATCAATTTTAGCCCCAATGAAGAGAGTAAGCCAAAGCTCAACTAAATAGCTAAATTAGCACAGTTCGATTTTAGTTGAACAAAACATTCGACGCTTCATCGGACTCGGGCGAACAAAATCGAAGTCCACGGAATGAATTGTATAGGGTAACGGTTCACTTTTGAGAGAAAACAAAGAAAAATTCGTTGAATATTCAGTTGCAAAAGCAATCCTATGAAAACGCCAAGAAACACATTGCATCCGAGTTGGAATATATTCTCAAAGATCCTTCAATTGTGGTCGTTAGCGATTGGCTCAAAGTGCGAGGAACACTACGGGACTGGACTAAGCTGTGGGCAGTTTTAAAACCAGGTTACATGTTACTCTATCGTAGTCCTATATCTATGGTATGTGAAAACCTACCTATTCGATTCGTTCATGATGATCGTATTGTAGGACGGTGTTTGGGTTGGCACTATTGTTCTCTCATCGTGTGAAGGTGGGCGTTGTACTCGGTTTTGCTCGTAATTTTGACTCTCTCATCGTAGTTATTCAACGACCTTCGAAGAAAACAGGATTCTGTTTTAAAATTTGGCATCCATTAGAAAAATCTATCTGGACGCAGAAAGTAAACGAGTTTTACTACGAAACAAAATAAAACACGACTTTTCCTCTTCCTGTAGGGTCCTAGAAATGAGCAATTTGGTGCCCTGACATTTCCTCTACCAATCAATTACTTAATTTGTCGAGCATCAGACGAAGCCACGGGTATTTTGCTTCAATTTTGATTCGTCAGAGACAAAAAATAGCTAAACCATTAAGGATATTGCTGGATGGATGGACTTGAATTAACAATGAAATGTTCAAAATTATTGAAAAAGCCCTTTCTAACGTATGATGTTCCCCCTACGTCAACCACGAGCAATTCTTCAATCCTGTCTAATGAAGACAGCATACTTTCAAACAGCAACTCCTCCACAAATGATATTAATCTGTCTCGCACGAACCTTCTGGCAGACGATGATCGAATGAGTGAAACCAGTGCTGATATGAGCAGAACTTCAAGAAGTGGCACCACTCAATCGGAAATGTCACAAGATCGACCTAATCCTCCCGAGGAAGAGAAAGCTATAACGCCATATATTCTTGCGCCTCCAGAGGAAATGGGCGAAGTATGTCGAGCGAAAAAAAAAATGCACACTTCTTATCGAAAAAATCATGCTAATTTTAGCTTGGCAATGCGGCCCAAACGGAAGAGGTAGCCGACGAAAACAAATCGCTAATAGTGCATTTATTAAAACAAGTTCGGCCAGGCATGGATTTAGCGAAAGTAGTTCTCCCAACATTCATACTAGAATCTAGATCATTTCTGGAAAAACTTTCTGATTATTATCACCACTGCGACATTCTTGAAGAGTATGTTTATTTCAACGATACACTTTAGCATGTTGAAAACTATTTTAATAACTTTTCTTTTGCCTCTAACGAACTTATGAGAGGGAACTTGATATTAATTAGATTGTTGCTATTTTTAGAACAGTCAATTCACCTGATCCGTTAGAACGGATGAAAACAGTTGTAAAATTTTACCTCTCAGGATTTTATAAGAAGCCAAAGGTTTGTTTAAAAATGGCGTGTCAGCAACTAATTTCAACTTAATTTCAGGGCCTGAAAAAGCCCTACAATCCTGTTCTAGGCGAAGTATATCGCTGTTATTTTCATCATACAAAAAATGATAGTAAAACATTTTATATCGCAGAACAGGTGAGTTCATACTAGAAAGCGTCTGTAGAAAATCGATGGGCTGTTCGGTTAGATCTCTCATCATCCACCAATTACAAGTTTTTATGTGTCAAATCGAAAGGAAGGATTTTGTATTCAAGGAAATATCTTAACAAGATCCAAATTCTATGGTAAATACTTAATCGGTGACTTTAGTTTTCCATTTCAACTATTACCTATAGGCAATAGCTTGCAAGCAATACTGGATGGCTCAGCTCGATTGACTCTACTGAACCGTGGAGAAGATTATAACATTACTATGCCGTATGCGAACTGTAAAGGTAAAGTTAGTCACTCTTTTCAAACATTTTCATAATCCAGCTGTATCGATGTCATGCAGGTATCCTGATCGGAAGGTTGACTATGGAATTAGGTGGCAAAGTAACAATTACTTGTGAAAAAACTCGTTATTCAGCTGATATTGAATTCAAATTAAAAGTAACAAGTGATTCCCTTTTTCTTCTTGATATATGCATCGTTTCTACTTCCTTAAAGCCCTTTATCGGTGGCCAAGAATTAACTAACTTGGTTGAAGGAAAAATCCGTCTGGAAGACGATGTCCTCTATACTTTTTCTGGTCATTGGGACGATGAAATCATCTTGATCGATAAAACCACACACGTAGATTCCACAATATTCTGTATATCAATCATGGAGAACTAGGTTTGTCTGTTGTAGATGAAAAGTGTCTTGTGGAAAGTCACGCCATCTGTGATCAATTCTCGTCTGAAACGATATGTCGTACCGATCGAACAACAACAAGAGAATGAATCCGAAAGGTGAAAACTAATTCCATCGAAAAAAAAGATATTCTCTTTAATAATACGATTTTCGATGTAGATTATGGCAACGTGTAACATCAGCAATTCGACAAAATGATCAAGTTTTAGCTACCGAAGAAAAGACGATCATTGAAAGTGAACAACGTAAACTGGTTAAAGAACGCAAGATAACAGGAATTGAATGGCATCCTTGTCTGTTCTCAATGGATGAAAATATCAGACAATGGACATACAATCATATAGAGTAAAATGTGAACATCTTGTCAAATAATCTTGCAGTTGTATTCTTTTATAGCACTCATCCATGGGATTCACATAATGATATTTCCACGTACGAAACAAATTTTATGATCTGCACGCATACATGTCATCATCGAGATCCAATGATTGTTCATGAACGTACCGTATCGTTTCGCAATACTCACAGTGAATCAATTCTAACCGATCGGAAAGCATCATTTAGTGAAGATATAACATCGATATTGAAAAGTATTGAAACAAATCTGATGCATACAAGTGAACGAATTGACTTTCATGAGCGACAAATTTGTCAATTACAAACACAACAATCAATACGTTATCCTTCGTTTTACCTCATTCATTTTCTTCTTCTTATTTTTGTTGCATTCATTTTAAAATATTTATTTCGTTCAAGTTAAATAAGTGTTCTTTCGGTTACTTTTTTTTATTGTCAACTAGTTGTATGAATAAAACATCATTTGGTAGTAAAATATTTGTCGTAAATAACCACGCTGACGATCAATACAATCGATATCCACAAAGCATGAAGAGCGATATTACTCCGAAACAATTTCTCAGCTTGGCGATCGACATTTTCACTGTGAGTTTTGTTGCTTATATTGTTCGATTTGAGATGTTGAGCGTTCAAGTTGTTTTTTTCTTCTTCGGTAGAATCGGTGTCAATATTGGAACAATCTGCGTCATATTCATAGGTTTTATCGCCACACGTAAATGCCCAAAAATCTTTCAGTTCGTTCAATGGTCGTGGATATTTAAACCACTCCAGAGCTTTTTCTATTGAAACAAAATAAACATATCGATGGTCTGGACTAGTTAAAAGATGTTGAATAAAGCGAAGCAAAGCTTGCAGGCGAACTTTTTTGTTTTGAGCAAGCCAAGAAAGATCCAATTGAATAATGAAGGGTGATCGACGGCCAACAGTTAATGACGAATGACGTTGGAAATTATGCATAAGAAAATCATAGTAAATATCAGTGGTTGGCGTTTGATCCGCTGGCAGACATGACGAATCAGATAGAGTACGACAAGAGATATTTGCTGAAAAGAAATGTAAATTTTAAATGCCTGTGTTAAATTGAAAAAAAAACAAGATGCGCTCACAGTTCGGATAAGTCCATTCGTGTAGTGGAAATTGCCAAAGTGCTTCGAATGGTTTTGTCCAATTATAGCAGTTAATACATGCTTGATGATCAAATGGATAATCCATTGTGAATGGCCACATGAAATTGTTCGATTTGAACAACATCGATGAATCATAATGAAAATGATATTTCTCTAAGAGTTCGAAATGTTGATGTCCATCAATTTGTAAATGTGGTGCACGAAAGCCTTTGATATGGGATGAATGAATCTGTCCTTTGTCGACGATGTTGATGCGTTGTTCCTTTATTTCGCGTTGCCAATCTTTATTCGTCCATCTACGCCAAGAATTCTCTTGATAACAATTAGTTAATGGACATCTAGAAATCGAATCAAATGAGACGATTTTTCGCAAAATAAAGATAAATTTACTTGTTGCTCGATACTGTCATCGCTATTTCATGATGATTATCAAAAAGACGTTGAACTAAACAATATTCTGTATGAACGTCATGAATGAAAAATGTTGTTGAAATGGGACATTTATTTGGATTTCGATGGAATGAATGAAATATTGATCGAATAGAATCTAGTACATTTGTGTTTAAATTACCGACAAAAGTTAATAAAACCTGAAAAGAACGCTTAATTGATATACAAAAGACAACAATGCTAAGCATAGAACACATACAAACTGAGGTAGATCAATGAGATCGAACGATGTTGGATTACCATTATTTGTTGGACATTGACAACTGGGTAAAAGACAATTGTCTTTAGTGCAAGTTTCACTTTGGCCTGATATGAATGACAATGTTAGAAAGCATAAAAAATAAAAGAATAACATCTGAAAGCGATTGATTGCTGAAATTCAATTCTTTGTTTATCGTTCTACCCAGTGAAAAGAGAAGAAATATTCAGAATGATGCGTTAAAACATATGTGCTTTTGTATTTAACGGATGATTTCGAAGTCGACTAGAAAAGAAAAACAAAAAAGCTTACGACACTCGGTATTCCCAGGCGGTCACCCATCCAAGTACTAACCGAGCCCGACGTTGCTTAACTTCAGTGATCGGACGAGAACTGGTGTATTCAACGTGGTATGGCCGTAAGCGTACATTACTCCTCTATTTTTCCATTTTCAGATTAAGACGATCGACTTCATCGATTCAAACAAGTACTGCTCATAATCATTGACGAGAACGCTTCGAATTTATATAGCAGACATAGCGCATTTCGTTCGTAGATATTGGTTATTGACTGTGCTTCATCTTGATACGTGACTGGTGAAGTCATATGAATATTCAACATGAAACAAAATTGTTGGTCATCGAATGTCAAGTGTTGAAATAACAATGGTCGATGTTCATTGACATTTTCAACAAAGGTTATGGTTGTTTTAAAGATTTTTTGCCCGAAAAATAGTTACCGGGATGTTGAAGATATTTTGTAGGCTGTCCATGTCTTTAGTGAAACATTCTTCTCATGCGACTTAATACTAATCTTTGAATTACAAACTCGCGATATGAATTATCATTAGAAGACTGTTCATGTAGTATCATGCATTTGAAAAAGTCACTAAATCTTCTTCGGAATCTCTCCTAGATGACATATCAACATAGATGTCGCCCTTTTTCATGTGTAATGTAAATCTGTAGTCTGATTGGTCGAATACTGACATGTAATTTCTTTCGCCTCATATGGATAGGAGAAATTGATCATTCATCCTTTATTTTCGTTTCAATTCAATCAAACAAATAGTTATCATTAATAATGGGCAAGAAACAGCATCAACAGGACAAACTCTATCTTACCACTACAGTAAGTCATTTCATTTTCCCCTCTCTACATCTTTTTCAATTGCTTTTCTTTATTGTTTAGGAATGGAAAAATTCCTTTGGTGGTTACAAGGGTGCTACCAAAGCGAATGCTGATTTTCGTCGGTTGCCATTCAATTGTTGTAGCATCTCATTTCTACCCGTAGAAAATCCGTATTGTACACCTGATGGCATTGTCTTTGACCTTGCTTCTATAGTTCCATTTTTGAAAAAGTTCGGTAGGTTGTAAACAACATGTTGTTTCCATTACAATGCAGCTTCCTTGACGCTTTCAGGTCGTAATCCCGTCACAGGCGACAAGCTTGAAGCGAAACAACTAACCAAGTTAATTTTTCACAAAAATCAGAAAGATGAAATTCATTGTCCAATAACTTTCAAAGTACTGACTGAAAGTTCACACATTGTGGCCATACGACCATCGGGTAATGTCTATAGTTACGATGCTATCGACCGTTTAAACCTTAAGACCAATACATTTAACGATCTCTTGACGAATGAATCATTCACACGGGAAGATATTATCACAATTCAGGACCCAAAAAATTTGGATAAATTCAACATTCAATCATTTGCACATTTGAAAAATGATTGGAAATTAGATGATGAGGATGAGAAAGCTCGTCGAACAGATCCAAACTATTATTTGAAATATATCAATAATGAAACTGCTGCAACTCTACAGCAAATCAAGAGTGCACCGTCGAAAGAATTCAAGGAAAGGTCTGAAACAAGTATCTATTCGAGTAAACAAGTCAAACCTAATCAGCAACATTTGGATGAAACAAATACGGCGACGTATTCAACTGGTCGTTTGGCTGCATCATTCACATCGACATCGATGGACCCAGTGACAGTCATGGAAGCAGCTGTTCGTGACGAAAACGAAATTCGTTACGCAAGGATAAAAAATGGTAAAAAGAAAGGCTATGCGCGAATGGTTACCAACTTAGGCGTAATCAATATTGAGCTGGATTGTGATCTATGTCCGCAAACGTGTGAGAATTTTATTAAACATTGTGCAGATAAATACTACGTCGGAAGCAAATTTCATCGATCGATCAAAAATTTTATTGTTAGTATAGAGTATTTTAATAGTACCACTTATAGTCTTTATCACTCGATTTCTTTTTCTAGATTCAAGGCGGTGATCCGACAGGTACAGGCCATGGTGGAAAATCAATATGGAACAAACCGTTTCGAGATGAGTGTAATTCGAAATTACAACACACTGGAAGAGGGATGTTGAGCATGGCTAATTCAGGCCCAAATACCAATAAATCTCAATTGTATGTACGATGCTTTACTTTTATGGGATAATCTTCTTCGGTTCTTTGTAGTTTTTTCACCTATCGCTCGTGCAAAGGGTTAAATGGTAAACACACTGTGTTCGGAAAGTAAGTTGAAATGTGGTGGTTTTGCTGTATGCATTTACCTATGCATAGAATCGTTGGTGGTATTGAGACACTCAGTGCAATGGAAGCAATTCCAACGGATGAAAAAGATCGGCCACAAGTAAGAACGATGATTTCTTGTCGAGGAGGAGAATTATTGATTGATAATTTCTCTTTTCCTAGAGCGATATTATTATTGAAGACACAATCGTATTTGTCAATCCATACGATGAAGTTGACGCTGAAGTAGGCATTTTCTCTGCGGTGGATACTTTTGATTTATGTCGAATAATTTTTTAGCTAAAAGCTGAACGAGAACGTCAAGATAAGCGTGAAGCGAATGAAGAGAGACTCAATGGAACTGTACGATCCGCCAAATCTACCGCAGTAGCAACAGGAACAAAGAGCTCGACAGCATCCACCTCGTCCTCGGAACAAACATTTCGATCTGGAATTGGAAAATATATTTCCAATCAAGTTTAGTGAGTCTTCTTTCTCTTCTACCCTCGAGTTATTCATGCGCATGATTCGCATTGCTTTCTAGTTCAAGTGCGAAACAAGCTGCACCCACCTCCGACGAAGATAACGAATATGCACAAAAGAAAAAACGTAAACTAGCAGCAGCTAGCTCAGGTGGATCATTGAACTTTAGCCAATGGTGATTTTACCTGGCTACCGTTCTTTTCTTTTTTGTCTATTGTATTGTAATTAAAACATGTTTTGTCGGTCATGGATTTTGAATATTAAAAAATGTCCATCGATATGTCGCACTAAAGTCTATCTAGAATTTCTTTCACAGTTGTAGAACTATTTCTCATACTTCCTGTCATTCATGGCTAGTATGGCCAGCAATCTGCAGGTATCGACTTCTTTTTTCAATGATCAGTGTTGCACATTCTATTCCGTTAGAAAATTCTTCGACAACATATACCAATGATCCAATTTCGATACGGGGCGAATCGATCAGGTAGAAATTTGGCTTCCAAAATAAGAAATAGATGTATGAGGATGTCCTATATAGGTTCAGCCACCCATGCAACGAAAGAGAACGTGAAGGATTCATCAAGTGTAGTGAATAAAGCTGGTGCTACCTCCCCAACGAAAACAGTTCAACAAGCTGGTACATTTGAATTTGTGCAAACACCAGCTAAGTATCGTCGACGCTCATTAACCCAAGAAGAGATTGACCTCGTTGCGGTAATTTTCTTATTCATTTGCTCACCGTCGAGATCTATCGCCTCCTTGTTCTTTTGTAGATTGGCGGATCTGTTTAGTCTGGACTCCTTTTAGATTCATCAAATATTCCTTAGCGCACAGAGACAATCCTAAGCAAATCTTATATCAACACATGTATTTTGTTTTGTCTTTTCCAAAATAAAAACACACGAAACAGTTTATCGAAAGTTTGATCGACGCTTGCTTGCACGTTTATCTTTGGAATCAGAAGGAAACACTTGAAAAGCGCTCTTTAAGCATTCAGCAGGCTTCCATTTATCCAGTTGTCGAACTTCATCTATGGATTCATCGTATTCACGTTGACGTTGTTTCTCTTCGAATTCTTCTTCATCAATGACATGAACTGTGTCACGTTTCATCGGAATGAAAGTCTTCTCTAGTCCATCTGGATTTCCATTGTATCCAAAGTTAATCGGAGGTAGGGTCGAACCAAGTTTATGAAAACCTGGTTCATATTCAACACGACGATAACTTTTATCACCATCCGATCGTTTCGGAATACCGTTACGTGAATCATAGACTCTTCGTTTATGTCCCATTTGTGTCATATGTACATCATCATCACCTAGATCTTCGATCGATCTAAGATGCATGTCAGCAAAACGATTTCTTTTCGACGGACGATGATCAAAAGACTCGTCTGGGAAATAGATCCATTCGTTCGATGTACGTTGCCAATTTTGAGGAAATGAACGAACAAAATGTAGATTTTGTTCAATGACAGCAACGGGTAGTGTCGGACGCGCATCAGGATTACGTGGAGATTTAATATATCGTAAACGTGAATGCCAATCTGGCCCAACACTACAAAGAAGAACTTCGTTCGTCGTACGTGCTTCAAAAATATTACTTTGAATATTCTGGTTCGATAAATTTACCATGTGGACGCCATTTGACATCCTCTAGAGGTGGAGGTGGAACATGAGCACGACCTCGAGGCTTGAAAACAGATTCACTAAAAGAAAAACGATGCTTTTCTGGATAGTGCCGTCGATCTAACCCTAAATGAAACGGATATTTGTCATATACTTTCAACTGAATGCTTTCCTACCGTGATAACCAGGCTTTTCTATATCGTAATGAAGATGTAATGTGGCAGCGTTTAGATGAACCATAATGGTATTCTCTGTACAGCTAAATGTTTCGTTTCTTTTCTTTTCTGTTGCTATTGTTGCTGTTGATAAGGTTGTCCATTAATTCATGTTGAAGTGAAGAAAAATAAGAAAGAAAAACGTTTTTCATCTTTCACTTTAGCTGCTCTTCAAGACTCCTAGCATCATCAATAACGACTGATTTCTTCTCGTTCTTTCCGATATTAATGGATTCATATCCGGCCGTTCTAATAGAAAAACGTTTGAAAACGTGAGGAAAAAAGACCTTGGAAGAATTGTACGAATTTCCATCGTAGTCTTCATCTTGCTTATTAATGACATTGAATATTGGTTATCTTATCTTATCGGATTGGAAAGACAAGACGAAGAGACCTGAGATTGAATTTCCTTTCTTTGTTTGTGATTGAAGTTACTGGGTAGACGATTGAAAATGACCGAGGTTAGTTTTCAACGAATAATGCAAGAGAAAACGTCTTGGTCTGTGTAGAAATTTACAGGTTATGATAATTCGGGATATGTAGACGATCGCCCAGCGTATGTTATCAGTACTACACATGGATTAATAGTAACCACGAAATTGCAAAAGAATGAAGATGATGACGACGATGATAACAATAATAGAGATTTTGAAAAGCTCACTGATGATGTTCATCCAAGCGGGTTATTAATCTTCAATTTGCGAAAACAATTTTTCCGGATGATCGAGGAACGAAAGGTAAGATACTGTATATAGTTTTATCGATGAATATTGATCTACTTAAATTTTCGACAGGAAACAGTGATCTACGGAGTAAAATCAGTCTTTCTAATTGCATTTATCGTTTATTTCGCATTTGCCATGAGCGAAAAGTACGGAACACCAGCATTTCCTATTCGCAGCAATGTTTTCCGTGGAAATTCAGGTACTATTAGGCAAAACATATCAATTCTCTCCAGATCTCGCTGTAGGTTTTGCCTTTTTATTTCTGGTGTTCTTTTTCTTCTTCATCTTCGCTTGGGAACGAATTCTCGGTCGTACATTTGCACAGTGGTATGAAAATCTGCCGATAGCTAAGTACAAACGTGAAATATCTAAGTTTTCATGGTATGCAATCTTGACGACGATCGAAAAAACTCATTTGTTGACCATGTCAATAGGGTGTGGCATCTGTTCGTTGTCACAGCTGTTGTATTCTATGTTGGATCGACAGTCACGCGTGCACGAAACTATGTGTCTCTTCTCGGTATTGTCATCTTAGTTTTATTGGGTACCATCGGTTCCAAATACCCTCATCGAGTAGGTAGGATGAGTTTCGATCGCAATTCATTTATGCGCAGATAACGTTTTATAATATATTCCTCTAGATTCGGTGGAAAACAGTGTTTTATTCGTTTGTGATTCAATTTCTTCTGGCGACGATTGTCATACGATTTGAGTTTGGCTTCCAATTCTTTGAATTTCTTGGCAAAGAAGTGTCGACATTTATCCAGTAAACAATTTGTCTGTTAGAACAAAATAGATGATCATCGATAACGAGAATATTTTAGTAATGCTGACGCTGGAGCAATGTTTGTCTTTGGAAAGACTTATGAAGAACATTTCTTCGTATTTAAAGTACCAAAAATGCTACTTTAGAAAAGCATCGTGAAGTTTTGTTTGCTGTTACATTTCAGGTGACGTCGATTATTATATTCCTTGGTTCAATCATCAATGTCCTATATTATTTGGGTGTAATGCAATATATAATCGGGAAAATTGCATGGTTTATGCAGAAATGTCTGCATACAACAGCGGCGGAAGTAAATGTCTACACATCTTCTTCTCTCCTAAGACTTGCTTTCGTTTAGTCGATGACTGCTGCAGCTAATATATTCGTTGGAATGAGCGAAGCACCATTGATGATTATGCCACTAGTTCCACAGATGACCATATCAGAACTTCATTCTGTATTAGTCGGTGGTTTTGCAACAATGGCAGGTTGTGCATTGAAATGACTTGTCTATGTCCCTCTCGATGAGTTCGTTTCAGGTTCCGTCCTTGCAACCTTTATCTTCTTTGGCGTTCCGGCCAATCATTTAATCGCTGCTAGTGTTATGGCTGCTCCAGGCGCGCTTGGATTTGCAAAACTCTTATTGCCTGAAACTCATCAATCGAAAACAACTTGGGAAGCCGTAAAAAATACACCACCACCGTACGAGACATTTCTCTTCGATCTTATTACACCGCCTGTTGTTATCTTAGAGAGCAACATAATGTAATTGATGCACTACTAACGGGTGCAGGTCATACATTGAAAATCTGTGGTTATCTGATCGCGAATCTGATCGCATTTATAAGTGTTCTTCATTTTGCCGACGCGACGATTTCATGGTTTTTTAATCTGATTCATCATCCGGAAATCAATTTCCAGTTTCTACTCGGATTGATCTTCTATCCGTTTGCAATTATCATTGGTATTCCAATTAGTGATTGTCTTTTAGCATCGAAATTGATCGGTATTAAAGTTAGTTTGAATGAAGTAAGTCAGAAAACGACTTGGCAAAGCTTTTCACTAACATACTCAACTCGCTCGTTGATAGTTCATAGCTTATCAAGAACTGGGCAGAATCCGGCAGTTACGTACTGAACTGATCTTGAATAATACATTTCCATTGTATCTAAATGGTACACTACAGTTACCAAATGATGTTCAGATGCTGTGGGAGGTAAATATTCGATTATTTGGGACCGTTTCTTTTTGTTGTGACTGACTAGATTTTTTATTTATTTATAGGACAGCTCAGTAGTTATTTTAACCTATGCTCTATGTGGTAGAACTTTTCTTAGAAGTATACTCGATAGAAAAGATTGTTTCTAGGATTTGCTAATTTCGGCTCCATGGGTATCGCTTTAGCAACATTAGGAGTTTTTGCACCAACACGAAAACGAGCGTTAGTCAAAATTGCACCACGCGCCTTAATTGGAGCAAATATGGTTTCGTTGATGACTGCATCTATCGCTGGTGAGAAGAAAATGCATATACACCTTCATTCATCTTCAAATGCTTCTCTCTTCAGGCTTATTGTACGATGCTCAACATGCAGTGACTGCTGTGACCAATACCAATTTTACAAGTGTATAAGCTGATGTTTTCAGAGTTCTTCTTTCTATAGATTAGTTTGTTGTACTGATTTAGAAATAAATAGGATACTTCTCATCTATAATTTTAACCAACATCCTGTTTCACTTAGATTTTTTCCTATAGAAATCGAATGTCATGAAAGAGAAATGTAAAACGTGGCACATATAACATGAATAATCTACACATAACATGATGACTCACCGAATAGAGTAATTGCTCAACCTTGATGTATGCATGATATTCATAAACAGAACGTACGGTCTGTAGAAGCAGAAAAGAAAAAACTAGGACAGAAAGAAAGGAGAAAAACATTGTGGTAATATTTTCTTAAGCGTATAAAAACTCAGAAATTGTTGGCGAGTAAACTACAAACAAAACAGAAAAGAGATGGTTTTAATACGCAAAATCAAAAGCGGACGTCGATCAATTGTGTGGAGATACAATGGTGAAGCACAGTATCTTGATGGACCTCAATTGGTAGTGGTTTGGCCATGTATCAATCGAATACAACCATTGACATTACATCATGCTAATGATATGCAGTATTTAGAAGTCAGATATGCTGATGGAAAAACAGAAATTCAACCGGGGCCTGCAGCTTTGTTTGATGATCCACTGAAGATTTCATACATTCAAACCAAAGATCTGATTAAGCTCGATGCAAACGAAATCTTAGTTTTATACACTCAGGCTGACGAAAGCGAAAAACAAGGTAATTCCATTCACTTGATATGGGTAAAACGATACAATGGATTCATATAGATTTACATTCAGTACGTCAAATAGTCAAAGGTCCAACACTGTATGCACCGAAACCAAATGAATGGATTCATGAATTCACATGGCATGGTGAAGATGGTGCCCATAAAACACATATCGTCCCTGGAGCAAAAAAATTCCAAAAACTTCGCCTGATTCCTGATCAATTCTATTACAATATAACCGATGTACGTACTGCGGACGATGCATTGATCACTGTGAAATTAATGATCTTTTTCGAATTGATGAACGTTGAGACGATGTTGAACAATACACGTGACCCAATTGCAGATTTTGTAAGTAAAGGAAAGAATCATGAAGACATGACGATTTTGTTTTGGTTTCAACTTTAGATCAATGCGATTTGTGCAGATGTCATTGCTTTCGCATCTGTACGAAAATACGAAACATTTTTGGAGAATGCCAATCAGCTCAATCAATTAGAAACTTATCCGCAATTACTAGCACGTGCAGAAACAGTCGGATATCGAATAAACAAGGTCGTTTTTCGAGGTTATCAAGCAACAGAAAAACTACAAGTACGTTGAGTTCAACGGGAGGCAAAACCATATCGATGAATCGCTTTGTTCTAGTTGATGAATGATAACGCTATTGAAAAGCGTACGAAATTACGATTGGAAGACGAAGCAGAACGTCAGTTACAAATTCTCGAAGATTTAAAGCTAGAAAAACGCTTCGAACGATCACAAAAAGGTAGATGAATGGAATTTTCATTTTTCTTCTCACGCAAATCTTCTATACTATTTCGTAGAACGAAAAATGCAACTTGAACAGATGTTGCACAAGCTCGATATGGACAAACAACAGCATGCTGGTCGTTTACAAGCAAAAGAAGCAGAAAATCAACTCGAACATGAACATCAGCAACTCTTACATGAAAGCGAAATAAAATTCTATGAAAAATTAAGAGAACTCGGAACGGACATTACCCAAGTAATGGTCGCACAACAACGTAATCCTGATAAATTAATTCAGATTGTGAATGATAATGAACACAAAACATCCAAAACGACACCGACTGTTCAGTTCGTAGACAATCTTTGAATGATTTAGTTGTTTATATTTTCAAAGAAGGAAATATGCTTTTCTCGCCGCATAGAATTGCATATGACAATTCTCTGCGTTTTAATATGTATATCAGTTGAGAACACGTCTCACGATTAGTTCTCCTTCTTATCATTTGTACGTCTTCTTTGCTATTCCAGCAGCCAATAAACCAGACTTCGAGTTTACAATTGAGGACATCAAAACGGAAATAACGAATACAATAGAAACCAAGAAAGAAGGGCGTATATATTCACGTAAAATAAAGAGAAAACAACCAAAGAGATGCTTTATATCAACATAGATAAAATAGAATGTTATGATAATCTTTTTTTTTCTACGAACAAATTGGAAATTGTGTCCATGCTCCTGTAGCTAAACAAGTGATATTCAAGGGGCCCGATAAAGAATTGTACTGGAATCCAGAGCTACATTGAACTTGAATCCAACTACCAACAGTTATACCATTATTAGCGGAAAATAGTGATTTCGATACAACTTGAACATTGACTAGTGCCGATGATAGTTGAGATAATGAACACGAAGCATTTGCTAAAAATGTACACGTTCAAATGTGTATTTTTAATGAAAACTTAAATTTAAATGTACATACAGGTACAAACAGGTGATGTACTCCAAACGCCATTGGTGCAAGTTATCTGTGAGTTACCTACTAGTACATACGGAGATGCACAAACATAATTGATGTATGCTCCTGATACAGCTAGATTAGCAGTTGGTGACATAATACCACTGTACGAGTTTGCATAGCCATTTGCTATGGTCAAACGACTGGCGTCATAAGAACAATACATTCCAGTGCCTGTAGCTACTGTTGTTGTAATTGATTGTGTACTTTGAACGCAACTTGGAAATTGACTCCATGAGCCATTGCTGAGACAAGTGACGTTCAAGTTACCACCTGTATTAATGTAACCATCGAGACAAGCAAGAACCACATACGAACCACTGATTATTGCATTTGTATCTTGTGAAGCTGTTGTCAGCCGAAAATCAGACGTAGTTTTCAATGTATTCGCACTCAAAACAAAATTATTCAGCGTTGAATAGGAACATTGACTATTCACTTAAACACAAAATAAGATTCTGTTGTACATGAGGTTGTACACTTTCTGTAGAAATTACCTAAACATCGTGGTTTAGTAGACCAGATACCGTTATTACACGTATATCTCGCACCGACGCCTGAATCCAACGAATAACCAGATGCGCATGTAAATTGAATATAACCTAGAAGAAATGATTCAAGAAGTACATTTAAATTTCACTTTTTCTCGTAAATAGATGTACCGGTCGCCGTTGTTGCTGAAGTATAGGACAGAGCAGACGAAGAATAGTAACCATTTGTGATGGTAAACGTTGATGCATCGACTGCACAAGCTGCTCCAGTGCTCGATGCGAGTGTAGTTGTTGTCGTTGTTGTAGTTATCGCACCATTGTTCAAAGCACAGCTAGGAAATTGAGACCAGGAACCAGTGCTCAGACAAGTGACATTCAGATTGCCACCAACGTTTACATAACCACTTGCGCAAGTGAAAACAATATATGAATCATTCAGGACAGCATTACTATCTTGTGATGATAGTACGATACGATTTTGACTTGTCGCTTGTAATCCAGACGCAGTTGAAAGAAAATTCTTCAAAAGTGTATATGAACAACGACCAGTCACTACACAAACGAGGAAAGGCGTATATAATTATTAGTACGACAGCCTGAATCCTACTTAAGCATTGTGGTTTTTTTGACCAAACACCACTCGTGCATGTATACGTTGCTCCTATACTCGAATCTAACACATAACCAGACGAACAAGCAAATTGAATCGATCCTAAAATGTACCCGATGTAAATATATAAAACTCTCAATTCTTATTTAAGTACCTGTGGCAGCAGTGCTCGAAACGTAGGAAAGTGTGGAGCTTACATAGTAACCATTACTAATTGTGTACGTTGTAGCATCGACTGTACACGCTACACCATTGCCAGTAGCTTGAGTGGTAGTCGTGGTCACGCCGCCACCGCCACCATTCAAAACGCAATTGGGAAACTGACTCCATGAACCATTATTTAGACATGTTATATTTAAACTACCACCGATGTTCGTGTAACCACTGACGCACGCAAGTAAGATATATGAACCATTTAAAACTGCAGTAGTATCTTGAGTGGCAGCGACTAAACGACTTTGATCGGTAGTTTGTACGCCGGTAGCTGTTGAAATAAAACTTTGAAGGGCTGAATAAGTGCATCGTCCAGTCACTGCAAACAATTACACATCTGTAACGATCAACTGTGAGCAATAAAAAGATGTTACTTAAGCAGCGTGGTTTAGTCGACCAAATACCATTATTGCACGTGTATGATGCACCTACCGTTGAGTCCAATACATAACCAGGTGAACATGTAAATTGTATCCATCCTACAAGGAATCATTCCAATAATGCAGATGTTCACAAGTGTTGTCATTACCTGTGGCAGTCGTGGCCGAAGTATATGTCAATGCTGAACTTGAATAATAACCATTCGTAATGGTGAAGATCGATGCATCTACCGCGCAAGATAAACCTGTGCTAGCTGTAGTAGTAGTAGTAGTAGTGGTAGTGACAACACCACTGCCACCGTTTAATACACAACTTGGAAATTGTGACCATGAACCAGTGCCCAAGCACGTCACATTGAGACTGCCGCCGGTGTTAACATATCCACTTGCACACGTCAAAACAATGTAAGAATTGACGAACACAACACTTGAGTCTTGCGTTGATGCAACCAAGTTCCTCTGATCCGTAGCTTGTATACCAGTGGCTGATGACAGGAAGTTTTGCAATGTAGTAAACGAGCATCGTGCTGTCACTTTAGAAAGAGCAGACTGCGATTGGAAAGAAATATGTCGGGAAAACTCAACTTACTATTACAACGCGGTTTTGTGGACCACACACCATTATTACAGGTATACGCTGCACCAACTGTTGAATCGAGTGTGTACCCTGGTATACATGCAAACTGTATTGATCCTATGCGAACGAAACAAATGAAATAGTATTGTATTCTCTTGAAACTCACCGGTAGCCGTAGTCGCCGAAGTATACGAGAGCGACGTACTTAAGTAATATCCATTAGTGATGGTAAATGAAGAAGCGTCAATTAGACAAGCTAGACCATTGTTTGGTGCTAGGGTAGTTGTCGTTATTGAACCACTACCGCTACCGAGTACACAATTTGGAAATTGAGTCCATGAATTCGTTGACAAACATGTAACATTTAAACTACCTCCAGTATTAGTAAAGCCACTTGTGCATGCTAACACAATGAATGAATCGCTCAACACGGAGTTAGAGTCTTCTGGTGCTGTTGTTAATCGATTTTGACTAGTCACTTGAATACCTGTTGCCGTGGATATAAAGTTTTTCAACGTAGAATAGGAACATCGACCCGTAGCTAGATAGAAGTAAAATCACGCTTATCACTGTCAGTGTATCAGACTTCACTTTACTTAAACATCGTGGCTTCGTGGACCAGACACCATTAGTACATGTGTACAATGGACCGATCGTTTGATCCACTGTATAACCAGCAATGCAGGTGAATCGAATCCATCCTAGAACGTATAGCAAAATAAAGATCAATGTATGTATTATTTCCCTCCCTCACCTGTTGCTGTCGAAGATGAAGTGTATGCCAATGAAGAATTCACGTAGTATCCATTGGTAACTGTAAATGTAGCAGTTGCATCAATCGGACAACCTACACCAGTATTTCCGGCGACTGTTGTAGTAGTAACACCGCTTCCACCACTGAGCACACAATTAGGAAATTGCGTCCACGAGCCGCTGCTCAAACAAGTCACATTGAGACTACCACCAGTATTGATATATCCATTTGCGCAGGCGAAAACAATGTATGAGTTCACAAATATGGAATTCGTTTCTTGCGAAGATGCCATTAAATTTTTTTGATCCAGAATCTGTATTCCCGTGGCAGTAGAAATAAAATTTTGCAGTGCTGTCAACGTGCATCGACCAGTAACTATGCATCATATAGAGTGTGGGAAAGAGGAGCACCATAATAATAATCACACTTACTTGAACATGTCGGCTTAGTTGACCATATTCCATTCGTACATGTGTATGTTCCACCAGTTACCGAATCGAGATTGTAACCGGGCATACACGAAAATTGTATCGATCCTATAATAAATCCATATCAAAGATAATACACCATGCTGCATATACTCACCAGTCGCCGCCGTAGCCGATGTATATTTCAGAGATGAACTAGTATAGTAACCATTATTAATAGTGAACGTAGAGGTGTCGATTGGACAGCCAGCACCTGTATTTGAGGCGATCGTTGTTGTAGTCACACCGCTTCCACCACTGACTACACAGTTTGGAAACTGACTCCAAGAACCGGCACTCGAGCAGCTAACATTTAGAGAACCACCAGTGTTAGTGTAGCCATTCGCACAAGCCATTACAATGAACGAGTTCGCCAATACTGCACTTGTATCCTGTGTCGACGCTAATAAATTCGTTTGATCAACGATTTGTATTCCTGTTGCTGTTGATATAAAACTTTGCAGAGTCGACAAATAACAGCGTCCTGTGGCTACAAACCATCGAGGTAACGATGTTGTAAAAGATTCATTAGAAAAGATTCAACCTACCAGAGCAACGCGGTTTTGTAGACCATATTCCACTGTTACAAGTGTATGTAGCGCCAACCGTAGCATCGAGCGCATATCCTGGTACGCACGCGAATTGAATGGACCCCGTAGCAGTAGTAGCAGAAGTGTACGTCAGTGCTGAGCTATTGTAATAACCATTTGCTATCGTGAATGTTGACGCATCGATTGTACAAGCTAATCCAGTACTCGTTGAGAGAGTTGTTGTCATTGCGGCTGATGTGGTCGTAGTAGTGATTCCGCCAGTGTTCAGGATACAACTTGGAAATTGGGACCATGATCCGGTGCTTAAACAAGTAACATTTAGACTGCCACCTGTGTTTACATATCCGCTTGCACAGGCGAAGATAATAAATGAGTTGACGAATACAGTTGTGGTATCTTGCGCAGACGCTAGCAAATTCTTCTGGTCAACAATCTGAATACCACTGGCTGTAGAGATGAAGCTCTGCAGAGTCGAGAACGGACAGCGCGCAGTGACTAGGTCGAGAGAGCATAATGCCAGAAAGAGAAAAAAGTGAAAGGAACTTACTATTGCAACGTGGTTTCGTAGACCAGACGCCATTGTTACAGGTGTACGCTGCACCAACCGTAGAGTCTAGAGCATAACCGGTGTTGCAAGCAAATTGAATCGATCCTAAATCGATCCTGAGAGTAATATTGGAATGTAGAACAAGGATGAGTTACCTGTAGCCGTTGTGGCCGATGTATAAGTCAAAGAGGAGCTGACATAATAACCATTGGTAACAGTGAATGTGGAGGCATCAAACGTACACGCTGCACCACCACTTGATGCCACAGTAGTAGTTGTAATGCCCGATGCTGTTGTTGTTGTCGTGGTTATTCCACCAGTATTCACGACACAACTTGGAAATTGAGACCATGATCCTGTGCTTAAACAAGTGACATTTAGACTGCCACCTGTGTTTACATATCCGCTTGCACAGGCGAAGATAATGAATGAGTTGACGAATACAGTTGTTGTATCTTGTGCAGATGCTAGCAAATTCTTCTGATCAACAATCTGAGTACCACTGGCTGTAGAGATGAAGCTCTGCAGAGTCGAGAACGGACAGCGAGCAGTGACTAGGTCGAGAGAGCATGATGCCGAGGAAGGGAAAAAAGTGAAAGGAACTTACTATTGCAACGTGGCTTGGTCGACCAGACGCCATTGTTACAGGTATAGGCTGCACCCACAGTGGTATCAAGAGTGTACCCAGTATTGCAAGCGAATTGAATGGATCCTGGAAGAAATCAAATCACTAACAAAATATTTGTTGGCGAAAAGAATTACCAGTTGCAGTTGTCGCTGATGTGTATGAAAGTGTCGAACTGACGTAATAGCCGTTGGTGACAGTAAATGTCGTGGAATCAATGATACATGCTGTCCCAGTGTTGGATAAAAGAGTCGTTGTGATCATTGCTGGCGTAGTAGTTGTTGTCGTGGTTATTCCACCGGTATTCACGACACAACTTGGAAATTGAGACCATGATCCCGTGCTTAAACAAGTGACGTTTAGACTGCCACCTGTATTTACATATCCGCTTGCACACGCGAAGATAATAAATGAGTTGACGAATACAGTTGATGTATCCTGTGCGGATGCTACCAAATTCTTCTGGTCAACGATCTGTATTCCCGTTGCAGTCGAGATAAAGCTTTGCAAGCTCGAGAACGGACAGCGCGCAGTGACTAGGCCGAGAGAGCACGATGCCAGGAAGGGGAAAAGTGAAAAGAACTTACTATTGCAACGTGGTTTCGTAGACCAGACACCATTGTTACAGGTGTAGGCTGCACCAACCGTAGAGTCTAGAGCATAACCGGTGTTGCAAGCAAATTGAATCGATCCTAAGAGACGACGTCATTCATCCAAATCCGAATGTTCTTTCGAAACAGTTACCTGTAGCTGTTGTGGCCGATGTATAAGTCAAAGAGGAGCTGACATAATAACCATTGGTAACAGTGAATGTGGAGGCATCAAACGCACACGCTGCACCGCCACTTGATGCCACAGTAGTAGTTGTAATGCCCGATGCTGTTGTTGTTGTCGTGGTTATTCCACCAGTATTCACCACACAACTTGGAAATTGAGACCATGATCCTGTGCTTAAACAAGTGACATTTAGACTACCACCTGTGTTTACATATCCGCTTGCACACGCGAAGATAATAAAAGAGTTGACGAATACAGTTGTGGTATCTTGCGCGGATGCTACCAAATTCTTCTGGTCAACAATCTGAATACCACTGGCTGTAGAGATGAAGCTCTGCAGAGTCGAGAACGGACAGCGAGCAGTGACTAGGTCGAGAGAGCATGATGCCGAGGAAGGGAAAAAAGTGAAAGGAACTTACTATTGCAACGTGGCTTGGTCGACCAGACGCCATTGTTACAGGTATAGGCTGCACCCACAGTGGTATCAAGAGTGTACCCAGTATTGCAAGCGAATTGAATGGATCCTGGAAGAAATCAAATCACTAACAAAATATTTGTTGGCGAAAAGAATTACCAGTTGCAGTTGTCGCTGATGTGTATGAAAGTGTCGAACTCGCGTAATAGCCATTGGTGACAGTAAATGTCGAGGAATCAATGACACATGCTGCCCCAGTGCTGGATGAAATAGTCGTTGTGATCATTGCTGGCGTAGTAGTTGTTGTCGTGGTTATTCCACCAGTATTCAGGACACAACTTGGGAATTGAGACCATGATCCTGTGCTTAAACAAGTGACATTTAGACTACCACCTGTGTTTACATATCCGCTTGCACACGCGAAGATAATAAATGAGTTGACGAATACAGTTGTTGTATCTTGTGCGGACGCTAGCAAATTCTTCTGATCAACAATCTGAGTACCACTGGCTGTAGAGATGAAGTTCTGCAGAGTTGAGAATGCACATCGAGCTGTCACTTCAATGAAAGAAAAGCGGATATTTGATCAAAAGATTGATGGGATGTTATCAATTACTCGAGCAGCGCGGTTTGGTTGACCAAACACCGTTGTTACAAGTGTATGTTGCGCCGACAGTCGTATCGAGAGCATAACCAACATTGCAAGAGAATTGAATTGATCCTGAAGCAGTGGAACAAGTGAGGATGAAGTTCTAGATAGAGAATTACCGGTCGCAGTGGTTGAAGATGTGTATGTTAGTGCTGAGTTAGCATAGTAACCATTCGTAATGGTAAAAGTTGATGCGTCTATGGGACAAGCTGCGCCAGTACTTTGGGACACAGTGGTGGTCGATAATTGGTTAGGGATAGCTGTTGTCGTTGTGGTGAGTGAACCGCCCCCACTACTAAGTACACAGCTGGGAAATTGAGTCCAGGAACCAGTGGATAGACATGTAACATTGAGATTACCGCCTGCATTTACGTATCCGCTGGCACATGAGAAAATCACAAAGGAATTCTGGAATACGACAGTTGTATCTTGCGAACTGGCCAATAGATTTTTTTGATCTACAATCTGTAAACCGGCTGCAGTGGAAATAAAATTCTGTAATGCGGCGATAGAACATCGACCAGTGACTATAGTGAAGAATAGGCCTTCAGAAAAAAAGAGATTAAGGAAATCTGTAACGTACTCGAACAACGAGGCTTAGTTGACCAAACGCCATTATTACAATTATACGACGCACCGATGGTCGGATCCAACACATAGCCAGACGCGCAAGCAAATATGACTGACCCTGCAAAACACGCACACATCGGTGGATCAATATAGTATGCTACTTGTGCTATCTTTACCAGTTACAGTGGTAGCGGAAGTGTAGGATAGTGTAGAGCTCGCGTAATATCCATTTGTGATTGTGAATGTCGTCGAATCAATAGAACAAGCTGCACCTGTACTAGGCGCTATGGTTGTCGTCGACAGTTGATTGGGGATAGATGTTGTAGTAGTGGTGATAGAACCACTGCTGAGTATGCAATTAGGAAATTGAGTCCACGATCCATTGCTCAAACATGTGACGTTCAAACTACCACCTATGTTAACATAACCGCTCATGCAAGCGAGCACTGCATAAGAATCATTGAAAACGATAGTAGCATCCGTCGAGGAAGCCATTAGTCGATTTTGACCAGTCGTCTGAATTCCAGTGGCCGAGAAGATGAAATTCTGCAATGTTGTATATGAACATCGACCAGTTACTTAAAAAGGATAGATTTTATATAGAAGGATCAGTTGAAACGAAAGCTTACTTAGACACTGTGGCTTAGTTGACCAAACTCCGTTATTACAGTTATACAGCGCACCAATATTTGGATCCAATACATAACCGGGCATACAGGTAAATTGTATCCAACCTAAATCATATCGGATGACGATTATGATAGCGTCTGTTTGATCCATTGTATTTACCCGTAGCAGCCGTAGTTGAGGTATAACCAAGTGAAGAAAGAGTGTAGTATCCATTTGTAATGTTAAACGAAGTATTGGGATCTATTGTACATGGCAAACCATTAGACGTGGCAATGGTTGTCGTTGTCAAAGAACCACTGCCAGTACTAAGTATACAATTAGGGAATTGCGTCCATGAACCATTGCTTAAACAGGTGACGTTTAAACTGCCGCCCGTATTTACATAGCCATTAGCACAAGCGAGAACAATATACGAGTCGTTGAATACGACGAGAGCATCTGCCGATGCAGCCATCAGATTTTGTTGTGTAGTTGTTCTAAGACCGGTTGCAGATGAAATATATGTTTGTAGTGCCGAATAAGAACATCGACCGGTCACTTTGAAAATAAGACAACAAAATGTTACAAATATCATATGGTATGAGAGTAAGTTAGAAACATCTTACTCAGACACCGTGGTTTCGTAGACCAGACACCATTGTTACACGTATACAAAGCTCCAATCGTTGGATCCAAAACGTAGCCTTGCGAGCATGTAAATTGAATTGACCCTACGACAACAAATAACATAGATACACGGTTAGATCTTCAATATGTGCATACCAGTAGCCGTTGTAGACGACGTAAAAGAGAGTGACTGACTCGTATAGTAACCATTGGTAATATTGAACGTTGATGTCACGTCAACTACACAAGTTGCACCATTCGTCGATACACAAGTGGGAAATGTGGTCCAAGCGGTGCCAACACAAGTTATATTTAATTGGCCGCTCCCATAGGTATAACCAGTATTACATTTCATCGATATGAAAGAGCCCGAAAGAACACTATTCACATCCATTCCATTCGTTGGCAAACTGTAAGAACCATCTGTAGTCATGGTTCGTACAACAGATGTATTTTGTAGAAAAGTATTTAGAGTTGACATTGAACATTGACCTAATTAAAGTAGAAAGAATGTCTACAAGAATTCTGTTGTTTCGTGTTCTAATTACCATGGCATAAGGTAATCAAATTAAATAAAAATACAAACAAATGCAACCACTGCACCATTTCAGTTGAAAGGTTAGGAGGGTGTCGAACAGAGAAGTAATATGAATGGTATTTAGCAGAATGATGTAGTTCTTATGAATGACAATAGAAATGAAATAGTACATTTTGTGATACATTGGCACAAGTGTTTTTAATGGATATTTTTTTTCTTTTCAAGAAATGATTAAGCGTAGGCATCAAAGAACGAAATTTGTGATATGCTACAATAAGCAATTCAAAATAAACTCCGTATAAAGATGAAATTGACATCGATTGAGAAATATCCTTTTGTTTTCATCCTTTTTTCTAAGCAGAAAATGACTAATAAATACGTCATCTGTTATTCTTGCTCGTCGACAAAGGACCTGTATGACAGAAATCTTTGAACAAACGATTTGATTAACGAATAAAAGACAACATATTATGCGCAAGGTTAGAAAAACAAATGCGCAAAGGCCACGTTCGAAGGATATCTTTTGATGACTTGTGGTGATCATTGTAATTTTGGTGTGTTCGTTCTCTTATTGGGTAAAACATTCAAAAATCCTTTTCTTATTATGTCAAAACGTCCTTCTCGTTGTTTTCTGTCATGTTAAGTCGATAATTGGAAAATGCAGCGATTTACACAGTCATATCTCTGTGACAAATAGTTAAAAAGCTACAAGGAAGATTTTATCTTCAAGGTAGTGTTCTATACAATGTGATATTGTTTTGCGATAAAATATACATGTACGATAGAGAACGGAATATGAAACGCAACTACCATGAAAGGACGTCTAGATAGATGTGTAAGTGAAATAGACATGGTTTATTACATTCGTTTTCTAGTAATCAACCATTTAGTATATTATTCGGTTGCATTTGAGAACATATCGATAGAAGTGTTTGTTTTTATACGTGATTCGAACGATAGTTTGTTTTTCAGGTGAATTCTAAAAGCAGATCAAATCGAAAAGGACAATGCCACTACAAGACATTTCCAACGATTCGTCAGCGATCGACTGGTTGCGACAAACTGGTCATGGGCATCTGATAGCTAAAGATCAGCAATTTGCGAATATTTCCACGTCGACATCATTACCGAGCTTTCCACATACTGTTATTAATGATGAACTCTATCGCTCTTCTCAAAATCGCTCGACAACGTATGGTCAAGTAGTCAATTTTAATAAAGAATCCTATGACCATCATGATAATGCTCGACACTACACTTCGCTATCTCCACCACCGCCCATGATCCCTAGCGGTTGTGCTAGTGCTAGTCCGTATCACCATTCGTACGACGGCCACTATAATTCACTACCATCTTCAACGCAATTTCAAGCACCATACATAAGTCAATTTCAAACTGATGCTGATATTGAAGTAAGAAAAATATCTGCACATAACTGAATTGAATTATTGAATTATTATTATCTCTTTTCTGCGCATGAATAGCATATGAAATGCGATCCCAATACTCGTGTTATACATCGTCCACCAGAAAATGATGTGGTCTACCGACAGCGAGTAAGTAATCGCTTACATCCATCAGCGTAATGCATTTCATTATCATAGGTTTTTGTAAAATATCTACAACCGCCTACACCACCAATAGCTGGTTCTATTATTGTTCGTGAAAGACAATTACCGCAGCCACCTCCTGACCCACCTCTCGTAATTAAAATGACTTCTCAATGACAGAAAATGATAACGGACTTCGTGTTTGTCTTTGATATAGGTTATTCGACGTCCTCCACCCCCTCCACCACCAACTCCACCTCCAGTTGTTATACGTGAAGTTAGTCTACGACATCCGTTCAATGCTTTCATTTATATCAATTCAAATTACATTTTGTAGCGACCACCGCCCATTCCACCACCTGAAGGCACTACGATTATTAATAAAATTATTCCACCTCCACCGAAGCCGCCTCGTCAAGTAATCATCGAGCAATTCCCTCGGCTACCGCCCAAACCTCGAGATGTTATTCTAGAAAAGTGGTTGCCTGTTGCACCACGACAACGTCGCATTTTCTATGAACGTGCACCTCCTCCCATATTGCGTCCTCCACCACAACCAATCGTTATTCAACATGGGCAACCGCCAGTGCGTATTCATCGGCAAGTTATAGAAGCACCTGGACCGCAATCTGTCTATCATCATGCTTCGCATCATACGGATGTCAACCAAGTCTTGATGCAAGTCGATGGTCATCATCACCCTCATTCATTTGTAAATATGAATGTTGCTCTCTTCGTGAACAGAAATCTCAGAAAATTCTTCTAATGAATATCTTTAGGCAGCCCCTTCATCTCTAGTATCATATAGTCCATATACAACATTGGATTCCTGCCACGGTGGTATTGGACATCCGTATTCCAACGTAGCGGTTGTGAACGATGGATATTCAAATGTGTTGTCATCATCGTCCTATGGACTACCATTATCTCACGTCTACTCACCAAATCCAGTGATTGGATTAGGTGCTTACGGAAGTAGCATATCAAGTTTTCCATCCATTGGCTGCTCGGCTGGGGGACATTCCTCTGTCTTCACTGTGCCTGGTGAGAGAAAAAAAGAAGCACTAAAGATTTATTCATATCGATACTATCGTTTATTTATTTAGAACACGTTGGTGTCGATAGTATTCTTCATCAACTTGGTGTAAATCCACATTCACTTCATTCAGCGTCAGGTATTACTTGTCCAAGTAGAAATATTGTTACTTATGTAGCACGTAGCTGTTGACATTCTATTCTATTCTATTCTATTCTATTTATTGCTCGCATGTTCATTGCTACAATTAACTAACTTTTTCGTAATAAATTTTATAGATATGCGTCCATGTGCGTTTTGAAACAAATAAAATAACTTAGATTCACAGTAGTATTAATTTTCTAACTCGATTATTCTCGTGTCGATGCTCATATTTACTCCTTTTCAGACCCACATAGTGCAGTTGCACATGTGTGGAATTCTGCTTCACATGCAGTACAACACAATTTAACAAGTCCATCATTTGCAAGTTATCATACTGTTGGACATCATCCTCATCTACAAATAGCAGGTACATCCACGAACTCTTGATTTTCCTCATTGAATGAATGCCATACGTCTTTTATCCTAGGCCATGATGCTTTTCTACCGAATCATTATCTTCATTAGGACACGATTCGACCACTAAAGGAAACTTCGTCCTTTACACATATAGTTTAATAATACACAAAAGACAGAACTTAATCTTTTTTTTTCACTCTGTTTTCACTCATACACAATGTGTTCGCATATAAAGATCATCTTGTGGCTCAGGCAGAGGCAATGGTTGTAACATTGACATTGAATTTGATGTTGATGGCGTTTTGATTGTTTCATAGTAGATGGAATCCGAATAATTTATCGAAGACAATAAACATGGGCCTGAGTAGAATGGGGGTTCGTAATGATCGTTACTTGACGTGGAACTTTCTCGAGTGTAGTCATGAATGTTGGGCGGCGGTGCATAACGTGATCGGGCTACATTTGCAGATGATGGCGATGATAATGATTGATGTTCTCGTAGTACAGCTGATAGTCGAGCAGTCGATTTGCGATTAAAATGTGATTTGTTCAAACAGGATGAAAACAGTTCGGAAGGCTTTTTCCGAGCGAAATAGATCAATATTGAAAGTATACAAATAAAAACCACAATGCCAATGGCCAAGTAAACCGAATATCGAAACATATCCAAATCATCAATATAAATAAACGCTTCTTTTGTTGAACTTTCATCTGTATACATTGTAGTCGCTGATAAATCGAATTGAAATAGATCATCGAATGGTCTCTCGATTAAGTTGTACACTTACTATATTTTCGAGTATAGTGCTCACATGCTCGTACATTCAGATATGTTAAACACGTCACTCGGCCATATGTTGCACAAGCAATCTTACAGCTCACATTATTTCCTTGCAGACACGCATAAATATCACCTTGACAATAACCTCGAGAAAGAAAGCAGATGAAATCGACTGAAGATTTTAAGTATCGAATTACAATTCTGTTCGTCGGACCCGTCGGAGCACTGAGAAGAACCATTACAGACGGACGTCCAAGGCGTACGGTCGCCATTTCGACAGATAAAAAATTGATTCATGTCCATAGGCAAACTATTCGTCGTTGTACTACTAAAAGAAGAAAGAAAGAAAGAGAAGAGAAGAGTAACAAAAATCTATTTTCATCCATGCAAACAGTCAAGTCTCTGACTCTCGTACCTAAGATTCATTATATTCAGATCAACTATTAATAACAAAATCAATTGTCTAAAAAGAAATGAATAGTTCATTTTCTCTGCTCCGTACACATATACAACGGAAGTCTTTTTCTCTCGAAGATATTGAGCAGCATATGATAGAAGAAAAGAAACGATGTCTTACTCTGAATCACTCACTTTTGTTCTCATAAATTCAAGATTGCGATTTCATAATACCAGTTTCAATAGTGTTAAAACAAGTGACCGAGCAACACGATAAGTGTTACTAGGAAAAGAGAAGCCTGTTACTTCTATTCTATTGCTTATAAAACAATGCGAGAACGAGAGAAAGAGAAGTCATAAAAATAGAAACAAGAATTCTTTCTCATCTCATTTTCTTAATGGCTTCAGCGACTAGATCAGAGCACAACTCATTTGTCTTGGTCATCTCTTCTTATTTCATACGATCATCTTCGACAATCACTCAAACTAAATAAAGAAAACGATTCGCAGTGTCCGATTACTCGCTGTACATCCTATGCATCCATCTAATCTTAACAAGGTCATTTTTTTTTCAAATCCAAAGAAGAAACGGATTAAAACTTGTATGAACAAACGATTGAGCGCGAAAGATTTTCCGTTCTCGTTTATGTCTGATACGCTAAAACTTGAAATACCAATCGATGATGATCTACTACATAAATCGAAGCCGAAAGGAATCCGATCAATCGTTAGTACCTTTCCACCATTGAACAAGGCGAAAACCACTTTGAAAAAATCGGATCCCAATGAAAATGACAAACAGTCAGAGAAGGAACAAGTTGTTGTCAATCGTTTTATCACGAGTAAATGCATAGGTAACGGTGGATTCGGTGAAGTACGTTCGAACTATCGATTGAAATGAAGAAAAATTTCTGTATAAGCTTAGATTTATCTAGCTAAAGATAGAGAGCAAAATGATCTATTAGTGGCAGTTAAATTTGAACGTACGAATACTCAGCGTCGACAACTACCCATCGAAAAGTGTGTTTTCGAAATCATGCATGACAGCATCTACATACCACGGCTGTTCTATTTTGGTACTCACAAGGAGTACACGATACTTGCAATGGATCTCTTAGGACCGTCAGTGGAAGATCTGCTGAGTTTTACTGGACGGAAGTTTTCTTCGAAAACGGTTTGTATGATCATGGAACAAGTTTTACGTGGAATAGAAGCATTGCATAATCGTTCGATAATTCATCGAGATTTGAAACCGGATAGTAGGTTTAATCATTGATGAAATTCATCAATACAAGTTCTGTAGATTTTCTATTTGGTCTTGGGGCGAAATCTCACCTCGTACATTTAATTGATTTCGGTCTTTGTAAGAACTTTCGTCATCCATTAACTTACGAACATAATTCGTATCGAATTGGTAAAACATTAACAGGCACAGCACGTTACTGTTCACTGTACACTCATCATGGAATTGAACAGTCGAGACGTGACGATATTCAATGTTTATCTTATATTATGATTTATTTGGCAAAAGGTTTTTTGCCTTGGATGTCAATCAAAATGTCGCATCGTAAAAAGCGCAATGAAAAGTTAATGGAAATTAAAGAAAGTTTAACGGCGAACGAGTTATGCAAAGATTTACCATATGAATTTGAATTGTTCTATAAATATTCGAGAACGTTGTCATACACTCAGCGACCTGACTATGGATATTTAAGAAATTTATTCCTGGCAGTCATCAATAGTTTGAATGAAACATTTGACTATATCTACGATTGGCACTTGATTGTAAAAATGTTTAAAGAAAATCTCAAAGAAGGAAGGCCAATTTTAACGAAGAGAAAAGATTGATGTCGAGTTTAGTAGTACAGCGCGACCCCTATATTGAGTATAAGCGTATGCAATAAGTATTGGACAAGTCGAAAAGTATATAAAATAAACGTCGAAGAAAATTTTGATTACGGTGTTGTGTTTTTTTTAAGAGATAAAACGTTTAATTTGACGGTAGAGATATAAAAAAAACGACTTTTCTTATCAAATGGCATTCCAATCTTTCATCGTAGAATGTGATGAGGGTAATAAGTCGAAAAATTCCCTCGATGTCATTCTTTCGGCACATCTCGAATAAGCAAAGCATGTCAAGCAATGTTACTTCGGTCAATGACAGCGATTTAATCGATCGATGCATGACAATTTTAAAGCATGATGGCGTTTTAGCGGTACCAACTGATACGATCTACGGTTTAGCTGCATTAGTCAGCAGTGAAAAAGCCGTCCGACGCATTTACGAAATCAAAGGCCGATTATTCACAAAACCATTGGCTATCTCAGTTGGTAATGTCGAAGATCTATTTACGTGGTCAAAGCCAACATTGTCGAGCGAACAACTATCAGATGGTGATCTTCTTCCTGGCCCGGTGACATTGATGTTCGAACGTCAACTTTCATTACCATCGTATTTCAATCCCGATGTAAATAATGTCGCCATTCGTATTCCAAATCATCAGATGATGATTGAATTAGCGCGACGTTTAGGCGAACCGATCGCATTGACAAGTGCAAATATCTCTAACGGTCCAAGTTCAATCTCAATTGATGAATTTCAATCATTATGGTCACAAGTAGATTTAGTTATTGATGGAGGTGTACTAGCATCAAATGATCGACGTGGATCAACTATTGTTGATCTCTGTGAAAAAGGATTTTTCCATATTCAACGTCCAGGAATTGATTGTGAAAGAATTGTACGATATCTAAAGGAACAGTGTCAATTGAAGGAAAAATAAATGAATTCAAACAAATCTTTTCTTTTTCGTCTAAACCTAAGGAATACGAGATTGTTCGCTTTTGCTCTTCAGATCTCGTTGATAATGTCATTATCAAAACTTGAAAGTCTTGCCAATGAAACTATTCTGGAAATCTTCGATTATCTGCGTCCCATAGATATCATTCGAGCATTTGAATTGCTCAATGAACGTTTCCAAATTCTCATTATTCAACGTTCATATCATGTCAATCTATCAATGAATCTTTCGCTCAATGATTTCAATGAATACTGCTCAATAATTCTTCCCAGTTATTGCTCATCGATTCGTTCAATTTACCTTTCGAACTCAGAAACATGCGGATGTATGAGTTTGTTTTTTCAAAGATTTCCTCACGTGGAAGCAGTATTTCCTAATCTGAGAACGATGGTATTCATTGATCCGAATGACAATGATTATAATCAAATCATTAAAATCAAACAATTAACAACGGTTCATCTTAAATATAGTCAAATCTATGAGCAAAAGATTCATCTGGCAGCACTCTTTGACAATCCAAATTTACAAACGTAAGAGTAATCTTTATACTCGAATCTGACACGTTCTTATCTACATTCAGATGTATTCTTTCCTATGATGATCTTTTACCAATACAAAAATTCCGTTCGAGCGCATCTCTCAAACGACTTGTCCTTGATAATTTTTACATCAATGATTTTCATTTACTCTTCTACTTGTATCCATCACTCGAACACCTGGCTATCAATCGACTGCTCGTTAACTTTCAAGGTTACCTACCACCGTTCAACGGACCGGTGCGAACACTTCATACACTCAAACTCAATTGTGCATACACAGTTCAGTTTGATTATATTTTGTATCTTCTTTCGCTTCTGCCGAATCTCGTTCATTTCACATGCATTGCTATTGGCATCGACTTCTTCAACGCAGAACAATGGATACAAATCTTGTCATCATTGGAACAACTTCGAAGTCTTGTCTTCGATCTCAAAGCCGTAACAGAAATGTTCGACAATAAACTAGCAGCTTCGTTTCTCACCCCATACTGGCATCGATGGCGTATAGCTGTGGATTATTCTGAAGACAATAGGAAATACCATCTATTCACAATCCCGTATCATCGCTTATCATTTATAAGCACAATCTACTCCGTATCTACTATACAAGCACCGCCTCATATGTTCGATTCGGTGACACATTTGTATCTGAAGATGAATTCTTCTATGCAGGTAAAACATGGTAATATAGAAAGTTGAAAACAACATCATTTTGTAGATGTGTTCCAATCGAAAGTATCCAAATGTTTATGCCTTACAAATCTATCAAAATACGATTGTCACGGTCGATTATTCGAATTTATTTAGCCGACTTTGTACCATGATCGATGCCCATAAACTAGTTCATTTAGAACTCTTTATTTCATTGCCTCCATCCATTTTTCTTGCTTTACTTAAATCAACACCATGTTTACGATATTTCAAAACAGATTATGAAATTCTCATGGTAAGTTCGTTGTTCTTTGCCACTCAATCGAACCACTTCCATCGTTCTAGATTTTGACGGATAATCTTCAAAATGATGATATTTGTTCTGATTTACATCATAAACTCAATAAATTAGTGATTCGTCAAGGTGTCTTACCACTCACTGATAAAGATCGTTTCGTTCAAATATTTTCCAATTTAAAATATTTACAAATTCAATTGTATACAGTCTATGAATTACGACTACTCCTATGGACATGCCTGAAGATCATGTTTCAGCTTCAGACATTACATGTACGACTCGTTGGTACCGATGCATCGATTGATTCACTTCAATGGCAAGGTGTAATCAACAATATAAGCTATGAAATAGCCAAACGACATATTCAAATTTGGAAATAAACATTGAATATGGAATTCTGATGTATTCTTCTTGTAAATTTTTCAATGAATAATATAAAAGAGTACGATTTGAATGACAACACGCTGCGTACGAATCAAAATCGATATCAGATATGAATAATATATTTTCTATGACGATATTCACCTTGTTTGTTGACGTTGTGTTTGGACTCATTGCCTTCGTTTACCTACGTAATAATTTAAGCTTTATTTTGAATATTCTCGATTTAATCAGTCATAATATTCACCTTAACGTGGGTATTTTTCGATGTTCTTATTCATGTTTATCTCAGCTCTTTTTCTCTTTAATATTTAATGATGAAAATCACTCGAGTATGAAAAAAATACGATTAGATATATAAGTATGCACATCAACCGAGCCTTGTACATTCATTGTATCTTATTATTCAAATCGATAAGTATTTACATTCGTCATGTCGGCACTCTCGGAAGAACAACTTCGTAAAGAATTTCGTCGTATAGATAAGGACAATGACGGTTCAATCACCATTGAAGAATTAAGAAAATATTATCTTCCAATGCAAGAGATGCTTGGTATTAGATCTGAAGTTGCTGAACAAGAAATTCAAGGTTTAGTCAAACGACTTGATAGTGACAATAATGGATCAATCAGTTTTGAAGGTAAAATCATCGTGCAAAGATTCATGAGGTTTATCTTAAATCTTGTTTCCTTTTAGAGTTCAAATTATTCTGTTCTCGATTATAATTCAACACAATTCATTGATAAATACATAGACTTTTATTTGAACTGTTTTCTTTTGGTTTATATATAATAAAAAGAGAAGCAGAGTGAAATTTGAATGTTTTGGAATGATTACCAAACTGGTATCCATGGTGCGCGTGCTCGGAAGGTTTTGTACGTTCGGCTTTTCTTGTTCAATCTGTGCTCATAATCTTCATCATCGTCCGTTTGAGTTTGATAACCAGTATCCCATAAACTAGAACGTGGTTTTGTATTCACAGGATATCGGTCCTAGAAGGCAAAAGAAGAACAAAATCTTTGACTGTGAACAGTACGGAAGAAATATTTTACGAGAGTAGTCGGTTTCAGTGGAACGTAAGGATGATGTCGTTCAACGCGGTAACGTGGCTCATAGAGTGGTGGTCGTTCTTTTTTCTCTGGACGAGTGGTGGTAATAGGAGGTAGGGTTCGATTGTTGGTGTTGTATTTAACTTCACGGTATGGTTTGTATGTTCGTGCTGTATATGGGGATTGATAGTCGAAAGTGTTATTTGTAGAATGTTGTGCTATCAGAGTAGTTTTGCGAGGCGACGTTTCGTCGTTTGTATGAGATGGAGGTGGTGGCTGACGCGGTACTTGAGGGCGTACTCGACGTTCTTCACTCGCTGGAATGATGATCAATTCTGGTTTGGGAATGGATGTTTCTAGAAACATGCATGCGTTAGTTGTGAATCTAATGAAATAAGTTACTCGCCTTTTGGTTGCGTTTGCCGTGATGTTTTTGTTACTGGATAAGTGGCAACGTCTTCGATGATGACGTCTGGTTTTCGTTCGAGACTACGACTCGATCGGTGAGGGATCACGGCGACGGGTGCTGGCGGCGGCGTCTTTTTACGAACAGGTGGTCTAAATGAATTCCAGGAGCGCACAACTATTTAAACTATAAATAGGACTTTAATTACTTCGATCGAATCTCTTGTGGTAATGGCGAAAGCGGTTTACCAACTAATGCATAAAGTGTCGGTGTTGCCATTGCCTCTTGTTGTTGTTGTTGGTTTTGTCTTCGAGCATTAGATCCATTCTCTAATGTATAGATTGCCGTATCCTTCGGAGGTGCTGGTATTATTTGCTGTTGTTGTTTTCGAGCGTTTGGCTCGTTATCTAATGTATACATCATCGCGCCCTTTGGAGATACAGACGTCGGCTGTGGTTGCTGTTTGCGAACATTGGGTTCGCTATCCACTGTAAATACTACTGGCTCTTTTGACCGTACTGGTGGTGACAATGGTCGAGTATGTCTTGGTTTTTCAACTGTAGCAGGTGCATCATCCACGATAGTATATAGGATCGGTGTAGGCTGTGCTGGAGTAGGTGTGCTTACTTGAACACCACGAGATGTGCGTGCCGGGCTACCTGTAATTGAATAAACATTGGGTGTCGCTCGTAAGTGTTGTTTAGATAGTTCAGACGTTTCATTCTGTAAACGCGAATTTCCAGCCCATGAATAAACAATAGGAGTTTTGTCGATCACTGGTGTCGATCTTTCCAATGAATTACTGACCATGTCGACAGTACGAGATCGATTGTTGAGAGAATAAAGTACGGGTGACGGTGGTTGTTCAGTAATCGTCACCGGTTGGGTAGATCTTGGTGTATATTTTTCACCAGCAACGCTGTAAAGCACGGGCTGTGATATCACTTGCGGTTCGAGGAAAACAATTTGTTCTTCGTACGGTTTTTCTGCTTGGTACGTAGGTGAAATGTCTCGTTCTACAAAATGCGAATCTCGTCTTTTCACTATCAAAATCATCGTATTATACTTTGATTAATACGTGGCAATTCATCTGATGGCTCCGAAGGAATGTAATAGGCTTTAGGATCCGACTTTTTCGGCAGGTACTGCTGTGGAATCGGTTGATAACGTGTTCCGAGCGTATACATTGATGCTGATGGCGCATCTAGCACCGAAACTGATGACGGTGACCGATGCTCAACCAGTGGAACATGTCGGTCGGAGGTGCCGACGATCGATCGAAGTACCACATTTTCTATGAAGCGAGGACATATTCACGAAAATAATCAAAGGAGTAATTTCTACAATCATACCTTTGTTATCAGGTTCATTGCCATCTGACCTGCTGTAGACTCGTGTTGGATAGGTTTCCATCTTTTCGTTTGCTAAAAGTGAATGATAAAGCTTACGAGAAATCAGAAGAGCGAGGTCTGTTCGCAAAACTAGTATACATTCTTCTTTGATTGTCACCTTATAAACGAATAAACTCTTTCGGTCTGTTTTCTATCAATTTAACTGAATAATTTATATTTGATTTCCACACAACTTACTTGGCTCTTCATCCATCATGTTTGTTTCTGTCAACGGACTGCGTTTCACATGAAAATGAACAAATATACTAATGAAAGTACTTTTTCTTGAGGAGCTTAATAATTAAAACTTTATCGGAGCCTCGACATCTTATCGTCTTCTATCGAATAAGAAAAAAAAGCTAAATTCCGACCGTTCAGTAAAACTTTTTCTCTTCTTTTCATCAAATGTGCGTGTTTAATATAACAAGATTATGACTAAACAAACATGCATTCTTCGTGAAACAAATTCTTGATGGATTTCATAACAAAATTTGAACGTTACAAACCTCTTTAACTCTTGACAAAAGTGAGTTGAGTTCGTTGATTGATCGTATATCAACAGTGAATCAATATTTGCCTTCTATTTCTCTGTAAATCGATCTCCTATATCATACAAATCAAAGGCGAATATCAGTGGACTGAATTGCTTTATATTTTGTTTTATCTTCATCAGGCAAACAAGACCAATTTTGATTAGGAAGATTTGCTTTTACAAATAGAAAAACACGCAATTATTATGCCAGTAATTGTCAGTAGCTTAGCGAAGTCGTTGACGAACGTAGTTACGAACGAAAAACAATTTTCTATTATGATGACGATGAAAGGAAGAAACCTTACACTATCATCAAAACTTATCAAATATATTTGATGGCATTTTTTGCAATAATCTCTGAGAGAGACATCAGGTGGAAGCATGAGTTGGCGTTAATTACATAACGAATTTCGTCTAAGTGAGTGTTTTGCTGTATTTTGATATCCAGAGATTCGATTGAAGGTCGTAGGAAGAAAATCTTACGAACAAAGGGTGAAGAAACTTAATACCGCTGACTTCGAGTATTGCATTGAAATTGATGATCGAATGGATGCGTCGATCGATTATAATGTATAGAAAATATTGATTTTATTTTAACTTAGTTGATGAAAAAAATCAAGCAACACACAAATAGAAATGTTTACTTCGCAAGAGAAAGAAAAGAGGTCTTTTACACTGGTATACCAGCACCTTTCCAATTATTGTGCATTGTTTTAATTGAAGCTGGTTGTCGCTGTACTACAGGCCAATACTGTTCGGATGTTCGAACAGATTTTACTCTACTCAGTCGGTTGATCTTTTCAAGAAAGAGAAAGTAGTCAGTACGGAAAAATTCATTACTTACCAGTGCGTCTGTTTCTTCTACGGATAGATATCGTTTCGTTGTTGTCGCTGGCGGAAGAGGTGTATGTCGATCGCGGCATCGCACGGGACTTGTTAAGCGTTCTACAACTTGTGTGACTTGTTCCGATGAAATTTGTTGATAGCCTAAGGGAAATGGCGGATGCACAATGGTGCCCCATTTTTGTCGACTTCGAGGCTGAGGCGGTCGGGTATTCAATGTGTCTGTTAGTCGACCATAATCGTCAACATAGATCTTTTTGATTTCATATGTACGTGTCATGAACGTCTGACTGAAATTTGAAGAAATTGTTTGACGACGATCGACATTTTCCGAATTGGTTTGAAAAGAACTCTGGTTCGATAGAGAAGAGTCTGCTCGCATACGATCATTGAAACTGTTATTCGATGTATTCTCACGCGAAAGACCAAAGCGTGTGTGATTTTGTGTTGTCGACTTTGAGTCAGATACCTGACTGTTTGCCGTCGAACCATTGGCTAAACGAGAAGGCGATGTTTGCTTTGATTGAATGCGTCGGGCAGGTAATAGCAATGCTGGCAAGTTCTTGTTTCGCGCATGGACAGCGCCAGAGGATTGATTCTTAATATATCGTGTTTTGGGTTTCTCAGGTTCTATGACAAACGAGACTTGTGTGCTTATACTGCTATCAGTAGCAAAAGGCATAGGTGTTTCTACAGCAGATAGAAATTGAGAAATGCTTCGAGGAGATGCATTTTCTTGATTAAACGGTAGATTGTTGTAATTTTTCTTCGGATCATTATCAAGATAGCTTTTCGTCGATTCGAAATCACTAAGTACATCATATTCTCGATCGGAGTCTGACCAATCAGAAATAGCATCGGCTCCATCATCAGACACTGATTTCAATCGATTTTCTCGTGACTGACGATGTTGGGCACGACTAGAGGCTAGATGATCCGTTGCTGGAACATTCGAATAATCTCTGGACCGAAATCCACCACGATTGTTTGCCATTTTGTCAATCTGATAAAAACACAAGCAGGAAGACTATTTTCTATCATCATTTAGCATTGAACTGCGATACAAACCATTCACTGTTTGTTAAAACTTGCTTCTCCTTCTTCTCCTTCAATGATCAACTTACGAGTAGAAAGGCGAGAATTGAAAACAGAATTCCTTTTTTTTCATCTTTTTTTCTCACTATTTTGAATTGCTTCGATGAAGTGGTCTCTATTCATACGCTAATGGGCATCGACAGCATGTTCCCTTTTGTTCCACGCACAAGTGAGAAGGATGACTGAAACGTAAGCGAAACTTTTCTTCTCGTTGCTTAACGTAGAGAATTGTTGTAAAACAATAACAGTATATGTAATTGCGTTTGCTTAATCTTGCACCTATTAAAGTACAAAGTGTAAACTTCAAGGATGCGAGATGACGGTCTCAGGTTATCTGACATTTTGCTTCAGTAAATATCGCGAATCAAGCTGACGATCCCATCGGACGGAAGTGATGATACGACTGAGTCTGATTGTCATGACGTTTTTTTTTATAACTGATGTTATTCTGTCGTTCATTATGTGAAACAGGAAACATAAATATACACTCCCAGTTTCTTTTTCTTAAAAGATCGCCAACGGCAGCATCAACGCATACTACTCGACGAGGCAGTGAGTAAAATATCTAAAGATAGAGATAAGAAATACAACACTTCGATGGAAAACGATGACAACCAACACAAGTTGTCATTTAGAAACGAATTACATTTGATGACGCTGTCAGGTTGATGCTATTTTATTAAAAGAAAAACCGAAAATTATCTGACAGAGAGGAATTAACTATTCGAATAGAAATCATCTTGGAGAGCACAGGCAAGTGCGCGTAATGGGGAATCAATCATTCGAGGTAAGAATGGTTTAAGAACAATCGAAATAAATTGTTTTGTTTGATTAAATTCTGTTTTCAATTTGTTAATATGTTCAATTTTAATTGAATCAAAGCCTAATTGCCAACGTCGTGCAAATATAGTGACAATTTCAAATAGTTTCATCAATTGCTCGCGAATAGCTTGTTGTTTTGGTTGTAGAAGACTGCCGATTGCGAGCGCTGTGAGAAATTTCTCATGATAAATGATCATCGATTCAATATCGATCGACTTCGCCGCATGTTTTTCAACAAATTGTTCCCCGGCTGTGTGAAACTAAAGTATCAAGCAGATATCGAGACCATTCGCTAGTAACTATCACTGGTATATACCGTGGTGAGAACGAAATTATTCACAGCATTGACGGCATGAAGAAGTCGAGCACGTAAAAGAAACATTTCATGGTGTAATTGGTAAGATTGGTGACGATATAGTCGATGGTTACGGACACGATTTTTCACGCGAAATTCTAAATAAAAAGCAAAGGATAATCAGAAACATTGATGGTGCCATGTAGAAGATTTCGTCCTAACCACTGAAAACTAATTGATCTAGCACATATTTTGCTTGCTTGACTTGTAAAACAAATGCAAAACATTTCTGATAGGTTTCCATATGCTCCGGTTTGACAATGATTACTAGTTCTTTGGGTAAATCATATTTTAATTGAACATTTTGTATGATGTACTTTTGTGTGATGGATGATTCTGTTGCCGACTGAAATATCACACTCAATGGATATTGAATTTTATCCAGACCGAACATTGTTAGTGTACTATCGAATGAAACAAGGACTGTGAATGCATCTAGACGTTCGTGAATTGTCTGAGACAATTTAGCGTATAGTCGCAGTGCGAATTGATGCATAAATGAGCCGTTTTCGAAGAGAAAAAAGTTTCGAATATACTCGATATGTTTTAAATAGTTCAGTCGATGCAGAATGTCATTAGTGAGTTGATCGATTAATTGAGTACATTTTACCAACAGGATTTGTTCGCTGAAAGTCTGTAGAATACACTCGATATTCGACAATTGATTGATACTTGAAGAAAGACATAACTGCTCACTAGAATCGAGAGGAGACCATGTATTAGACAAAGTGAAGTGAATAATTTACCGATTAATATCGAGTAAAGTCGGTTTGGACATTTGCATCTGATTGAACGCTAATGCGAGGAATGAGTTCCTTTCATTATCGATATCGTCGAATAACAAGTTCAGAGAGATCGATGGATTTGATTTTAGTGGTTTTACAAGAGTATTCGTTTCGGAATCGTGTATGACAGTTAGAGGAGTCCAAGTTTGTTTTGTTAGATTACAGTTCACTTGCAAATGTTGTGAAAACTTTTCCACGAATGATTGTGATTCTTCTTCATCTATACCAACAAACATGATATGATAGAATCAAAGATATTCTTCAAAAATGATTACTTGTTAAAACACTGTTTGACTTGAGAATTTCTGCACATTTGCCTGCTTTGATCAATGATGGAACTACTGATGCTAACCATCGTGGTATTAATCTACACGATCAAACTCAACATCAAGTTAAGAAGATGTGATCTGTTCAACTTACGAGACATTCTCGACTTGCTCTGTATATGATTGATGCCAGAAGTCCAAAGCTTCTACCGACACATCAGTTTTCCTGAAAACCAATTCATTTCTCATCTAAAGGGAAACTTCAGGTCTCTTACCGTTTGATGAAGAGCTCCTCGAAAGGATCATCTAGATTTCCATTTGCTAGCCAATTCTGAATGATTTCCAAATAGATTCGACAACTTGATATAAAAAGTGGAAGGAAAAAATTCTAAAGCGCACTTCAGTTCGAAGATCACCACATATGACTAAACTTACGAAAAACGTCAAATTATTGATCATTTCTGACATAAGCACATTTTTGTACAGAACGTGTATTAATTCCAATGTTAAATCACAACTGAGTTTGTCCTCGTCGAAGAATATCTGATCGAATATCCGCTCGATGCATTCGCCTTTGGAAATCAAACCTAACGAATCTAGTTGTTGATAAAACGAGAGTATCGTGTATGTATGTTCTAAATCGAAGAAGATTGACTTGAGAAGGCCTGTGGAATGGTGAACGAACTTTGTTGGAGAACGGATTTTTCAATATCTGCCAGTTGAAAGTGAATAAGAGTCATTTGGTCTCGAATTGCTTGGGCAAATGACGAAACAGTTCGACATGAATGAGTGATTTTTCTGAGAAATCTTGTGGCTAATTGAAATTGATTTGAAAGTAAAGTAAATTTTTGTAAGCATTCTTGAATGGCTACCTAAAACAACCGATATATGTGTAAATATAAACCAAACTCGGTGTTCACCTACCGGTGTCACATCACACAGGCGAACAAAGTCCGCAACATGCACTTGCTCATTCTCATCGATAGAATACACATGCAATTCATTCGAATTCATCAGGAGCCTAAAAGAATATGTAATTACAATCAATATGAAGTCATTCCGTTGTACCAAAGAGTTTCGCGAATCAGAATGTATTCAGTCACTGTCTGTGAGTTCACTCGATAAGCTAAATGGGTTGTTTTCATCATAGTTTGGTCCCTGAAAAAATCAAGATGTAGATCAAGTTTTTCGGTAATTCTATTTACCAGAACAGGGCGAAATCTCGAAGAGCTGGTGAGACATCGTCGGCTTGTTTGCCATGCCAGTACGACGTGAGAATCTCTCGATCAAGCGACGAACTATGTTTTTCTGAATAGAAATAAGGGTTATATTGAGTTTTCTTACTAATTCTGCTGTTCGATATCATCGATTGGTTTGGATTCCAGTTCAATGTCAACTATTGTGTCATTCTGGATGGAAGTGGAATCCATTCGATCGTCGTCGTCGTCAGTGAGACTCTCGTCCTAAAAGAAATTTGTTGATTAGTGTTTTTGAAGCATTTTTTTACATCTTGATAATCGTCGGAAGCAATCGGCTGTTGATAATCATTTCCAAGTAAAAATGCAGGCCAATTGAAATTCGCTTCCTCTGCAAAGAATATTCATCGACACTATGATCAATTTGATGAATTCTTCTTACCAACTTGTTCATGAACGAGACGAGAGAAGTCATCTAATTCGACATCCAATGGTCTTCGAGCTAAGGAAATGATGAACTGTAAACACGACAGATGAAGTTCACTCTAAGGATAACAATTGTAGAAAGCCGACGTGAATTTCATCTAGTGACTTTTACTTCTGGTGAATGTTTCAACAAAGGTCGATTGCTGAATCGTTTGATAAGAAATTCCAATAGATCAGCCTTTTTATCTTGAGCATGAACGATATATTTTTCTTTTAAACTATAAGACAATCTTGCATTGAAGAGCAGAAGATCAGTCAATGGTGTCATACCCTTGGATACTTTTGTCGACATGACGTTTTTCGACATTGACATTCGAACGATGTATAATCGCATCTTCAAATAGTTTCTTGTGTGGATTAAATCGATCTGAAAGCTGGAAAAGAGCAAGTGGACGCGTTTATCCCGGGTGTAATCTTACGGTTAATCCAGTAAGATCATAAACGATTTCGTTGAGGGTTGGTTGAATCGATTTTAAAAAGTTGCTCATCTAGAGAAATGACACAATCAATGCTTTGACTCGAGCAGAGGACGCAAGTTGTTTCGTAGAATAAATAAACTCGAGATTTATGATAAACAGAAGTTCTTCAGTGAAGAAACAAATAAGATTACTGTTATTTACTTTGGCATGGCAAGATTTTGATTGATATACAAAATATGACGGATGAATCTTCGTATTGAAGTCTGTCCCTTTCTCCTTCGGGAAGGGAATGACTAATGTGTACCTGACTGGTCAACTTCAGACCAATTGATTGAGAAGAAAAGAGGGCATTTCGTATTTGAGTTGAACATGATTGTCATCGAAAGTAATTTCGAAACATGACCGTATTTAGAAAGATAGACGACGAGTTTCTAATAATCATCTGTTTATCTTCGTTCTTCCTTTCATCTGACTCATATCATTCCGTATTTGGGCATACTGAGCAGAATAAGAATAAAACGATGAGTAGTTATCAATATTTTGAAATCTTTTCTCCCAATGACTGCTAGTATAAAAACTAGTCGGTATGAAACACTTTTCCATTCGTTTATTTCCGATTATTCCTGCAAAACAAATCATCTATATTCATCGTTGCTCCCATACTCATACTCATACCACTAACCTCACATATCGATATTCTCAACTATCAACACTGTATTCATTATGGCTGGTTCGGTAAGTGACCCGACAATATTCTTTTTTTTTCTATTTCTTAGTATTTTCCCTTATCCATACTGTTGTCCGTATGTCGATCTAACTTCATGGGAAAGAAAAAAAGAAGAGGAAAAAGAAAGACAGCGCCTATCGATGATATCTGCTTCATGTTGTGAGATATACGCCCGTTCCTGCTGACGGATAATAATTGTAGTTGCCATATACGAGAATAGGACAAGGAAAATGCTCGATTGTACTCTACTCGCTCTCGGTTGATGATTCATAAGAGCAACTAGTATAATATCAACACACTGTATATGGAATTGTTTTGGTAGGTATACTGCAAAAGAAAAGAACAGAAAGAGAGAGAGAGAGAAGAGAGGGAGGAAAAACATCGAGAGGCAATCCCAAATAGGGCATCAATTGTATATTTCCACTTTCTTCTTCTTCTGTTTCTTCGACTAACGCAGGCATCTAAACGACGTAGATTCTAATGGTAAGAAACACGTGTAAGAACTTTTATTTTTACTAAAGGAAAAAAGGAAAGAACTTTTGGGATAGTTTCAAATGATGTGAGGTGTTTCGTCCATTGAATGATTTTTTCGAAGTCAATCAATCAAGTTTTTATTTGTTTTAGGCTTCAGGAGTCAAAGTTGACAATTCTGTGATTGAGAAATTTCACGAATTCAAGATCAAGAAGAACTGTGGCTATCTCGTTCTTGGTTTCAGCGAAGATATCTCGAAAATCGTTGTTCTCAAAGAAGGCCAAAATAAAGCCCCACAAAACGCACCTGCTAATGACAAAAGTAAACGCTTCCAACGCGTAGTCTTTCTTCATTAATACAATTATTCTATTTTCTTTCCTGAAGATAAGAAATGGGCAGAAATGCTGGAGGAATTGCCAGAAAATGATGTACGATACGCGGTAATCGATATATTCTACGAGACAAGCGAAGGATCACGTGCAGAAATCTATTTCATTTCATGGTAAAGATAACATGAAGCTGATCCGTTTCGTATACTCTCTTTGTCGACTTGTTTCAGGGCACCGGATAGCGCGACAATTAAACGTAAAATGTTGTGTGCATCAAGTAAAGATGCTTTGAAAAATGCTCTTCAAGGTATTCGCAATCACTTACAAGCAACATGCAAATCCGATCTCGATTTAGCAGCAATTATTAGCGAAAAAACCAAATCCAAGTAGATTAAGATTGTTCAACGGAACCAGACATTCTTTCTTCAGCATTTTTTTTCATTCTCGCTCTCTCTCTCTCTCTATCTTTTTTTTGTATCTCGATCACCGTTTACTTAAAAAGAACAAAAATTTGTGCTATTATTAATAATAATATTATCATTCTTTTTCTTTTTGTTGGTTTGCATGTTTGGTCTCTTCGTCTTCTTATTTTCAGTTCATGTCCGCGTTACAACTACGGTATATATATATAAAAAGATTCGAATGAGAGAATAACAACCCTTCTTTTCCTTCTGTCTTTTCGAATGCTGATTTTCACCTGCTTTGTTATAATTGTGTCTCATGCGACAATAAAACAACGACGCAATTGATATACATGAACAATAAATAACAACGTCTGCACATACATTGACTTTCAAAGGAAGTTTTTAGAATCTCCGAGACGTACACTTATCTATTCGTTTGGTCTAGTTAATTACATTTGAAGACCAATGTATTTTCTACATCCGCAGTCGTAGGACGACACGGATAGAAAAGAAGATATCTATTGACATACTAATGAATCATAAATACTTGTTTGAAACCTTCATTCGTGGAGTGTTTCCTATGTAAATAGCTTCTTGCCATGATCTCTGTTTATTACGTATGGGAGATATATCAAAAGGAACATATAACAACGCGAAAGTATACAGTTGCCACAGTAGAAGACAACGACCGGATTATCAGCATAAAAAACATCGTCAAAATTTGGCTTGCAAGAAAAACATGTGACTTAGAAGTAAAATAGATACAACAAGTGAATAACGGTCAGCTAGTCTTGTGGCATATGAACACTTGGAAAATGATGTTTGATTTTCTCCTTCGTGCACGAAGAAACACTTGTGTGGTCGTTCACGATATGGTGTCGTTTTCAAACGTGTACACCATTCCTCTTTGGTGAATTCGACGGGTCTACGTTTGATGACCAATTTGGGACAGGTCACTGACGCTTCTTTCGAATGATTGACATATAGTAGCATTAAATTACTCCTCGGAATCTTTGATATCGAATAGCTAAATATATGGAGAAAAATGTATCGAAAAGATTTATGTTTGGTTTAGTAAGTTTACCCGAAAGATTCATAGAAATTAAGTCGGGATTCTACGGTTGAACTGTTCGTTCCATTTTCATTTACACTCACAACTGTTTCTCTTAAATAAACAGCACAATCAACCGCTCCATGAACAGTATTAGCACGTTCAATCTCTTCCCATGTTAGTCGATTGTCTTTCGACGGTAATGGACCCTCCCATCCTTTCCATGTTGATACATAAAGGTTAAATTCTTCAATACATGACAATGGAATTCGTCCGACCGATTCATCTTCCTTCGTTCCATTTATTTCTCGATGATCCAAGATCGGTCGACGGAAGTCAATGTGAGTTAAAAGAACATTACTAAGACTCTCTCGAGTATGTGTCGGTGGCTTTTCAGGTTCAAGAGTAAGATTTTGATTGTTATGAGACTTTCTTGATGCGTATGTCCAACGAGGAAAGACAAGGATATCGTGAACAAGAAACCTAAAGGATTACACGTTAGAATATGTGATAGGTCAAAATAAAACTCTTCTTACATTGCAATATGGTTGATAACACTCCAGATCATTGAGGAGATGGTATAGAGAATCTGAAAGAGAGTATATTTACAAAACGAGAAAAATGAATACTCGAACATACACTTCGAAACATGTGACCAGAACTTTTTTCTTGTACTATTTGCTTGTGTAAACATACACCTTGGAAATCCACCATTTTCTCTCTAGATACAAAGATTTTTCGAATCGTTTCAACGACAGTGCACAGAGAATATTTTACTCAGCGAAGATTTTCTTGGCAACAAGATCTTGCATAACCAAGCCCTCGAATTCACCTAAAAACTTGCCAATATCAGCCTAAAAACAAATTCGGTACACATTTGATTAAATAAATGAATTTTCGAACATACCGTTCGATCGTCACCTTGCTGTTGACTAATGAACATAATGAATCCATTCTCGTCAATGATGTAACATACACCACTGTCCAATTTACTCTAGAACGGCTTGAAATGAGAATATCAATAATATTGTTCGAAATACATACACATAAATCGGAAAAATGAGTCGAGCGAACAGTTTTGTATGGTAACATAACTCCAAAAACTCCGAATGGAACATTTTGGGTATTATTCGGTCGATCCATAGATTTGTTCATCCAAATTCCCGTTGTAATGACTAGATACATATGTGATGCAGTAAATGACACACTTTGTCCTTCTACCAACGAAACAAAATATAACATGGAATTCATCAAGAATGAATTACCTGTCGTATTCGTATTATTATCATACGAATTTTCTACAAAAAAAAAGAAGAAGATGCGAAATGTGATTTCGAAATGAATCTTATACATACGTGAATTGGGACCGGGAATACTCGATATTCCGTAGAAAAGTGAATAGACGTAATGTTTACCATGAATATGGTCAGCACCATAGTAATGCGTAGCATTGATAGTTCGTTCATAATAATTCGATTCAATGGAATTCGGATTTGCATCGCCAAATTGTCTAAACTCAGGTCCGGTTTCTTGCAAGAAATTCAATCCCGAGCTCATACCTGATATGATCTTCGATAGCTTGATTCGACAATCGCCAATAAGCAGTGATACCCGATCGAGTGGCTAAGAAAATCCAGTGGATATGGCTTTCATGTTCATATGATTTAAAATCCAGATAAGCTGATCGTTCGATTGGCTTTTGATGACTCCGGTCGATGGCACCGTTCTTCGTCCAATTTTCGAACTTGCTCATGATGAACAATTCTTCGATCATCATGTAAATCAATTGTTTACTCGCTTTGTACGGACCTACGTGAAGATTATTTCAATTAGAGAACCAATCAGAATCGAATCAAAGCATACATGAACGAATATTCATTGTTTCAATTTTTTCTTTCAAATAATCACGGAATGATTCTTCCGTGTCACCGATATCATCTTCCGCTGTTGAATTACAATAAATCCAATCGGCAATGCGAACATTGCGTTGAAGAATAAAACGAAGTGCTAGAACACAAAACGATCATCTAGTTGCACACTGTGTTCGTTCGGAAAAAGTAATATCATCTAAGTGATGCCATTAATACAACTAAGTGTTTTTAGGAACAAGACAAGACAGCCCTTCATGTACAAATTGATTTTGACAACGTTGGTTTTACTTTTCTCCTAGTGTTTCTTGTTCATCTCATATCAACTATAACATTTTGTTGAGAAAAGAATAAGTGCAGAATAATGAACTGTTATACCCGTTTATTACTTTTGTTAAAAGCTCTTCGAGATTTTCGAACAATAGTAAAGAACGGATATGAAGATTTATGATTGTATGCTTTTCATAAACTGTGCGTTGTTTCGAATTGATTACTCTACTATGAAGTTTATCTAAATGTGAATGTGCTCGGTGGCATTCAAACTGAGAAAAAAAAACACTACGTGCAATTTGCAAAACTTGTGTTAATACCGTATATTGTCTACGCGTTCTTTTTCGATCCATTCTGACTAATCTAGATAAAATCATCATCTTGAATAAGAAATTGCATCAAATCTAGCTTTATTCTTCTGTCACAGAGTATTGTATATGTAAATAAGAAATGATTAAGTCTTTCATGATTGGAATTAGATGAAGCGCGAGCATGTCTCGTGCGTTCATAGTATAAAAAACAAAAAGCTAATCTTTCAATAGAAATCATCCGTTCTCTGCTTGTGACTCTTTGTGTTTATCGTTGATCTTATTCTATTAGATTTGATCAATGATGTTTCATTGTGAACTATTTGCTACTTGCAGAACGCAAAATTTCCTTCCGTTCGATGCACTCTTTCCTAATGGAATATGCCCTTTTCGAATGTCGTCTTTTAAGTACTCAACATTCTTTTGGAATATGGCTGGCTGAGAAAATCATTCGTTATTTACATAACAATTATTTCCTTATGAGACAGCAACTCACAAGACGTTCTTCGCGAGATAATTATGAAGAACAAGGAATTGGTCATCGGAGAATTCAATTGTAAATTCATCTGAATGGGATACTAATTCCGACGAAGCATAATCAAAGTAAATTGACCAGTCATCCGAAAGAATCGTGTCTTGTATGTCATCGCATTGACTGGGCTCACAATTGACTCAAGGGCACATCGTTTCGAATAAAAATCAAACCTACTAACCTATTTGAGCTTTGCCTGTGTCCGGTTCAGTAGTTCGAACATGATATTCACCATAAGGAAAACGAACAGCAATGCCCAAACTAAAATCAAACTCAAAAGCACACTCACTAAAGCATGTTTATCAGTACCTGAAAGGATTCGATTCTTTGTCTCCTAAAGTTGCATAGTAATACTTTTGTTCGACAACTTCGATCCGTCGCTAGGAAGAAAAAAAAAGGGTAATTAGTTAGTTTATACTGGAAATGATCTTACCATATCATCCAAGTGTTTCTTGACTCGAGCTGAACGTTGATTTTCCTTGGATAAAATCATATCCTTCCGGATCTACAAATCATCGCACATGAACAATCTCAGTCGACCTAACAAGAGATCTTACTGCTTGAATACTACTTGCTGGCAATGGCTACAAAAAGAAGTCTGATGACTGCTGTGATTTGGAAGAAGAGATATGACTTACATGAACGAATCTGATGAGGTTGTCAGGTATTTCTACCATATCTAAGTCAATTGAATGATAGTTTTGTTTTCGATATGGACCCAACTAAATCGGACGCAATTTTTTTGAAAAGAATATCAAATGGGTATATCAAACATACGACAGGCCGTAAATCAGGATGAAACATAAGATAGCCGTTGTGATTAATCATGAATGAATAAGCATGTACTCCGAGCTAAATAGAAATATGAGGATTTATTTCAAGAAGGAAAGAGAAGTCGACATCTTTACTCGATATTTCGGTGAGAATTCTTGAATAAGTTTTACGGGAATATCAACGCCCACAGCACCTAATAAGATTGTTTCGTCTTTTTTCTATTTCATTCATATGAGAAACAAGATAGAGTGCACTTCATTCGCAAATTAACTCACGTCTTTTGGTGGATTGAGAATAGGTTGGGCAATTGAAATCATCAAGTGAACAGGCTATTGAATTCAAATGAACTCATCTGTCTTCATCTGATTCTCTCTCGTTCTTACTTTCGATTTATTCCTAAACTCATCCATGGAGATCGAGAGGTCAGGGAATTTGAATGGAAACCATTTGTAGGTTTTTATTGGTAAGGTTCTTTCCACATCAAGAAATACACTACTCCATACAGTAACATGATCATTATACATAGCAATAGGACGCGCTGTAACTGGAATGTAATCTTCTACATTCTCTTGGATGTCTTCCAACGTCGAAACATGAGCAAAATATCCTAAATGAATTGATTAACCTTTCATACGACCATCCTTTCAGATTACCTTTGTTAGCACATGACATCCAACGAATATGCTTCGGATCGCCTAGTTCTCTTCCGATCATGTAAGTGAATACACGTGTCTGAAAAGTGCCGACAATATGTCGTCAGTTTTCGACATAGAAGAATCTTACTTCGATGGGATGACATGTTGATACGTTATTCGGGGTCCAATTTCGACTTTGAAAAACACTTAATGCGGTTTCAGTAGCACCATCAGTGACAATCATGATCATTTTATTACAACCCGTACTATCGAGGAATGGCTCGTCTTCATCATCGTAATGAGTTACTACAAGAGAAAGAGAAACAAGGAAAGAAAAATGATTTCCGGACATTCGTTTTTAATCAAACCATTGAAATCTGTTGGACAGAATGCTTCCCGTTGGGCGTCCGTTTGATTATCTGTTGTCAAATAATGGCATTGACACAATAATCTGACATTTTCCGTGAGTGATATGTTTGTACGGGCATCGTCTAAAATATTAAACGCCATGTTCAATGCTTTCGAAAAATTCGCGATGTCTTTAGTTTTGAATGGTTCATTGACAGTTTGACGAAATCTCTACAAAGAGAAAAACGAAGTTGATACAAAGTAGTCGTCATTGACTGTAGCGATTACATGACGATTTTCAAATGTTGCTTGCACGAGCCCATCTTGAAAACACTCATCGACAAATTCCGGTTCTTCTTGAAACTACAATCAATAGAACTTTTACACATTGACCTTCACTCTCGCGAAAACTCTACTTTAATGATTTGTACAAAGTCGTCATCGGATAATGTATCTAAGATTGTTTCGACAGTTTGCACGGCAATAGATTTCTTCAAGCCAGTCATCGATCCACTAGCGTCAATCAAAATAATCACATCACGTGGCGATGATGTGGCACGGATGTACCAATTTTGTACGCGACAATCGAACAAATCTAATTTTTCAGTATCACCTTCCGGATACTCCCATTTATGACCCGGCCACACGCGATAAAGACCCGTTTGGCTGCAAAAGTACTGCCAAGTTAACTCGGGATCGTGATTATAATTATCAATAAACGCTTGATTAAGATTATACGACCAATTTGCGGTTAAGAGAATTTCTTTATCTAAAGCAAAGCATGTCGATGTAAAGCTCGATCAGGAAACGACAGTCTTTTGTATCTCCTTACTTAAATAATAGATTATAGTCGGAACGTGGACTGTGCTATGCGTAATATTAACAAAAGCTCCACCAAAATGTTTTTTCTGTTGCATATATAGATTTTTTACTAATACTCTACATGAAAGAGAACGCGTTTTCTTTACTCTATTCAACGATATAATTGGAATTTACCTGTATTGAGGATCTACATCAGACCCTAACGGATTCTCATCTATTGAACCGGTTGTGTTCGAATCAGTAGTGGTAGATGAAAGCGGCACTTTGGTTGCCGAATCCTCGAGTCGAAATGAGCTATTGTCTGTGATTGTAATTGCTGACGATGTCGTTGTTGTCGTACTTGGTGAACTAGTTAAAGATGCATTTTCATTCGTTGTATTGCTAATATTATTTTCGACATGTTTGGTGCTGAGATAACCATGAGTCTACTCGGAAACGAATAGAATCAGTTAAAGAAAAAACAGGAACATTAGAATTGAACTCACTTCCATGAATTTGACTGTTTCATTGCGCGTTGCTTCATCGGTTTCCGCAAATCGCCGATACGATTGTTCGCTGATAGTAACGAGATTTCTGATTGCTTCGAGCTTCTTCATTATAGCACGATTGGTATAATTTGCCATTTCGATCACAAGTTCGGAAAGATTACGTTTCTCAATGATGAACGTATTCGATGATTGCATGTAAACTTCGCGCATCATTCTATCTGTACTCGGCAATGTTAGTGCAGAAAATTGTTCTGTGAGATAAACTAATTGATCACGCAAGTATTGATTTGTTGCTGCCGATAACAAAGGAACTCTACAGGGAATATAAGAAAAAATAAAATTTTTCATCACATTTACCAAGAAATCGAGTATGAACATACGTCGGCAATGTATCGGAGAAAGATACATTCGGAATATCGTGCAGATTAGATGCTTGAATACGTCGTTCATATTTGATGTTAATCACGAGAATTATTAGAATAATTCTCAGCGATGTCATTGATGGAGATTGATGTACGTGCATTAATTCATCGAATGTTCAAATAGAAACGAGTTCGACGTGCTACTAACTGTCTCTTTTTTCTTTCTTGTGCTACTGCGCTTCTCTCTCTCTCTCCTAAGGCCGTATGTGTAGAATTTGTTCGAAAGAAAACTTCGTCAATTCTCTTGCGTGTTCTATACGTTAATGTCTACAAAGTCTATTCTTCGACATTCTATGTTAGCGTTTTTTTACTTACTCCTCATTCTTTTCTTGTGCTCACTACATTTGCTCCGATAAAATAACGAGTTCTCTCTCTCTTTTCTCTTAGTTTCTTTTTTTTTGTATATATCAATCACAAGCGTTCCCTCTTCCTCATTCACACACACACATACAACAAATCAAACGATTACGAAGGAAAAAGAAAGACGAGAAAAAAATCTACTGTTTTTATCGTTATTGACATAATCAAATATAGTTCAATCGGCTTACTTCCACAAAAGAACACAAATAAATAAATTTATTTATTGTCTTTTTTTTCTCCTAGTCGCACAACATAAAATAAAACAAAACCGGAATGTCTGTTTAGTTTTCACAACATTCTTTCACTGTTTTCTTTATCGCTTTGGGAAGATCATTCGAAGGATTAATATCAAAGAATCCGCTAGGTTTAAGTGAAAATCCTGCTGTAACGACAGGCATGACAGGAAAATCTTCTTGTCTTGGAATATGTGTCACACCAAATGTATACCAGAGAACGATGTCTTTATTAACTATGGACCGATCTTGTTCGGTATAATGTAACAAACCAATGTCGGATTGACTTTGATTGGGGTAATTGCCTGAACCGAACATTTCCTTCTCGTCGAAAGGAGTAACCCAGACATGGTAGTCCACAAAACTTGCACGTTTGCGCCACCAAGCTTTCGACGAACTGAGAGGTACGGCGTTGTCACCCGGATGTAGTTTGTAGCCAGTTGCTTCACCAACTCCGTTTCGAACGGCGGAGTTTTCGAACTTCCACGAACGTGATTTCTCTAAGCACAGATTGCTTCTTGCTTGCTTCTCGGTTTCAAGCAATATTTTATTGATGTGAAACGCATTGTGAAATTGATTGTGTAGAGCATCATCCGGATCAGCCTCGACATCGATCATGTACGCTGTATTATTGATGCCGTCTATAGCTAAATCAAGACGCATGTTGAAGAAATGCTGATGATATGGTGCGAATAATTGTGGAGCAATTAATGAGCCATACGGTGACTTTTTCTCAGGTGGTACAGCGCCTAATGAAAGAATGCCCGTCATTTTGACTTCGAATTGAACGCTAGCATCTTGATACAGATACCTATTAATAAAAGAGAACGTGTGCAATACAATTCTCGGAGGAATAACGATAAAACAAATACAGACAGAAGAGTGTTCTTGCTTAACAATGCATGGTGTGTGCTTTTTAGGTTCGAGCTCAATGTTTTTGAATAAATTATGGTCTATAAATCATTTATATTCACTATTTTCCCGAAAAGATTCGATCGTTAATAATAGAGATCTTATATTCTAATTCTTCTTCTTCTTTTATAGATATTTCGAAAGGCTTTTAGGAACTAATTATTCTACTGAAACGAGATCGTATTACACATGTTAGCACATACTGTTATCAGTAATGTTTTATGAACTTCCACATTTACTTGTCACAGAAGAGGAATGACTTTTGTTATGTGAAGCTTGTCGTAAACTATGCTCGATTTTCTCATTGGAGGGGAAATGTAAAGACTAATTACCAGAAGAATCCATATTCATAATTTTCGATTGTCGCAATACTTGAGATAACTAATCTTCGACTTCGTCGTACCTAATGAAGGAAGCAAAAGCAGAGATTTTTGCATGTTCTCCACGAAAAATTACTTCTGGATTATTTAATCGACGATCTGTATGCTTCCATAGGATGCCGACGTCCTCTTCGTGAAGACAAATGGCATTTTTGATCACCAAGAGTTCTCCACGGCTGGTACACATATTTGCATCGAAATATTTGATGTAACCAAGACAGTCACAGCCAAGTTCCAGACTATTCGTGCAACAACCTAAACCATATTCACCACAATCGAATGCGTTTTTTCTTGCTTGTTGTTCAGCTGGATCACCATAGGGAACAACCATTTCACTTAGTGCAGCTCGGTACAACACTGAACGGTTGTCGTAGGTCAAATGATGAAGAACTAAACCTTGTCGCATAGTAAAACCGATAACAAATGACCATTTTTGCCATGAGACTTGATAACCATTGATCTGAAAGCTTGGGCCTTCAGGTTGAACGATTTCTAACGGTCGAATATCAGTACGAGTTTTTGACACTTGATCCGATGTATATTCACAGCTGATGTACGGAATGGGATAGTGATTATAAATCTCAATACGAATAACTTCCACTATTCGAAACAAAAGATACAATATTTGCTTAGTTCAAATCTTTGAACTCACTTAAATTGAGATCGACTACAGGTCGTAAGCCTTCAATTGGATGTGTATATCCATTATCATTCGGATGAGATCGAACGAAACACAATGGTCTTGCTAGACGACGTGTACGTTCTTCTTCTTCTCCATAGTACCCACTTGACCATATGTCGACCATCACTCGACTAACATCATCGATACCATAATGTTCACGTATCAATTCTTGAAATTGAACTGATCGAAGTACTGCTTGTTCACATTCAACTTGTTCATCAACAGTCATCGTCGCCTGAACATTTGGAATGTGTTCCAGTGATATAAGTTGACCTTCGTTTTCCAGCTCGACTCGTGCTTCATAACAAGAATTCGTTCCATTATCGAAGAGAACAACATCAGCTTCACGGGAAATCACTTCGTTCGATGGATTCAATATTTTTTCCTTTGCTGCTTCATGCAATGTTATCGACACAAAACGTGTCGTTGCCGTTATTTTGTCACTTTGTTTCTTCAAAACTTCTACAGCCCGTTCAATTTCAGCCAATGACAATGGTTCTAGTGGATGGCGCGATTGGGTACGTTCAGACGTTGTACTTTCGACTTTATCGTTCGTCATTATATCTACTTTTTTCGACTATCAATCAGGTGTCTTGGAAATAATAACTACTGTTTAAATACTCCAATCATCTACCTTCTGCTCTATTATTTTATCTAGCTTATGCTCCAATGCATTGGCTTTTCTTTATCAATAACGAGCCCTGGTGTGTGTGTGTTCGCAGAAAGAAAAAGAAAAAACGCTATCCGACATTATCAAATGTACTAAGGTATCAATGATTCATGTTCGATGTTTGCCCTTAAACTGAAGCGAGTGGCAAGCGCCTTTTTTTTCTATAACCAAGTATAGTTATCTAGAAAGAAAAATACAATTCGCGATTCATCTACTAATACTCTGTAATTATAGAAAAGTATGCTTTTTTTTCAAGGGTTACATGACACCTGTTATGCTTCTTTTTAATTTGATTTAAAAACACACTATATGCAATATTCAAAAGATCGCATGCGACAATTATAACAATATATTAGATTTTCAAGTGCAAGAATATGAAAACATTTGACGGGCACAATCGAGAAACTACGTAGAAGAGCTCGATGTACATTTTTGAGTAATGTGTGTCACAACGGCATCTCGACATTCCTAACAGGACTAATTTTCCGTATGCAGTATATTCATGGTCATCGTCACATTCGAATGTTTTTCACTGAGCCATAGATCTCGCTATTCGAAACTTGTGTTGGGTCTACGACAGTTGTCTATACTTTATCTCACACTTGAACAGACAGCAATGGTGATCTGAATGAGATAAACACATCTTGAGTTGATAATCTAGTATGAAGACTTTTATTGAGACTCTCTTCGTTACTAATGACCTTCACCTTTTATTGTATTTGTTTATTCAGTTAAAATAGGAAGGTATGATGCATGTACAAGGTGTCCTTCATTTTTATTTCATATTAGTGCTAAATACAGATGAGTCATTTTGCTTTATTTATGCATCTTTTCGCTCTCTACTCAACTTGAAATTTGTGAAGTCATCTTTTTCGCACATGGACGGTCACATTTCAAGCAAAAAAGATGCTGCACTCTAAAGCGAGTTTCTTTCTACTATTTTTCCTAAGGCTTTTACAAGAAGCATGTGAAAGTACTCGATGTTTTTCCGTAATGCTGGGTCATATACAAACAGTGTAGCTTCCATAAAGTACAATCTAATTTGTTGGATTAAACAGATCATTGTGAGTACAGATCGTCTCAATATAGCAAACGATAAGAATATATGACACGTCAAACGTGTGAAGAAAGAATTTATTGAATGTATAATCTCATTACACGAGAAGCGGTGAAGAAAATACTCTTGACATATCCTCCGCTTATTTTCGAATTTGTCAATACTCAAATAGACGAATGCACTCAGTAATATTAGATAGTCTTCTACCTACGCAACGTAAATACATTTCTTTTCAATTTGATCAGAAATCCATATCAAGTGCTAGACTTTACGCCAAGAAATTCATCTTCTCTGACGTCAGTGAATTCTATCGTTTTTCAAATAGCCAATATTGATCAAAAATCAACTTTACTTTCGATTTGCTTGCAAAATATTTTTCAAACACATTTGAAAGAAATGTAAGAAAGGAAAAACGAAAACAAACAACTTTTAAAAAAGCAGTACCGTGAGATTGTTATTCGAAAAAAATGTTTCAACTTTGCCACACAATAATAGATTATTTTGCGCGACTAGATGCAAACAGGAGTGTATGTATGCATGTCAAGGCTGAAAGGAATTTCATTTATTTCTATCCAAAAAACGTATCCCAATGAGATTTTCGTCCGTAGGAACTGGATAATCGCGTGCGGCGACCTATTGGTCGAGTTGGGAGCGGCACCAAATGATGTTTGTCAGTTGTGGCTTGCTTCGTTCGATATCTCGTGGTATGATGATGATGATGTTCCTTCTGCTTGTCTAACAATGTCTTGGAATTGACCAACAGTGCCAACAGGTCCGAGTAACTTGGAGATTCAACAAAATAATTTCTTAATGTTTGTATATCAGACTCGCTATCATACACAGGTCGACTTCTCACTAAAAAAACACGAGAGATAATGTTGATAAGAAGTTTTCTTTTCTCTTTCATACCGGATAAGACAATGGTGATAAACATTAAAGCAGTGAAAATGATTTCGGGTTTCATTTTGTAAGTTCAGAAACGGAGACAATTAAATGAAGTGGATGTGTCTATATATATATATAAGAATATGTAGTTAAGGCGAATTAAAGAAGAAAGGAAAGGATGATTTGTATATTTGATGAGAGAATGCTTTGTTTGTTGCAAGTCGAGAAGAAAGAGAAATAAAAATGAGAATCGTTTCTTGATGTTGAAGTTGTCAACATAATTCTTCACCTACGCGTAACCATCAACACAAAATATGTCGAAACATTTATTCATTCTGGCAGAATTTTATTTTTCTCGACAGAGTAAAAAAGAACAGCTACTTCCGGATAAGTCGATGGATTAGTTCAAAGAAGTCAATGTCAACAAACAGATGATAAATTAACAACTGACTCAATACGGATCAAGTTCGATGCTGCTAGTTGAAATTGAATTGCTAATCGTTCGGAGGCGTTGAATCAATAGGAAACAATGAGTATTAGTGAATACAAACGACTCCTCCTTTCATGACCAAACCGTTCCATACTCAACAACGATGAAATTCCTATTCCGAGCAAATTTCTTCGACATGTTTGCTTTGGTGTTATTCTTGCATAAGTAAACAAGCTAAAGTTCTATTGCATATTTGGTGAGGAATATATTTTTGGGAATCGGTAAAAGTGAAATAAAAGAACACTGTACACATGAGATGAAAGAGAGAAAATGAAGGAGATAAATAAAATCCAATCAAACTGAGTAAACGACAAATAAAACGAAATGTGTGATTTTTTTTTCTTTCCAGATATCTTGTCTACTATGAGAAAATGAAAGCAAGAGCAAAAAAACAGAATGAATGAAGAAGAAAGACGAATACAAACACATCGACGTTACATATACACGAATATATTAATTCATCATCATTCTGTTGCACTGTATTGTTAACATACGTGTGAACTAAATATGACTAGAACAGAATTTCAATGACGAGACAAGGAAGACAATGGGGTTGTATAAATAAGAAAAAAAAATCTTACAAGAAACAAAGAGAGAGAGAGTAGGTTAGAAGAAACATCAACAGCTTTTATCACGCATTTGTCAATGGAATCGAAAATGAGATCTTCTATGACTGCTGTTGGTCATTGCCAGCTGCCAAGTATGAGAAAACACATAGAATAGCATAACAAATACGATCAGCCTAAAATTTACAAACAGAACATATGAATTAAAGTGATTTTACAGATCTTTCAACAAAGCAATATATAGCAAAACAGAAGGCTATTGCTGATACCTAAGCCATTGATAAGTTGTTGATTAATGCCATTGGATACATTGTTAGCCGCTGCTAGCTTTCGTCGTTCAACAACAATGGATACAACACGATGAAAAGCAAGTAGAATATTACTCGCCTAGACACGGAGAGAAAAGACGCAAGCAACATGGATACAAGACAACAGTAAATACGACATTGAACGAGAAAACTTACCGTTGGAGATTTGTATTTTCTAATCAGGATTTGTTTTGTATTAGGGTCTATTGTAGAAGAGAAAAGTTGAAAGTGCAAGATTTTTATTGATAATGTGACGTACCGAATTCTTCCAGAACGAAGATATCGCCTTTTTGTGTAGTACACTTACGAATCTTTGGTAATTCGATAAATTCCTAGAAAAGAATTTTCGAACATAGTTGATCGATAATTAACTCTGATGATTTATACTTTATCATTTTCGAATGTCAAACAGATTCCTTCAAGACAGACTTGTAAAATACCACCTTCGCCTGTATTCATATCTTTAATAGGAAATTCTCCGCCCAATTCTTGACCTGTCGCAGAAAACAATCGTTGGCATTACTAATGGAATGAACTCTTCTTCTATGTACCTGGTAATGAGCCTTTCATTCGTGATGCTGCTTTTTCCATTGCTTCTTTAATTGAAAAGTATAAATCACGACACTAAAACAAAATTCAATTTAGAAAAGTCTTCATTCATTAGCGCTTTCTCTTTTAACTTACGCGTTTGGTGTAGAACTTATTAAGTTGTGTTTCTCCGTCAGCTTTTCGCCATAAACACAGAACTTTTGTCTTTGGACAAAATGTCATATTGACTAGCTTTTCGAACCAACATCGATCATAGACTTCACCAAGGACACTTCGTAAGATAATACAATCATCCCACACTTCCATGAACAACATATCTCCTGTGTTATCCGTTCCCCAATGTACAGTGAAACTTTGCTTTTGCAAGAGTCGACTGCCAGCAGGACGTAGATCAACATCATTACCATTCTAAATACGAATATAGTTATTCGTAAGGAAAACTGAGTGTGACTTGTATTTACTAGATAGGCGATATTGTCTAATAGTTCATTCACTTGTTGACTCATTGTTAAACCAATATGACAGCGGCCAAGAACACGACGAATCTTACGGCGGATTTCTTCTTTGCTAACACGCATCATGATCATAAAAGCAATGAGATTATAAAGCATCACCGCGAGCAGACGATCTTCGTCTAGTTCTAGACGCTTACGATCCGCGTTCGATAGTGAATAATATCTGTGAAATACAGAAAGTAAAATTTCGTCTGCGAAACTTCCTAGTTCATTACCGTTCCATCATTTCGGCTGGTCCTTGATCGAGACCAATGATGTCACGTTCCTGGGCAACGGCATCGAGAAAAACATCTTCCCATACTTGCATTTGATCCCATAAATGACTGCGTGTACTACCGATTAACACTTCGAAGAGATATTGTTTATCACTAGCATTCATAGGAGTGTTTTCCGCTGTTTGATTCAGTGATCCGTTGCGAAATCTAAATGAGAACAACGAACAATATTAGCCCAGTGAATATCCTTTCGTATTTCCATGCATTCTCAGATTTTAGTCAAGAAGATATCGTACCTATATCCAGCGGTAAAAGAACTTTTCGCTCCGGATGTGTTTGATATTTGTTTGGTCTTTAATTTATCATCAGTCCACTGATTTGACGTACGTATGTGATGATGATTTATCTTCGATTGGCGTCGACTTGACGAACTAGAATCAGTGCCACTGTCATCATCGGTTACAATAGAATTAATACGCGGAATGTTCATGCGCGGTTTCGATGTAGTCTAATAAAACATAAGTTTCAATTTGTTGACGTTCAAGCACAGCCCACTTACTTCGTTTGTGAGTGTTAATGAATCCGGTCGAACTTGATTTTCTACTATTACAGAAAACGGTGCGAATAAGAGTAATGCAATGGTAAGAAAGTTACCTGATTGTTTTTTGTTAGTTCCATTTGCATTGTTGACAGCTTTTACATCTTTTCCAACATCAATATTTTGATATTCATCACCATTCATTTCAACGGGTTCTAAACAAACAGCGATGATCAGTAAACATTAGTTTTTCACTTTTCCTTCAAACAGATTCTAAGCAATGGTAGTACAAAGACGAACGACAAAGACAAGGAGCACAACATTTAGCACACTCTATGTACCGGGTGCTTGATCGATACTCATCGGACGTGTATTTGTATTTATACCAGATGTCAATGATGGACTAACTGTTAGTGTTGAATGAAACGGTACATGGGGTGAGAACGAATGCTTAGGGTTAGTACGAAGTTCAACATTTCCTCCTGGTGTCATACTTGCGTGCGTAGCTGTTGCATAACTACGTGCAAGCGCTAGTTTGGATTCGCGCCATAAACTCCCTGAAAATGTAGCGTACAAAAAATCCCCAAAGTAGATTCCTTATTTACCCAGTTGAGCGACGAGACTAGTATTAGGACTTGTGGTATTGTTTTGTTGCTGTTGCTGTGGTGGCATTGTCGATGGATTTAAAGGAACATTTGGATCAATCGATGCTAAACTTTCTCGACTACCACTGAGCGGACTGTTCCGTTCGGACATTGGACTTAGATCAGTTTTGGCATCTTTAATCCAGTAATGTGTGTGTGCGATTTCAAGTAATTGGAATGTGGATGCCATTCCACCCAGACCGTTGTTTTCAAACGTAACTTCCAGACCTTGTATAACAGCTCGTAAAATATTTGTCATGCCTTTGAAAACTGCTCGGCTAATTTTCTACGGAAAGCAAAGTAATCAATGCATTGATTTCTATGAAGGTTAGCTATTTTGTATACATACAACATCATCGATATGATCGTCTTCATCCGAATATTTCTTGTCGAGATTGATATTCAAACGGCTGAGAACAAAGTTTCGATAGTTTTCATCTTCCATTAGCTTTTTGACTCGATTGATTTTTAACCAACCAATACCTTGTCCATCGAGAACATTCGTGACAATATCTTTTAAAAACTGTTGATTTTCACTATGAGTATTCGCCTTGGTTTCAACACTCTGTTGTCGAGCAAGCATGGAGGCATTCGATGTCGTTGCAGCATGTTTGACTAGATTGGGCTTTTCCACTTTGCGTGTTGACTTTGGAAAAGGAAAAGGTGGAGGACGATTTGCACGAGGCATTGATGTAGTTGACTGACGAGAATTCTCAGATGAAGATGCTATATGAAAGCAAAGAAATGCTATATTGTCGACTGGAAAGTAAATTCTTACAGAGTAATTCTGACATTTTATGCGTAGCCATCTTGGCCATGTTGGATACAGCTCGCCCAGCAGCTGTTGAATTGATTTCTTCACCAACCTGTTGAAGTAGTGAAGCATTAGAAGGAGCTGTGTTTTCTGAATCCGTCTAGAAGGATAATTACAAACAGTAGAGCGGAAACTCTTGACTCCTTATTTATGACATCATTATCGCTTTCTATAATTAACTCTCTCAGATATAGACCCGAAACCCCATGCCCACAGTACTAAATAAGTAGAGCGGATTAAATACTTTAATTACTTTCTGAGCGCGTCCAGCTTTCGTTGCTATTGCACTTGCATTCGAATCATGACTATCTGCACGTGTCATTGTTACGCTAACGCGTTGGTTGACGCTTCCTTGCGTAGTCGTATTCTTCGTACTATTTTCCGGAGGTGATGATTGAGCAGAATTATCACCACTAGCCAATGCTTTCGAATCAAAGAGTGGTCTGAAGAGAATCAAAATATGTATAGCTTACTCATTTCATCGAAACGATATGTTCCTTACTTTGGAAATGTTTTCGTTACTGGTGTAATGGTTGCCGAACTTGATTTGGAATCAATATCAGGTAATGTATTCGATAGATCACGAACAAATTCGTTCATCTCTTCGCTGGGTGAGTTCAGTCCAGAGTTGACCTGCGAATTGGTACTCGAACTAACTGTCGATTCACTGATCGAATGACTTGATTCGTTTCCGCTAGCGCCCGGACTAGGCATGTGATTCGTTGATCCGTCAGGTATTTGCAATTCTTCCGGCGGACTGTAAACTGTGGAATATTCAACACATGCTGTTTTCTCTTGGTTAGCTGGATATATTTTAGCTACTAGAATCGCGTTTCGAAGACCAAAAGTTGTTCGAGAACAAAACTTCACCTTACCTCGAATTTCACCACATATTTCGCTGTTTCGCATTTCAGATACAAATTCACTCAACGACGAATAATCAGGGTTGCTATTGTCGTCTTCAGAATCACTTCCACTTTCGTCTAAGATTAACAAAGAACGCACATGTCATTTATAATCCTGTACATTTCATACCGGTCGGTGTATGTTCAACAGTATTTATTTTGGAGTTAAATGCGCTAACGGCTTCTCCGAGAGTGCTATTCTCTTCGATAATATTGAATGGAATCGACGTGAGATTGCGACTGTACCATTTCGGTTTATCACCAATGAGTGCGGGATCATAAACGCCAGTTTGCACGCGTAAAAACGCGACGTTATCCGGACACAATGACCATTCAGCAAAAAACTCGACTGCCTACAATAATCCAATTTCTACTATAAACAGTTCTTCCTCACAAAATTCCTACTTGAGTCTTGGCTAAACGAATGATGAATGCTGATTTAACTGGTCGCGAGCGAACGAAACTGCTATATTGAAAAGCGACGACGGCTCGTGGATGTAAACGTAACGTTCTTGTATGTTCATTGAAATTACCCAATATGTTCGGTGAATTGAAAAATCGTACCATCGCAACCCGTGTTGCAATATCAACAGAATCAACATCATTTCCGTAAATAAATGGATTGTAGGATGTCGATGAGAGTGGAATAGAGTTTTGCGCAGTCATTAAATATGATTTATCGTTGAGCATAGCATCAAAACTTTGAACCGGTTCGGGATCAATTGACATACTACCTAACGCTTGCTTTAAATGATTGCTTAGAATGTTATACTCAAACTCTGGAATGTCGAAGAATGGCTCGGCTTGTCGAGGTTGAATGATCTGCGAGAAAAGCATTCGAAATCGAACTACAACGCAAATCAACTCACTTGATTTGCATCGAGATCTACAATCCATATGTCGTCGAATTGTGTTGGACTCATTCCTTTATAAGGGAAAAAACTAGCTGGCACACCAATTATAAATGGAGTTGGAATTAATAAGAGCTAAAAGAGCACGTTTTTCTTCATGGAGTTGCATTCTGATTGTACACATTTACCTGTTCAGCTCCTGTCATACATGTTGGTAATAACGGAATAACAGGAAACATATATTCAAGTGGATATAATAAGGCAACAAATGCCAAGACACTCATTGTTAATGCATTATAATCACGAGATTGAAACACGACCTAAATGAATAGGAAAAACGACAACTAGCTTAACGATTTCATACATTTACGAGTCTAATGTCAATATTTTCTTAAACTTTCTGCTTATTCATATAAAGTATTCATTCTCAGGGCATTACCTTATTTTCTAGCATAATTAACGTTAGAACTCGTATACATAAGTCCACGCCTAACAATTCCAATGGTAAATGTAGCGGAAAATCAACTAATGAAAATCGCGTATGATCAGGTAGAGCAAATAACATTGGTGGCTCGTTGGGTAATGTTTCAATCTAAATATGAAGCGAATAAGTTAACTAAAAAGAGAATAAATACAATTTAGATTCATACCAAAATCTTTGTCTTTCCTGGAATAGACACAGGTGCGCTTAATAATCGTAATATCCATGTTTCAATTTCGCGCACTTCGTGACCAACTAGATTAGATGTACACTCACATGCTTGACCAGTTAATACACCCCAAACAGTCTCTCTGGAAAGATAAGTCACAAAGTCAATCAAACAAACGTAGGAAACGTCTTTCAGCAACTGACCTAGATGTGCCTTTAGATGCACCTGTACGTTTTGCACATGATCTTTCATTGCAGGCATCGATAATTGCTTTCAGTGTCACCAGGCATTCACGAAAACGTGTAAAAAATGGATGATGACTGATTAGACAAATAGATGTCAATGTATTGTTTCTCAAACGCCGTTTACGTTTCCGTTCGGTCTGATCTGAATCGTCAGTTTCTTCTTTCTGATCATTTGAAACTGACGATTGTCCCTCTTCAGTAGTTGCATCCGATTTTTGTTGATTTGGATTGTGAACTGAACATGTTCGCCGGGAGAAATGTCGATAAAAATTCACACATATTCCAAAACGTTGTCGATTCGAATCTTTTTCCGTTAATGTAAACACGAATGAAGTTATTTGACGAAATGCTGTTCGTTGATGACCCGTATTTATACATCCCTCCGGTTGACAGAAGAAGATCACATCAGGCGGCAAGGCGAAATCCTTGTGATCTTCCAATGGATAACGTCGAAGTAACTCAGGTGTTTGTGTGACATGATTATATTTATTTGGGTGACGGCAACCAACTATGATCACATAGTCAACAAGACGCGGGGAAAAATAACGTTTGGTTTGTTCACACATGATGTATGATGATCACCCGATCTGAAACGAGATAAACTGTTTGTACTGTTTCTTCTCGAAAACAAGTCAACAGGGTCGCGAGAGAGAGAGAGAGAGAGAGAGAGAGAAAGAAAAGAATGATTCGACGCTAACAGAAAATATACAGATATGTACTAGTCTCTTCGTCCTGTTCCCTACAAAAAAAAATAACCATGATTGTAATAGTTGGCGACAGACGTCGTTGAGAAACGCTTGCGCATTAAAGCATACAGTAAGAGAAGAAAAAAAAAACAATTTAATGCAATGTAAAAGAAAAGAAATTGTCAGAATGGAAAGAAAAAAAACTTAGATCAAGAACGGAAAGAGAGGAAAAAGGAAAATAACGATGATTCTCATTGATAATAGTAATCATATTCATCAATTAACATTAGGATAATGTTTAACGACAAATATAAAGAGGAATTTTCGCGCGAAGTAACAGCAATAGCTTTGCCTCGCTCTCCAATCCTTCTGACTTATTTTCTCCCTATGAGATATTTTGCGTGACTGTAATGCGACAAACAAACGGTAACTGTTTAAGTAAAGTGTATGTACACGCAAGATAAAGAATGAAATGATCTATTGAGCTTTGCGACATCTAGAATTATAAAAGATAACCATCTGGTTGTGAATATCGTAAAAAAGAATCAGCGTGTCTTCTTTCGAGCAGAATGAACTGTTAACAATCGTAATTCGAAATAATATCTAAATTAGTTCAAAGATATAAAATTGATTTTTTGTTGTCGCCGTCGTCAGCATAAATTTATATCTAAAAAATGAGATTCTCAGTATATAACATGACTAATTATATAAAAGGGTATGTATTCGAGAAAAACAAAGGATTATCATATATTATGATTCAATGACCATACTTTTGGAATTCCCAATCACTATTATCTAATGGACATACATGTCGTGTTTTCAGCCAACGTGAGATACAATGGAAATGAAATGCCTAATCAAGAAGAAAATCTCATGATTTGACGTAAACATCCAAGTTTAGACTCTGACGTACATGGTTGCATACTCCCCAAGCCACTGTGCATTCATCAGTTGTCGCTGTGGCTAGATGTGCTTGACAGTCAATACAAAGATCCATGATGTGATTACGACAGATTGCACAATTGTCAACGAGAATATCCCATGCCCAGAGAGTTACAGGATTCCATTTTTTGACTTCAAAACGCTTATGTTGTACAGTCGATGCGTCCGCTTCTGAAGAGTTAGACGGATTCTCAACATGATCAGTTAGTATCGACGCTGCTTCTGATAAAATCATCGAAGTTTGATTGACCAACTTTTTCTCTTGAGAAAGCAAGAGAACTTGAGTTTCTCAGAGTGAAAGAGAAAAAAAACAAAAGGAAATAAACACAAACAAGAAAAAAAGATCTCTGTGAATTCTAATTCGTTAATTTTGAACCAATCAATGCACGAGTGGAGGAAAGGAAAAAAAATAGGCTAGAACAAATCATCCGAAACAAGAAGAGTCCTTCATTCATTTAAACAATTGTCGAAGACAACATTTCATGACAACAACTGATAAAAAACGACTTGCATTAATTACTGGTGCCAATAAAGGTATTGGCTTCCAAGTTGCACGTCAGCTAGCAACGAAAGGTATCCACGTACTTCTTGGTTCTCGTGATGAAACTCGAGGAAATCAAGCGGTTGAGCAATTAGTCGCGGAGAATCTTCCAGTATCATTGATTCAAATTGACGTCACTGATCAGTCGACCATTGCCGCTGCAGTTGAAGAAGTGACGAAGAAATATGGTTATCTGGACATTCTTATCAACAATAGTGGAGTGTACGGTAACGAACCACGACCGAGTGCAGTGACATTGGACACTATTCGACAGAATTTTGAAGTAAACTTTTTCGGCGCCTTCGCAGTGACCAGAGCATTCCTACCTTTACTTCGCAATTCGTCATCCGGTCGAATCGTGAATGTTTCCAGTGGTCTCGGTTCATTCTATTTCCAGGAAACATATCAACCGCATTATTATCATTTGGCTTATAGTGCATCGAAAGCATCGCTGAATATGCTAACCGTTCAATTGGCTCAGGAGTTGGAGAAAACGAATATTAAAGTCAATTCTTGTACACCCGGTTTAACAGCAACAGATTTAACAAATTTTACAGGTCATTCCGTTGAAATCGGTGCAAAATCATCCGTTTTTCTAGCAACTCTACCGGATGACGGTCCATCTGGAAAGTATTTCGATGAAAATTGTCAAGAACATCCATGGTAGAGGCGGGCCTTTTCATTATATAGACAGTGCAATGTTTTGAACTCGCATATATTTATGATTTCATTTTTATTGCTTAGCACATGACATGACGATATGCTTTCTATTCTAGATGTCTGACAATCGATCGTCACGTATCGATGAATATTTACCTACTCAAGGTTTGCTCTATTTCGATGAACAATTGAAATACGTCATATCGAAACCGAAAATCATGCCGTTGAAATCGTTGACTTTAGAAAAAGTACGTTTGCATTAATGTTCTATGAATTTTTAATCACGACAAGTCAATTTCTTTTAGTTAGAAACATTGCAAAACGAAGCACAAGACAAGTTAAAACAACAAGAAAAACTTGGCGTTGATCTTCAATGAACTGAATGATGTACAAAACAGTTTTTTTGTAATAATGAATCTAAAATGTTCCTTTTTCCTCATTCCACAATAAACTTGTGCAGAATTGTCATTCTTCAATCACCTCCATGCATAGATGTCACTTATCGAGAAGGTCAGTTGCCATAGGAATAGACTGAACACAGTCCAATCTCGTTCAAAGTTCATCTCATGCTCAGTTGACAACAACGATGTCGAAGGGAGTTATGTATCGAAAATCAACTTTGAAAAAGTCATATGATCGTAATGTAGGATACAATGGAATTCTCTGCTACTTTTCTTGATCTTTTCGTGATATTTTAGTCAATACATGTTGATCGAATAAGTGATGATGAACTGGTAATCGTTCGGTGGAAGGTATTTCTTTAAGAAAGATGTTTTTTTTCGTAGAATCGACGACGATTATGTTATCAATTGATTGACAAAGAGAAGCAACGAAACTTCGCAATGAATGATTGTGAAAAGAGTAGGAGTCAACTAGAAATGTTACGGGACATACTTTTAAAAAATCAAAATGTAAGTGAAACTAATCGAGATTCGTTCATGACTATTCGAATTTAGATTAATGATTTAATACAGAAATCCAATGGTTCAGATAGAATAATATCGAAAAATCATCTTGTATGATCAAATAAATTGCGTGAATTAAGATTGTTAATATTTTATTTCTAGAAAAACGATGGAAAGATTTCTTCCGCCCAAAAGATAAGGTAAGTGAACGAATTACGAATCACCTAAACTTAAATTAAAAATATCGTACTTAGACCTGCATCAGCGAAAAACTACACGTTCATCAACTACGATCAAACGGAAGGTTTGTAGAAGAAATTTTTCGTCAATCGATGGTTCTATACTTTGAATAAATCTAGAAAACCTATCAACGAACTCTACGGAAGAAGAACCAGTAGGGCATCAATCTTTTCGCCATGCTCGCTCACATGAAAGAAACGATCAAAAACATTCGATAATACGTTCACATAGTCATTATTCAGATACGAATGACGTTCGAGCGATGTCTAAGGTTTCATTCAATGCTCATACGGAGAAATCCAATGATCACGAATCGAACATGAATACATCATCAATTCAATTAAGAAAAGTAAACCATACTTATTGAAATTTATATGAAAAGCATACTTTTCTTTCAGTTACTGGATCGTCTGACGACCGAATTGAGCGATTTAGAATCGATGACAGGTTATAAACCAACTCGCAACGATCTATCATCGAATACATGTAGTCTTGCACTAGCTACCGCACTTCTCACACTTACGGGCCATGTTAAACAAGTACCTACATGTCTTTAATCGCATTCTATTTCGAATAATTATTTCCTTACAGTGTACTCCGACTTCGAAAGGCAAACAAGAACTCAATACACTCAAAGATCAACTTTCGCTTGTTATTAAAACACAACTAGATTTTCAACAAAAGATCGAGAATCAAATGACAACATTACAAACCATGATGCAAACAATTTGCCAACTAGTTAATCACGAAATTATATCCAATAGAAAACGTAAAAGCTTATTCTTTCCTACGATCGAACACATCTTTGAGCATCTTTCAGCTTGCGGATTTCATCATGATCGCAATCAGTTCGATGGTCAATCGTGTCAGAATTGGACGAACAACGTACAAAAATCGTACATCGCACCCAAAGAACCAAACAATGGAATAGAAGATCTACTTGCTCTGGCTCAACAAATGACTAATGGTAAAAGTGTTCATTCGAAATTACTTTGTGCAATTGAGTTCATTTTAGATACTAATCTTCATTCAGTTCATAATGAAATGAATGCGCCGAAACAACGTTCGACTGCCATCACTCCAGTCGAACCTCCAACATCGTATAATGTTTTCGCATCAGGTCTTCTTTCTCAGGATTCATCGATAAACGCACTTCGTAACGAACCGGATAGCTCGAACACAGTTCCACCGCATTCGAAGGTTTAGTGAATCGTGCAATTGATCATCAAGTTTCATCCGTCTTTTTTTGCTTTTAGAATGAAGCATTACTGGCCAAGATTCTTCATGAACGTCTTCGCTTAGCTCAACAAATGACCGAACTGAATAAGCAGCACAATACAACACAAGAAGAGTTAGCTGAACTCGAAGCGAAAACAAGACAACCATGTACAAACGAAACTAATGCATAACTTCGCACGCTGCGAGACTTTGTGAACTTTGCAGTAGTATTTTGTATAATAATCATTGTTTGACAATATCTTAGAACGTAGTTTTGTTCATTACAGTGAAGAATAGAGACTTCTCTATGGAAATTACCACCGATTGTTTGGAATAACAGAATAAAAGTGAAATCCTCACCGAACTCCTTCTGGCTGAATAATCCATCATTCAATTTCAAGAAGATGGTTGCACTGATGTTAACATCTGCCCGTTGGGCGTAAGAAAACAGACGAGAAGTTTTGATGAGCATAATCTCCATGGCCTGTTTTTTTTGTTGCAAGAAAAACGAAGAAAGAACGAACAAAACTCAGTAGTGTGTGAACCACAAAGAATGTCTAAACAACAAATACATCCAAACAAAGAGAGAAAGAGAAAAGAAACCGAAGGAATAATGTGTAATATATATTTCTTTTCTTTTTCACACATAGTAGCCAGTTGAGTCAACACCATCATCATCATCATAAACATAGTGGAACATTCAAGTACAAGTTAAGAAAAAAAAACCGTGTATTTGTAAAATGAATTCTCGCTGTACAATCAATAAAAGATTCCGAGGAAAATACACCAACAACGAGAAGACATTGCCGAAGAGCAGAGAGAGAGAGAGAGAGAGAGAGAGAAAGAGAAAATAACAGCAACAACATGAAGATAACAATAAAAGAACGAAAGCAGCCCCCAGGTGTTCGTATTTTTGATACTTGATATGGATGTGAAAGGAACAAAATAGAAATCTTTAACTAATCTCATTTACTTATGCCATTTGTGTAATATTGAAATGTATCGTAGACCCTTGTTGTCAACGAGTTCAAACTACTTTCCACCATCTTTTCGACGTTGAATTCCAGTTGTTCATCAGTCATGTTCAAGTGAAATCGCTCTCGTAGACCTAATGTGACATTTCCTTTGGAAAAACAGTTCAATTGTGAACCTAATTCGAAAGAAAAGCGATTTTCGATGTTCAGATTCTAAAGAATTTCACCTACCATGTTGCATTATCTCTACGATCGGCATTAGTTTATCCATATGTTTTCGAGCTGCCAATAATCCTTGAAGAATAAGGATTTTATAATATCCGTACATATCACTTTGCAATCCGCCCATGATATCAACGAATTCTTGAGTTATTTTGAAAGGTGAACTTTCAAAGCCGAGATTTTTCGGAGTAGCCGATAGCATATAACCAAAGTCGATATGAATAACATGGCCTTCATCGTCTAAAAGTATATTACCATTATGTCTAAAACAGGAAAGATTTTCTCGTATGACGGTGATGATCTGCGAGCATCTCACCGGTCTTTGACTTGCAATAAATAACAAATAATTGAATATGCAGCACAACTTTGTACAAAATTTCGGACAGAGGTCAGAAATTGTTCACTTCTTTCCGTTCCGAACTCGCGAAGGAAATAGTTTCTTAACGATAGTTTTGAATTTTTCTTTATCTGATGTAAAGAAACAGCGTTTAGAATTGGCTCGATTAAACCTGAACAAAAAACAAACAAACAAACGACTGCCTTCTCGCCCAGAAGTGAGAAAAATCTTACCGCTGTTATTTGATAACACAAGAATATTTATTGGACGAACAAACACCGGTACATGTTCACATAACCAAATTTCTTTCAGGCGAACCATGAACTGATACGCGAGTAATTCATGACGAAGATCGTCACCACATTTAACGATAGCAGCAACTAATCTCCAATTTCTCAGATGACCGTATGGTGACGCCAAGCGAATTCGCTGTTCTTTCTTATCCCATGGTTCTTTCAATGCTGCTGCTGATGGATCATCAGGATCACGCTATAACATGAGATGCGTTAATGTATTGCTGAAATATTCATTTAACTTACTTCGAACAGAATAGGTCCAGTTGTTTTCACCTCGGTCAGTCGCTTTCGAATATCTGATGGCATAATTTCTTGTTGACTCAAATGACTCTCTGTCGAACGTATGGACTGAGTTTCAGGATTGATATTCATCGCATGATTTGACCGATAACCTATCAAACCATTACGTCTCGGCACAGACTGATGTGACAATTGTGCATCGTCTCCAGTAACATCATCACTGGTCGACCAAATATCTGCATCTTCACTGTTAACAAATGATCGATAAGAATCGATCAGTTCGGAATCTAAACTTTGAGTTTCACAATTGAGATAACTTCCAATCAGTCCGCTAGTTGATGGAATCTGATGATTATTGATATGATGAGTGAGGTTTTCCTCTGAGCGTGTTGAGCGCAGCTTCGAGTCATTCTGTTTCATGGGTAACGGAGATGCAAAAATATTGTCGCACAGAACAATTTCGATATACACGATATAGGGAGCCTATTATAGATGAGAATATCATCAGAAAACGGTCATTTGCGAAAGGAGAAGTACGTACGCGATCACGAGAGTTTAGTACAGTTGACTCGGTATATGCAATTCGCACAACATGATGTGGAAATTTGTAGAATGGAATCCAAACACGCGCTGGCAAGTTCATATTCATTCGTTTCATTTCACCAATCAAATTTTGTGCTAGATCAAGGTAAGTTTTCAATCGTTTCGTCTTTAATTTCAATCGAAATCTTTACTTTTCTTTTCTTTTGTTGGCACATGCGGTAATTTCTTTCCAATATTGATCAATGCTGTCATAAATTCTCTGACTGGTGCTAATTTAGGCGCCTACAAACAGAGACATTCAGTACCATCGTCATCAAACGATAAGATTTACATTGCATGTGCATTCTCGTCGACGAAAGCCATTAACATTTTCAAAACACATGCAATTGTTGTCAAATGCACGACCTGAATTGAGATCTCCTAAACATAGCCTTGGCTGTCGACGATGTTGTTTACTTGCTTCACCATTCATTATAGGCAATGATCGTTCTAATAAGAACAAAAAAGCAGAATCAATTGAACAGAAACTCGAAAGTCGATGTGATAAGTGAGTAGAAAAACTATCGTTAGTGGAAACATCTTCTCACACAACTTACTATTTCGCGGTAGCATAAGTCCTATAAGTCATAGCGATTCATGCGAGGAAAAGAGTTCGAAAAACGTCATACCTGACACATCACTACGTGATTTTTGATGTCCTTTCTTCCGACTGATTTGTAACATCAGATTGTCTTGACTTAATGCGCGTTCAGCTTTCATCTCGTCCTCTTGACTGTTAACATTCTCGTTTTCTTCTTCGTCCAATCGATGATGATTATTGCTTGAATTATTAATCGTAGTTGGATTGTAGGTTATCTTGGGTTTGTATTTTTCATATAGAATATCGAATAACAGCCGAACGGCCGCATTTGGTTTGGCCACCTTCATCTGATCTGCGATATATGCATCGAGTAGCCAGGCGCATTGTAGGGAAAATTCAACACTTTGAGAACATCTAAACGAAACGCGATCATAGTTACATTCTAGTATGAAAAGAGATATTCGTACCTTGTTGTTATATACTCATGAATAACAGTTGAAATGGATTGGATATGAATGTACATATTGATTAATTGTGGTAAATAGAAATCAAGTTCTTCTTGTGGATAATCAAATAATTTTCTTCCAAGGAATTGTTGTACAATTGGCTCTTTGGAACTGAATAGATATGAGATGATTATAGATACGGTGCATACGGTTGAATCAAAAAGACGTAGAAGTCCAGGGTGTTTTACGGCTAGATGTTCGATCGTAGATGTTGTTGTTGTCTGTGAGTCGATATCATTGGAGAAAACGGTCGTTTTCTCTATTGGCGACAAAGCTGTAGGCGTCGTCGATAGTTCATTCTCTGCAGCTGACTCGCGTTCATCTTCAGCTATGTTGCTAGTGTCAAGAGATAATGGAATAGATGAAGAAAGTGTACTATTATTGATTGGGATAGTTTTCTGGACATGTCGACGAAAGAACATCATCTTGAGAGTTTATACTGAAGGAAATTCTTCCGCCTAATCATCATCTGAAATAGAACAGAAGCAAACATGAAAATTATTAAGGAACAATCAACTTTTGAGAATCTTGATTCTTGTTTTATTAAGATGAAAGAGGGAAAAGAAGAAAATAAAAGTAACAAATGTAAATACGCAACAATGTCTCAAATTTCTTTGATTCCGTTTTCAACGGAAGGATTTTAAAAATCATCCTCATCATCAGCCATTTCTTTGGCATATTCTAATTCTTCTTGTTCACGTTCGCGGCGTTCCTATTCAACGAAAAAAGCAGATCAGTCACCGTCTTGTTACAACATAAACCAATCAACATACTTGAGCTGTTTCTAAATCTTCATTGTATTTCTTGGGCGGATAACGCATGGCTTTGACGGCTTCATTATGAACTTTAAGACAGAACTCGATACGTTGATGAAACGCATTCATCGGTTCACGTGTCGTGTAAACATCGACCATTTCACGCGATTGAACATAACCTTGTTCGTGATTGATTGTTGCTTCGATGACGCCATCACGAATTGCCTAAATGGTTCGACTCAAACAAACATTTCGATCTGAATGTGTCATTTACTTTAGCGACGATGTATTCCGCATCTTCAGGCGAATCAAGTTGTAACTTTCGTGCAACGTCGCTAAATGAAATCTTTGCGTACGATAAACTAATCATTTTAATGCCGGTTTTGATGACATTGTGTCTCAATCTAGAATATTCGGAAAATGAAATGATGTTCTTTCTTTTGAGGAAAATGTTACAAACCGAATTATAAGTGACCAAGTTTTTTCTCGTTGAAAACGATCGGAAAATGCATCGAGAACTTCTTTGAATCGACCTAGATCTCCAGCACGTACAGCTAAACAAAAACAAGACATTTCTCAGCAGTTATTTAAAAGCCAAGCATACCTAACGTTAATTGATAGTATGGATCTAATGAACGTTTTAACTGAGGATTTTGAAACGTGGCTTTATCAGGAATATCTCCCAGAAGTAATTCGACAGTGATCAGAAATTTGTGAGCCTAAACAGACAGAGCTAATCTTTCAAATAAATGATATTTGATTTACTTACATCCTGTCGAAAGCCAATTGCTGTCTGTTGCGGTGCTTTACGTGTCGCTGTTAATAAGTGTTGATGAGCTTTGGTGTATTCCAATTGCATGGCACGTATACGACCTAGATGCAAAAGATAGATATCGGTCGTTTTTCTCAATGAGTATTCTTACCAAGATAGTACAAATATCTTGCCCATTCGTTATTCGATGCATGATCAGGAAAAACGGATTTGAGTACAAGCTTTTGCGCTTGACTGTACAAATTGTAATGGAGATAATTTCGCAACAAGAGATTGATTAACACGGCGGTGCCTTCGAAATCATTGCGCAATGTTGCTGTACGTAGTCGACTGTGTAAAAATCTACAGATGGAACGTATTTATTAGTGTAGGCTGAGAAACAATTCTGATACGTACGGTCGAATAGTATCAAGCATATTGTTCAATTCGAATATGCGTGCGTAGTAAAAGTAACATTTAGCAGCGAGAAGATCAAGTGTTCGACGATTGAGAACGCTGGTTTTGTCCACAAGTCGCTTAGCACAGTCTAAGGCCTAGAGAGAGTGACAGAAGAAAAGGTGTAAACAGAGCACAATTTTAACATGAAAATTTTCCTACTGGCTTCAACGCGTTCCGATCAATTAGATAGAGAAGGACAATTAAATGTATGTATAAATCAACTTCTGGTATTGCGACTGCACGTGTTCGTGAAGTTTGCGGCCGAGATGTTGTTTGCTTTTCGCCAGTCGCTGCGGGCGTACTTGGTTTTTCCATGTCAACGTCCATTGGCTGAAAAATCAGAAACCTTTGTGATTTATTTATTCTAACAAAGTGTAACAAACCTGAGCAGCAGAGTGGGCGAATCCGAGAAGACTTTCTTTCTCACTTGGATTTGATCCATAGTAGAAAGATATTAAACGACGAACGATCTCTTCATTGAGACGCTTTCGTGTTGAAGCAAGCGCTCGTAAAACGCGCAGGATATATCGAGGTTCCTTGGAATTCACAGCTTTCTCGATTGTTCGAACTTGTTCCTTAATGTCTATCGAAAAGGAATACATGAAGATAAACGGAAGTCTGATTTGAACTCACCATCTAATGTTAATGTATTGGCATCTTTGGATGTCGCTGTCGTGTTTGACGTCGTTGCTTGATCCGCTTCTTTCATTTCCACGTCATTGATTTCGACCATGATTAAGAAGTTAGAAAATCTCAGAAAGTTCTAAAAAAACTTGGAATCTTAAAAAGAAAACTTTTAGGTTGAAAGAAAAAAAGAAATTCCGAAAAGATAGATTTGTGAGTCACTGGACAGAACAAATAAACAACTGTGATTAATTGGTTGGTAGCATCTTATCAACCGCTGATAATCGAAAGATGTCAGCATACGTTTGGATTGAGACACTATGCCATCTGTGACTTCTTCAGCGATTGGTACGTTGCAAGCTGCGAATAAATTTCGTCTGTCTCGTGAATGAAATATAACGAACAATTGAAGTGACGGTTATATCTCAATTCAAGATAGGTTTATCATGCCACCGAAAAAATCATCACAGGCTGTCGTGGCCTCGCAAATGTCAATGAATGTAAGTGATTCGGACGACCCTGCCGATCATGACACGACTTTCGATGATGATGCTAATCTAAAACCAATCGTCAGTGCATCGCTTCAATACATACTAGTTCATAGTTGTAAACCTCAGGTTATTAAACGACTCGATTGGATCAACACAGTACTTCGTCCAATGGGTTGCGATGGAAGAAAAGCGTTTCCTGCTGTACATAAACAAGTTGCGAAAGCTTTGAATGACACATTCGGTTATAAACTTGTTTCGGACGAAAAACATGACGGTCGGTTAACATATAGTATCATAAAAAGTACAATGCATCTTGAAACATTATTGTTTTTCGTCTAGGCTATATCTTGGTCAATGCATTAAAACAAGGTCCACTCGAACGTCGACCATTAACAAATCCTAGTCAAAATTCGAAATACGCTCTATTAATGATCATTGTTGCTTGCTTAAAACGAGCAGGCGGTGAAATGTCCGCAGTTGATTTCTGGGCGATACTCAGTGAAACACTTTCCATTCGTAACGAAGAGTCAACACGGTTGGCAACAAATCAACATAAACTCTTCGGTGATGTCCAAAAATTAATTCGAACAGATTTTCCTAAAGAAGGCTATCTAATCTTCGACCAAGCAAAAGATTTAACCGGTGATACACAAACCACCACTCAAACTGTAAAACTCGGCTTTCGTGCTCAACATGAATTTCCTGATGAAGCAATAGATGAATTTATTGAAAAAGTTGGAGAATACGGAATCGAAAGCGACACAGAGGAGAATAATAATGATGCCATGGAAGATGATACTTAAATCGATAGAAATACAATCAAGTGTAACTATATTTTTTTGTGTATTGTAGATGACAGAGATAAAGTTTGATACTGTCACACTTCAGTTTGAAAAGGTCTGTAGTATTTCGGAAAATTGAATTCTGTTGTATGTTCTGCTCTATCTAGTTTCTTTCGACGATTGGCAATATTTTAACGTGTGAAAATGAGGTTAATATTATTCGAAATAAACTTCGACGCCATTTCAACGCAGCAACATTGGACTACTTATGTTCGAACGAATTTACAACATCTTTGAATCAGATACAAAAAGCATTTGCGGAGAACAAAAAATCAACCAAATATTTTACACTATTAGCTTCCTTCGATGAGCGATTGAAGCGACATTTGATCAAACTAAGAAGGTACGTCTCTGGGAGAGATGTAGCTTATTTCTTATCGAATTTGGTTTGCTTTTATGTTCAGAACAACTTCTCAGCTTTCCAATGTTTCATCTCCTAGTACAACAGTGTCTGCCGAAACAAACTCAGAGAACGATACAACGACAATGCCAGCTCAGTCAAAAACTGAACATAGATTTTTCATGAAAGAAATTCAAGAAACATTGGAGTATCTGCTTGACCAATGTTGTATCATCTCATCAGAACCAGAGATTTCTCTCACGGTTGACGTTCCAGCTGTAACAATTGATTCAACACACGAACGAAAGATCAAGAAATTAGAACGACGTTTGATTCGCATTTCTCGAATGATTCGTGATTTAGAGGAAAAAGACATGTCACTTGAAGAAATGGCTCATTGTGATCTGTATACCGTCGAATCCAATTTGAAGAAACAAGCATGTGAAGTAGGAAATTAAAAGGGCAACATTTTTGTTCCATTGAGAAATACAATATTTAGATGTATGAAAAACTGGCTAAGCTGAAAAAACAATCGCCGTCGACTGAACGAATTCTACATCGACCAATTGTACTGACTAGTAATGATTCGAATTACGGTTGAAAGCATTTCTATTCCTCATTTTCTTTTCATGACAAGATGCTCCAAGTGATCATCCATTGATTACTAGAGATTTGGAAGATATGGTTAACCAATCTAAGCATTTCCCATCGTTCAGCGATGTTCTCAGTACAGTCGAAAGCGCCAATACAAAATATCAACTACATTTGAAGTAAGAGAAATCGACTTGGCGCAATATTGATCAGCGTATTTGAATTTTCTAGTGGAGAATCACGAACAACTTTAGCCGAAAAATCTTTTAAAGTCATCGGAAAGCAAATTAAAGATCGACGTATGGCTGATTTTAATGATATTATGAGTAGTCGTCTTCCCGAAGATTTCAAGTACGAGAAGGCGAGCGACAATCCATCTTTTTCTCATTTGATTATCTTTTAGTATCGAACAAAATGATCCTGCATTGGACAACGCTGAAATTACACAAGTTTTGCTCAAAAACGAGCGTGAAGCAATAATAAAAACCGAACAAGTACGTAAAAGCTACCACTATCAAAAACCCCACTTGATCGTGATGATCACTTGTAGATCTTCGAAGAATTCTCACAAATCACGCCAGATCCTGATGCAGAAATCAATATTGAATCCACCGAAAACGAATCTGGAACTGAGAGTGAAGAACATCCTCCACTACCCGTTCGTGCCGAAGAGTCATCCGAGAGTCAATGTGAAATCATGGAAATCGATCCAGTACCGGAGCCGACGTCGGAAATCTCACTTGACGATAGAGCGATTACAATCTTGACCACAGCTTCATTACCGCCCAAGCCAGCAATACTCGAGCGACCATCGCTAAGTATTTCCAAAGAACGTGATGACGTGCAGACATTGGTGCCGCGACGTAAAGGAGCTCTAACAGAAAATGAAATCATTTATAAACTGTACAGACAAAGATTAACAAATAACAATGCAACTACGTCGAGCAATGTTGTACGAAAACGACCGTTAACACGAGTCAATGACTGCACTACTGTAAAAAAATCGAAACAGCACATTCCAGAATTAATTGTCTTGGATTAATAATAGAAGTTCTTTTTTGCACCGAAATGTATTTTGTTATATTTGCTCTTGCTTTTTCGGTAGATACATATAGCTATAAACTAGTCCGAGACACGATCGGACGGATCTCGAAAATAGTATGTTGGTTTCATGTTGATGAACTATGGAGAATGAGTATAGTGTAACTATGACAATACAAAAAAACAATTTCGAATTTTTTGTTAATCAACTTTCATTGAATGTACATATTTATATTCGAAATTGCTCTCTTTGAATAAAAGGAAACTGATTAACAATACATTATCGAGATGCGTCGCACCACCGACAGCATCGTCATCGGCAAATTGTCATTATTTCTTTCTCATTCGACATGGAATTTACTTATCCACAAATAATCATGATAATAGTCTCATCGAACTTGGCAAACAGCAGGTCTTTACTTTCATTTTTTCTGTTCGATTATCATAGATCGCCACATGTGTTTAACAGGCATATGCTGCGGCTGAAACTATAGATGCACTTGCACGTACACTGGAAAGATCGACGCGATCCGTCTCTCGTATACTCTTTACTTGTCTAGTTCATTCAGGCTATAAACGAGCTTATCAAACAGGTACCATCACTAGCCATCGGTTAGAAGAAATGCATCGTCTTGGGCAATCGTTTGATAGAATTTTTAAACGCTATAAATGCTGGGGAGAAGTTCACTCACTTGAACGCTGTCGAGAAAGTTGGCATAAAATCCAACGTCTTTTCTTTTCTTTATCATCAAATGCGACTCGAGCACCGAGACATTATGTGATTTTTTCGCATGGAAACCTTCTCAGCGGCATTGTGACATATCTGATGTCCGGTGCGTCATGGGATCGAGGGCATTGGGGTAATGTTGCACCACATTGTTCAGTATCGGTTTTATCTTATAAACCAGGAAATCTTCTACCAGAAATTGTTTTAACACCTTTTCAAATATTGAATCAATCGTTACCTATCACTATTAATAATATAAATCCGAGAAAAATGCGATTGCATGAAATCACCTCCACGGGGACTATTGACGAACAGACTTGGTCGTCAATCATAAATTCAATTATTCCCGTATGTTGTCTCGCTAAATATTTACTTGCGTAATGATGAATCATTCTGTCTAGGAACGTGTTATCGGCTCATATACTGATCAATTTTCACGTGTACTCAGATTCATTCCTGGAAATAAAGAAGAAGAACAGTATATGTTATCTGTTTTTCAGCAGTATTGTTCACAGATAAGAACAACACGTGAAAGATTTGATTCAAATTTCGATAGTGACAACGAAGATGACGATATCGATGAAACAAATGAATAAAATATCTAATAAAAATAACAATTGACAACTGTGTGTGATGAAATTAATTAAAAACGTCTCCAAACAAGTCTACGCCAAGTACCGAGAATTTATTAGTCATATCTGGCTAAACACGATTGTCATAATGAGTCAAACAGTTCTTTGAATGATTATTATACATCACGGACGATCAAACTTCGTCATTGAAAAAATCTAGAACATTCTTGTGCTCAATGTCAGAAAGTACTTCTATCGTCTGAGAAATTTAGACTTAGTTCTTGATTAACAGAAAATGAAAAGATGCATTGGTTTTATTATGTTAAAACATTATCTTTGAATTTTCATGAATATACATATGACACCATCTGTCTATTTTAAAATGGTGCCGATGAGGTCTCCTATGTTGAGCGCATGTGTACTCAGGCAAAGAGGAAAAAACCCGGAAGTACATTCATTGTTATGATAACTACAACTAGTACCAGTGCACCAGCACGTAAAATATTCTAATTTATTATCATTGATCAATATCCGAGACTAATGCTTGCTATTTATTGGCTGTTGAACGTTCGGTGGCGCGTTTCCGAAAAGAAAACCCATTTTCACACCTTCGCCACAGTCGCAATTACAACCTGAAGTTTCCCATTCCGTTATCCAGCTCTTTATCAACATTTTGAAAGTGCTTACGTAAATCATACTGTGATTGTCCTATCTGCGTCATAAGTGCAGAAAGAAATGCCGCTTGCGGAATGTCGTTTTCTCTGTAAACATCTTCTGCGCGTTTTTTACTGGCCTCACATTGACAGGAACAATCAGTGAATCGAAATCGGAATCGTTCATGAGCTTCGATGTTGGAATCTTTACTGGCGCTTGTTTTTGTTGAACTTGAACCCATAGAAGATATTAATAGATGAAGAGTAAAAAATAATCTATTTTAATTTCGTGACTTTGAATAAATGCGCGAAGTTCGCACTTCGTAACGCGTGCCTGCTAAAGAAATCATCTTGTAGCCGGAAAATCATGAATTTACCTGTCAACAGATATCGATGACAAAGTTAATATTATCTTTTCTAATATAATTGATATGTTAAAAACGATCTTTCTATACAGAATGGATCGTATACGGGCTTAATCATACCTTTTTTCCTCACATTTACATAGTCTGAGTTGGTTCAATATTAGTCGTAGTCAAACAAAGATAAAAGACAAATCTGCGCCGAGAAAAAAAAAGAATCTGCCCACTATTGCGAGAGAGAAAAAGTGCGAGATTTATATTCTATCTATCAGAATTAAAAAAATATTAATCCAAGCGTTTGTCATAACTGTGGATTTGACTTTGTCATGATCGAATCGAAGAGTTATATTCTCAATAAACTTCAAGAAGGTGCATCTTTCATCAAATTCAACTCGGATGGATCTCGGACTGAAGGATTTTTCTATGTTTGCCCGAAACTGAACAGTCTATGGTATAATACATCGAAAAAACGCTTTCAAAACTCGGCGAACGAATGTAAATCGATTCATTTCATTTATTAGTTTATTATTTAGTTGTTTAAATAGTTCCGTTGAAAGATTGTCAAGTGCGACCTGATCTTAGATCAGATACCTGGTTGAAAGTACTTCAATTGGGCAAAGTACGAGAACAACAGGTAGGAAGTCGAATGAAGACAAATGATAGTCATCAACTTTTCATCTAGAGTGATTTAGCTTTTTCGATTTTACACAGTCGTGGTCGAAAAAGTCTAGATCTCCTCGCAAGTGACACGGAAACCCGTAACATTTGGGTGCGCGGTCTGGAAATGTTAATTCAAGAAAGTATTGGAAAGCCCTACACAAAAATTACCAATAGGTAGGTTCGAAATTTCTTCGAAAACTTGTTAATCTTTCGCTGACAACTAACAGTTGGCTCAAAGGGCTTTTCAACACGGCCGATCGCGATCGAAATAACCTTCTTTGTAAAGCTGAAGTTTACCGTCTATTGGAACAATTGAATGTGCGTCTAACAACGGATGAGTTCGAACAATACCTTAATGTAAGTTCTGAAGAAAGTTTTGCTTGAAACAATGTGAAAGCTATTCTATAGCAAGCTGGTTTGAATGCCGCTATCCTTCGCGGACAGCTTCGTGCGCAAGAATTCATTACGTTTTATCAAATGTTAACGTATCGGCCAGAATTGATGCATATTATTCACACGTACGTTTGACAGATTCGATATTGAATAGTTGATAATGGCGGAGTTCGATTTTAGCTACAGTGAATCCTGCGATCTTTGCACTTGTAACGGTCATCCGACAATAGCAATGATTTGTTCTGCAGTGACTCCTGTTATGGATTCATCGTTTATACTTATGAATGCATTCGGACCTCGGACGACGACTACGGCGTTCAGTGGCATCCCGCCGACGGCAAGACCGAATACTTGCAATTATATGACGATTGAAGAGGTGAAAGAGTTTTTGATGAACGAACAAAAAGTACAGCGAACCAGTTTTTTCTTCGGATTTTCTCATCTGCTGTTGACACTTTAGCAAAGCTTATCATCGAGTGAAGTCGCTGATTTAATCAAAAAGTTCGATCCGTCAACTGAAGGAAAAGAGTGTATCGAACTGGGCGTTGATGGTAATTCACCCTCATCTCGATAATCGAACTTATAATCATTAAGTCAATCTTAGGTCTTCGTGAAATGTTACTGAGCGACGAATATCAACTTATGAATCAGGAACATTGCAGTACTATCTATCAGGATATGACCAAACCATTAACGGACTATTGGATCAATACATCACATAATACGTAGATGGAAAGCCGCCAAACATAAATGAGAAAATCATTTGTTAATAATTCATTTAGATACCTTTGTGCGAATCAAGTTGTCGGTGACTCATCAGGCGAATCATATGTTCAAGTATTGCAGCGGGGCTGTCGATGTGTTGAATGTAATGAAATCAAAAGAAAAGTACGAGCAAATCTGGCATTTATTGTTTTTAGTGGATCTCCATGACGGCCCTGACGGACATCCTGTTATTCGACATGGCTTTACATTGGTTAAAGATGCTAGTCTACGCGAAATTCTCAATCAAATAAAACAATTTGCTTTCTGTGCTTCGCCGTATGTTCATGCATTCCTAGCATTCTTCCACTCATTGAATCTCGGTTTCTGTAGATATCCACTGTTTCTCAATCTGGAAAATCACTGTTCAAATAAACAGCAAATCATTGTTGCACGATTTCTGATTGATATTTTTGGATGTAAGAAGCAAAATTGACTTCTTTTTTTTTTTGTTAACCATTGATCATTTGTAGCGTCGATCTACACAGCCGAAGAAGCTAATGCGAATACAGCATGGCCATCACCTGAAGAACTCAAAGGGCGCATTATTCTTCGTGTAAGTTGACTGACTTTTTGACAACAGATGGTCACTTACATTGTTGCAGGGACGTGTGTCACCTAAGAATGATCTATCAGTCGATTATAGCAATGAAGATGAATCTTTCGACCCGGACATCTCTGTAAGACGTTTAACATATTTTATACATACAAGATCATTTTCATTTTGCTTAGGCTGTGTGTAAAGAACTAGCCAGTCTTGTCGCTTGTCAAAACACCACATTCAAAGGTTTTGAATTTTCGAAATATTGTGAGTAATGATGAGACTGCATGCATGGCATGGAAAACTCTTTTGTTTTTCAATTGAAGATAAGCATTATCAATCATCATCATTAGCTGAAAAGAAAGCTTTAGCTTCTGTCGAACATCATGCGCTCGAGTTAATTCATTACAACCAACGTTTAATCACCCGAGTTTATCCATCTGCATATCGACAAGATTCAAGTAACGTTGAAGCAGTTTCGCTCTGGAATACTGGCGTCCAAATGGGTTTGTAGACCAGTGTATTACTCGCTCTTTCGTACCAAATCTTTCTCGTTGATAGTCGCCTTGAATTTTCAAACAGATGACATATCTATGTCACTGAATCATGCCCGATTTTCAGATAACAAGCAATGCGGATACGTTCTGAAACCGGCAATTTTACGAGATCGTGAGTTTTAAAAATAAAGGGGTCGAGAAATGATGAGAAGAGTGTGGATTTCCATTCTAGAAAATACCACGTTCAGTCCAAATAGTTGCTTCTCTGCTTATTTACTTTCACAACGACGTCCACTCAAATTGGAACTTTGCGTTCGTGATTTTTCCCTTCTGAAAAAGTCCATTAAAATCGTTGTCGATGCCTTTTAGATTATCAGTGCACAACATTTGCCCAAGCGCAATCAACGCGACACAACGCCCGTATCGCCGTCTGTCAAAGTGAAAACCTTCGGTGCTCGTTGTGGTAAGATCACAAGCATCTTTTTTCAACCAATACCTGTTTCTTTCCAAGATCATAACGAACAGAAGACAGTCACTGTACACAACAATGGTTTGAATCCGATATGGAATCATCTGATGCAGTTTTCAATTGTAATTCCTGAACTGTGTCTTCTGCGATTCTCCGTGCGAGATAGTGATAAGAACAATACCGATCTTTGTCAATATTCAATTCCATTTCTCTCGATGCAACCAGGTAAATTGACATGAAACTTTTCTCCATCTCGAATCTTGTCGTTCGAAGGCTACCGACACATTCGCTTGCTCGATCGTCATAATCGTCCGACAACAGCGACCTTATTCGTTAATGTTAAAGTCATTAATATGGAATCAACTGGTTAACATTCGAAAGAATATCGAATTCTCGGCTAACAAAGACCGATGCTTTGCATGTAGACGCAAATAGCTTTATTAAATATCGTATTATTTGAAAAAAACAAAGAGTATTTGTTTTCTGCTTTGGAAAATTGAATTCAGTATTTAAAAGAAAACGTTTGTTTCTCCTTTCTCTCTCTCTCTCTCTCTCACTCACTCTCTACATCTACTTCATTTATTATATTCACAAGCAGGAAGATAAATCTATAAAACATACAATGTAGAATTTATTGCACATTGTTACATGCGAGATGATTCAATTGCCTTCTATGATACATGATCAAGCATTTGTATGGATGTTTTCTTGCGTTTGTTTGTTCGATCCGGCATTGGTATTTGACTTTGCAGACCATACTTTTCTAACCATTCTTCGAATGATTTATTCAGCGCACGACCTGATTTACCAATTTCAGATTCCGGCTAAGTAAAAGCAAAATTCGTAGTTTAGACAACAAGCTTTTATAAAAGTCTACTAACTCGATTGAATGTAGCACAGTTTTGAAACATTAAATATACATCAGCCAAGAAATCATTCATGCTCGCATATGAATTTATCTTTTCTTTAATTGTACGCAAATCGATTGGTCGTGCAATGACTTTGTGATAACCAATACACTGAAAAACAAAAGTTAGTTAAGAAAATTGACTTCAACCAAAACAATTTACATCGGCTGGTACTGGATTATGAAAAGGTCCACTTGATGGATGTGTGTACATTTGTAGAACTAATTTTTCGCAAATGTGTTGTTCTGCAGCTGATAATTTCTCATTTGTTTCGTCATGCTTTCGTTTTGCCGCGGTATTCGAATTGTTATTCGCTTCGGAGCAGAGACTACACTTCCATTTATCATTCATCGATACTTCATTCAATGATGGAACATGACAGTCCACATGATAAACACGTGGACATGCATCGCAACAGACAAGTTCACCACCACAGCGACATACGGCACAATAATCATCACTTGTATCAAGTAATATGGCGGGCTGCATATCGTTATCAGCTTTCTCATTTGTTGATACTTGAGTTGAGTATTTATTCGGTTTTCTAAATTTCAAAGTTGAGTATACATGAAAGAAATTGGTGAACGTTAATTTACTTTTGTTCGATTCCGTTCATTTGTTCTAAATCAAATCATTTGAATTAAATTCGTGAAATAAGCAAAGAAAATAGGTACCTTCAGAACATCCTGGTCGACCATTATTGCCCCTCTTCTTGCCGTTTTGTACTAGTACACCAAGACTAGTAATTGTCGAGCGAATATTTCTAGGATCATACGGTGTAAAGGTTAATTGAAACGGATTGACTGCTTTCGACCAGATCGCATTTTGATGTAATAAATGATCCAATCGTTTCGACATAACGCGATTGCAAGTCAAGAATGCCGTTTTAGACCCTACGAAGTAAACAGCGGAGGGAAAGACTGATAATGATTATGAGAGTGGAATTTGTGTGTGTACCAGTCGTAAGAGCGTCATTGACGAAATCAAGCGAATGGTCCATGTTTTGTAAATATTGTTCGAATCGTGTATTTCTGAAATGAATACGAATGCAACCAGCGTCACTCTTGAAGTCAGAACATGAAAATCAGACGATCTCACTTTTCTACGAACTGCGTTCGTGCTTGATTGCATACAGCTGTTGTATCATTAATTAATTGTTTGCATGCTTTGCTTACTTCCGTGATCATGTTTAAACCGAACAATTTAATATCATCAATGACTCGTTGTTCAGTTTGATCAATCTCCGACCTTTGTTGACTTCGAGTTGCTTGAATTTTGTTTAGCATAAGTCGAACATCACGGACTTTATTGACTAAGGATTGCAGGTTGCTTTTTTGGTTTTGTACCGCTTCGTCAATGAATGAGTAGCGATGATTCTTATGTTGAGTAATTTGACATTCATCGCTGAAACAAAAGGAGATCAGTTAAATGAAAACGAGAGAGTCGCGCTTACCATGTCAATGTTTGACAATCCTGACAAAAATTTCGAGCTAACTCTTCTTTGTGAATCTAAACGTATTAGTAATTATTATTCTGAAACATACAGACTTGAGGGTGACTCACCTGACATAGTAACCTTTCGTTGGACATCATTTTTCGAATTTGTTTTGCTTCTTCAGTACTCTTCTGCGTGACCGTATGATCTTTGGTTAGACGAACTCGAGCATGAGCATTTTTACATTGAGTGCATAACCAGTCGACACAATTATCGCAATACCTAAATGAAAACTCGTTCAATGTGCAAAACTCATATTCCAACGAACCAGTCGGCAACATTTCCTTCCTCACAATTGCTGCAATGTGAAAACAATCCATTTGCAGCATTTTCATCCGCAGCAAACAAGTTATCACAGATCGTATCTCCTCGACTTTTGTGATTACATGCTGGACATGTATACATTGTACCTAGAATAAACACATCTTCGTCATCGATTACAATTTATTCTCAATTTTTGTTTACCACCAGATGACTCATCTTTCAATTTCTCTAAACATTGAATACAAACAGAATGCAGACATGCTAAGATCTTCGATGTACGTGATCGAAGATCTTGATGGCATGAAACACATATTGTTGACGCTTCTTCATTCGCTATTGTAATTCGATGGTTCGAAGGTGTTGGATCATCGATAAGAAATGAATTAAAAGGAGAATTTCGTCGATCTTCATTGCGAGCCATTCTGTTCACTTCTTTTCCTTGTTGTTGTTGTTGTTTTCTCCTCTTCTGTTTGAAACAACAAAACTATTGTTATGTTCAGTCACCCTCGTTGATTGGTGGATCTTGATGGACCAATCAGATTTCATTCTTCGTCCTCTTTGTGTCCATCTATGTCTTTGTTACAGCAATAAACGATAAATCGATTCGATAATAAAGTTCTTCTCTTCATCGTATCGTTTAAGAAAAATATTCGTCTATTTGGAAAAAACACACATCCAATGCCTGTGGCTATTGATGTTGGCCAACGTGTGCTCGTCTATAATCCTTCACATGGATGGACGTTGGCATATTTTGTTACTGCTCAACGAACAAGCGAGAATAAACTTCAGATACTGGTGAATATTTCAAGCAAAGTCTCTTCTGTCTCGAAAAAATCACTTATTTTCATCCTTTAGACATGTCGCTTGTCGAACTGTCATCACAAAGCAACTTCTCAAGATCATTATCGATACCCGCCAGAGCGTGTGGCACTGAATGATACAGTTGCGGATAATCTTAATGTAGGCACACGTGTTCTCTGCATGCCAAGTGGCGATGCAGATACATCTCGATATATTGACAAACCCTTACGTGGTATCATTGCTGAACAACCATCATCTGCTAACAGTCAACGTTACTTAATTTTTGCTGACAATGATTCGCCGTTTTACTTGCGTTCAATTGCAATACACCTCTTGCTTGAATCTTTGTCGAATTATCTAGCTAAGGTTGATCTGGGCACAAAGCATTACATAGAAAATTACGTGTTAACGTATCCGAAACGGCGTCTTGTCAATGTCTCGGCAAAAGATCATATTAATATTGAATTAAATGGCCAATGGGTTGATGCTCTCGTCTCCAAAGTTGAAGGAAGTCTTATTCGAGTATTTATACCGTTCTTAAACAAGCACGAGTGGCTCTATCGGGGTTCGTTACGATTACAACCTCTGTTTAATTCTCTCTCGTCCTACGAACCACCTTGTAAACGCTTGGCAGTAGAAAAAGAGACGAAAATCGATAACAAATGTCACTTTTTACTCGCTCCATTGAATCAAGGTTGGAAACGTCAAATACGTAACGATCTCGGTACGATTGTTTACATCGCACCGTGCGGTCAGATGTTCACCGATGCTGATCGGTTACAAAATTATCTTTTTCAAATGGATTCAATACTAAACATTCGCCACTTTTCATTCGATATGAGTTGTCGCGTAACACAAAAATTCATGGTATCAGAAAAACCCTTAGTGCAGATCGATGATTACTCATATGAACGCGAAAAAGTTCCATTGATGTTAGTCAACGAAATGGATTCATCACTACCGAAAACATTCGAATATGTTGCCGATCGAATACCTTTAACCAACGATATTGTTATTGACACAAGTACATTACAAGGCTGTTCGTGTACAGATGGTTGTCTAGATCCAACAAAATGTGCTTGTTGGAAGAAAACATACGATGCTATCATTGACTCGCATTATTATGAAGATGTCATTGCTGAATTAAAGGAATTGTATGATGAGGAAGATGAGGATCCTGAACGAGTGCGATTATACTTGTACGATGCACTATCCAAAAGAAACTACGGCTACAAGCATGGACGCTTATTAGAAAAAATACATTCAGGTATGAAATATCTCTTGAAGAAACGGGCAAGCTTATCTCTTCCGTTCGTATAGGCATTTATGAATGCAACGGTAAATGTAAATGTGATTCTCGATGTGCAAATCGATGCGTTCAGTTTGGTTTAAATACGCTTCTTCAAATCTATCATACTGCAGAGAAGGGATGGGGTGTGCGTACACTATACGATTTACCAGCTGGTACATTCCTGAGTTTCTACGCAGGTGAAATTCTCAATGATGAAGATGCAAATCGACGTGGCGTGCAGAAAAATATGGGTGATGTGTATTTTACCGCATTGGATTTTGTTGCTTCTTTGAATCCATCGTCATCGCCAAGAAAACCGAGACCTGTCATGAATATGAATAATGGCAATCATGTAAATGATACGAATGCAACATCTGATAGCCAGCAGAATGGAAGTAAGCTGTATTCGAGTGAAAAAAAAGAATGAAAATGACATGTGGGAATTCTAGATGGTCATGCAACAGTTGAAGGAGTAGGCGAAGATGACGAAGAAGGTCTACCGATTGAAAAGACGAAAGCTTTTCTTGAATATCAACAAGCCAATTATGATCCAGGCATTTTCGTCATGGATGCACATTTAAAAGGTAATGTGTCACGTTTTTACAACCACTCGTGCTCGCCAAATGTGTTCGTTCAAAATGTTTTCATCGAATCATGGGATGTGCGATTTCCTTGGGTAGCTTTTTTTACTACTCATCACATTCGAGCAGGAACGGAACTTGTATGGGATTATTCGTATGAAGTAAGATTCGTAATTAGTCAAAAGTTCGCATTGCATTTGTTTTTCGTTTCAGGTCGATACAGTAGAAAATCGCGTTTTACACTGTCGTTGTGGGTCCGAGCAATGTCGTCATCGTTTACTCTAATTCTTTTTCTTTTTTTGTCGTTTGTGTTTTTTTAAAGTTCATGGAATGTTCATTGTTCAGTTTGGAAAACAAATTATTCTTCGTGTATGATATTGTACAGATAATAAATAAATCGGAAAGTATTAAGACATGCTACTCATTGACAATCGAATGTTTCACACGAGAGACTTGCAGCAGCGTGTTCTATTCATAGCCGATATTGGTTTATTTTTCTGTTTTTTTCTTAATGAAATTAAAGCCTTATTCACTTTCAATCCATTGAAATGCAATTTCAAGTTAATGTTGCCGAGTATTTCATATTCAAATCAATCGCGAGTCGTATGCTAATTATCGATACATGTATTTCATGGCAGGAAAAGAAAGAAAAATCGAACAACGCTGTTTCTTTCCATTGTTACATTCTTTTACGAAAAGGCAATGCCAGTTGTACCATCGTTGTTAGGTTATCGTGCATCTAACGTCAGCAAAGTAAGTCCGACGAAATACAACATATGTTTAGTAGTTAAACATTTGCTTCTATCAGGGAGTATCACGATCGAAATCAGCGCAGCGTGCTCTTCCCTCGAAATCGTTACGTATTCCCACTAATAGTCAACAAACACGAATAAAAAGGACGACTAACCGAATGAACAGTATAACGAATAGTTTTTTGGATCCACCGCGTCCACCCGATCCGACTCTCTTCGTCCAAGCTGGTACATCCGGTCTTCGACACTTATTTCCCATTCATCTGACGGACAGTGATGGTAATCTAAAGGCATTTCCTCGTTCGATCTCACGTTTACGCTCTCGTGTCCCCACGACTGAACGTTGCACCAGCATCGAGATGATTAGAAATATCTGCTTATCAATTCAGACATTAGAACATTTCGACATCAGTGAAAATAATCTCGATGATTTACCATTAGACATCGCTTGTTTGACTATCTTGCAAACATTGAACTGTTCACATAATCAATTATCGACAATTCCAGATTTGCTCGAGAAATTAATACATTTGAAAGATCTCGACATATCATTTAATCAATTTAAGCATTTTCCAGCTGTTATCTGTAGATTTACACATTTAATACGATTTAATTGTGAACATAACTTTCTCAGGACAATCCATGACGATTTAATCAACCTTATCAACTTAAAAACTATGATTCTCGATCACAATCAACTGGAAAACTTAGATACGATCGATTTTAGTCATTTGAAAGAACTCGAGTACATTCACATAGCGCATAATCAATTACTCAGATTTCCATCAAATCTTCATCAACTGACACATTTGAAAAATATTAATCTTTCGTATAATCAACTGACAACATTTCCAACGGAATTATTTCTTATCAATACACTTGACGTGGTCAACTTAAGTCATAATTTCCTCACACATTTATCTTCACTGCCAGATGTTTATAAGCGAACGTCACTGATATTTTCGATCGATTTGTCTTTTAATCAATTGACAAGATTCTATGATTATCTGCTCTGGATATCTATTAAACTTGATTTGTCGAATAATGGGATCGAAATGATTCCGAAAGATGTGCTCCGACGAATCAACCGGGATACGTTAAAGAATCGAGAATTGAAAATCGATAATAATCCATTGAAACATCCCATTGATATTATTTCGAAGGATAATATCAATACGAACAATTTGCTTCGAATCATTCGCAATCATGTCGATGAGCAACAGATCGATGAAAGTATTCGACAGGGTTTCAAGATTTGTATCACCGGAGGTCAACAAACAGGAAAATCATCATTGGCATTTTGTTTGGAAGAACTAATGCCATGTGTATCCGACAAAAAACCAGAGAGAATGATGAATAGTCAGAGACGATATCTACAAAAACTAAGTACATTGTTTGTTCTTTTTAGTTCTACGTTTTCCGTTTCGCTTTCAAACGCGAAGTCGTCAAGAATCTTTGCCAGTAGCCGAAACCGATGCGCCCAAACAAAAGAAATCGTCCAATCTACTCCGAAAACGATCTGCAGCAGTAGCACCCGTTTCTCAGCCATCTCCGGCTCCACGTGAACCGATTAAAACTCTTCCGGTCACAATTTTCGATTTCAGCGGCTCACCGAGATATTACGAACATATGACATCAGTCATCGATACAAATGCGATTCATCTGATTTGTATCCATACTGTACAATTCGAGCAAACAACGCCGATGAATATCGAAGAAATATTCGATTCTACCTTTGATATTCGTGCGCATTCAGTTCTTGCACCATTATTTCAAATCTTACAATTTCTGTGCGACAAAGTGACGAAAAACAACGGCTTGGCAATCATACCCGTCGCTACACACATCGATCTTTACGATAAACGACCGGCACAAGAAAAGTAAATATCTTTTTTCTTGGGAAAACTCTCGAAATTTTGCTTTTAGAAACCAAGCTTTAGATAAAATCAATCAATTTTTCAAACTTTATCATCAACATCGATTTAATCGGATCCGAGACGAAATTCAACGAATAAACACACTCTCAATCGTTTCAGCCTCGCTATCTTATCGTTTAAAAGTGTATACATCTCTTCTTGACAATAAGATACAAATTGAATCTTGTCAGTCGATTAGTTCTTTGACATGCCAAGGACTTACCGAACTTAACCAAACGATTCAAAGTTGTCTTCTGACACATCAAAACATCTTTCCGCATGTCGATCGAATCCTACCGACACTTTGGGTCGATACAAACCATTCGATAGAATCATTAGCTGATCAATTAGCAGTTCCATACGTCTCCTGGGAAAATTTTACTAATTATATTACTACTAAACATGGTCTCTCGAATCTAATCGATGATATAGCAATGTCATTGTGTGCCGAAGGACAAATTCTGATCTTAAATCAAATTGGAACATCGGATCGGGTTGTTTTCCTTCGACCCTTGTGGCTGGGCGATCTTCTAACATCATTATTACATCTTAACGATCAATCAAAATCAAATCATCAACCACATATCAAAGAGTATCATCAATTCGGTCGTTTACATTCCGATCTAGTTCGCACATTATGGCATAATCTAGTACATAAAAAAGACGAGTTCTATCAAGTATGGATGATTTTAATGCGATTTCTATTGATTGCCTATCCGAAAATGAGTAAAAAGCAATTGAAAAGTCTTCTTCATACCGAAGGAAAACATGATTTTAAGTTTGACTATGCCATTGTGCCCTACTGCTTACCCATGCTCAATTTCAGCGAACAGGATAAACGAAGAAACGCGTTTTATCATGACTCAAAATACGCCGTTAGCGTATGTTATCAAAGTCGATCATTACCACTAGGTTTCTTTCATCGGTATTCTGTTTCGGCAATTTTCAAACTGAACATAACCTATATCGAACATTGGAATAATTTTATACTTGGAAAATACGATGAACATGATGTCAAGTAAGTCGAAGATCTCCTTTCTCAACACAAAGACATTTCGGACTTTCATAGATTCATTCTCGATACTGACCATCTAACATATATCAATTGCTATTGTGCAACAGACATTGGCAATCAACCATTTGAACAGATTTGGAATGTTGTCATGCTCATTTTGAATCATTTCGAAGATCTATTCAAAACTCTAGCTCCAAGTAGATTTCAATTCAAGTAAACTGAAGAAAAAAGACAAATCTTCTCGTTATTTTAGATAATCAATTCAATCGTTATGTTCGATGTCCATATTGTAGAGAATATTCGTTTATGGTAAGTAAACAGGAAATGACAAAGAGAAGAAGTGTAACCTAATTATGTAATAGGGAGAATGGACTACTCCAAAGGAATTACAAGGTCTTCAGTACAAAAAATGTACGTCATGTGGTGAAGATGTTGACACAAAATATCTCGTGCAACCTAACGAAAGTAAACGACGAAGTAAGTTTGTTGGAAGAGAAATTCAATTGAAATAGGATGCTTGGATATTTTCAGATGAAGACTTATTGCGCAAAATACGCGAACGAAAATCGGCTTCGACTCGTTTGATGACAACATTAGTGTGAAAAGAGACTTTTGTTACTTACAAATAAATCGAGACACTTTCCTTTTGTTCGTAAACTCAGTAGTAGAATCAATTTCACATCACGCGATCACCTTTTGTTCAAAAGTATTCTATCGAGAATCAAGTTGACAGGTGTCTACCATAGGACAAGAACCCACCGCACTATTTGTTCACAAACGGAAAACAAAAAGATGAGTCACTAGTCAGCGAAGTTTATAATGGTTACTAATGTGATCGATATGTTTTGACGGTTCTATTATTCATGCTGTCAATGGCAAAGATTGCCCATCTCGAAGTTGCTGATATGATTATTGTTTCTTGTAATATAGAGAACATATGACGATCATTACATGATAATCATATTTTGGCCTTGTTATTTCTTATGTGAATGATTTATCTGTTTCTGTGAATTAACCTAACAGTTGTGACACTTGTCACATTAGCATAAATGTTGATTGGTTAACGTTATTTACAAAATAGGAAAAAAAACAGGTGACATGTTTGTTAAGTTGACATTTAGGATATATTATTCTAAGTATTCCACGAGGAAATTTATTTATATGATTATTATTATTATTATTCAATCAAACGGTATGGAATCGCGCCCACGAAGAGAATGTCATTTGTTGTCTGTGCGCTCTGTTGTCTAATTCAATGAGACGTTGGGAATTGAACTATTGTTGAAGGAATTCTTTGTTAATGAAATGCTAATTCATATTTAGTTAAAACGATGTCAGCGCTTTTGAATTCATTACTGTCATTTCGTCGATTCTGTTTTTCTAATGATTGAACAATGACATGAACATTTTTGGTGAAGTAGTTCTGCAAAAAACTAAAAACATTTGTCTGTCGTTGACAATATGCTGAATTTAAATGATTATTAGCGCCAAACGATCGTATGATTGTTTGTGGCAGTTGGAAAATTTCATGTGAAAATAGAGTTTTGATAGACAAAACAGTAAATTCTTTCTGACAGATAGTTTCACAGTCCGGACAAAAAGAAAAGAAATTGAATCGAACGTGCATTCGTAGCAACTCGAAGCTCATCGATTGTGTACAAGGAAAATCCGAATAGAATGGTAAATTGAGGAGAAAATCGATATGTCATTTGTTGGTAAACGAAGAAGTAGGCAACAGAACCTCATCGATTGGCTTCTTTTGTTTTGCTCGATGGTTGGCATTGTCTGTTCCTGATTATGTGATCAGTGAAGAAGAATTTGTAAACAATTTTCGATGAGTAGATAGGAAAATGAATGCACTTGAGATGAATGAACTATTCTATCTTTTGGGATTTTACTTCAATTAACAAGCTCGATCAGCGGACGAACTACGCATGATTGGCTTGTTAGGAGATAATCAAGAGAGAAGTAGGCGACAAGATTCACTCATCGTCAAGTTTTTTGATAGATCTTCTTCTTACTAATTGCTTCATTTCGATGAGTTTTCGAAATACCAGACAATGGCAAAAGAAAATGAAGAATGTGTGCTAATTTATATTCTAATCTTCTCATCTCTCCTTTCGACATATCATCTTCCAGAAAGAGTAGGAAAACGATCTTGAATGTATAAAACTATGGATGAATTCCTTTTAATAGAAATACTAATTTAGATAGGCTTAAGATAGAAACAGTAATAGAAACCATCGAACGGTATCATAACGCGAGTCTATTATAATGGAAAAACAACAACAATAACAGTAGTAGTAGTAGTAGCAGCAGCAGCAACACGTCATTGAAAGAGTGGAAGAGATAAAATAGGCGAGTCAATTCTGGTATAAATACGTATTGTTGTCAAACAGAAGAATTTTGTATATTTCTCACTTGTCACAATACTCGCCTTCTTCTTTTGGGATATCTGACGCTTGTCATAGGCAGACGTTGCAGAACACAAAATGATGAAGATCTAAGAGTTCGCCTCGAGTATTCCAGCATCAAATACTGCTTTCGCTAACGAGTATGATGGATGTAAGATGGAGATTACGATTCGCATGTCTTAATTTCGATTGTTAGGATCATTTCCAAGAAAAAAGCATATACATATCTAACTGCTAGAGACAGCGAGAGAAAAGAAGGATAGATTCCGTGCGCGCTTATAGATGAGAAAGAGGAAGCGAGAAGAAAAGCCTGAAGACCTCTTCTTTTTCTCATCTATTTGATCATTTATGGAGCAACAAAGACAGGAAATCTCGTCGAGAAATACTCCTAATAGTTTGGACTTTTACTTACTTGTTGATATTATTTAAGTATCTATGGTATGATGTTTTCTATCTGTAATCTGTCGAAGCCTTAAAACTCTATCTCATTAAGAAAACGAGGACAATGTCAGTTGTTTTTATCACGTCTCTTATGCAAACTCGGATGTGTTTTCACCGAAATGAATCAGTAGTAGTTAACACTTCGACCTTTTGTGTGTTTCTTACTTCATATTATAGAAATTGTTCTTAAAACGAAATCAGTCGTTCTTCCCGATATCATTACACATCCTTTTCCTTTTCAAGTTGCTTTTTCCGTCAATCAATCAAAATCCGTATGACTAAATCTTTTTCTTCTTCGCTCTACTCTGTAAGTATCAATACAAAACGGCTGGTTTTAAAGAATACTTCTCTGGACAATAATATTCATGATAGTAAGCATGTGAATAATAGAAGTGCAGAAGAGGAAGTCGAAAAATTCATAAATATCCTCATCACAGTCGAGATTGACTTTTCTTGACTATCTTGCTCCTTCTGCATACATACTCTTCAAACTGGGAATGGAAAGCCAACAATCCATAATTCCTTGTTCTTTTATTTGGCCTTCCTTATTATGATGATTTCTAATCTATGTGAAAACATGAAAACTTATCTATAAGAACATATTTGTATTTAATCAGAATACAAAAGAAGAGAAAAGACCATGTATACGGACGACGAATTAATGTAAGTATTTTACTGAATCAGTAAAGCGTGAGCTAGACATCCTGTCTTGATTTGTTTAATGAATATTTCTATACGAATAAATCACGTTCGGACGCATTATGTCGAGGTAGGTGTGCGCCATTCAATTAGGTTGACTGAATAAGAAAAGAAGCACAACAGGTTTCATTGATGTTGACCAAGACGCTTTTTTTTTCTGTTTCGTCAACTTCTCATTGAATGCTATAATCTTTTTAGAAACTGTTTCGTTCTGACAGTTCTGAGTGCATCCGTCACGTCCAAATCTGTTTTCGCTAGTCTTCTTTGTAAAAAATAGTCGAGTGATTGTTCGTTTCAGTCCATCACGAATGACATCGACATAGACAAAGCTGAACAAAGGAGAACTTGAGAAGGTTTTTCCCAAACAATACTGGCTGAAGATTCAGTTTCCAGCATGGATGCAAATATTGATGAAACCAAGTAAAAATCATCTTGTTTTTGCTTCCTACATTGCAATTAGTCACATCGAGCGAGGGGATATAAAGACTGTTCTGACCTATTTGTATACACTGTAAATGAAAATCAGATAGAGATTGAATAAGCGATAACACTTATTGGGCTGTAAGTTTGTTTATTATTTCTCTATCGATGGGTCTATATTAGACATTGATAGACATTAATTATCTACAAACAGAAAGCAAAAGAGTATGACAATAGCAGAATGTTATGGGCTAACCTTCTATGACTCTGTAAAAAAACAAACATTCACACCTCAATCTAGTTATGTCCTTTGAGGAGAAAAGCTCGAATCTCACTGAATTTTCAAGGTGACAACTTGTCGAACTTCTTTTAGATGACGTAAATATCTTTGACATATTCTTTTTCCTGTTTGTCTATCGCTATCTGATTTTATCCTCCGACATCTTTCCGCACTAACATCGCCGCTCGAAATATCAGTCTATTACGAGATTGTTTACATCGAAAAAGAATTACGACATAGAATTGACTAGAACATTCAGATAGTACTTCCGCAGTAGAAGTTTTCTTTTCACAAAAGCAAACTCCGCACTTCTCTTCTTCTCATGCCTAATTCTAGTTCAATGGTGGATCTACGCAGAAAGAAGATCAGTGTACACGTCGATGCACAGCGAACGAGAATAAATGAGCTACCTAACATACTTGATGCTGCTCGTAGATGAAATGCTTGATTGTTAATTGTATTAATGAGATCTCTGATGGGAAAAGATAACATTAGTGTATTTACTTCCGAAGTAACGCATTGATGACTGATAGAAAACATTGTTTATCTCATCCATCAATAGACTCCATCGGCAACCTTCTTCTAGATTTCATCAGTCGTAATCGAATATTTTCGTCTCATGCATGTATCCGTATCGAGTATGATTCATTTTCAATTGTGTATAGTCACTTAAATGACAAGTGTTATCAGATACTCGATGTTCTGGATCATCAACAACGTTGACGCCAATGGGCATGTTAAATAAATCTCTCACGTATGCCTATATACATACATACATAAGTGTATTTTGTCTCTAATGTGACGTGCGAAACAGAAACTGACGAGTAGGTTTGTCTTTTGAATAATTTATTCTTCTAAATTATTAACCATTGTTAAGAATAGAAGGAGAAATTGAATAATCAAGCTTATTTGTTCATATATCAAATGACAGAATTACACATAGATAACATCAATAGAAGTCTTTCTTTTCTGTGACTTTTATTATTAGATAGACGTTGTCGATAGTTTACTGTGTATTGATAGATGATTGTTATTAGAGGTTGTGAACGTTGTGAATTGAATTAACCTAGAGAAAAAGAACATCTCTTCGGAAAATCAGATTCATTTGAAGTTTCACACGTTTACAGTCGATGTTCAAAAAAGAAACAATCTTTTCTTTTCTTTCGTATTCCTCTCCTCATCTTTCTTTCTCTGCTTTTCCTCCATCGCCACGTCAATTTGATCATGTCTGACATTCCTTAGACATAAGGAAAAGAAAACTGAAGAAATTCATACGCTATATAGTAATTTATTGTCTCTTTTATCGGACGAAGCGAATCATTTCATTTGTTAGATTATATATGCACGTTTATTGAAGAGTTTTGCCGACATGAAATGTATCTCTATTTGTTTAGGCGAGATATGACGAGAAAGAGAAAGAAAGCCTTCCGCGAAGGTGCACCGAATCTACACATAGTTAGAGGAAGCGAATGAATATGTTAAAAGAAAAAGGTAATATGATTTATATGCTAATTATCACTTCCTCTTCATCCCAACAAACCTGAAAAACCCTGCCGACGAAGATATTCCTTTGTTTATTTGTGGATTTATAGGAAAGAAATTAGTGCGTTGGTGAGCATCTGACTTTCTTATCTCCCACTAATTCTTGTCTATTCAATGATCATGCATTAATACCTTTCTGCAACATGGAATACTTCTTCAACACGAAGATAATAGGAGAACATTGAGTAAAATCTCTCGGATGTTTTATTTTTAGACAATGGTTTGATTTCACTTCAAGCACCAACTACACACGAAGTCTGCTGTTTCCCATCGATTTTGATACAATGGTACTTTCAGACAATCAAACGGTGACAACCACAGACACGCACGGTGTCATCACACTTCCAGGCGATCTACATTGGTATCCATTCTATCCTGGCCAATGTCCTCCGCCATACTATGTCATTCTCCAAGGTGTATGTGCGCCATTGATTATTATTATATCGACTGTTTTGAATTCGCTGATTGCTGTTGTTTTATTACAAAAACATCTTCGTTCACCAACAAATATTCTTCTTCTCGCGATTGCACTTTACGATACATTGACAGGACTTTTTCCGTTTCCAGCTTATATCTTCGTTTTCACATTTCGACAATGTAATGATTATATCCCATTCAATTACGGATGGTTTCATCGAATAAATCACGATGTGCTTCCATTCATTTTTCATACGTGCTCGATTTGGGTAAGATGCTTTCGTCGTAATTTGTTTATTTGATCTATTTATTCTAGGTGACAGTTGTATTAGCCATTCAACGATATATCTATGTATGTCATTCAGAGAAGGCCAAACAATGGTGTACGGTACCTATGGCGCTAAAAGCAATTGCATGTGTCAATATTTTAGCATTAATTGTAGCAATTCCGATGTTTATTGAGGGCACATTTCATGCTGTGCCAGTTCGTTCATTGTTAGATCCGAAGAAAGTTTTCAATGCGTGCAGTGTGCGCGACTATTCCGAAGATGAACGATATCGAACATTATTTTCTATCTACTCACTTATTCGTGCATTATTAATCAACGTTGGTCCTTGTACCATCCTTGTTATATTCAATGCTATACTTGTCGAGCGTATGAGAGAAGCAAAACAAAACCGAGATAAGCTCATCCGAAGACGTAGCTATGAATCACGAGCACAAGAACAAACCAATGTTACATTCATGCTTGTACGTAGATGAAATTGAAAAATCATACATCCATCAACGTTGATGATTTGTTTTAGATCATTGTCGTAACATTGTTCTTGATTGTGGAAATTCCCATGGCTATCTATATTATAGTTACAGCTATTTTGAGATTGTTTCAATCATCATTTTTGCAAAACTTCCTTCAATTTGCTGTACAACTGCTGAATTTTGCTGTTCTACTTTCATACCCCATAAACTTCTTTATCTATTGTCGCATGTCACGTGCATTTCGTGATGCTTTTACTCGATTACTCTGTGCATCATTATTCAATAGTCGACAGGAACGTTTACAATCAATTGCAGCACCCTTACTTGGCAAAAAATGCGTTGTAGTTACCAACAACATCGAATTCAAAATGGCCAACGCCGAAACTACAATCCATGCATCCTCTGTGATAATAAAATCTGCAAGCAATGACATACCGATGACAACACTAACACCTCAAAATAATCATGATTTGAAGACAAACACCACGGGTTCTGGAGAAAAAGCACGTGTGTCGTTCAGTGATGAAGTTAACCAATTGCCTGACATGGAACTATCTGATATTTAACGAATATTGTTTGTTTTTATGTAATAGACGACAAGTGCAACCGAATAGAACAAAAGAGTTTGAAGATGATCTGCTTTTCTTCTCGTGACAAATCGTTTCGAGTAGGCCAAGTTGACCGTATATGAAAGTTACACAAATGAGAAACGAGGTAATATAAAAAAGAAATCGAAGCCCATTTCCTGAACTTTTTTGCACGAGTTTAGTTTACTTCAACAATTTACTTCCGTTTTCCATGTACTCAAATTTCTCAATGTCATTTTGACTACCAGCATCAAGCCGGGTTTTTCTTCACCGTCAGTCAATACTCTGTTTCTAGAATAACAACTAGTAATACGAACGCTGTTATCATATTTTACTCATCAGAGTATTAACTGGAGAGTGAATCTTTCGAGTTTCTTGTTTAAGTCCAAGTTCCAATAATAACAGCTTATCTTGATGATGACAACTGAGCTGATTCCATTTGTAGACTGGTCTAATTAAGAACTATGACTTTCTCTTAGATATTAATAGACTTTATGTGTGCGTGCGTTGACTCGAATGGAATCTGTATCAACAGAGTATTGAATTTCTTTTTTAATTGACTGGGAAATGATGTAACTGCATGTGAAGAACATTTTGTAGTTTATTGCCACTGAAGATTGTTACATCACAAATCAAAATATGACAGCAAATGAATGATTAAGATGTATTAGAAAACGTGTTTGAATAATTTAGTTTGTTTTGTTATTGGTTATTATCATTCTTTAACGGTAAATTGATGCCCATTTCTTGGCAAACGTCTTTGATTGATTCAGCTAAGATTTCCATATCTTTGACAAATAGACGACCGATATTTCCAATGCGAAAACAATCTGTTACAGTTGTCTTTCCCGGATAAATCAATTGATCTGAAATGGAAACGATTCACAATCTAGTGATACGATAGAGAGAGAGAAAAAGAATTCTACCTTTTTTGCTCAATTTCTGATAAAAACTTTCGAAATTAAATGGTGCGGGTGGATAATAATACGATGTGATGATATAAGTCTGATATTCCGGTTTAATCAATTCAACAAAGCCGAAACTACGCATCAGTTCTCGGATACGTTTATTATTTTCTTGATATCTAATATGAGAAGGAATGACAAGCGATTAGTGAAGAATATTGTCGATGATACTAACCGTTTTCCTCGTCCTTGCACGCCACCTTCTTCATCTAGCTCATCCAGAGCTTGTTTAAAAGCAAGAATCGTATGCGTTGGAGCTATATGAATGACACCGACCTAGTTTTAGTGATCAAATTCGAGTTGCATTCTTTTACATACGTGTAAAACGAAACTGTTTACTCTGTTCCATGTACACATATTGATCGTAAAGATCAAGTACCAAGCTGCGCGCTTGGCCTGAATGAAAATTCGCATTTGATACAGTCGACCATATCGGTAGTACTTAATCTCACCTTGACATTTAAGTAAATGCTGCTTTTTGGAGATAACGAACGAAAATCCAGGTACTCCTTCGATACATTTGTTCGCTGAACTGATAATGTAGGTGATATGTCCATTACGAAGACTAACAGGCACAGCACCGAATGCGCTCATTGAATCCACGATATACACAGTTGATCCTAAATGAAGTGAACTTGTTTCTTGATGGTAGAATAGATTCGAACAAACCTTTTTCAGCACCATGATCATGAACTAATTGACCAATCTCATCGATAGGATTCAATATTCCCGAGCTTGTCTCACAATGGATGATAGCGACATGAGTATAGCGATTGGATTTTAATTTCTCGGCAACTTGATCAGCTTGAACGCGTTCAGTTTCGCCAAACGAAAGAACGTCATGAGGAATATTCAGTGTTCGACAAATTTTAACCATTCGCTGACCATAAGCACCATTTTCGATAATTAAAACCTGACAAAAAGAGTGAGAAATACCGAATCAAATTGCATTCAATTACCTTCGCATCTTGTTGAGGAACGGATGTTGAAAACGTTGCTTCGACTGCATATGATCCACTTCCTTGCAGAAGGACAGCTGTGTAATCGTCTGCTGATGCATCTGTAACCATCGAGAAAACGATATTGTGAAAATTTGCTTGAAGAATGCTTACTCACCTGCTAAATGAAGTAGCTTCTCACGAATATACGCAACGATATTCAGAAACACTGTGTCGCGTGAACCTAAATCATGCAACATTGCTTTTTTCACTGTTAAGCTAGTCGTCAGTGGACCCGGCGTAAATAATTTCGCATCATTCTCTACGCAATACAAAGAAAAATTGACCGTTTTTCTTTGTAAATCGATCAGTTACCTTTGAGTTCCATTGTCTGTACAAGATAGATGACGAAGAAAAGTACTAACTTAGCGTGTTGACCTCCGGTAACTGGGGTGATTCTCTTAGCCAATAGAATTCTGAATAGGCGAACGAAGTAAACAGAAGAAAGAGAAAAAAATGGGTAATTCTGTGTTCTGTTATTTGCTTATCTCGAATGGCTGATATAGTTTTGGAATTAGATTTAAGCCAATCAACATTCTTACCTCATTATAAAAATTTACTACCCACGTCGAACGCAAATGAAAGCAATTCAACGAAAAAATCGTCGAAACGAAGTTCGTCGTCATATCGAGAACGTTTAGAACGTATTAAGAATAATTGTCAATTAATTCGTGAACGACGACGGCGTTGTTCTCTGTTCTCGAATTTACCGATCGAACTTCGTCCAAGTCTATTCCAACAACGCCATTATCAATCAGGCGCATTAGAATTGTTGAATATCAGTCCTAATCATTGGCAATCAACCAATGCATTACGTTTGTCTGATGAATATTTATATAAATGTAAATACGCAATGTATGCGACAACAAATCGAAATTTTAAACAGAAAGAATTCTATTTTCTACTCCGAGAACTTTTCTCTTGTTCGGCAACGATAGAAATCGACAGTAGCAATCAGTCGTATCAATGTCAATTGTGTGATTCAAGTTTTCATTCGGCTGATATATTTCATTTACATTTAAATCGTCGAAGCGTATCCATCCAATATCAATGTTTAACATGTCAGTCGTTGATTCAAACCACCAATCCATGTCAAGCCTATTATCATTTATTACTGCATCCGAATTCGACGAAGGAAAAGCGTCTGGCACATTTGAGCATTAACTGTGATCCAAATACCTCCCTGGTAGGTTGTATTCGCATGTATATGAGCGAATGCAAGTATTTTTTGTTCTTTAGGAATTTATTGGTGATACATTCACAAAATATTGTGAGAATTAATTAAAGCAGTGAATTAGATTTTTAATCGGTTATAGATTCTTTCGTTGGTGATAATTTATTTCCAAATGACGTTCGCGTTCTTTCGCTTGTAAAAATGCAGACTTCATCGACTGACGGTGCTGTTCTCTAATAAAATTTCTCATTCGAATTTGTTCACAATGATCACATAGACAAATCATCTGCCCATTGTCGACAAGTGAATACCACCAATTGACCGTTGAGTCTATACCACAGTTGAAACAAATTTGCGGCATTTGTTGAGTCAATTCTGTCGGATGGATATTGTTTCTCAGATAATTTATAACACAGTCTAGACCTTGATGTTCGAGAAAGTCGAGATCTCTTGAGTTTGGTATGAAAGTATTCAATGAATTGAAAACGTGAGACGATGATGGCAAGGTTAATAACTGACTTTTCAGTTTTTGTCTTAGTTCAAGACGTTTTTCCATTAATTCATCATCGTTAGTGATCATTTCAAGTATTGTCAATGAGAAACTGAATGGCGCCTGTTTGTAAAGTCTCACGTGTATTTGAAGAATATTAGCAGATACAAAAAAAGCATCTCACTGATTTACTTTCAAAGTTAACGCTAGTTGTTCTAGATAATCTAATTTTGATTCGAATCTGTTGGTTAGTTGTTCGATGGTTTCAATCCGTGCACTTAAACTTAATTGACGTTTTTGTTCGTCGGGGAGATATGAGGCGGGCTTAGTGGTGCCCAAAGTCAAGTCGAGACGTCGGTGAATATCGTTGAGCATGATTGATAGACGATTATTCATTTGAGTGTTTTCAGTGACCACTTCTTTCAGGTCAATGGGCTGTTTGGCTTGTTGAAACTTCTTGCGTGCGGAAGAATACTTGAGCAATCGAAGGATTTTTATTGCTGTTACATAACGTTTTGGTAGATCTTCGATCGACGTGATTGATTTTCGACGAATTTGACTTGGAATCGGTGTTGTTAGTGGATTAGTTCGGAATGGGTTCTTTTCGCGTGTTTGACTAGATGTGTATCGATGGAATGGTGGTGCGGAGCTTGGTGGTATGAGTTCATTGACACGTCGTTGCATTAATGTGTAGATTTTCCATGTGGCAACAAAACGATCACCTTGCTGAGCACATCGAAATCGCCACCAATTCCGTATAAGACTTGCAGCAGCTGGTACGAGACGGTTCAATGCTTCATCACGCTTTTGCTCCTGTACTTTGATCGCCAAACCCTTTATATTAAGAAAGAAACGAGAATCAATAGAAGACAAGTACAATCTAGCACGTACACTGCCAATTATACCCGCTGGTAGACACCAAAATGCAACACCGAGATAGCAAATTGTTGTTGTTATCATTTTAGCAATGAAAGTTGTGGGATAGATATCACCGAATCCAATAGTTGTCATCTAAAACGAACAAATTATCGACTCGATTTTCTTTCAGAAGAATCTTAACTGTTATGATTGAGAACCACATGGAATCGGCCATGGACTTATATCCTCCTGTGTATGAACTAGCATCCATTGGCTTTTCAGAGATGAACACAAGATAGGCGCCGATGATCAGAAACATGAAACCGATAACAATGGTAACCGTTAGTTCTTGACGATGTTTTAAACAGATTTCCTTTAGGATTCGCCACGACGTCAATTGACGATCAACACGTAAGAAGCGAATCATCTGTAATGGTGGCAAGTAATCTAATGCAAAGCGAGAAAATTCACCTGTTGTTAAACCAGTGGCCAACAAGTATCCGAAACCACAAAGTGTCAATATATCGAGCACAATTACTGGTTGAGTGACAAATACCAAACGACCCACCCATGTTCTATACATAGCGAGACAACCTGCTGCCCATATGCGTAATACAAGTTCGTAGGTGAAGAATATGCAAAGAAACAGTTCACCATAGTACAACGGTGTGCTTAATTTTGTTCGCCATTCGACAATGGTTGAGATTGAACCAAAAACCAGGGATATTAATGTTAAAGCAAAGACAAATAAGTGATAGATGAGTGTACGTCTGCCCTCTTGCCTCTCAAGAACGTGATAGACGTCCGCTTTATGAATACGAAAGATGGGACAATATCGGGAGAATCCATCAGCAGTATATTCATCGTTCAAATCTAATGTTGCTGAATAAATTGAAATTGCTGAAGGACGTGAAGCCGGGGAAAGTGTACTCTTCCGTCGAATACTCATCTTTCGACGTGTAATTGTTTTCTTCTCTTCTTTTTATACTGGCATTAAACGAATGATCCTCACGTATGTTGACCTTTAGTCAAGAATGAATCAAATTCGTGCTAAGATGCATGAGTCTCTTTTTAACAAGAGAACAGGAAAAAAGATCGCTGCCTAGACGAGATTTACTACGAGAAATCGAAGAGCTTTGCCAAGAGAGCGGTAGAACTTGATCTTGATTGTCATCGAGTGACCTCTATCTGATCGGAATGTTACACAAACAATCTAGAGACGGTTGTCATGTAACCATCTGATCGTGTTTTTCTTTCCATGGATGAAATAAATTCCAAAGAAGAGAACAAAACGAATCTTTTCAAAACGTCCATGATATATCATTTATCCAAAAAATGACAGACGGTAAAAGAAACGTTTGATGTGTTTGAACATGCTGATGAACTCTCTGTTTTGCAGGAGTTGATACGCATATTTTACGGTACTACGAAATTCAAAAACGTCTCGGAAAAGGAGCATATGGCATCGTATGGAAAGCAACTGATAAACGAAGCAAAGAAGTCGTCGCGTTGAAGAAGATTTTCGATGCATTTCGAAATCAAACGGATGCTCAAGTCAGTGACCGAAATGACGGTATCGATTGGAAGAATTCGTAATTTGATTCTAGAGAACCTATCGTGAAATTGTTTTCCTACGGGAATTTGGTGAACATCCCAATGTTATTCGATTACAAAATGTTTTACGTGCTGATAATGACCGAGATATCTATCTTGTTTGTGAATTTATGGGTAAAAATATCGCTTTGATTTTTCACTTTATCTTTCTGATGGATTCGATTGTCAGAGGCGGATTTACATAACGTCATTCGCAAAGGAAACATCCTGAAAGATACGCATAAACGATATGTAATGTATCAGTTATTAAAAGCGATGAAATATCTCCATTCCGCGAATGTTATTCATCGTGATATGAAAGTAAAGAAAAAGAGACTAATCCGGATTCTATAAACATCACGTTTTTTTTTCAGCCGTCAAATGTTCTAATTAATCAACAATGCCGCGTTAAAATATGCGATTTTGGCCTTGCTCGATCATTGAATTATATTTATGAGGATCCACAACATCCAGCTTTGACAGAATATGTTGGTGAGTTCATTTCACTAAAAATGAACGTCATGTTTATTTTTTCGTGAATCCTATATTTACAGCAACAAGATGGTACCGAGCACCGGAAATTTTACTTGCTTCGACAAAGTAAATCTTTTTTTTCCTTCTAATCAGGCATTTCACACTCGTTGATACATTGTTGGTTAGATATACCAAAGGAGTTGATATGTGGTCTATCGGTGAGTTGAGATGTATATCATATACTTATTTTTAAGGTATTGATTAGGTTGTATACTTGGGGAGATACTGCTGGGAAAACCTTTGTTTCAAGGAACGTCGACGTTCAATCAATTGGAACGTATTCTTCAATATATTCCAACGCCCAGCCATTCAGATATTGCTAGTATTGCATCTCATTATGGACCAAGTGTGTTAGAACGAGCATCATCTGTGTAAAATTACCGTTAAAAAGAAACAATCTGATAGAGTTGAAGAAGATGTTTTCATTTTAGTCAAAAGAAATCATTTGATCAATTGATTCCTAATGCTGGCGATGAAGCTCAAGATCTTCTTCGGCGCCTTCTGCATTTTAATCCTGATAAACGTATAACAGCAGAAGAAGGAGTTCGTCATTCCTATGTTGCTTCGTACGTCATTTTTACAGACGCCTTTTTGTCATCATATTTCTTCTTTTACATTAGATTTCATAATCCAAGTGAAGAAATAGTTAAAGGTTATGATGTGGTTCCACAATTGAGTGACGATATACAATTGACTGTCGATGAATATCGAAAGAAACTATACGAAGTAATTCACTTGGCTCGTTTTCGAATGGAAAAAAAAGGATATTTTCATTGGAATCTTTAGTTAATTCAACTACGTAAAGTTTCAGCAAAAATCAATCCAAACATGTCTTCCTCAAATTCTGAAGTTGCACGACCGCGCGATACGTCGACTGATCAACAACAACGTCACGGTGCCAGTGCTTACATCGACAAATCGGAATACGATGCTTACAAGCAATCAACAGTAAACTCAACATCTGCAGCAAATTTCGGAGGAGCTTATTCCAACTATTCTGTGGACAATAATAATCGTTATGTTCAAGATGTCGTTGATGATGAATGTACACCACCGACAACGCATGATCAGTCCAATGGACAATCGCAACATATGAAGAGTACTTCCACTACATCTTATTCTGGTTCGTAGACAACATTTGTGCATTGCTGATTGTTGCTTTCTTTGCATAGGACTCATCGGTCGATCGAACAGTTATAATGGCTCACAACCCAAATTGATCAGTAGTAAACAGCGAAACACAACAACCGGTTCGTCAATGTTATATTCGGTAGAGAGTATAATCGTTTTTCTCGGTGAGAACTGTCGAACGAAGAACTTTCGTTTAGAAATCGACTATGGGTGGTTTAACACGTGAGAAGATTGGAGCCAATCGCGGATTCCGCTCTGGTTCAGCTCCAACTCCGATACCGCCTGTAAAACAAATCAATAGTAACAATTATTACATTCGCCGTCCAACAGTAATTTTCACTGACGAACGTGGTGGACCAAGTGATAAGAGTGCTGGTGCACAATCGAGAATGAATACTAAATTTGTTCGTAAATTTCTCTCATGTATTCATTTGACTTCATCTTCTCTTTGTCTAGGCCAATACTCTACGACCCAATTCAGCCGCTGATAATCGGAACAAACCTCGTTATCATTCTGCAACGATCATGAATCACAATCAACAACAAGGAGGTGGAGCACCGAACACATCGTACATAAACTACAATGGACATTATCAACAGCGTCGTCCTACCCATGGAAATTATTCGAATACTACAGTGACAGCCGTAGCACGCGATAACCTGGGTGGTTATCATCAAAATATGGGTACATTAACTCAAAACGGGTTACGTGTTCTTGATGGTCTCCTTCATAATGCAACGTAACATTGGTTTATTGCTATTTTTATTGTTTTTGTTTTCTTTTTAATCTCTTCAATGTTTATTACGTATATGTATGCGCATATTTAACGGCGGGCATTTTCTCTTAATTCGTGCACGATGGACTAAAGAATCGTGCATTGTTGGTTGTTTTTATTTCTCTCAACTGTTTCATACCGTTAGTAGTGTGATCAATTTTGTATGTTTTTACCTCTTCTACACATATAAAAGTGATTATTTTGTGTACATTTTTTTTCTTTTATTCAAAATATAAAAGCACAGCGAGCCAATTATTCATTTATGGGTTTGTCAATTCTGTTAGCGAAAGTCAAGTTTTACTTTATTTGTCTATACATACAAATTCTTGCGAAAAGATTTCCAAAGAAAACGAAAAAAAAACCAGTTTGATTTCTGTTTTATGAAGCAGCAGCACCCGATAGGATCGAAAACAAAAAGATAACAATCTACTATAATACTGTTGGCGAATACACAAGATATATATATATAATTTTTATGGGACAAGCGCAAACGTGTGACTAGTGTAAAACTTCATTTCTGTTAGGAATTTAATGAAGATTTTCAGCACTGGTCATTCGGCCACGGAGTGTGGATGGCTGTTGGTGTTTGAATGCAAAATTATTCTGTTGATCTATGGAATTTCCACCAGTAGGTTGCCGATTAACAAACTGTTGTTGAGGAACGCTGTTCAGAACCGATAATGACGAAGCTCGTTTCATTGGACCACAGTTATAATCTTGTTGTTGCGAATGTTGTTGTTGTTGTTGTTGTGGATAATGTTGCGACGAGTTAAACGATTGATTATTCCATCCAGTCGACGATGTTCCACGGAGTTTTTGTACTAATTTTTCCGATCCACGTCGAATACTTTGTCGCAGTTTTTGAAACGAACCGCTTCGACGTAAGCGTCCATACTCCTGTGGAGGAGCTTGCTGAGGAGCACGGCGTAACGTTCCTTGATTAGTATCATCATATATGCATAGTTGACGAATGATTGCTAAGGCGCGATCGATGGCTTTTGGATCTTGAGTTGATTTCGTTGCACATGCTTCGATATAGTCCGCTTGTTCATACAAACCTTGTCGACGGCAAAGTGCTCCTACAGAAAGCAAATAGCTGACAAGTAGACACTGTTTACAAATGCATTGACGAAACAATCTTTTTTCTAAACATGAGATTATTCTTGTGCTTCGTTTCTCGTCAACTTAACTAATACCTATACGATCGATCAAAATTCATCTGAGCTTTGAGAGAAAAGAAAACGGATGCCGACAAGGAAGTTTATCGGGACGACTGTACAGCGGATATTGCATAAACTGTTCTTTTTCAACTATTTTCTTTACAAGAACGTCAAAAATGATTAATATCAACAAATCATTTCCGAAAGGTCTCCAATTTTCTACATACCAAAGTTTTTCAATGTTGTCATGACAGTCGAACCATCTCGGAGCGGCGTCGAAGTCGTACTGAGGTTATTCGTCGCATTTTCCGATTGTTCATTCGATAGAACTTCTTGATACAACTGAGCAGCTAGCTTATATTTTCCTTCACGTAAATAAGCCGACGCCAGATTGTTTTTGGTTTTGGCCACCAGAGGATCAGTCTTTCCGTAATGTTTCGTATAGATTTCAATCGCACGCTTGTAGCATTCTTCCACTTTGTCATATTTGCCTTGATTGAGACATAACAAGGCTAAATTGTTTAACTGTTTACCGACATCCGGATGATCAACTCCAAAGCATTTCTCACGAATTTCCAACGCACGTTTGCATAATGGTTCTTGAACGAAAAAAAAAATACACACACACACATTAGGTCAAGAGTCTGTGTTCCATTGTTTTGAACCTACCTGCTTCTTTATATCGATTCTTTTTACCATAAAGGACAGCGAGATTGTTTAAAGTTGCAGCAACAGCAGGATGTTCAAGTCCAAGTGTTTTTTCTCGTATTGTTAAAGCTTCATTCAGTAATTGTAATGCTTCTTTGAATTTATTCTGATCACGATAGACTAACGCAAGAATGTTCAACATGGTCGCTACATCGGGATGGTTATGACCATGTGTTTTTTCTAAATCTTCAAGCGCCTGTCGACACAACGGTACAGCAACTTCATATCGGCCTGCCTGAGCGTATTGTATCACAAGATTATGTAACGTACGAAAACGCGGAGGAACTTCCGAATGATTCTTTGTTTCGGATGTTGTTTCTACGCGTTCTTTTGTGTCTAATGGCATTTCTTTTTCAATATCAATTGTTTGTGTTAAATCTAAAGGTTCATTAGTTGTCTCTGATGCTAATGTTTCATTCAATAGACGAATATCGCGTTCATAATCTTCTTTCATTTGAGTGCTCGTTTGTAAATGTTGTTCTGTTACCGATAATTCATTCCGTAACCAACTATTTTCTTGTGTTAAGCGTTGCACTTGTAACATTAGCTTGTACGTTTCACTGTCAAGTTCGTCGAAATGCTTTTGAAGTTGTAAGAGAACAACCGCTTCGCCAATTCCCAAATCGATCGATTCAAGTGATTGTTGAAGTTGGACATTCTTGTCTTCATCAGTAGGAGATGATAACAACAGGTTATGCTCTTGCCGTAACGCTTCAAGATTGGATATAGTCGATCGGGTGGAATGCGTTAAATCATGAGTACGAAGAGTTGTGCTCATCTAAAAGAAAGGAAAATTCTGTCGAGATAAAAGCATCTCGTAGTAAAGCTAATTGATAGTGTAATTGAGGAAACATAAGACGTGCAATGGTACTGTATTTTTCTCTACCTGCTTGCCAAACGTGAGGAAGAATGAAGAGAGAGGAAGAGAGAAAAGAAAAGAAAAAGAATGAGTAAAAATGTTGCTGTTAAGCTAATGTGTGTTCTTGTCTTTCACGTCTTTTTTTTTCTTCATTCAGTGTTATTTTACTCTGAATTTGCATCGAGACGTGATTGAAGGAACTAATAAAGTTGGTTATACAACATTAAATAACAGAAGATTCAATTCATCTTACCTTTGTCGCCGTCGACTGTTCAAATGAAGAGGAAAAAGGAGAAAGAGAGAGTTCGAGTAGGTTGAATCATTTAACTGTCTCGATACCAGTAAGCATGTACATATTGAATATGTTTCTCTCTTTTTCTTTTCGCTCGACTACGACAACTACCATCACCTCTCGTAATGATCGAATGCGTACGTGTCAGCTGTTACAGTGGAGATGCAAAAGTATAATCTCAAATCAATAGAACTGAGAAAAAGAAGAAAGAAAGAAAGAAAGAAAGAAAGAAATGCGGCGAACAGGCAGCTTTGCAGTTCGGTATTTCATTCCTAGGTGTTTTGTGTTTTGCTGCTCGTTTCTGTTACTTAGGAGTTCATTTTCAAATCATTTAGTCATGAGGAAAAGCAAAGAATGAGCAATCTGTTGGCTGCAGTAGTAATCATAAAAAAAAAAGAAAAAGAAGTTAACAAGAATGGTTTCAAAAGAAAAAAAGAGAAGAAAGAGAAGAAAAAAGGTGTAGAATTTTCTTCTATTCTCCTCCATGGCTTTGACAATGTTCAACGCTGTCATTAGGTCAGAGAATTACAAGTTAGAAATGGACGTTTCATCCCATTCGGAACCATTTGACATCAACAAATAACGCTCATACAGTTTCGAACACTCGAAAAAGCAAGGCCAGGTGAAGAAGATTTCTAACGCCAAAAAAAACGTGCTTTTCTCTATTAAAATCGGCGTGATTATAATATCCTTCAGGCAGATGTTTTGATTGAGGGAAAATATATACATGAATAATAAATATGTATCTTAAAGGGGAATGAATCATACAAAAATATAAGATGAAGAATTAATCTTTTTGCGTGCAACGAATAAGTTTGACGCTTTGATTGTATATTGATGCCGACTAAGAGTATAGAAAGATTTGTCATAAAAAATCCATTTCCACTATTTAACAATCAATTTCGATTATATCGAATATGCAGAGTCGGCTTGTTCGTTTAACTGAATAATCATCTGTATATATATGAGATAGACGAGTACCAAGGATAAATATATTGCTTCATCTACCTCCACTTGTCGAATAGGACTAATTAGTTATTCAAATGATGTTTTGTTAACAAGGACAATTGAATACTATGTGAAGTGTTTATCATGTATACAGTTGCGACGTCAAGGTTCGAAGAGACAGACTGAAGTATAACGACAAGTATTATTAGCCAAATTTCATGGATCACGAGCGAAATATAAACAAAACTTGGTCGGATCACGATCGAGGGTTAACGCATGGAGAGAAGATATCCGCCCTCACGAACACTCACTGTCTCATCCTACGCGGATGTTTCTCATGTGTAACTAATCGAGCAAATTCGATAAACTTTCTTTGTTTTTCTTTATTTATTAAAATACGTATTATCGTCATTATCGTTATTAGTTTTTCTTGGTAATGATCGATGGCTTTGAGATTCGTGAGCAAATGAATTTTTCCCGAGAAAGAAAAACGCAATAGGAAATGATGGTGATGTTAATGATCGGGAGAGAAGCCAAGACAGATTAACACGGTTAATGATTTTATTAGGAACGAGGCGTTATTGAAATAACAATGAATACAAAAGCTTTGTTCTATCTGTGCTCATCTATTATGCATCGAATTCTCTCTCTCTCGCTTTTTGCGTATGAGGGGGTTGTCGGTCAAAGTACCTCTTCGACTGATTCAGGACATTGAGCAATCCATTATTCTTTTTCTTTCGCTCTCTCTCTCTCTCCCTCTCTGCTTGTCTTGAATCCTAGAGTATATAAACTAGCGAAATAGACACAGATTCTCGATTTCAGTTAACATCTCCTTTGATCGAAATCATTCAATCGTAAGTAGAACATACATTAAAGTCAGCTATAGTCGAAATAATAAATTCAACAATGTGTAGGAGGAGATTTTATGTAAAATCCTACATTTATTGATGAATATTGTTAACAGGCAAGTTTCGTACTTCCTCTTTCAGCAACTAATGAGTTCGAATGAATCATTTGTTCATATTGTCATCAAGAAATTCCTTATCACGCTATTGAATATAGAAAAAAAACGAGAAAGGAAACTAATATTGGTCTTTTAGTCATCATTTTCATAACTACCATTAACCATTGTTTGTTTCTCTGAGAAGGGTGAGTAAGATACCTTGTCGGAAAAACGAGTTGCCTTAGTTTTGATTAATCCAGACTGTTCTTTACAGTCATACTTTCTCTGTTATTACACGACGCTTCATTTGCAAAAAAATGCCGCCTTCTCCAACATTCACTACTTAAATCCTTGTGAGCCGATTACTATTGTAGTCCAACAAATACTTTATTTCAGATCAAAATTTTGCTGTACTAGAACAAAATGAATAACGTTATTCCTTTGTTATTACTTGGTGTTATGCTTAGTTTACACGGTATAGCTGGCCAATGGTACATTATGAAAAAAGATTACCCATCAGCGCTGATGAACTATCCCAATCCTGGAAAACGAAGTATCGAAGAAGATCGATCTTCCGATGATAAAAAGATCGATTGTTCAATCCCATATTCATACATGAGAACTTATGCAGACAAAACGGCCTGGCTGTTACTGTGTAACGATTATCAGTCGCCGCTAGGATCAACTAACGATTTGTCATCTGTGGGGAATTCCATTGCGGATAAGTTCTATTCAAGCCCTCGACTTATATCTCATGAACGAAGGACTGCACGCTCTATTCCACCGTATCTTTACGAACAAAAGGATTTATTCCGACGACGACGCCGCCGACGACGATTTCTGAATAGCTTATGACGATCTCGAAATCAATAAATGACAAAACGATATTCTTAGTGTTCGTTCACATCCAAATATAGATTTCTGTCGAAAAAAAAGAATAAATCGATTTGAACCAACACTCAATTTCGAAGTATTCATGTTTGTTTTTCTGTTGGTGTTGTTGTAAAATAAATATGTATTTATTTTGTTTTTTATCTATAAATGAACATGAAAAAAACATAGCGTTCATTTATCTTCGAACCATAAACGAGCAGAATTTTCATGTGCAGCATTAGGATGGTCTTCTAGTATCACATCACTACGTTTTCCCCAGCCTAGAAGAGTAAAATCATAATGGAGATATTCAAAGAAAAGGAAGAGTAGGACTTCGCTTACCAGGACCTTTTCGTTTGACTAGTTCCTGGTACGTTTCATCTTGCTGTTCATCATGAATTGGAAAAGACCAAGAGAATTTCTTTACGACTGCAGGACGTGCATCAACTGTAATTTGACTGATGAAGTATTGGCAGATGAGTAGAGTTATGGCGAAGAAGAAGCACACCTTCATGTTCAACGTATTATTCGGGTACCAATTGATGAAATGAAGAATGGAATTGAGTCGACGAGAGATTTTGTTTTAAAATAGGAGAAACAAAAAAAAATAGAAACTGCAAATTACGGAACTCGGCTCGTATAAATCGGTGATTTTAAATACCCCGTTCGTTCTCTAAATAAATTCAAGAGAGACAAGGAGAGAGAGCGAGAACTATAGAAAAAAATTGATAATTAACTATTAACAACACTGTTATTCACTATATGATAGATGAGTTTGTTATCCTGTTCCCCAAACGTTAATGCCAATGTCCACATTAACGAAATACATGTAAGGTCAAGTAATAAAAATCCATGTTTTCTCGTTATTCTTGTTCGATTGATATTCAATGTGTTTATAACACGTTGTTCTCGGCAATTTATCTCTCTTATTCATATTTCAATAGTGACGAGGAAAAAATACGCCTGCTCAATATTCGGAGGCATTTGTCTACTCAATGTTTTTCTCAAGCAATTGTGCGTGAATCGAGAATAAAGACGAGGATTTCTAAGTGTAAGCGTCAATCGATTGAGAACAGTATTCTCTGCGGTGAAAGTTTCGCCTTACAAATTGAATCAATGGATGACAACGATCGTACACAGTTGGGAGCATGTCTCCGACATGGGGATGTAGCTCATATGGTAGAGCGCTCGCTTAGCATGCGAGAGGTATTGGGATCGATGCCCAACTTCTCCACTTTTTGCTTATTTTTTTTTTAAATAAAACTGTTTTTTTTTATTCTCAATTGCCAATAAAAACACAACAAAAAAATCGACCGTTCTGTTTTATTCTAATAAGATATCCACGTTGTTCTTGGATTAAACATATTCATATTTATCGACGAGGAGATTTGTTTCACTTGAGTACGCAACGGATTCTCGATTAACAACAGATCGAACGCCAGCAATCTGAGAAATGAGTAGACAAGCGATGATTGATTCAGATGAAGAGAAATCAATGAACTTACTTTGATGTTACAGAATGGTGTTTCAGAAACGAAATCAACTTGAATTGGAAAGAAATCGCTTGCTTTGCCACGAACAGAAAATTCTAAGGAACCTTCCGAATTCGATTGATCGATGACGGGCAATGTCCAAATTAATGTTGTTTTTCGACTATCGAATTGATAGTCGCCATCGATTTTATCAATAACTGGCGTTTGTCCACCACCCCTGAACGAAACACAATCCATATTTGAGAATTTATCCGAAAGAGATTACTTACGGCAATGGAACGCTAATTTGAACATCTTTTAAAACTAGGTTCTTATTTTGTAATTCGTATTCAATATTCACGTCGCATCCACCATTCGGTGTTTCGTTTGGCCAGCAATTAACTGGAAGAGAGTGAAAGGTGAATGAATTTTCGAAGAAAAATTTAAAGTTTCCTACTTGTCAATGGAATTTCACTATCATCAGTTGATGTATAACGCCATTTGAGTACACCCACTTCTTGATTAGCAGGAAAGGGCCGATCGGAATTTTTCAAGCCAATCAACGAGTCGTTTGTAAATAGCTTCTTATCAATATTCGGGTGAGTCTACGTATGACGGCCAATTTACTATTTATAATTAGTTAGAAAAAACTATGTTTACTTGTAATTGAACACCACGCGATTCTTTGTTGTCAATAGCGACAGTAATACGGCCACAATCCTCTGATTTGACACGTAACATAATCATGCCCTGTACTTCGAGATTTTCTACGCCACCATTACGACCACACCGGACCGTTAACTTCTCTTCTTGTTTCAAATGAACACTAAACATAGTCGAAGAGAAACATTGTAACTGCTTGTGATGACGCGTAAATCAGCTTACTCTCCCTTCTGTGAGTCAGCGATTGAGACACTCTGTGTTTTTGCTTTCCCCGTTGCTCCACCAGCACCTGTTGTTACGGGTACGGTATTTGCCACCACTTCTCCCTCGGATTTCAATTGATTGACAAATTCTTCAACATTTTTGCCCTTTTTACCCAATACCATACCTCTTCCACCACCTACAGTTGTACCGGAACGACTCGTAGTTCTACGATGTTCAAAAAGAAAATCACATCTTGTTCAGCAAATTACACTTACGGTCCACTACTTGGGAATGTCACTGGCGTGGGTGTGATGTCAGGTTTTGAATCATTCGATGAGCTACTATACATGTTTGATGATATGCCAGATGAACTTCCGTATGTTTTTGGCCCGCCGAGACGTTGTTGAGCACGTCGTTGCAATTCGAATTCTTTCGCCTTCTGCTTCATTCGATCCTTGGCTTCTTGTTCTTGAGTCTAGAACAAATGATTTGCAATTAAGGAAAGGAAAACAATACTTTTCGGGAAAAAACCTTTCTCATTGCGTCATGAACGCGTTCATCATGGGAATCCATTTCTGTAAATGTACGAATTTGTGCTAAATTCACATTTTCCTTGTAGCCCAATGCAACTATTTCATCGAATGCAGATAATAACTCGAATGCATGTTGAAACACTTCTTTTTCATCGACCGTTTTACAATACTCCGGAATCTAAAACAAACCATCACGTATATTCACATATCGATAAGAAATTAATGCAATTATTCATACCACACGAGAAAACAATCTTAATGTTTCCAAATCTTCTAAGATATTGCTTGCTTTTGTTGTTAATAAAACCATGTAGAGTTTGTCGAATGGTTGATAGACGTAACGAACAGTATCGGTTTCCACGAACGTATGTTGTTTACCTGCGCCGATTAATTTTGGAAACGCAGCAAGTAAACCTTCGATACGCGATCGTGTCATTTCCACGAATTGTCGCGAGACAAGTGCTAAACAAGAGATTCAACAGAAGAAAGGAAATAGATGTTCAACTTACGTTTGCCAGCCTTCGTACAAATAGATGCAGCGAGTAAGACCATCTTTACTGAAAGTAAATCAGTGAAGTATTCGAGACAAGTGAATAAGAGGAGAATCAAGTCGAGTTGGCAGTCTTGTTGTTTTTCTTTTCTTTGCTAAATACCTATTCGCAAATGAAACAACCAATCCGGGTTAAGTATACATAGACAGACAGACAGACATAAAGTATTTTCTTATTTGATAGATAATACAGAAACAGATCGACACAAAAGCTAAATATCTGCGCAGCAGAGAGGCTTCACTAAAGTTTACCACAATCTAACTGTATCCTTAAGAATTCTTCTATCTTTCGAATTGACACTAACTATAGAATATGCAAAACTCGACATTTAAAATAGATTAGGTTAGAAAACAGTTTGTCGTCGAATCTGTCGTTATGTCGCGATTCCAGTCAAATCCTTTGATTAACAATCTCGTAAGGTTTTCATTTCTCTACTATTACGAAAATTGAGTTTTACAGATACAGATAACTGAATCATTTCGATCGTATATCGTCATTTGATAATGATATTGTCAACTTCGAGACTACATACACGTATGTCGAGAATTATAAGTATAGAATGTTGATATTTGATTGAAGAATTCCACGTACGTCTTCGCCGGTTTTGTTAATAGTTAACCTAAAGCGACAAGCGCCTCGATGAGAACAAAGGCGACAGAGGACGCTGCGAGAACGATTCCAAAGCGAACGTACTACATCTGATCAGTTGTTTGTTTTCATTTGTTTACGAAAAAAAATCCATTTGTTCTGAGAAATCCATTTGCCAACACTTTTCGTTCGAAACTAATTCTCAACCTACATTGGTCAAAGATTAACCATCCTACTCGTTCTATTTGACAAAATAGAATCAATAAGCAAACGATTTTCCCTTCTTCTTCTGTTTTTTTTTATAGATAATACGAAGAATGTTCATTGGAAACACCTACGATTAAAATTTCATGTTTAGTTGACTCAAATTGAATTGAATGCATCATCAAAGTTCTGAACAATGTCGAGTAAGTAACATTTTTTTCGCTAAGTATCCATACGGTTGACTGATTTTCATTGTCATTGTAGAATTTTGATGGACATTTCGATGATGATATGATTGCATTCGATGACGCAACATCTGCACCGATAGGTCTCATATCAGCATCAAATTATGCGACGAAACTTCTGGAGAAATTCTCGGCAATGCGTGATAAACCTGAACTGTGTGATTTTCGCATTGATGTAAATAATAAACAATTCCGTTGTCATAAATTCTTGTTAATGGCAACGTCAGATTACTTCAAAACTATGTTCAATGGTTTGTCGAAAGACTGTTTGCAGTTTTCAAGGAAAGAACTTGCTGTTTGTTTCAGGTAACATGTGCGAAAGTCAATCAGATCATGTCGAACTGAAAGATTTCGAACGTTCATCGAATGGAATTGAAGCAATGATAGATTTCTGTTATTCCGGCTCGTTGTTAATCACATTTGACAATATTGATGAATTATTACATGCTGCAACACATCTACAAATCTCCGATGCGATCAATTTATGTTGTCAATTTCTCATCGAATCGTGTTCAATTAAAAATTGCATCGATATTTACAAAATCTCCGATTTCTACTCACTCGATAATGTTCTATTCGTTATCAAAGCATTCATTTCAAGAAATTTCGTTCTCTTGATGCTTCAAGCTCCAGATCAGTTCGAACAGTTGACCTACGAGCAGATATCCGACGAATTATCACGTGATACGTTAGAAATTCATAATTGTAATGAACATGATCTCTTTGTAATGACGTGCGCATGGATCGAAGCTAATCGAGCCGAAAGAGATCGATATGCTGCTGATTTATTTCAACTGATACGCTTTATGCTAATGACGCCAGAACAATTATGCGATTCTGTGCGAGATCATGAATTGATTAAATGTAATGAACAATCAAGGATCTCAGTGCAGAATGCTCTTTGTTACTATGCATTACCCAGTCGACAGCCGTTATTGAATGATAAACAGTGTCAAATACGAAATGAACCCGTCCTTGTGGCTGTCGGAGAAGTTGAATTGTTTACTTTGAATACTGCCGCAGAGAAATGGGAAACGCTTTGTCAAGCGCCACTCGAAGAAAATTATCCCGTAAGTTCCTTAAGCTAGTTTGAGTTGTTCACTCGTATCTGTCGTGTTCTTTTCTGTATCATTCGGACGTTAAAAAAAGAATTGAGCAAGACCAGTTCATCTTGACTTTTACGAAGATGATAGTCTAAGTGCACTAGCGTTGTTCATTAACTTTAAAAGAATTTTATAGGAAGAAAATGTCACGTTCTAATATTATTAAGTAGATCATCTATCGAAGATCTCCATTAGTTGTATCACAAATCGGAGGGACGTTCTTGGATTGAAAATCTCGGAAGTCATGACACAATAGAACAGTAGGAGTTCATCCAACGTACAACTACTCCCATTCTTTCCTTCAAGACACCATCGGAAGATATTGAAATCTCTATTTTTCTTCTGATTTAGTATCCATTCAGTGCAATAACTGTAAATAATTACTTATACGTACTTGGCACACGCCGTTCATCATCTGAAGAATATAAATCATGTTATCGTTTTTCAGCACGTACATGTGAATGGACTAAATTACAGAATCTTTTACATGATCGTTCGCGATTTGCTGCTGCTTGCGTTGATTCTTATATTTACATGTGAGTAAAAGAACTTCTCATGAAAATAAAGAAATACATGGCTCGTTATTAGTATGGGCGGTTTTGAAGGATTCAAACGAACGACACGCGTGTATGTGAATACAATCGAGCGGTATTCAATTGAAGACGATCAATGGGAATCGTTTTCAACGGACGGTCCACAACTTTCTTCGCTTGCTGCATGTGCATATGGAGAGTCTATTTTTCTTGGAGGAGGAAAAAACGGACAATGGTTTGTCAAATACTTCTACTCATCATCGACAAGGATGACTTACTGAGTTGTTTTACTTTCAGGTCGAAAATCGCTGACTTTTACTGTTTTTCCATCGAGAAACGTCAATTAGAAAAACGCTCACCGATGTTGAACGCTCGTACTACTCATGCATTCCATATCTTTGACGGCAAAATACTCGGTAGAGTACTTTTTCGCATTTATTTTCAAACGATCTGTTGTTGTCATTTAGCCATCGGAGGATTTGATGACGATGGAAATGGCATGTTATCCATCGAAAGTTACGACATTCACGCCGATCAATGGACAATTCTAACATCAATTCCAGGCGCTGTTTCTAAAACATGGCCACAATCATTGGGCACTGTCGGTCGATACATATACATATCAGTCTTTCACACATCGAATTCGTTCATTGTTATGCAAGAAGGTTATTTCTTTAACTTGGATACAAAACAATGGACAAAAGCTCCTGTTGTTCATGAACGCGCCCGATATTGTCCGACGGTTCAATTACGTTTTCCGAAAAACTCCATTAAAACCATCCAGACAACAACCAACTCGTCAGCATTACCAGTTTCGACTAATATTTTGCTTATGAATACTTAAATCGAAATATTTCTTTCTTTATTTTGTGATCTTACGACTGCATTGAATAATATATATGTATGTTGTCTTTGGTCTTTTCTTTTAGATTATATCACTTTGTCTTATGATGTTTATTCTTCTTTTATTTCCGTCCTTGAATTTTGTGTTTTTATCGAGATAATGTAAGTAATGTTCGTATTTCGAGAAAGATCTTATCTCTCTATTGGTCATGTTTAGATTATGGATAATCATTCGTCGTTATCAACTCCAACCAATTTTCTTTTCGAAAATACAAATGGATCAATCTATCCGAATGATTTAGTCTTAAGCATTATTGAAGACGTTTCCACATCGCCGCCTAATACCAATGGTAACCTTTCCCCATCGTCGAACTCATCATTAGATGTTTCAGCAAATCAAATATCATTTCCTTGTTGTATATTTCGTTGTAAACCAAACTCTCATCCGTTCCAAGAACGATGCATTCCATTACATGAACAGGTGAAAGTGGGACGTGCAGTTGCTCGACTCAAAGCTCTTCCGAACAATGCCATTTTCGATTGCAAAGTTTTATCACGACAACATGCCAAACTCTGGTATGAAAACGGCAAGGTATGATCAAGACTTTCTGACGTGTTTCATGTGATTGTTGACAATGAATTTATTCTAGTTTTTACTACAAGACACTAAAAGTTCAAATGGTACATTTGTGAACAACGAGCGATTAGGCAAATGTAACGAAGAAAGTCCACCATTTGAAATCTTCTCCGACGACATCGTTCAATTCGGTGTTGATGTTACAGAAAATAATCGAAAAAGTAGAACAGATGACATTCTTGTTTGAATGCACTCTCGTCTTTTCGTTTTCAGCAACTCATAACTGTATCATCATGGAAGTCAAACTCTTTCACGCCGATGGCAGTGAAGCTTTACCTCGCAGGTAAAATAGCTGATCAAATGAGAGATCAACGAAGTTCGTTGATTTGTTCTAGCGCTAATGGGCAATCGTTAGCACAAATTAAAGAATTGGACATCAATACTCAAACTCTATATCAACTAGCACAATACATTCAAGTAAAGCACGCTACGGCAAACTTTAATCTCGTAATCAAGTATTTGTGTTCGTAGGAGGCTATGCATCGTGAACAAATGTTAGAACAAAAACTTGAGTTTCTTCAGGGCGTCCTACGTAATGCCCAACAAACATCGAATGATAGTTGGCAAGCGATCATTAACGAGGATCGTCTTCTCGCACGAATCAATTCGCTTGAAGATCAAATACGGATTTATCGTATTAAGGTAGGAGAGAACAAATATGTAGAATAATTTGAAGTGCTTTTTCGTTTCAAGCATCCAAATGATGAATCGATCAAACAAGAATTAGTTCGATTAACGGAGTCGCATATGAAATTTGAAGAAGAATCAAAAGTGAGACAAAATCTGTGAGGAGAAGAATAATATTGATTCGTGGTTTTTTTTCTATCAAGATAAAACTAGAGAAAGCCTTGCTCGAATGTGCCGATAGTAATAGTCGGAGCAAAGCATTCGAGTGTTCGTTACAGATTGCACAAGATGAACTAAAACGTTTTGAACAAGACAATCAACAACACAGACAAGACATTCAACAACTTGTTCAGTCTGTTGACGAACAACGCTCAATGATAGCAGACTTAGAAACGAAATTAGCAGTAATTTCTTGCATTTATTGTTTCTTCTGCCAAAGAAAATATCATTGCGCTTTTCACTAAGGATACCCAAACACGATGTACAGAGATCGAAAATGAAAAACAACGAATTCAATCAGATTTCGATGAATACTATCAACGAACACAGCATCTAGAAGAATTACGACAGAAATCTCTTGACAATGAGATTAACAACCATAATCAACATGATCTACAGTCTTCCTCGATCAGTGAGATACCAATGAAGTCCACTCTTGCAGCTCTCGTTTTCGTTTATGTACAGGTCCCCTCATGGAAAAGAACGATTCCGTTGAAATTCCCATCGTGAAAGAAAACGGGGAACACGAAGAAATACATCGTCCAACGATGATCCCATCCAACCAAATCGAGTTAGTCGTGAACCATAATCACAAGGATGAACAGAACAATGACTTGATTGAAGCACAAAAACAAATTCTTTTACTTCGCGAACAATTAAACGAAGCCAATGGTAAATCAGTTGGCGAGAATATCATCTTTCTATCATTTTCTTTCTTAGAACATCTGACGTCTACCGAAGATTCGTATCGCAACGAGCAAGAACAACATCGTACGTTGCAAAGTGAACATGATAAAACACGTGATGAATTAGTTGAATTAAAACGTCGTCTAAATCAAGAAAAGAATGATAATCATGAACTAGTTCAAGAACAACGAACTCAACTTGATCAATTATCCAAGTCCATTCTATCAAAGCAAACTGAGCATGATCAATTACTTCGTGTTTATCTATGTTTTTTTCTTTTCTATTATTTGTTCATATTTTTTCTCTTCTTTTCTCTTCTATCATGATGACATGATTTCCTATATTTCCTTTTCTTCTGTGCTGAAGCAACATAGAGAAATCTAATCGTATTGCATAAGTAATCTTCACGCTTTACAACATCATTCCTTCGGTCGGACAGCAGCTTAGAGAAAGATGCACCGTATGACGAGAATGGTAACTCTCGTGCGTTGTCATTGATCCACTTAAGCACTGCCTGTCAAGCAATACTATAACCTCATCGATCAAACTAATACAAATATTTGATTTTGCCTTCTACATTTATTAAAATGAACAAATCTTTTCATACAGGATCCACTTTATACAATTCCCATAGATCATTCATTAAATCGTTCATTGTAACAAGATCGACATTCATATCGAATAATCTCATAATAACGACTCCGTCACAACGTAGATATCGTTGACTGAAATTTTTCGTGATCGGTTGATAATCACTACGATGTACGATTTGATTTTCTTCAAATATCTCATCAAGATAATGTTTGGATGAAACGCGACGCAATCGTCGACCGCGCGTATCTTTGACGCGACGATAAAATACAATAAAACATATCCATTGAATCACCAGATTATAACTTGTGCAGACTAAGAGAAAAATCAGCCAGATATACGCGAATAGAAAGATCTTTTCGTTAAATACATTGATTGGAAGGACGCATTGAACAGTATGTCGATGTTTGTTCTTTCCGAGAAAGCGAACGATGAAATCACACAAGACATTGGTTGGAAATTGTAAAGATGTAGGACGTACTGTCGAGGTATAGATAATTAAACGTTGAAACAACGACTCGAATGTGAAATCGAAATTCATCAAATAGTGTAAACAACTGAATTGAATGAGAATATTGAGAATGTAGAAGATTTTAATTAATAAATAAAGAAATGTTAGTTTTGGTATTAACGAACGACTACGCATGCGAAAATATTGATCGAGACGTGTGGCAACATTTCGAATCAGTTGCCGACGATAACCTGGATGTTCGGTAAGTGAGCGGCGACTTATCTCTAACTGATCTAAATGTTTTTGTAAGCAAATACCAAGACGAAACGATCCACTACGCCACAGAAATCCAGGTAAAAAGAAACCGAATGCTTGTAACAATAAGATAAACGGAACATACTGATAGAAACGAACAGCATTTGTACCTTCGCGTGCAGCAAGATCGTCCGGATCAGGAAGTTCGGCGTCGATAGAAATATAATAAGTGTCCGATATCCAACAAACAAAATCAGCGTAGGTTATATGAGCATCAGTAAACGATGCCGGAGTGAAGCATGAAATAGGTTTGCCTACGAACTGAACAGAAGAGACGATGATAACAAAAACAGTAAATATAAGCACGGAATAATAGCGTGATAAACGGTCAACAAAGTCGTCATCATTTCGAGCAAAACCACAGTAATGTCGAAGAGTTGTGTAAACGTCAAACCTAAACAAAATATGCTTATGAACAATTCAGTACTAAAGATCTCCGTCTCGTTTTCTACGTAAGTATCAACATACCTATTAAAACTTAAAAATCTCCTTGCACTTCCAAACAATCTCCTTTTCACATTCATCTTATGATATCTTTATCAGTCTCGTATTAATTAGAAAAATTTTGGTCAATTAAATTCCATAGGTATATATTTTTTTTCTTTGAACGACAGTCAAGTGATGTCGTAACTTGCCGGTACATTTAACTAGGTCCTACCTGAGATGTGAACGTTTGAAATATCGCGTCATGCTATGTTTCATTGACTAAGACCGATGGACATGTCCACAAAAGTTGTCATTCGCGTTTTTTTTTTGACACACTCAATTATTCAAGTTGTATTCTTCGTCGTCTTTTCCATTGATTTTGAAAGTACTCTAGAGAGTCGACTAATGTCTAGTTGCTTTCTCTCGTTACACTTTCTCGCACTTCGTTATCGAAGTTTTCTTTTTATATCTTTTCATCAGAAAAGGACAATTAGATAAACCCATTTCTATCGTCTTGCTAAACAAAGAAAACGTCTCCTGTCATTTCGGACATCTAATTCGATCTGACGAATCTATTTGTTTAGCCGACATTTCAGAAAGAAGCGTTCAAGTTGAAACCAGAGAAACAAAATCATAATTTGCCTTCACACATTCAAATTAACAGATATTTGTTACTTACATGTTGCATCAGAGCATGCGTTTTTACATTGACGAACTGAGATCAATTGTGAACGTCATACTAGAGAAAAAATGCTATTCTTTATCATTCTATTACTGATAATGGATGATCATTATAACTGAAGAGTTTAATCAAAAAGAAACATTTTTCTTACATGCTAAGATGGAATATAGTCTGCACACTTGAGGATGGATTGAACATATCTGCATATATATATGTCTTTCTTTCTATTTCTTCGACACAAGATCAATGTAATTGCCATGACAAGAGAGGATTCAATCGAAACGAACTTCTATGACACCTTTCATATTAGTAGTATTGTCACGTCGTTTTTGTTCGTCGAAAAGCATCAGTATGCGGAATAAGTGAGAAAAAAGGCGAAAGGTCGTCTTTTGACATTAATTATCGTGTCATTACCGAACAAGTTAATCGATTTATTATTGTAATTAATACATTTGTAGCGTTAAATAGCTCATCGAGCACGAGCGCGCAAGAGAAAAAGTGATTATATAAGGTCAAATTCATGTTTCTTTCTGCAAACAATAATAATAAATGTCAAGTAACTAATAGCACATCGAAATTATTCGGACGTCATCGCATTGATGTGATACTGCACAGTTTAATCAAGGATAATCGATTAGTTTCTTGATAGATCAAGCGTGAGTGTCATAACGTAAGACTTTACAAGATCATTAATCATCTACGTAGTTTTATCACTGAAAAATAACAAGGAAAAAAGAACTACATTCAATTTGAGCTTTCATTTTCCATCCTAGCGTTTATCGATTTTAGGTTCATGATCCATAACGTGATTTTCCTCTTTCACATCGATGTTTGCATCTTCAGCTGTTACTGTCATCAGTCGTTGATGAGCGTCAGTTGTACTCGGGTACAGATCAACTGTATGTGGAATATGTGACAACGATGTTTCCGATGTTTTCTTTTCGTAACATGCGGAATCATGTAATGGTTCATCAGGAGCTACTGATACATATGCCGTTGTTTTCCAAGCACTTAAACGTCGTGCATTAAAATCAATTTGACATAAATTTGACACTGAATCAGTAGCAATGGACATAATTGAACCATTCTTTTGCGCACGATCAATGGCCTCCTTGCGTTTTAAAGCCTTTTCACGTCGCAGTTGTTCTTTGTAATATTCCGCGAAATTATTGACGATAATTGGGATTGGTAGAGCAATCACAAGAACTCCACAAACGCAGCACACGGCACCGATCAGTTTACCCCACATCGATTTCGGATAGATATCACCGTAACCAACGGTCGTCATTGTCTACGAACACAAGCAAAATATATTTTGAATAGTGCTTCGTCAAATGTCCTTCAAACACTTACAATACTCGCCCACCAGAATGCATGTGGTATCGAACGAAATTGTATGGCGTTATGTTCTCGTTCAGCGAAATAGGCTAAACTAGAAAATAGGAGAATAAATATGGCCAGGAACATCAATAACATTGATAACTCTTTGTAACTTCGTCGCAGGGTATAACCTAATGACTGTAGACCAGTTGAATGACGAGCTAATTTCAAAATACGCATTATACGCAGAACACGAAAGATCTGCACAGCTTTTCGTACAGATTTAATGTTTTTAAAATGGCCCGTGTCCAATGTTTCGAGTACGATCGAGACGTAAAACGGGACGATTGCAATGAGATCGATGGTATTCAGAACGCCTTTGAAGAATTTACATTTATCAGGTGTAGTAAAAACGCGAATAACATATTCAATGGTGAACCAAGTTATACAAATTGTTTCGATAATAAACAAAGATAGCGGTTCACGACATTCACTCGTACTGTCATGATGTTCACTGGCTAATTCTCGTGCAGTCGCTTGTGCAGCGATATGTACAGCATCAGCATCCGCTGATATCGGAGCGATAGGACTCGTTTCTATATCGGATATATTCGGCGTACAACCGATACCTGAAAGCAAATATTTCGAGGTGCAAAAAATCTGGAATGAAGTTCTCGACAATACCTTCGATAGTACTTATTGTTAACGTGAAAGAAGAGAGAAGAATAAATGAAATACTGACAAATGCGATAATCTAAATAAGATAATCCAATCAAATTCGAGAGAAAAGTAATCAGGAAATGACGTACTCGAGCTGCTTTCGATGTATGCGGGTGTTCGACAAGATCCCAGATTTTCTTTCGACTGTGTTCGCACCATCGATCACCGGTCTCTTCTTCTTCTTTTTCGACCTTCAATAAATCGGCTTCTTTTTTCATTTCTTCCAGAACATGATCTTTTCTCTGATGATATTTATTTTGACAGCATAATTCTAAATAATATTCATCGATACCCCAATAAATTAATTCATCATGAAACGATATCACACATATATCATCGACTAAATGTAATTTTCCCGTTCGATAGAAATTAATCACCGAGGAAAATGTTCGCGGATGACGATCAAAAAAGTATTCACCAGTTGATGCGTCATAGTCATCACATAGACGCATCACTTCATCGTAAGGCATTGAACGTGCCGAATGTAATGCCATTTTACGTAATTTTGCTAAACGACTTAAACGCGTATTTGGAAGACGGGAAAGTGTACGCCATAGAACTACATAAAAGAAGAGAGAGAGAGAGGAAGATCATTCGCACAACAGATGTTCTCTTTGCGAAGTCTTACTTTCATGTCGAACGCCGCCTACATTTAGTATCGCTTTACGATTAGTATGTAGAGTAGATACAAAGAGATTATTAGAACAATCGGTAGGTGATCGATTGGTACGTTCACTTGCTCTTGGAGTACCTAATGGCGATGACCTTGCTGATTTCATTTGTCGTTCATCATAATGTGTCATCTCATTATCTTGCACAAGGGCAGCAGCTGCTGTTGGATTTGCGATGGGTAAAGTGGTATTATTTGACCATAAAGTCGTTTTTGATGAATAGTTTAAATCGTCCGAAGAACGTTGATTGGGATTGGTCGTACGCATGGGAGTAGTCAGTGCATCAGGAATCAACGATGTGATCTTATTCGGCAACCACAGAAGACTTTTTAGCTTTTCATGGACAGATGGTTGAGAATGAGAATCGCAATGAAGGGGAGTTATTCTTTTGATTGGCGTTAATCGAATCGAAGGCAATGAGGATGAACTTGAAAAAGGAGAATAGAATTTTTCTTGATCGGACACGTGGGAGCACTGAGTTTCACTTGCGGATGATAATAATGGACTATTTGCTCGATCATTGGTAAAAAATATCGAATTATTAATATTATTATTTCCAGAGGAAATGATACTATAACATTGATTTTCAATATCTCGAGCGTTGGAAGTAGAAGTGTTATATGTTGATGACGATTCGCTTTCCGCTGAAGATGATACCGATGGAGGAGAAAGAGGCGGCGAAGGGGTAAACAACATTATCCAACCGAAAGCGACTTGGGCGACAAGGAAACGACAAAATTGGGTTGTTATTTTACCACTAGCAACGCCGCTATCTCATGGTAATACATTCATATACAAAAGAAATATGTGTGTAAATCAAGAGGATATTATCAGAAAATAGACGAACGAAGCGATAAAGAATGATTTGCTCTATTATTGATGATCTTGTCAAGAAAATCATCATCGTTATCCATTGGAAAAGCTTCATACATCTCGATGCTGCTTCTAGTTATGCGTTCGATTGCTTTGATTGAACCGAAAGGCAACTAAGAGCAGGCGACAGTGCGTGTCAACAACACTCAATAAAATACATAGAACAACGATGACTCTTTGTTAATCTACGTGTCGTTGCCTTTCGTACTCTCTCTCTCTCTCTCTCTCTCTCTCTTCTTTCTCAAGAGATTGCTTCTTCTATTGTGAAATATTTCCTGCAAACTCAACAGTGATTTGTTGCATTTGTTCATTAGAGTCAATCAGTTCGTGACTGTCTATTATTTTCTTTTCATTTCACCTGTCCATCTCACATAGATAATTTCCAACATCTGTAGACAGGTTTGCCTTTTTCTTTTATTTCCGCTAGCTAGATCTTCTTCTTATTCTTCTCCTTCGCTCCTTCTATCATTTTTCTTTTGTGTCCTCTATCATTTGTCTGTCCTGATTCGACAGTCGAATGACACAGTTACTTTTGTTGACTATCAGACAATTGTTTCCTCTATAGTTATGATTAATTAATGTGGCTAATGGAAACATGTCCTTAAAATATCTTACCCGTTAGAATAATAATAGCTAGATTATCTTTCGTCCTTTTGCGATTGTTTGTTTATTAGTTTGTTTGCTTATTCGCATAATTATGTTGAATCAAAATGTAAAATAGCTGAAGTTATCAAGATCTCGGCGAGACGGAGATGATAGTTCTGTCTGTCATTCTTTGTTACCGAATGCAGACACAGTGAACAGATTCAATTAGGTCGAGAGAAAGAAATTCATGATTATTCTTCTCATTAGTACGATGGAGAGATGGAAGACATTTAATCGGCCATGATGTTAATCATATAATCGAGAAAGAATTGATTGACATGCAATGGGAGGTATAATGGAAATGAAGAAGAAAAAGCGACACAACTTCTTATCAAAACACAGTGTTCTTCCAACTGGTATTAATAGTTTTTTGATAGTTCAAATAAAAATGCTATTCATTAAAAAAAAGCAAACGGCGCTAATTTTTTTTGCAAGAAAGCATGCTTGCAACCTTCATCGAACCAGAAGCAATAGCTACAAATGTCAGCGTCGTATGGAGATATAATTCAAAGCTTAATGCAGTACAAAAACAGATCAATACGACTGCATGACAGCCTTGTTAATAGAGATCCATAGCCATTCAAAAAAGAAATTAAATGCCATTCAGTTAAATTCATATTCTTTCCACCTTGGACTAAAAGATGTTTCTTGGAGCAGCTAGTCGTTTTCTATTTCTCATATCAGATTTCTTCTTATGTAAACTAAACTAATGCATCAGTAAACAATACGGGAAAGATAATCCTATCTCTAATAATATACAAACGATGTTCATGCAGCAATTTTCTTTCCTTTGTTCATCGAAATTTACAAAAATCTATTTACTGTGCAGAAAACGTCATGTTGTTCGGTTGATGTCTCGCGACAGCTAGCGAATTTCTATTACGTTGGATAACAATTTCTTCTTTCTTTCTCGATTTTGTTCACTATCTTATTTAACTGTGCAGATAAATCTTCACAAAAACGATTAAGAATCGATGGATATCGATGAAGTGCAATATTTGTCTGAAAATGAGCTTATTTCAGTTGTACCCAATTTCAAACATCCGGAAATAAATCTTATTCGGGGATCTGTCGGACCATTTCTACCTTTGGTTCCATTACAAGTTCCTATCTGGATGGTAAATTCATTTTTGTCGTCGTTCTGATCGTAGTCGCTTTCTTTGTTCTAGGCTATTCATCTCAAAGAAAGTCACCGTTGTCGATTCGTTTGTCCCGAATGGTTAACATTTGATTCAGTACAAGAGTTACTCCGACAAGAACAACAACAAGAAACATTTACGCCAATGCCAAATCCATATGTATTTATATTATCTCAAACAATCATGAATGTTGCCTTAGAAGACATTCCAAATGGTGATCAAATTCGTTTACTAATGAAAGATCTATGGGATCTACGCTTAGCGAAATTACGTTCATCTATTGGTAATTTAGCACGCAGTGGTGCTCTCTATGCTAAAGTGACACATTTAACTCAAGTGGAAATATGTCTGATTAGAAATTTTCTCAAAACATCATTGAAACATATTGCACAACTGCAAGATGCTGTACCAGACGAATAAATCTGTGATTGTCATTCGCATAGTGCGAGACTTTTTAAAGAGGAAATAAATAATATTAACTACTTCTGTAAAGTTTATCAGGTAATAGAGTTCACTTTATTGTAAGATATTTAAAAAAAATGAAAATAATCATCATCACTGAAAATATATACGTGTACAGGCTTTTTCGAAAAAAATCACTGCGAAAAATAAAATGGGACGGGGTTATATAAACAGGGACAAGTCTGTTAACTATCTATCTATGATAAGCACGCCAGTGTTTTTGTAAAATTTAACGAATAATCATTCCATGATTGGAATGAATCTTCTTTAGAATCTTTCGAGAATGAAAATCGAAATATACCAGAAGATTTCGTTGTTATTGTTGTTTGCTCAACTGTTTCATCTTCACTGTCGTCATCATCAATTTGATTCGAGAGGAGTGTTAAATTGTACTGTGCATTTGCATGCCCTAACATAGCCGCTTGACGATAATAATCACACGCCTAAATCAACAGATGCGACGAACGTACCAAACCTGTTTTATTCTCAGATCAATCCTACCTTAGCTCGATCTGCTGCGACACCAATACCTCGTTCGTGACAAATACCGAGGTTGTACAATGCTGCAGCATTTTTACCACTTTTAGCACTTGCTTGAAGAGCTTCGATGCCTAGCTGGACGTTTCCAGATTCGATGGCATCGAGAGCCATTTCATTTTGAATGTTCGCCATTGTTTCTTCGTTTAACTCAGCAAGAGCTTTGACTGCGGTCATATAACCTTCATCCGCTTGAAGCAATGAAGCAACAGGATCTTCTTTGGGTGCGGGCGCAGATGCAGGAGGTGGAGAAGGTAACGGTTGGTTTTGTAGAACAACACGCTCGATTTTCGGAAGCGTAATTGCTTTGAATACGCACGGTTTACCGACCAACTAAAATGTTCATTAGAAAATGATGATAGATTTCGGAATCATAGAAATTTTTTACTTCTCGAATTGCGACTTTATAGGCATACTCGATTAGTCTCTGGAAATGTTGTGCTGAAAATTTGTTGGTTTTTATAATCTGATTAATATCAGATTTATGCTCAATTGCAGGTATTAGTTGCCTAAAGAAAGCAGAACGATGAAAAGTGTGAATTCATTTAACCATTGAACGTACTCTTTTTGTTTCGATTCGTCATCTTTCTTACAAATCGTTGCAATCGGAGCGATGATATCTTGCGGACAACGATGACTTGTTACATTACGAAAAGCACGGTAGAGGCAATTAGCCAAACGCCACATGATACGAATATTTCTTACAGATTACGAAACGATATTCGTTATCGTGTTAAGGAAAAGCCGCAGAATAATCAACGGCTTTTCATTATAAAAAATCAAGAAAATGAAATCTAAAAATGAAGTATAAAACGAGTAAATAATCAGGTGACGCTATTGAATAGAGAGAAAAAAAACAAACGAATGCATATGCATACAGGAGTATTTTTGGCCTGTTTCTTTGTGTAATAAGCCACGCGAGAAACTGACGTCATGTGTTTTTCTCTCGCCAACAATAAAAAGGAGGATAGCAAAAAAAAGACGTCTATAGAAACAAAAAAGAGAAATCAGGTTCTACCCAGATTTGAACTGGGGTCGCTGGATTCAAAGTCCAAAGTGCTAACCGCTACACCATAGAACCACGGTTTACTGTTTTCATGACCTGCTACTTATCATATTCAGACAGAAGAGTTTATCTCTTGACTAATTCTGTTATGAAATAATCACAACCTTGTATTCATCATTGAATATTGTATTTCCGCATGAATCTCTCTCTCTCTGCCACATAGCTTTCATTGTCATGTAAATTCTATTCATATCGATATGGTATGTACTAGGGAAGGTTCTGTTTTTTTTCTGCTTGAATTCCATCTCGTCTATTTTAACTTTCAAAGTCGACGTGTTCCTTTGAAATTGTTGAACAATGTTGCAATAACGTTTTTTCTTTTTCTTCTCAACAGATGTCACTTATAAAAAGAAAAACATTTTTGAAATATATCTCTTCTGAAAAAAAATTTCAATAAAGTTTTCTTTCCCGGCAAGAAAAACAAATTTTTCAATCGAAATATATTTCAGTATGATAATGCCATTGGATCTCGTGTCTTCTTTTTCTTTCATAATCAGCTGTTCTTCTCTTTTAGAATGTTTTTTGTTTGTTGTGGAAACATGCATCGAAGCATATTTCTCTCTAATCATTTCAATATTGAAATAAGAAAGAAAAAGGAAAGGAGAAAAACGACCTCTTTTCTGTGTTGTCATAATATCTCAAGGATTTCTGCAATCTTTTTTCAAACTTCGAACGAACCGCTTCTAGATTGACATGTTGGTTTTAGATTGAACGATGCTATCATCTTTACAAACATCTGCAACGATGGTAAACACCTCGGATTGTCATCTTTTCGCTTCGATATAGTTTCGTTTAGATCGACGATCGAACACTTCGAGCGTATCTACGTAATAATTCGGCATGGAGCTTAGATGAAAGCGGCCCGGGACCATCAGCAGATCAACTTAATCTTTCATCCAGCGGCCATGGTGATCGGTTTCTTAATAGTAGTGTGCATTTTCCTGCAGAAATGAGGTTAGAAATTGACATATTCGCTAATGATCAACGTAAACATTGCTCTTGTTTTTCAGATCAGCAAACTTAAATGACATGGTTTCGAGCATTATCGACGAAAATGCCGAGTATCACCACCATGGCATGGTACCTATGTTTCCACCGTATCAATCAACTTGGTCTAATGCCGAGCAATCTGATCTGAATATGCAATACATGCAACATATCAAAAAGTAACAAGAGATAATAAAAAGTATCAATTTCACTAGAGATTTGCCTTCAGTATGAATTCTTCACACCAAGCCAGATTTTCTTCAGCGACTTTATCTGAAAGTGGTCATCCACGGAATATTCCAGGTAGGCATTGTCTCGGACGATTGTTGATTTCGAATATTGTTCTTTGATTAGATTCATGTTCGATGCATCCGATTCCTCCCAAAGATATTCAAGTATTAATTCGTAAAGGTGATCATAATGGTGTTAATTCTCTGATTACAAATGTATCTCTACAACAATTTCGTCAGATGATCGGTTTACAGTACAGTTCAGGCATCGGATCTGGCACCGATCGCCGATTACTCTCGTCATCGTCGCGTACATCAAATCTTCGACGTCCTTACTCATTAGCAAATTCAAATCATCCACCACTTTCGTCTTCTTCATCGAGTTCGTCATCATCGCTGCCAACACCCAATACTCGTTTAATCAATACATTAAAACAACGATCACCAGAAGGGATGTTTTTTTCTGGCAACGACCGTCAATACTTACCGATGTCTTCTCGTATGTCATCGATCAGAGATTATAATTTCGTTCAAATTGAAGTTTGATTTTAGACGATGCTTTGTCTATGAATTTTTCTGGTGCTAATGGAACTACGGCCATGACCGATGCTAATTCGAACTCACCTGTGGCAACTTGCCAAGACATCAGGTATGAGACAGACGAAACCTTTTTGGAGATATCTAGTATAGTCTTTTATTTAGCTATTTTCGATCTAACAGGTAGTTATCCTTACGTCATTGTCACATCTGCACACTAATTTGATAGTTTCTTCTTCTATCCTAATTGACTTGCTTTTCCTAACAAGGTTTCATTTTGATAAAACTTTTCTTTTTTTCTATATTTTAGACGAACAGGAGTGGCAAATACATTACGTAAGTTGATTTCATAGCTTGACGAACGTTCGAAATGATTATTATTTGATATGTTTAGATATTGCTATTGAAAAATGCTACGAACAATTGAACTACATTCGTGATAGTTATGCTGAAGTAATATTTCTATGCTAATATACATGTGAAAATATGTTTCTGTATCCTCTCTTCTAGACAGAATCAAAGGTTGGAATTCAAACTTTACATAAATCTTCTTCGCCGTCATCCATCAATGATATTACAAATGCAAATTTCTCTACTCTATCGAACAATCCATCACGTGTCGATCGGCTAATTGCTGAATATCATTACGAATATACTCGAGTAAAATCTTCTTTTCGTTTGTAGCATTTCAAAGGAAATCATGTTTTTTTCTCTCCGAATAGATCGTTCGTTTACATGAACGTATCAAAGAAAATCTATCAATGCAAGATATCGAAGCCACCCGGCAAACACTTGATGAATGGTTTAATGCAATTAATAATGTACAGGACCGTCGTCGACAAGAGATCGATAATGCAGCAGAAAAGTGTCGTTCAGGTGAACCACGGCTGCCAGATGAAAAAGGTTAATCTTCACATTTGACATTTATCTCTTGCAAACTCGATTTTTGTGTTCTAGATGTTTTACAATTGGCTGAAGCGTTACGCATTTTACGTATCACAACACGAAAAATTCGTACGGTTCTCTGGTACTGGTTGTATTGGTCAACAAATTCTACGACGAACAAAATTCCTTTGATTGCTCGCCATCAAGATGAACAAATCAATGGTGAATCATGTTCAACCGTACAAGTAAGTCCTATTCGCTCTAAATCGTTGAAATCAGAAAGATATTCTCTTTAGAGTACAAGTTACAATCTCTTTTATCCTCTAGCGAATACAGATGATTTGGATGCCGATGAACAACAAAGAAAAGTTTCTATGAAATCTTCGACATCAACCAATGAAAATAATAAGGAAAATGAATGCAACGAATGAAAGTTCATTTCATTTATTTTTATTCATATGATAATCTCGAAAAGCATTTTGTTTCCTGTGTTCTTATGTGATTTAACCCGTCCATACGTAGATATGCATTTTTTTGTGACAAAGAGAAAACGAAAAGCTTGATCTCACATAGTTTTGCTTTTTCGTTTTCTTATTCCGGTAGTTTGTATATACAGATTTATCGCTATCAGAATCGTTCGTTGGGCTTTTTTGTGATAGGAACAGTTGAGAATACTGTCATATTAATTTGTTGCTGTTGTTGTTATTCTTACACTTCTCACTAGTCGTTTTTTTTCTGTTTTATCTCTTGTATTCAAAATTGAGGAAAAATACGATTCACAACGCGTCCGGTGACGTTTGTGTTTGTTTATTGAAATGATTTTTCTTCTTTATTTCTTTCTTGCTCTGGCTATATCAATCTTTATTTGTTAGATTTTTGTTTCTTTATTCAATCTTGACGTAGTTCTATGTGTGTATCTAGAAAATAAAAGGATTTCCATGAGACCTCAAATTCGTATCTAATCATGATGAGTGCAGTGATGGCGATATTGGAGAAAGAATCCAGACAATGTAAAGCATGTTCCACCGCAAATGAAAAGAATTGCTGCTCGAAGTGCTTCGGCGTCGTTGGTGTTCAATGCCGGAAGGAAGAAGATCGTACCAATGAAATAGAAAAAGCCACCTATACCGGCAAAGCCATCGACACCCAATGCTGGGATATCATTTAACATATTCGATAGGCGAAACTGATGGTTCTGAGGATTGTGAGGATCTGTACACGCAGAACGATAAACTTTCCAACCTTGTGAAACATAGATAAATGTCGAGCCAATGATGAAGAACCATTCACCGAGAACTAGCTCATTCTTAAACGTTGGAATGAACAAAATTGAACCAGCAAGGTAAAGTGCAGATCCACAAGCTGATGTAAAAAAATTCAAACCAACTTCCGCTCGTTCATAACGGCCGCCAAATGTGTCCGGTGATTTCTGAAAGCGATGTGCATTCTGACTTTCCATTGTTGCTCGATATTTATGATCGAAGCAGCAACCCACTCGATAATACCACCATTCCTGTAAATCAGCAAGTAGAAAGAAAAATGAACCGATTGTAAACAACCATCCACCAATGGATAGTGCCGATGAATAATTATTGTATACACTCGGCAAGTACATACATGACCCACTAACGAAAGTCAAACCACCGATCATATAATGAGTGCCGTGAAATAATCGCCATAATGCTGATTGTGGTCGTTCAAGAACGTTATCGCCAGGATATCCAATTAAACGTGTTTCTTCTGTAGACGATGACATCTTTGTATCGATATTTTTTTCTGACCGTTGCGAAATATAACGTTATTATCGACTATTTACCTCGAAAAGTAAAAGCGACGCCTTGGCGTCTCTGCTTCTTTTCTTCTTCTCTCTCGCATATTATTGGAAGAAAACGGAGTAAAGCAGAAAGGAGAGAAAAACAAACCTAAAGAAGAATCTACGTCATAACTGTTGCGCACATGTGTTTATCTTTGTATCTCCTTAATACATTTTGACATTATTTTATGTGTGGATATGTCATAGCCTGTGAGAGAAGAAAACGAGACACGAAAGATGTCATGTTGTTTTCACTCGCTTGTTCGGTTTTTTTTATTTGCAAAGGCAAGATTATTTTTGGATGAAATACGAGTATGCCAACGCGAAAAATATAATACAGCTTGAAACCATTGTTAGTCGAAGGATCGCAATGGCAAGCTTATTTTTCGTTCGATTCCATGTTAATATAACGTTTTCTGCAATCAATAACTATGCTAAATCGATTCAGACAGTACAGACCGTAATGGATGATATGCTATTATGATCGATATAATTGTTAATGTTTACTAGTAACTTATTTTCATTTCAAATTACTTTTCTACTGTCGACAACACGTTGATGTTCTGTATACCTATGGCGAACTTACTTAACTTTCCTTGCGAAAATGTCATCATTCATTGTGTATGGGCTTAGATACGTAGTGTATTATTTATCGAAGTTAAAATAGGATCATCTAACAAGGTGATCACTATGCTTTTGCAAACAATGAATGGAAAGTTTTACTCATGGGTACGGATACTTGTTCATCGCCGTGGAAATGAACAATTGATTACCCACACATTAGCAAACATTTTCTTTCGCTGAGATAAAAACAAAAAAGTCATGTCTTCATCCCACTATCGTCACGAAACCTACCTAATAATTGGATTTTCTTTCTAATCAATATCGATGGATTCATGAAGGACGATTCATCAGTAATTTCATTCATCGAATGTTTGAAGTTAGACCTTAATAAGAAATATGAGCGTTCCTAACAGTAGAAAGTCTCTTCAGACAGACGAACGCATTATTGAATTTTCTGTAGATTGGCTGAACAGGTGTTTTTTTCCCTATTACGTCAATCGATTTCTATTTAAACAAAGTATCATATGCAGATTTCTTTGCATCAAACAAAGCTGATTAGAAAGATCTGAATCTATCGATTCATTCTGTTGAATACTCTTTCTAAATCTATTTACCTTGTTCATGTCATTCTTTTCTTTATCATCTTCGTATCTCGAGTCCTACACATTGGTACATATAAACCAGATAGGGATTAGTCAAATTTTGTATGTCATTCGTTGTTGATGATTGAATTATACCCGAACGAATAAAACAATAGATGAGATAGACATCAGCATTTCTCCTTGATTCATATGTCTATCAACATTAAATCAAAATCGAAATAAACTAACCAACGTCGTTAACATTTGCAATCAGAACAGAGGATATGGATGATATTGAATATCCGGTATTCAAGTCTATTGACGGACCTTGGATCGCTCTACTTGTCATCGGCATTTTAATGTTCATTTCCTCAGCTATTGGTACTGTTTTACTCTACATTGTCTGGCGTCGATTTAATCAACAACCGTCACAACCAACGAAAAATGTCAATTATGTTGTAAATAGTAAACCTAATGGTAACATCTCCATTCCAGTACAAATTAATGCTGCTCCATCACAAACTTATGAAACACAAGTATAGTTTTGCGAATGAATACGTTCAACAAAGATAATTTTCTTGTAGAAAATGGAACTGTATGTGCCACAAGTTGACGATATCGTTAACCAACGAAACTTCAATGAATTTTATCCGAATTTCAATCCTGAAGATGCAATTCAAACTGTACATGATACCTATCAAAGGTAAGTGATTCTCATTGAAATCAGTTCATCTGATTTTCCCTCGTTCTCTTCTAGAAGCAAAGCATACTTTTGATTCATTTCGGTATTTACGCGATGAATTATTCAAAATTCTTTTCTTCTATTTGCTTGTAAACTACGATCATCATGTATTAATTTTTTCGGTCGACTTTTTTTTTGTTTTCCTTTTTCAATAACCCAAAGCAAATATTATTTTATATACAGCAAATATGCCAATAGATGTCTTCATTTACGTTAACTGTCAGATGTCATTTTCTACATCCATCATCTGGTCTATTATGATCAAGTAAATGAAAAACAATACAAATGCTAATACATTCTTTTTTCTTCATCTTAAGAATGTCATCGAACACTTTGATTGCAACTAAAAGATCTCAAGCTGCTTATCTGACATTTTTTTGATGACATTGATTCGAGATATGAAAACCCCGAACCGTTCGCTTCGATATTTCAACAAAGGAACTTCTTTTCATCTTCTTCAAAGAGTTTTCCTTTGAGAAATTCATGTGGAATATACTTCAAAATTCCATTTCTGCTAAACTATTATCAGCGAAGCGAGAAGAGAAGGAGAAAATCCTCTTTTTAAATAAATGATGCATCACTGAGTAGTGTGTTTTTCCCACATATTAACACAAATTACACGGTAAAACTTGCACAAATCATATGATTACTATTTTTATGCTATTGAAACGCTTTAGCCTTGTTATTTACTCGATGGTGATCATAATAGTTTACTAAAATACCTATAATCAAGTTCTTCCTAATTATTAGATGGATTTTAGCAGGATTGTGTCAAATGTAATTGAATTAATTTTCTTTCGTCTTCGAACTCTGACGAGATTAGTTGTCGTTTAGGTTTCGACGAAGACAAAAGAGAACTTTGACGGCATGCGTTTTGTGCTAGTCACTTAGTGCACTGAACTACTGCCAATCAACAAAAGCAAAGGCATAAGGGAAAGAGAAAGAGAGAAAGGAAGAAAGCAAGGGGGAAATAGAAGCGAAAGTGATCCTGGAAACAACACGGGAAATAGTCTGGATGCTCTGTTGCACCCTTTTCATTACTTGTCCGCCACCAAAGCAGTGATGAAGACGGAAGCAAAGGAAATCAACATGGAAGAAGAGAATGAGAAAAGAGCAGGATGGAAAAAGAGGGAAGAGCGAAAAAACGCGTTTTTACTGATGAACAAAGGAAACTTTATCTTTTGCCTCTCATTCAGCAAACTGTTTTGCAGCATATTCGGCAATAGCATGCGCTCTGTTTTGCTACAATTTGCGACCGTCCATGACTAGCGTAAAAGGAAGAGGAAAAAGAGGAAGAGCGAGAGAGCGAAATAGGAGAAGGAGAAAATAACAGAACAAGGAAGAGAGGGAGCGTAAATGTAAAAGAAATTCTCTTCTTTATGTGCTTTTCCATCACAATCATCACTAGTTCTCCAGCTAACATTAGATTTAGACTAGGAAAACATGTGTTCGAGAGGGTGAAAGTTAGACTTAAGACAGAAAAAAGCAATCGTAATCTTAATGAAATCCGTACTTTTTCTTCATCTTCTCATTATTGAAGCTTTTAGACATCGACATCCATGGTTNTAATGAGCATTCATCTATATACTCTTCAAACTAGCTAATGATTCGAATGATGACAGACGTTTACCGGTCTTCACATTATATTTATTTCATATTTTGCCTCATTGTTTATCAACATGTTTTTATTCTTCAGGAAAATTTTGACAATAGTAATAATCATCCGAACTGATGATATCCTTCCGCTTTTCATTCTTAGTTTTACTTACTTTTGCCCACTCAACTTCTCCTATGTCATGCATCAATTACAAGCTAAAGAATCTGTGTTCTCAACCTGATTACACGGAAAACAAATTTTCCCTTTTTTTTCCTCCCCTTCTCTTGTTCCTCTGCAGTCCTCTTTTATATTTTCTTTCTTCAGGGTTTCCCATTTTTGCGCAGATCTCCTTCTCTCTCTCTCACTAATACAAAGTTTTTTCTGCTTCTCTTTGTTATATATGTCTGTATGTAAGGGTTAAATGAGAAAGAAAGACTACAACAAGCTTTTCTAGTTAGAACATATACGTCAACGATTTAATCTCTTTATTTTCGTTGTTCTGCTCTCTTTTTCTGCTGCTTCTCGAGTTCTTCTTTTTCACTCTTATTCTCATCCGTGTATGCCATTATCAATTCCGCTTGGTTAAATTGAACATGCTCATAGACGAGACTATCTGTGTGTTTTGTAACAAATACTATAATTACATTAGCTAGGTAGGTAGTTAGAAAACATCGAGAAGAAAAAAAGTGTATGTTTGTGTTATTTAAAATCGGAACAAATGCTTTTCATGCTTTCTATTTGGCATTTACGAGTGTAGTTCTGAGGATGTATGCTCCAAATAATTGACGTATTAAAAAGAAAAATAGACCTGTCAATGTATGACACTTTATCTTTTCTCGGCTTGATACACAGAAATCTGGGCAGCACAGTTGAATGCTCGTATGTACGTCTGGTAAACGTTCGATTGTTTTCGAGTTCAATTGTCATTGTTGGAAATCTATGGATAATTTACTGATAATAGACGTCGCCGTTATTGTTGTTGGTTTTTTTTCTCACATTTTTAATAATAATTCTTTCCCACAGATTTAACCCTTAGAGAATATTGTTAAGATGATAAAATCCCTTTCGATCTTAGTCGGAGATATAAGTATTTAATGAGCTTTTTTCTTTCACTTATTGACATTGAGTTAAAATACGTGATTGAGATTAAATGAAGAGATTGACGAAAGAGAAACTTTCTCGTCTGACGTTTTTCCACAAGCAAAACGCCTCTATTTTCTCTCTTGTCGATCCCGATCAAGTACATACCCGTCAAAAGATGTGTAAATAAAATACACTCGCTTTTTCATGTCGTCTTTCATCCGAAGAAGAAAGTTCCATTCTCAATCAACCGTTAACATTATATCACTCCATCATCATCATTTTTTCCTTGTGTATCGTTTTCTGACATTCGTAATTGTTTTGGATAGGACAACTTGCTTGTAGCTAATTCATCTCTAAGCTACATCAATCATTTCGGTGTTTCTATTCTCTATAGGCGTAATGCAATTAAAGCGAGAATTTGCTTTTGTTCTAGATTACTTTGCTGTTGTTGTTGACCGATGCTTTGCATGACAGGCCACACGTCAGCTATATGTATGAATACACCATAAACTTGTGCTTGTTACGTTTCGATCGAGTCGGTCAGAACATCTACATCGATGTGCTGTTCGTGCAAGCATATTGTGAAAATTTCTTGATAGTTGTTGACGTCTATCGCATGGCCGATGCCGATAATCGGGTTATTCTAAATGTTGGCGGTATTCGCCATGAAACCTGTAAGTCAGCGAAAACATTCGCATATTTGATTGGCGACTTTCATTTCCTTGTTTTCCTAGATAAAGCTACACTAAAAAAAATTCCAGCCACAAGACTTTCCCGTCTCACCGAAGCTCTATCGAATTACGATGCTGTCCTCAATGAATTTTACTTCGATCGACATCCAGGTGTCTTTGCACAGATCTTGAATTACTATCGTACTGGCAAATTACACTATCCGACTGATGTCTGTGGTCCTCTTTTCGAAACTGAACTTGAGTACTGGGGACTTGACGCAAATCAAGTGGAACCTTGCTGTTGGATGACATATACCACTCATCGGTAGGACGGAAGAAAAACAAATGGATGATTAAGCAAACATCATGTTGTCTCTTGCAGGGATACTCAAGACGTTCTCGTCGGTCTTGATCGTTTAGATCTCGACGCTGAACCCATCACCGAAGAAGAAATCCCACATAAGTTTGGCTGGGATTACGATCCAACTATACGTCATAAGAATATGAGTTTACAAGAGTATATGAATTCATTACCGTGGTACACGCGTCTACAGCCACGTATCTGGCAATTATTTGAAGAACCATATTCAAGTAGTGCAGCAAAAGTATGCTGTTAGCTGTGAAATTGGTCTCATTTTTAAAAAGAATTAATCTTCTTCTAGGCTATACAAGTGGTTTCAATCTTCTTTATACTTGTTTCTATCATATCATTTTGCTTGAAAACTCATCCGACAATGCGTGTACCAACAATAGCATTCGTCGAAAATAATTTTACCAATATCACACCAACATACACGTTGTATAAAGAACGAACAGAAGCTCACGAAGCATTTCAGTATATTGAAATAGTATGCAATGGTAAGAATTTGCAGTAGTGAACGTCTTTTATCCTGAATCGACGTTCTAATCTGTTCTAGTTTGGTTCACATTTGAGATTATAACACGCTTTATAGTCTCACCCATGAAATGTGGCTTTGTTAAATCACCTGTAAATATCATAGACTTTCTTGCGACTTTATCATTCTATCTTGACATCTTATTCAATAAATTCCTCCCGCCGTCATTTACTAATACGGATTTATTCGAATTCTTCTCTATTACGCGCATCTTTCGTCTATTTAAATTAACTCGCCATTATGGAGGATTAAAAATTCTTATACATACATTTACTGCGTCGATGCGTGAATTGATGTTACTCATTTTTTTCCTCGTTCTCTTTATTGTCATCTTTGCATCGCTAATTTATTATGCTGAACGTTTACAGAAGAATCCAGACAATGATTTTACTTCGATACCCATCGGGTTGTGGTGGTCGATCGTAACTATGACTACCGTCGGTTACGGCGATATGGTACCGAAAACGTATGTCGGTATGATGGTCGGTGGACTTTGTGCATTGACAGGCGTACTAACGATTGCTTTGCCCGTACCTGTTATCGTAGCTAACTTTGCAATGTACTATTCTCATACGCAAGCACGATCAAAATTACCGAAAAAACGGCGAAGAGTAATGGCTGTAGAGCCCGTTAGACCGGCAAGAGGTCCAGGAGGAGCCGGCGGTGGCCCTGGAGCTGGACCGGGCGGTGTAGGTGGAGGAGCAATGAACAAATTCGGCATGGAAGCTGGCATGGGCGGTGGACCCGGTGGACCACCGGGTGGAGGCCCTAAAAAGAACGTCATCAAACAAGGAGGTGGTGGTGGCATGGCTGCTAAACTTGGTATGACTGAGAATAACATCGTTCACAATCGTATTGGTAAGATTTAACTCTACAGATTCAATGAGACACATATACATTATTTATCTCGATCAGAAATAAGATCTCGTTTGGACCGTTGAGTCTTAGCATCTAATCTCTTCTATTTAGTTACCAATAGTTTTCAAACATTCCTCGAAGGTATACTACTACTGCTTTAATCTACTTCTTCTTCTTCTTCTTCTTCTTCGATCAGTATATCTGTATATATTTATATTTATATATGTCTCATTTTCATCCCCTTCTGCTATTCTCATAGTACACTCTCGTGTGAATATATCGCTACAAATTAATCTAAGAAAGAATAGAGACGATGATTACTCCTTGAAATCTACCCGATGTAGATATTTCAACTAGAATTTTCATTTTCAATCTAGCCCATATTTTATCCATTTGCATAGGACATGGTGATGAAGAACGTATACCAATGATCCAACCGAGTCCGAGACTTAGCAGCCATCATCATGTGGCTAAAGTTTAACTACTAAAAACTAACATTCACTAATTCATATAAGGATCTCGGGTCATTTGGATATTTAGGTACGAACACGAAAATTGCATTTACTACCCATTTTCAGTTCCGTTTCGTTCGACAACTATAACATGCACTGATATGGTTTCTCCTTTTTTTGTTTTGAACTTACACATGCACGATATTTTTTTCAATATTCGCTTCCTTTTTATGATTTTCCTGAAAGGAGAAAGAGAGGAAGAGAGATACATTCATTCGAAAGCAGGGAGGAAATCAGATTTGTATATATGGTTTTGATCACAGCTCTATTTCTTTTGAAGATCATGCATTGTGATATTAAAACTACAACGCTGTAAGTTTTAGCCTATATATCCTTGTTTTCTACCTGTTTTTACTCTCTCTCTCTCCTCTCTTTGTCCTTCAGTCCCAACGTTCATCACATTTTCACCCGCATGAAAAATTTATCTATGATACTATATCATTTTGTTGTCGTCGTCGTAATTATTTGTCTGTTATTGTTCGTGATATTTCTATTTCGTTTGGAATGAGATCTATTTCCACCAAGAGTCTATCATTCGTCTTATTGTAGAAGAAATGGAAATGAAAATAGGAAGTGACAACACGTCACCAATCAACAATAGCACAAGTACGATCGATAATCAGAACGATGGTCAACAACACAGACAACGTTCATCACCTCGCGTTCAATCATCTCGAACAGTTCTCACCGAAGTGGTTTCTTGAATGATTTCTTTTGTTTTTCTTCTCCTCCTCCTCCTCTACATTGTTTTCATTTATTTATTTGGTGATGCTACTAGTCAATGTGCCCCTCTCGTCAACATTTGAACAAATTTAAACATGTGAATGCCGTCCTATACAGCTTCTATTGTCATTTCTCGAGTTCCTTTTTACATTGTTGCCAATTGTGATGATTCCTTCTCTCTCTCTCTCTCTCTCAAAACAATTGTTTTCTTTTCTCATTTCATAGCACGCTTGTTTCTGAGAGATAAATAAATATCTGAAATTCATTCAATCGATCGAATAACCACCAGAGAGCAAACACAAAATTCAATTTGATCCGTTGCACGTAAGAAACAATCAGACAACAATCCAGAAATACTAATCGTAGAGTGGAAGAGCGAAAAAGAAGAAAGAAAGAAACGATTTCCCCAAAGATTCTCGTCAAAAAAGAAAAATGAAGCATATAACCTTGACAGTAGAATCTGTCGGGCAATTTATTCGTTCATAGATAGATAGCGAAAGAAGCAAATTGATCATAATGCAATCAAGAAGAAGAAGCCATCGATCGTAATGAGGAGAAAAACTGTTCATCAAGACATGTGTTCATTTTCGTAGTTCTTTTCCGTAGCTTTCATCGATTCGACGAACATATTCCTTGCACCATATTCGTAATGAATGCTAAAAGAAGAAAACACGTCAAGTGATTAGAAATGGAAAGAAACAACAGGATGATTACTTCGCATGTATTCATTATTGATTTGATTTGAGAATTCGCAATAATCGATTCCATGTCAACATCGGTGTATAATGAAAGTTTCCATTCGTTCGGTAAAGCCTTTGAAGGAAGAAGAGAAGCGAAATGATCGAAATGAGAATCTTGTAGCATACGATAAGTTGAGACTTGGTTCCAGCTGCACGGCGACCAAGATGAAGCAAAACAGAGGACAAAACTTTCAAACTCATCGATTGACTTGATGTGATTTGACCAATTTTATCGTACTCCCAAAAATATTTGTCAGGAAATGGGTTTCCATTTTGAAGAAAAATTGATATGGCCGAAGTTTTCGTCATGCCAAGAATACCATCTTTCGGCTAAATAAATCTCAGATGTGATGATCATAGCAGCACAGTGATAGAAAAACGATTTTACCATAAACTGAGTGATTTTCGATACGATATCTTTCATTGCATTTCCGATCGTTTCAATGGCCTCTGAATAATTTCTCGATGAACTATTCAGAGCATGTTGCAAAGATATCGGATAAGTTATTGCTTGGATCAGTGCATTGAATATCGGACCATCCGGATCGAGATACACTCGATGCTGGAAGACAAATATCCTTAGCTCAGCGGTGTTTGAAGTCCAATGAGACTCACGGATCGATTTTGATGGACTCGATGTTTGACAAAAACGACAAAAAGAATAGCAAAAGCTGCTTTCTTGAACGGATTCCGACGAATTTTTGTTGACTTCTTCCCTTTACCTTCTGGTTCGGTAAAGAACCCATTTGCACCTAAATGAGATGTAATCGAATTGTCAAGAGTTTCTTGGAACTTCGAACTCCTACTGGTTTGCGACTCCTTTCGATGACGTTTATCTGTTGATATATCCGTTTCTTCTCCAGATCGTTCATTTTCCGAATGTGCTATGATGATTTTCAAGTGAATTAGGCAATTATCATACACATGGCTTACTCTCTCTGGAAAGTGATCGATGTCGTCGTGATTTGTGAGTTGAACGATCTGAAATCGACTCAACATATATTCATTTCATCGTGGCTATCGAATAGATACCCGATTTTGGTGAGACATATATGTCACTTGGTAATTTGATTAAGTGTTCAGACGAAACTGGTGGTAATTTCTCTCTGATTCAATCTTGACGAAATTCTTTCTTCGCTTTTGTACGATTTCGTCGGAAATGAGAACAACGACATTGAAAATGAAATATTTCATGCGTTATTTGATGCACTTCCATCTACTTGTCAATGTAACTCATTTGTTTCTTTTAGAATCAATTGCATTTTCCTGAAATGTTTTGTTAAGAATTTGAAATCAACTCATTCATCTTAGTTATTTAGAAGAATTGAATTAAATCTAAGCATTCTTCGATAAAATTTCATTCGACGACATCGATCAAACTTTTCCTCTTAGAAATATATTCTACTTCATCGAAATTGTGATGCAATAATAAGTCCGAAGAAGATCTCATGTGTTGAGTTCTAGAGAAATATTGCCTGGGCATCCTCAAAACCAAGACTCATATGAACTGCGCAGGTCCAAATTTCTAAATCGAGTACCATTTCAATCCTCGTTTTCTCTGGTGTATATGATTTGAGACATTTATAGTATTTTACAATGAAGAAAGTGAATGCAAGTGTATTACAATGATTATCCGGCATGATTTTGTTCATGTGGGAATTATTGTGTCAAGTAGACATAGAAATCCAGCGTAAATATGAACAGAACGTGTGATATAAATGGTGATGAAATGGCCAATTACGTTATGAAGTACTTTTTTATCACTGAAGGAGAAAAATTACGCTGACAATGAGTACACTTGTACAAGAAACTACGAAATAGACATGAGTAACGACAAGAACGAACACTTTGTCAATAAGACAGTTGTGTGAATGTGTCTATTCGCATAGCATACAGAATGAAAGAGAAAACTTGACATTCATTCTATTCCATTGTCATTTGTCGAGGAATATGGTGCAAAAAACGAACTCATTGATTTTATCGACCACATCAATCAGACAGAAGACGATATGACTATGTTAATATTATATAATCAATGTCACTGAGGAGCTAGAAATCGTTTCGACAGTTCATAAAAACATATCAACTGCTCAATTAGAGGATTAACCTGATGAAATTCTTCTGATTGTTTTGAAAAAAGTGTAAAATGTTAAAGTACTCGATGCTTTGATACATATACGCGCAAAACTCGATAGGATTGCATGTGATCGGCCTAATCTTCTCAAAATGTTTATCATTGGTGAATGATTCGTCAAGCAGTTGACTTGCTCTATTACCGGATGTATTTCTAGATCGATTCTGTTCGAAAGTTCTACCTAGAATTCATCATGATATTCACCGACTGTCGAACTTATACTTCGATGACGAATGATCCTAATTTACACGTACTTGGTTTGTATGAACCTTGTGGAGAAACAGCTCGGTCTCTTTTCGCCGGTAGGGCATGAATCACTTGAAAGAGAGAATTCTTTCCACTTATTTATTCTTGTAAGGTTCGATGCATAAATTCAATTCAAGACGTATAGATGTAAATTTACTACTATTTATACATATCTTGTCAATGTTTTCTAATTTCAAATCTTTCTATTGCGGTTTATTTTTCAATTCGTTATTGCGAATATCTTTTGGCAATTCATCTCCAAGTACTATTTTTTCATCAGCTTTGGTCGAACTGTACGTTAGTCTGAACGATCCAACCGACTGTCTCCATCTTCTTTATTTTTATTTACAATAAATGTCGATATACTTAAATATCGAAACCGGTGAATTACGACGATTGTGGATATGTTAGTTTTGAATTGAATTTATGCATCGAACTTTACAAGAATAACTCGCTTTAAAAACTATTGTTTGTTTCAACGGAATTCAACGATCGAAAACAGAGTAGGTACGCGCAACTGGCGGATTTCACTGAGCAACACATTCGGAATATGAAGTAAAAAATTGCCAGAAGAGAATGTATTATTCAATTACATCCTTATATAATTGTTAACGAATGAACAGACGTCAGTCAATACACAATGGTGGGAAACTTTTAATTTTTTCCCTATCAATCACAATCATCCAGGGAAACCAGCTCGATCGTCCATGTCTATGTTTATATCCATGGGCTGGCAAAGACTGAAAAGAAAAGGAAAGGAAAGAAAGTGAAGAGAGAAATGTATAAATCGTACCGAACACCCGATCGAAGCACACGATTGATTTTGTTTTCGTCGATTTGAAATGGATCCAAATATACTTCGTCGTATTCGTCATGAAGAAGACATGGTAAGTTGCTAAGTACTTGTTCAGGTCGAGCGCTCCCTCCATGGCAGTAATTTTCTTTGGTGCTTTCACTGTCACTTCGTGATGCACTCTACGGATTACAACAGTCACTGTGTGGGTGTGCTACATACGAACGAGAACCAGTTTCTGAAACAGAGAAACTGAGCGCAGCTAATATGAAAACTGATCTCGTGTTTAGGTAGGCGTATCTGTTCTGGCCGAAAATGTTCAATATCGAAATATGCGTGAAACAGAATTGCAACTGTTGTATCCCAAGCAACCACCCAGGTTATTGTGGCACGGTCGGTTCCGACCGATTAGGTTCGTTTTCCGACTATTTCCTTGCCGCCAGATTCCGGCCGGAAGTTCAAACGTAGGTTCCAGTCATTTCCCGATCGTTTCCTGCAAACTTCGAGCTGGAAACGGTCAGGAACTGATCGGATATTTTCTGCGCAATTCCGGCCAGAATCCGGCGGCAAGGAACCTGTCGGAACTTGCTGGAATCGAGAAGAGCTGAACCGGAGCCGACTCAGATTCCAACGGATCCAGTCGCTGGAATGATCGACCTGGGCATGGCGAAGCTCAGAGGAATACATGAATAAGCAAAAGCAATACGATGATGAACAACAAAAGATACTAATGCTTGCAGAATGAGTAAACAAAGTGGAAGAAAAAATGATCCAAACGAAAATGGCAAATGGTGAGAAATGATGCTCGCATAATTTGAAGAGAAAAAGATTTTTTCTCTTTTTTAGGAGTACTTGCCGATGACTTTGACGAGGACGACGACAATAACAAACCAAATGAACTGTCGGCTATAATGAAGATGATGATCAATACCTAATGAAAGATCAGGTGAGAGAAGGGAAGATCCCGATTTTTCAACCTATCTCTTTGAAATCGCCACGAAAGTTTTTTTTAAATATACATAGATAAAACAACCATTCAAATAACAAATTTATCTGAAAATACTCAAGAAAAAGATTTATGTGATTTATTGGAGAACTTTGGTCCTGTTAGTGAAATTTATCTGGCGAAAGACACAAGCAGTGGTACATTCAAAGGATTCGCCATAGTTACACTTCATAGTCAAAAACTTGCACAAAAGGCCATGAAACATCTATGCCAAATGGACTATGGTGTTCTTGTGCTGAAAGTTCCTTCTATGAACACTAATCGTTTATTTTATTCATCTTTTCGATTCAAGATACAAGAATAAAAGGTTCGATTGATGGTTCAACCTTTTTTGCCTCTTTTGTCTTTTCCTTATTTAATCCATGATAAAAATGTCAATGAGATAAAAAGAAGAACAAGATTTCATTTCATGTAATATCTCACAGTACTGACAATGCGTAATATATCATTTGTTGTGCGTGAAAATGCTGATGATCTTGTGCTCTCTCGAACATCATCGAGTTTTGCTGTGCGAATGATCAAGCGTTCAGCTCAATCTGTCATTGTACGATACATTGATTTATTTGAAATAAGCTATCACGATATAGACAAGTAGCGCTCATCCATTGGATTCGCTGACCCTTTTCTGAAATTATCAGAAAACTAGTAGATAAACGCTCTCACTTAGATCTCAATCTAATTGGGTTCGAATTGAAGTTACTTTTATGCTCATTCTTTCATTTTCTGCTTCATTCAGGTCAGATTATTTTTAATTCATTTGCCCAGAGACGTAAACAAAACGAACACCGTTTATAAAAATTTATTCATCGACTCTCTTCAGACTACTCTGAATAAAAACTCAGTTTATTTTCACTTATGTTATCTCATCTAAGCAATTCAAATAAAACGCCTAGTTGTTCGTCAGCCTGCCTCCGGTCGACCACCTAGGGTGTGGATGAGGGTGATACTCACCCAAACTATCTTTGGGTCCGTTAACACTAAGAAAGCCATCCAAGATGTGCTAGATGCTGTATAGCCCGAAAATCCGCTCAAAGGTGATTTGCGTTCAAGTCTGTTGTTGATTTCGAGGAGCTAAAGTAACACTAATATGTTGGTCACAACAGATAAAAAACATTTTCACGTCATATATACTGAGAAAGCGAGTGTATTAGTAGAATCACTCACTGTGCTCTATTGTCGGTCTAGAATATAACTGCTGAAAGGCTTATTTGATTGTGATGGAGTTCCAATGACGTATTGTTACGTCAGAATCTTACTGGAACTCAAAGATCAGACTGATTGGATATCTGACTCCGGAATTATTGAGAAAATATCGATAATTCTCTGCGTTTTGTTTTTGTTTTGCATCTGATACATTTTTTGCAGCCTATCTAACTTTCGAATAAAATCCAAAATGTTTATATTGATTTAAGTCTGTTTTGTGTTTTACATATGCATGGATTAAGATCATAAACGATAGTTAACAGGGCGAATCTAAATAAACTACAAGATTTACTGTCGAAACACCGAAAAACTAAGTGTCGAAAATTTCGACGTATCGAACACAAATAATATCGATTGCTTTTTCGTCTGTAATGTCTGTCCAGGCTTTATGTACTGTATAACACTTATTTCGAATTCGTCGTTCTAATAGCGGACGTTCTAGAATAATAGAAATATAAAGGATATATGAAAACAAAGAGTACAAATAACACATTCTCTTATGATCGCCTACATATGCGTTCGACGATTTTATACGTACAATTTTTCCATCTTACCTATTTGACGTTCACTGTACGATGTTTGATGCTGTTGATACTGTAACGACAAACTGGTTGAGTAGCTGACCGCTTCTCACGGTATCGATGTTTATTGACTACTCTACATGACCAGAATGTGTCTCTTTCACAATAAGACACGCGCTTATATAGAGAAGAGGAAAGAGAGATATGACCCGGAGATAGTATGATATAGAGGTGAGAAAATAAAGAACAGAAAGAGATGAACGATATCATTATCGTTACAGATACCATGTCCTTTGTTTCTTCTAACAAAGGTAATCCTATGTTGGTAAAAGAAGGTTTTATTTATAAAAGCAACAAACAGACATTAACGAAGATTTACTGGTTCTGCAAAATCAAAAACTGTAATGCAAATATTCATACTGATCTCAATCGTAATTTCATGCAATCAAATGGTAAGCATAATCATCTCATTCAACTAGAAGAAATCGGAGTTAAACTTTTTCAAGAAGCTCTTAAAGTACGTGTTATCAATGAAACAACACCGATTTCGAAGATATACGATGAAGAGATGGTTAAAGCTCATTTATCACCAGAAACTCTTGCAAATGTACCACTGGTTTCCAGTATAAGTAATATTTCATTGTGAGAATTTTACGTACTTTTTACTATGATTTTTTTAAAATAGATTCTGCATTGAATCGAACACGACGAAAACGTACACCAGTTCTTCCAACGTGTTGTTCATTTAATATTATTCCTGATTTATAACAAATTCACGTCTGCTGGAGAAAAGTTTTTATTTGCGATGCCTTGGTTCGTCGCAAAACAAGAATGATATTATTTGATAGCTCGATTATTTTCATTGATGGTAAGTTTTTAGCAACGCCGTCAATGTCTGATCAAGTATGATAGATGTTTTTAGTATTGTAGAAAATAATTCTTTTTAATCACAGATCTTTCTTGTGTGTGTGATCTTTTACCAGATCGAAAAAAATCAACGTACCAACAACTTTTTAAAGAATTAAAAAGTATTGCGGCATTGAAAAACAAATTATTTGAACCTGAAAGAGTTGTTAATGATTTTGAAATCGGTTTGATATTAGCTGAAGCCGCTGAAGTGAGTCATGATATTCACATTGTGCCAAGTTGTATTTGTTTTCTATTTTAGTTTCCTCAAGCTATTCATCAAGGTTGTTATTTTCATTACAATCATGTATTAATCGACGTATTCAAAATTTAGACTTAAGCACAACTTATGCTGAAGTCGATGAAATGAGATCATGCTGTCGTAAATTAATGGGACTTTGTCTTTTGCCACTTCAAGAAGTTGAAAATCAATTTTATAATTTACGAGCATTATTAGATTCACGATTAAAGCAGGAACTGCGTCAATTATTTTTATATTTTTAAAATCATTGGATGATTGATGTACCACTCCAAATGTGGGATTTTCATGATACTCCACATCGTACGAGCAATATTTGTGAGGGTATGTCATTTCATTCTCTTTGAGCATTCGAACATGTTCTGTTTGTTTAGCTTTTCACAGCCGATTGAATAGACGTATTCAACGTTCCCATTCAAACATATGGTCTTTCGTCAATTGTCCTATCGGTGAAGAATGCCGGTTTCAACACTTATATAGTCAAATTAATGCTGGCACACAACAACTGCCAAAAGCAAAGGCAGCTGAAACAATGCAAAAGCGAATCGAGACTTTAAATAGTCGATATAACAATCAGGATATGAATAGTGAACAATTGTTAAATGCCTTATCATTATCGGGCGGAAGAAAAAAGTAAAAATCGGTGTGAAACTTGTGATTTAGGACTGTACACGTTCTTTCATATTTTTTAAACTGTGTATCGTCTTTAATAAAAAAATTCCCTCGACTGTAAAGAGGGTCATATGAAATAAAATAGTTTGTCTGTCTGTTTGTGTCAGGGTCAAAGGTCAAAAAAAATATTTTTTCCTACAATCCTTCAACACATTGAAAACTTCTAGTGTGCTAGTCGTAGAACGAGCCCGGATGAAGGGGGGGGGGGGGCGAGGGTGGGCCTTGGGTGAAACTATGGGTAGGTGTATGAACGTGGGTGGGGCTCTTGATTGAGTACAATGGTTGATGTATGAACATGGATGACCGTTCATTGGTTCTTTTTTGGGCTGGGTGACTGGACGTAGGTGGCTGAAATCGACGATCAGAGGATCTGTTCCCGTAGTTGACGACTTTATGTAGGTTAGGTGTTCAGTTCTTGTCGATTTGTTTATAATGGAATATGAGGGTGAGGGGGTTTGGAATGGCTAAGAGTGGTGTCAGAAGTCAGTTGAAATGGGTAGGTGTTCCAAGTTTTATGCAACTGCCAGTGACCTTAGGAGTAATAAAAGAACGACGAATAAATAATCGTATGTATTACCGTAGCTAAATGCACTGAAGGCGAAAAATACAGATATCAAAAGATACATTCGCTAAAGTCAGACGTGTCACATGTGATCCTAATTCATTGAGTTAAACCTATTCAATATATGGAAATTTGACAAAGAGAAAGAAAGAAAACTGACACAAGTAAGTGATGAATGTCGCCGGTGTTCGTAGTAAATTTGTATTAATGGTAAAAGTATTCTTTTGTAGTTGAGTGTTTGTTCCAGTTGGACTCATAAATGGGAGTTAGATATGCTTTTTCGCGGAGTTGCCTATTTCTGGATGGAATGGCGATTGGTCTCGTGGTAGTGAAGTTGATGGGCAGAGGTATGTGGATGAGGATGAGGATGAAGATGCCTGGAAAGTGGGATTGACTTAGGGCTCACTAAGATTGCTGTTTGACGTTCTATATTTTTTACTCTTGTGTATTCTTCGTGGCGCATTTGATATGTTGTGTATGGTTGCGATGTTGTTCGATTGAAGTGGCTCAAGTGCTTATTGTATTGCGTCGTCGTTTCTTTCTTCTTATTGCATATTGCATTGGTAATATAAAATTGAGGTTTTTTATGCCTCTCCAAAAACAGTAGGAAAAATTCAGTATTTTGTTTTCGAAAGTTACTAAATACATCTGCGCAAGACATTGGAACTGTTTCTTCGTGTATAAAAATTTGTTAGATCAATTTGTGCCACATTGCGGATACGAAAAAATACTAGTTCTCCACAGTCGAAGGTTAAGTGAGTCGGCACGGCGAGCGCTACTTGTTTTAATACAGAATAAAATATTTACTGCAAAAATAATACGTCTTTTTTAATTTTCTATAGAAGAATATTTTTCGATATTTTATTTTTCGACGTTTTGACTTCCGATCTTTTTCGATCATACTAACTACAACCATTGTTTTAAATTATACTTCTTGTGGAATTAAAACCGGTTTGTTTCTACTCACCCTCAAATGTGGTTCTTTCAGAAAAAGAAATCACCCAATTTCTCGAATGAGTTTGCCTGAAGACTACCGACAAGAAAAAGTTGGAAAGAACAACAACCAAAGTTCGTTAATGGCTTCTTACCTGCTGCGCCTGTTTCGAGCATCTTAAAGCGATTTTTGTGTTGACGTTTTTTTTCTTCCTTACTTATTTTACTATGAAAAAGCTCGCTCAAGATTCAAACAATAACATAATTACTTTTCGTCTCCGCAAAATTCAAGAAGAGAACGACGTCATTTGCTGTCTATATAAAAAGAGAAGCGAATTTCTTCATTTTCACAACAAAACAAAATACTGTGAATTTCACTTTATTCAACAGAATGGACGCACAAAAAACAAAATCAAGTTCCACGACAAGGAAGCATGGTAATCAACCACGACAACGCATGGTTCAAAACTACCTCTTAGTTTGGGTGGATGCCAACATCGATGAAAAGGACCAAGACTGTCAGAACACTTTGACACACCTACGAAGTGTTGTCAATGATGTCAATATATACACTCAGCCAGATGCTTGCGTTCAATTCCTCAAAAGCATTGGTGACGAAAAAGCGTTCGTCATCACATCGGGATCCTTAGGGCAACACTTAGTTCCCGAGATTCGCGATATACCACAAGTGAATGCCATCTACATCTTCTGTAGCGACAAATCCAGACATGAAAACTGGACAAAGAACTGGTCAAAAGTCAAAGGTATTCACACAAATATCAAAGAAATCTGTGAAGCACTGACCACGGGTGTTAAACAATATAATCAAGATTCCATCGCCATGAGTTTTGTCACCGCAAGAGGAGAGAGTTCCAATGCCAATCTCAATCAACTGGAACCCAGTTTTATGTACACACAAATATTTAAGAAGATTCTCCTCGACATGGAGCATGACAAGCAAGCAATCAAAGACCTGGCCAATTACTGTCGGCAGCGTTTTGAAGACAACATCGAAGAGCACAAGGTTATCGATGAGTTTGAAGGTAACTATCGTCCGGACAAGGCCATTTGGTGGTATACACGTGAGTGTTTTACCTACCAAATGCTCAATCAAGCACTTCGCACTTTGGATGGCGAAGTCATTATTAACATGGGATTTTTCCTCCATGATCTACACAAACAAATACAACAACTACACCAAGAGCAGGTTAGTAGTTCCGGGCGAAAACCTTTCGTAGTCTACCGTGGACAGGGACTATATAAGAAAGATTTTGACCAGTTATCAAAAACTGTAGGTGGTCTCTTATCTTTTAACAACTTTTTATCCACCAGTATCAAACAAGAGAAATCTCTTGTGTTCACCTACAGCGCTCTCAGTGATCCCAACAAGGTGGGTGTTCTGTTCGTGATCACAATCGATCCCAATATTCCTAGTACTCCATTCGCATCAATTGGGGATCTTAGTTATTTCGAAGACGAAGCAGAGATCCTGTTTTCAATGCACAGCGTGTTTCGAGTTGGTACAATTCGACAAATGGGTGAAAAGAATAAACTTTACCATGAGGTGCAACTTCAGTTGACTGCTGATGACGATCCACAACTACGTGTGTTAACGGACCGTATTGAAAGTGAAGTTCGAGGTAGTACAGGATGGCAACGTTTGGGTACATTATTGCTTAAACTCGGACAGCTGGATAAAGCCGAAGAACTGTACACTGTGCTGCTGGAACAAACGTCTGATAAGAGTGGCAGAGCACTCTATTATCATCAACTTGGCTACTTAAAAGATGATCAGGGTGATTTTAAAACGGCTATAGACTACTATGAAAAAGCACTTGAAATCTGGGAAAAAACTCTTCCTTCGAATCACCCTTCGCTGGCTACTTCGTACAGTTGCATCGGTATCGTGTACATGAACATGGGAGAGTATTCGAAAGCACTTTCATTCTATGAAAAATCACTTGAAATTAGAGGAAAAACTGTTCCTTCGAATCACCCTTCGCTGGCTACTTCGTACAACAACATCGGTTTGGTGTACATGAACATGGGAGAGTATTCGAAAGCACTTTCATTCTATGAAAAATCACTTGAAATTAGAGGAAAAACTCTTCCTTCGAATCATCCTTCGCTGGCTACTTCGTACAACAACATCGGTGCGGTGTACTACAACGCTAAGGACTATTCGAAAGCACTTACTTATTTCGAACGCGCTTTGGACATTTGGCAACGTGCATTACCGGCGAACCACCCTCATATAAAATCTGCAAAAGAAAGTATCGAAATTTGTAAAAGAGCAATGAAATAAAAGATTACTGTACCTTTTTTACTTGAAATAAAAAGAAATGATTTACCCGCGCGCGCGTACAGAGTAGAACTCTGTATAGAGACAGTAATGATGAAACATGGCGGGGACACACCCATCCAAGAAAGGCAATACACATACATACGAAGATACGTATGTGTATCGAAGGCCTTCATGGGCATAATTGTGTTTGACACATTGCTCGGTATCAAAAGTGAGGACTTACGTATGATTTGACAGGATTGCTTGTTTGCGTTGTTGAACGAGGCCTCGATTGCTATTGATACGAATGAAAGTGAAGGAAATCGATGTATATTTATATGGACGACTATCCATTGTCTAGAATAGACTGAACACGAACAGAGAATAGATACAAAAGAGAGAAAATGAACGTCGAATCGTGAAAGGACGGATAAAGAAAGATATTAGTCATTGTTCTCTTTTCTGAAAGAACACATTATATAATGACGTCACTACATATACATATGTACTTTCGTTCTGATCATACATATATATGACGCCATACAATCATTAGTGGTGTAACCAGGATTTGACAGGTGGTCGGGTGGCGCCCTAACGATTTTTGAAAAAGATTATTTTTAGTGAAGTGTGGTACTCTTTCTCGTAGACCACATATAGAAGGTGTACTTATTGTTAAAATATTTTGTCAAATAGTAGCTTGCTTTTTTATTAGAAAATACAAAAATCACGGTTTCACTTTAATAAAATTCTGCGTTTTTTATGTGCATCAGCCAAGTCATCAATAAGTTTTTCGAAATCGATATCAGAGTCGCGTTCAACCGCTAAAACACACAAATCATTCAACCGAGTATCTGACATAGTATTACGTGTGGTTGTTTTATCAGTTTCATTTTACTAAATGTTCGTTCACATGTCGTAGATGACACAGGTATAGCCATTACAGCAACAACAAGATGCATCACTGTTGAAAACGCCGGTTTCAAAGGTAATAATTCCATATACAAATCGACAATTGCCTTTAAGTTTTATGCTTTTAACATCGACTTCAAAACTTGTAGTTCATTGTATAATAAGCATAAATTAACTTTCATCTGTATTGCAAACGGTTTCAGTTTGACACAGCCCAAAAAACTATCACTTTCGGGACAAACAGCTGATATTCCACTCAAAATGTCCATATTTTCGAAAGAAAACCGATCATTTAGTTCGATTAATATCGAATCAATTAAAGGATTAAAAAGATTTGTTCGATATTGCTCTTCATCGTTTATTTGTATACGTTGGCCAACAGTACTGTTAATAACAGTATTTTCAAATGAGAGTCTGTTGTTTCTGAAAATTCATCAACATGAGAAACAGTAGTATCAAGTTTTTTCTTCTTAAATGACGAGCGAAAAAAGGAATGAAGAGTATTTCGTTTTCGTTCTTTATCATTAGGTTGCATATTAACAGTAAGCATATTGATCGTAACCAGAATCACAATGTCATTTATGAAATCTGTCGTAAACTGAAGTCAGGAATACAAGTGAAATGCTTATTATTGGTTTATTCAATAAACCGATGATTATTGTAATGACAGAGGACATTCTGCTTTGAAAAATAGTGATGATCATCGGTGTGAAGCTAGCACCATTTAGCTAGCACCAGATAACGAAAAATCATTAAACTCTTGTGTTCAAATGAATTCCCATCCGTAGAAATAGGGTCTTTCGACGCAGAAGTTAATTCTACATCGAATGGTGTCGTTTTTATCGACGGGAAAACGACTGAGTAGATTCTATTTAGATTTTTTCCTTCCAGACACAAACGTATAAAAAAAATCTGTATAAAATTTTCTCAGTCGTTTTCCCGTCGATAAAAACGACACCATTCGATGTAGAATTAAATTCTGCGTCGAAAGACCCTATTTCTACGGATGGGAATTCATTTGAACACAAGATTTTAATGATTTTTCGTTATCTGGTGCTAGCTAAATGGTGCTAGCTTCACACCGATTTGATGATCCATGATCATATATAAATTTTAAAAAATCAGTTTTCAAAAAGTTACCGGTGGTTGGGCGCCGCCCAACCTGGCCCACCCTTGGTTACGCCACTAACAATCATACGTTCATCAATGAGATCAGATGTTATCACATGATGTCGTCTGTTTTATCCATGATATATGTGTCATGTTCTTTTCCCCTTTGAATCTTATATATAAACCTGATCTTTTCATAATAAAAGTTCGATCTAATGTGAACAAACAAATCTTGATAAAGTCGTTATTCTACCACTGAACACTAAGTGGATATTGCCTTCTATCATAACGCGTTATAGCCGCGTTCAAAGTTCGTTTGCTTAAATCTAGTCGTATCGACCAGAGTCAAAAATGACCTAGTTTAAAAACAATATCGAAATACACTAGAAATATTTCATTTAAATGCTCGGCTAAAAAGCTTAAAGTTTGTCTGTCGGTCATTCCGTCTGTCCTATCCAACCACACTGAGAAGAAAAGGTAGTCCACCAAGCCATTCCGGTTTAGTGATGGCCCACCAAACTATTTTAAGTTTCACACCACCAAAATGGTTCCGTAGCGTAAATAAAGAACTTTTTAAAGGTTTTGAGGACCAAAAAGGTTTCGTGCTGTTATTGCCAAACCATTGAAAGGTCCAGCAGCGCGTATACTGAGCTTTTTTTGGTTTCGTATGTCTGGCACAAAACCTGCCATAGTTCCATAGAGCACCTAAAGGTTTCGAAACAGACTTACGAAACCATGTAGGGTTTCGTATTAGAGATACCGAGCCTTTACGTACATCACTAGGGACTGAAGTTTCGCATTTCGGATGCCGAACCTTCCTGAGTTCCGTACCACACTTTCCGAACCATTTCTCCCTTTACGAAGCAATCAGAGGTTCCGTACCGGACCTCCAGAACCATTTATTCCTAAACGAAGGCTTAAGGGGTTTCGCCCGATACCTCCCGAACCATCGCGATTGACTAGTCACCACAGCCGGCCAAGTCGATATAGTCTATGAGTCCGATTCCTTCCAAATCATCGAGAATGAGTAGTCAGTTTTTTGTTTTAGGCTGATATATGGTCGTGTTATGGCGTGTACTGTCCGGCTAATCATTCAAATGACTTGGCTACATGGAGGTCAATTGGATAGATAAGTATATACTTATTTCTTCCCCATATATTATTCTTCGCTGTTTAGGTTATATGTTGGGCGGAATGCGCGAATGAAATGTAACTACCTCTTGTCAGCGAATACCTGTGTTTGTGCTTTAGAATTATTTCAGGTTGCCAGTGGTCTGTTAGTGATGGAGAAGTGCGATCAAGCGGACGAGAGAAAGGTAGGAGTTTTCATTTTACATAGATGTTTGAGTGAGTCTATGTTCAGCTGTGAGTAGTATAGGCAATTCTGTGAGCGGTCTAGGTAAGGCGTTCTTGTGAGTGAGTAATCCTTTTCCATGAGAGTCTTTATCTGTCTGATCCTGCCCAGTACGATAAGACGTCAGCACAGTAGAGTATTTCGCCAGTTCTTCCTGTGAAAGTCATATTTACACCATCAGACATCTGATCCTCGACAACCTAGAAGCTTTATACATNAAACAATTTTAGTGGTATGAGTGAAATTAGGTTGGTTGAGGGTGGGTGCAGTCGCCGTGTATCTAAAGCTTATAAGAACACTCACATTTCCTAGACATCCTCATCCACTAATGCGTTCGCTGTCAGCAACGTTTTCATGGTAAAGATCGTTCTTCGACGCCTCAAACACATTCAGTCTCACTCAGGATAATATCCCACAAGACTGCATATGTCTCGAGAATGGCCTAATAGCGTTTTGAAATGATAATAACAATGATCTTTCCCATTCCGAGCGTATAATTAGATTGGAAAAAAGAAAATAAGCGAAAATTGCTGTTAAAAACCGAAAAGTACATGTACGAAACTAATGGTCGAAAAATGACTAGGAAATTTTGAGAAAGAAAGCGAGTTGAAGAAAGATAACATGTAAATTATATCTATGGTATCCAAGAAATTGAATGGCGAAAGAAAAAAGTGTCTATCTTCATTAGAAGATGAGTTGATGCATTTTCAATGAGCTTCACTCGAACGGTTGGTGTGTAAAAAGAAATAAATTTTTTTAAGGAGAAAGGTATGCATTGAGCGATGAAAACCTAGTGTCCCAGTATCAGTTTTTGATGCTGAATCCACAGAAAAAAACTTTCAAAGCTATAATAAATTTTTTCGAAGCGCCATCGTCAAAATCCCAGTAGAAAACCTGTTTTTTTAACCCTAGGTTCTCGCAGTATTTTTCGATTTCCGGTAGAAAGATCATTTCTTATCTACATAAACCATACATATTCGGATTCAGCGCATCAAACCACATCGAAATCCATTAAAAAATTGGCAAAAAAGTTTTGCTCGAATTTTGCTTTGCGCCAACCTTACACCTGATATATCTCTTTTGAAAGAACTTCTCCGTATAAAAATATTTCTGAAAGTTTTTAATTGAGGACAAATCTTAACTTTACGAGGCGAAGATCGCCAATGACAACTATTGAAATCATCCATCACATTAACAAATTAGTGTTGAATATAAATAGTGCGTTTCTCTTTCAAGTGTAAAGTCGTAATTGCTTCCAATTATGTCACATAATAAACGTTCTTTTCGACATTAGCTCTCGAAAATTCTTAAAAGATGCATCCAAACAAGTATATAATTCAACATATTTAGAAAGTCGACTATGAACACACAAAGATTTTTCTCTTAACTATCGAACGAACTAGATGCTCTGTTAAAATGAGTAACATATCTACAACCACTATTACTTCTATCATTGTCAATCTAAACATTGCTTGAGATGGCATTCAACGTTATGGACAACCAATCTCATTCGCAGTTGGAGTTCTCGGTTGTTTTCTCAATATTCTCATTTTTCTCCGACCATCGATGAGACAAAATTCCTGTGCTATTTACTTTCATGCTAGTTCATGGGCAAATCTGCTTTGTCTGTGTTGGGGTGTATTAGCTAGTATGCTTGCATTATTTACCGGTAACAATCCAGCTTCATACAGCATTGTCTACTGCAGAATACGTTTCTATATGATCAATTTCCCACAATATGCAAGCCGCGCATTTGTTACGTTAGCGTGTCTAGACCGTTTTCTTTTGTGCTCAACATCACTTCGTCAACGGCAATTTTGTCGAGCGACTCTGGCAAAAAAAAATGATCGCTTTAGCAGCTGTCATTTGTGCATGTTTACCAATCTATATATTGATAAACTATGGACCAGTAAATAATTTACGTCCGTGTATGGTCACGACAGATATTGGCTATATCGTTGGAGCTGTAACTACATATATGTTTTTATTTACAATTCCTACTCTCTCAATGGGTATACTAAGCTGGCTAACTGTGAGACGCTTACGACAAAATGCCAGAAAAGTTGGACGTGACAAAGTGAGTGTTTTAACTGTCTAGATGAATTATTTTGCAAAGGAGACTATCAATAGACATAAAAGTGATATGAAATCATTAGTTATAGTATGATTAACGAAATATTTCATAGGCCAGTAGATGATAGATAACAGTGAATTTTTCTCGCCTGTGTAGATATGTGTTACTGGGAAAGATGCTCAACTAATCGGCATGCTTACCGCACAAGTGGTACTCTATTTCATCACAAATATGCCTTTTATAAGTCTAGTACTCTATGGAGCATTCACAGTAAATGTTTCACAGTCGGTATATGAAATTGCGGTGGTGAATTTTGCAAATGCACTCTTTACAAATTTATTTTCCTATTGCTACAATGCCGTAAGACTGTTCATATATTTATTATGTTATTTTCCATTCTAAAATGAATTTTAGTGGCCGTTTTTGTTTATACGCTCACTGCACCAAGTTTTCGCCGCGAGCTACTTGCAATATTCACATCATCACGCATGCTACGCCAAACGCTGCCAAACACAAAACAGTCAAATAGAGATCATGCTCTACGTATTGCACCAATGGCCAACTGAAACGAACGGCAATTGACATATAAGAAAAGCGAAATGTAGCGTATCGAGTACATGCTGAGATTAATGTAGAATTGTATTCATAATTTTCTTATGTTCACGTTTTCTATATAAATTCTGCTTATATAAACATTTACCTCAGCACTGTAAAGAGTGCATATTCCATTTCCCATGTCATTCAAAAAGAGTGACATGCATTTAAACTGTACTGCTCGAAAATCAAGTCTTTAGTCAAATATATGAAAAAAAGATTCCTCTAGGTCCCTATTTGCGAGTACACAGAAAACAAAAAAGGTGTTTAATCAAACCAAAAAAGCAATCGGTCGGCGGGCACAATCGCTAAACCCCACATGGTTTGGCCACAAGAAGGTTTCGTATCGAGCCTTTACACGATCGATGACAAGCAAGGTTTCGCACATCAGGTTTCGTACGAAACCTTTCCCAAAAATATTTTCAAAAGGCTTTTTCTGAGGGTTTCCATCTGCAATACCTCTGGAGATTTCCCACCGGTGACGCCCTTGGTGAGTGTGTAATCCTTTTCCATGAGAATCTTCATCTGTCTCATCCTGCCCAGTACGATAAGACGCCAGCACAGTTGAGTGTTTCACCAGTTCTTCCTGTGAAAGTCATATTTACACCATCAGACATCTGATCCTCGACAACCTAGAAGCTTTATACATAGATGAGATTGTTTTGAGTTCTATTCATGCATGACATATATGATATACACAAGAAACTGGAAAGTTACAAATGGCTCGAACTGCTTCAATTCAGTTCTCACGCTTACTTTTACTCAAGTAGCACCTAGAAACATTTATAACTTTCCAGTTCCTTGTGTATATCATATATGACATGCATGAATACAGCTCAAAACAATTTCATCTGTGTATAAAGCTTCTAGGTCGTCGAGGATCAGATGTCTGATGGTGTAAATATGACTTTCACAGGAAGAACTGGCGAAATACTCTACTGTGCTGACGTCTTATCGTACTGAGCAGGATCAGACAGATGAAGATTCTCATGGGCAAGGATTACGCAGTCACCAAGGGCGTCAGTGGTGGGAAATTCTCCAGAAGTATTGCATATGGAAGCCCTCAGAAAAAATCTTTTGAAAATACTTTTGGGAAAGGGTTCGTGCGAAACCTTTTTGCGACCAAACCATGTGAGGTTTACCGATTGTGCCCGCCGACCGATTGCTTTTTTGGTTTGGTAAAACACCTTTTTTTCAGTGCAGAAATGAACATTTCTAAGATTAATGAAATTGATCGATAGTTTACTAAAATTGTTGTTCTTCATAGTAGATTGAATTTGTTTTTATATTGAAAAGTACTAAAACAAGAGCTTTCGAGATATTAAATGTCATCTTCAATTGATGTTGATGTTGATTCAGCTATTGAATTGAGTTATTTCATTGAAAATGATAACAAATGAAAGAAATCTATTAATTTGACCTGTACGATTATGTATAAGTTGAAATCGAAATAATAAAAATTAAAAATTGATGAAAACAGGACTTTTTAAGATAATTAACTATTTGTTATCTTTTTTAGTGTTGTTCAGTTTTATGTTTATTTCTACATAAACTCTCTCTCACTTCAAGACGTGACAATTTTCAATGAAATAACTCAATTCAATAGCTGAATCAACATCAATTGAAGATGAGATTTAATATCTCGAAAGTTCTTGTTTTAGTACTTTTCAATATAAAAACAAATTCAATCTACTATGAAGAACAACAATTTTAGTTAATTATCTTAAAAAATCCTGTTTTCATCAATTTTTGATCGATAGTTGCTAGAAAATGATTACCAGTAGGGTAATCGAGGTCGAGGATCTGGAATCTGAGGTTAGTTTCTGGAAATTCCAATTAGCTAATTAAGAAATGCGAAATTTTTCGTGGATGAGTGAGGGTTGACTGTAGTGGCGTAACCAGGAGGTAGCCAGGGCAGGCTCAGCCTGTCCACCGGAAATTCAAGTTGCTTCACTATATGCTATATGATATTTCATACGACAAGGGAGTTTTGTCAAAATAACCTGAACAGGAAGAAATAGCAAGTTGCCACACACAAATTTTTCCAAAGATTTTTTCATTACATCCACAGTCAGTCATAGTGATATGCAGAACAGCGAAGATGATTATAGAACGATTCTTTTCTATCTTATATTTGATTCGATACTGTTGAAGGTGAATGATCGCTTTTCTGATGACAATCTCAGGTCGAGCATTCCGGCCGCCGGAACCGAGACGGAAAACAGCTGGATAGCACCGGATATTCGCCGGTTCTTTGCCGCCGGATTCCGGCCGGACTACACGAGGAAATTTCCTACGTGCTCCAGTCATTTCCTTGCACCGGAAACGCCATCGCTCTCCTCCATTTCTGTCAGCGGATCCGAGGGGGAACACGCATGAAACTTTCCGACCTATTCCAACTTTTTCCGCTCATCAAAAAAGGAAAAAACCTCCAGATATCCAGTGCACGGATCTTGACCGGATCACACACTGTAATTTCCGATCTAATCCTCCCAAACTCTTCACAAGGAACCATCAAACTTTCCTTCACTTCCGATCGATCAATATTGCAGGATACTGCCTATAAGGTTTCCTACAAAAACCGCCGACTTCCACACATCGGAAGTTCGCAAACCATGTTATTCTCGATAACCGGCTCCTTCGAGACACGGGACGATCCTTTTTTGGTTAAGTAAAATGAAGGTTCCGAAGAGAATCTTACAGGAAAAACTGAGAGCGAAGGTTCCGCAGCAAAGGTTTACTACGAAACTTTTTTGTTCAAAAGACAGAAGGTTCCGTATCATAGGTACCGTACGGAACCATGTGTAACTATATTAAAAGCCGTTTCGTGAAAATCCATAGCTGCGAAACCTTCGTTGCATTAGTTGTTCTCTTGGGTTGGTCACAGATTCCTTTATAGTTATCCTCCCACAGGCTCCGTATTCAGTCACTACAGAATATAGGGTATGGGTGGGTGAGGGTGCGGGTGTTCGGAATGAGTGGTGCGAAACCTAGTTCACCCCTTTCGAACGTTCACACACCTTCACCTAGCCAGTCCAGTAGATTCATTCCGATCAACTCTAAACAAGCAAGACGATAGAATGTAGTTTATTAAATATCATAATTTACCTAGTTGAATGCCAGGCTATTGAGAATTTTCCATCGATAGATTTGCATCGATATAGTGACAACTAGTAAGAAAAACCAGAAATAGATAGAAAATGAAAAATGCATGGATATTTATAGGGTCTCACCGGACGGTCTATTGAAAACTGGACGTCGGCTTGTGTAAAGGGCTGTCTTTCAATGAGTCTTCTCCTTTTCCTAACTGAACCAACGGCAGATATCAATGGTTTGGTAGAGGGCTCCCGGAACAGCCACAATAATTATGAGATCATTGATTCTTTTGCGGAACTCTTACGTAACTACTGACCAGTGCAAAATATATTTCTATATACGAGTAAATTATGGGAAACCTTCAGCCGCTATAAGAAAGTAGGGGTAGTTTGGTACAAATACTGCCGAGCCTTCATTCATTCAACGGAGTAGATGATGATTTCCCAAAGGTTATACTGAACTAATCAGAGGCATACAGAACTCGTCATAGTTTAGTGTATATTCGTCAATCCTCTGACCAATATACAAGGCCAGCAATAGTTCGGCATGAATTCTGCCGAATCTTCCGCGAGAAAAAATAAACCGATCTTAGTTTCGTCTAAATTTCATCAAATCATGAATAAGTACACGGAATCGCTGATGATTTCGAAGAACTTCTGCCGAACAGTTACTCGTTCTACGAGTTTTTTTGATAGTCTTGAATAAATCCTACCGAACTTGCGATTACTGTACGAAGCTATTGATATTTACGCAGAAGTGTTTCTGAACTATTGATAGTTTTGCAAAGCTATTAAGAAATCTTGAGTGAGCTCACGAAAACCTTGGGCGATTTTGCTAGAAATCTGGACAACCCTAAGCCAAAGTACGACATTAATGATGGTTCTGCAGAAGTTATGCACAACGTCTTTGCAGTACATCAAATTATGTACCGTTCTGTGTAATGATATCGAAACCTTTATACGAGCTGCTGAATTCTAGACAGCTTTATGCTAAAGGTACGGAACCGTTTCGGAGCTGGCAGTATTTTGGTTCGTTTCGTATAAAACGCACAAAACCAATACCAACTTGACTAAGGCAAAACTGTTCGGTATTATGTGTGCGAAACCTTGCTTTTTCTTACTGAGGTCTTAATCGTTCAGTATAAGTCGTGGGTTAGCTTTATGAACTTATACGAAGCTATGAATAGTTCTTTGTACATGAATCCGAGTCTTCAAAGACAAAATTCGATGATGAAAAGTTTCGCATGTACTATACTGAACCTTTGATAGACATACGAAATCCCGCAGGGGTTTGTATTGAATGTACTGACCTTTTAAGAATTTACAAACTCGTTATTGGTTTCGACTATTCCACACGAAACCAAGTCTAGTTTAGTTTAAAATGTTCTAAACTTTTTGAAAACTGACGAACCATCGATGCGTCGGCGTGAAATCGTCTGATCCATCAACTTGCCTGCGAAACTACGAATAGTTTCGTAGAAAATTGACGAAACGTCTCATCACACTCCTAGACCGCTGATGGTTCTGTAGACATGTTACAGAACTACGAATGCTTTCGCATACCGCATTAAAAACCTGTGGATGGTTTTTGCTACTAATTGCCGAACCTTCTCGACGCTACGGAACTTAAAATAGTTCGGCAGTTCAAGCACGGAACATTTTTCGTTTTCCTGAACTTAAAATCGTTCAGTCGAAGTATAGGAAACCTTTTAGGTTCGGTAAAACTCCTTATTTTTTTAGAGTGCGGTCGGTCACTCACGGCTAGCCGTTGCCATGCTGTCTCTGTTATTCCTTTCGCCTTCGATCGACTTTCAAACTGAATGATTGGGTTTTCTTTTATTGTCGCTTCTACAGTCATGATCTTCTATTCATTGGACTACCAAAAGAAACTAGATAAGAAAGTCTTATTGTATGATTTGCTTCGAAACGAACATCTTTCATAGTGCTGCATGTGTTCAGAATACTGTTTCTACAGTCCACGCGTCTGTAGTTACTAAGATGGAATTCCACTGACGGGTATATCACTTTGTGAACTACTTCTACTAAATTCCCATAAAAAGACATGATGTATGTAGCCTAAAAAGCAAAGATGATACTAAGCTCATATCACTTTTTCGGGTTTCTTCAATTAGAAACGTCATTATGTGCAATGCATTAGATCTTTTCGTGTAAGTTCTTGAGCTACTATCTTTGTACACATGACGTCCGTGAATAGCGTTCAGCTCACCATCTTCTACAAAAAATTTTAGAACAGATAAAGTAAAATATCTCCTGTGTAAATAGGAAGGAACAAGCCCAGGCTCAGCGAATAAAACGAAATTCGTCCTCAAATTCAAATTTCCCCACGTCAGAAATCCTTCGGTCTATACTCTGACGATGGATGTTACTAAGTCGGGGCTAGTTAACGAAAAATTAATAATCAATTAAGAAACACTAACCTCGGATTCATGATTCTCGACCCCGATTACCCTTCGGTCGACCCTTACTCGACAACGAAGAAAATTTTCATTACTTAATTAGCTAATTAGAATTTCGAGAAATTAACCTCGGATTCGAGATCCTCGACCCCGATTACCTCAGGTGAATCATTTCCGTATGGTTATCTCTATGGTTTCATTGATTTATAAAAAGCTGCAACCTGATTGGATTGGACAAACTCACAAACTTTTAGGTTTTGAGCCACCGATTTTAGAACGCTATAACCCTCTCTTTCAGAAAAGGGAAATACGAAAATTTATGCTTATCACCATTTGATACCAATCGAAAACACATGTCGACTATAGTTCGTGCTAACGAGGAAGTTTATCTGGCCACATTTGAATAGTTTCAATGATGTTGATATGAAAATGACGACTGAACAGCATAGTTTAACTTTTGTTCAACGAAGGATGTCGACTACTTAACCGGTGATAAAGAAGTAACAGCGCTGAGTACTGCTTAGGTAGCTTCTTTACTTGATCAGCACACTTATATGATTTACTATAGTTCACAGTTGAAGGAGTTCCATCAAAGTAATAATTTAGAAGAAGCTTGAACAGTCGAGACAATTGCACGAATAAATGATATTATCGTCACACAAAACTTACTTGTATGTCTTATAGTCATTGGAAACGATTTAAATGAGTAAAGTACCCTAGTTACCATGCCATTCTCCATATATTTTTTAAAGGTATTATATTCAGATAACAAGCGAAAGAATTCATCTATGTTCCTGGCCAGTCTCAATCAATCAGCCATCTATTGTTGAATATCGGCCGGTCAAAAATGCGAATCAGTGCTTGAGGTTCTACTCGTAGGAGTGAATTAATTCTTCAATAGATATTCTAGTGGAACTTGGTTTCATTTAATGTCTGAATAGAACCGTCACTGAAAAATAGACAATTGCAATTACTGCAATTATTTTAGATATTCTTCTCTGTACAAGTTTGTTCGTCGTTCTACCCCAGTGTGCTTTTACAGAATTCAATGGACATATTCCTGCCGAATGAGCCCTACGAGAACCTCATCTGTATCAATAAATACATCATCCTCAATCATATCGTATTTAGTTGTATTGAGTGAATTTTCGCGATGCTCTTCGGCAAGATGTCGTCATCTTCTTCATCGACTATTTTGCATATCAAAACGATACAAATATTGAACAATTGGTGTTTGGTTTTCCTCTGATATTCAACATGATGATAACTTCATTAATACATACGATCATGCAAACAACACGCGTTCATCTTTAGGTTATCTTTGCTATTGCGTTAAGTTCCTTAATTTATTTTATATTTGTGTCTATTTCGGATACAATTATCTTCCTTCAACTTTGAACAAATAAATGATCAAGAAAAAGCGAAACCAAATTTCAAGCTAAAACTTTTCAACGATTACTTGAAAAGTTCGGACTATAATCGCTGTTATTGATTAGACGAGACATATATTTAAAATACATCCGTATATTTACAAGTGAGGAAAACACAAATGGAAATTACTTGAACGAACAAATGGTTCAGGAAAATGAATCTTTGTTATCCTATTACAAGTACGACGTGCTTGATGATGAGTGAAACTGTTTGTTACCGTTTCTAATGTTTGATATGTAATCGCGAGATTGGTTAAACGCGGTAGAGCAACATTTTCATTGCAGAGAAATTCCTTCGCATAATCACTGTGCGAGTATCCAAGTGTGAGTTTGCACAGGTGACTAAATGTCACACATTCGTCTGAATGATCTTCAATTTGTTGTCCTTCACGATTAGCCACAACTAACAATCGAAGAAAAGGCAGATCTCGAGCGATAATTTTAAATAATCGATGCTCGAATGGTCGTCGATCAAACATCGCCAACATTTGAACCTGATCAAATTTACCACCTGGAAAAACACTGGTCATAAAATAGAACTGTTTGAATTCATATGGTAATGAAAAAATATGAGAATCAGCTCGATTATTAACGAAATTTATATCACCAAATGCATCGACATTTTCGTAACCGATTTCAAAGAAACTTTCTCGAAGATCATTGCTTGATGGAAGATGAATTTCCGTTTCTTTATTGTCGAGTTGGGTGTGAATGTTGAAAGAGAATTTTTGTAATCGTGTCATTGCACTGAGAAAATCATTGTACAGTTGTTTGCCATCAATGAAGGTCGAATCGAATCTTAGTACTGTTAGAAATAATGACAATTCTTCTAGATTTGACATTCGGCGAAGCAGTGGAACGATTTGTCTATCATAATAATATGTCAATCCTTCTAATGACAACGAGAAACATTTTAATTGAGGAAGTTTGTTCTAAAGTACAGAAAATGATCAAAAGATTTCTCAAGTCAATATTTCATCCAAACTACTTCGATTTCTACTTACTACATTAGATCTGCCCGAATATCTACTGATTACTGCTGATATTGTGATCATAAAAATTGATAAATTTTCGAATCGTCCATCCAGAAGATAAAGACAGTCATCAAAAAAGTGAACACAGACAACCAATTTAGTTAGAGTTTACGAAGTGTAGTTTGCTCTTGGAATATTTAAACGCCACACTATTGAGTTATTCTTCAAGATATATTGATCGAAGGTCAGATTGCATAATCGTTTACTAACAGATATTATTAGTGCAAAAATATCTAATTCACGTCTATTAGTTGATTTGTCCTTGTTAATATAACTCTCGACATGGAGCTCAGTAATTTGATCAGTTAGATGACGCACAAGTTTTGTGTTACCTAAAACAAAGATATTCAAGTGATCGATTGAGGTGACTCAAAATCATCTTTCCTTACCTATCAATTGTGGTAACAGTATTTCTGATGGAAAATTGACTAGTGCCAACGAATGCAGATAAGGATAGTTAGCACTGCTGAGAACACGTTCGAGAGAAAGTGGTTCAACAGTTAGCTGATAAATGTTATTCGAGATTTGAGGCAAAACGTTTCTGCAAATTCGATCGAGCACTTGACCGTCGATGGAAGACGAGTAATGTTCAACTAATGGACTGATTACTAAATTCAGATGATGATGAGTGTAAACAAAATACAGTGCTAATCGATTAAATCGTTCATTGACATCGACTAGAGAATAAAGTATGTCGACCATATTGAGTTTGTTCAATATGGCGCACAGCATTTCATCTGGGAGATCGAGTATACTCATTGAATTTCTTCACAAGTTGTCCACTTCGCTGTCATCGACACTTCCATACATATATATATAGCTATATTTCCCTAATTTTTTTCGTGCTCGTCGAGAAGAGTAGTGATCATACAATCGGTGGATATAAGGTCAGATAGCGGATGTAACCTTTTCTTTTTCTGCTATTGATTCCTTTTGTTCAAAATGTACGAGAAACATGCGCTCATTTTTTGTTAGTCTACCATTTGTATGTACTGTTCAATTTAGAATAACAGACGACATCTTATCAGCACGGAATGCGAATAAAGAATTGAAAATGTTTTCAAAATAAGTGAACACCTTTTCCATGCTGATGAATAGGATCTATGTGGAAATATAAATTAATCTCAATAGGGAAGAAACGAGTTCTACTTAGTTGATGAAGCATCATTTAAATGAAAGGTCTATGCTTGTTGAAAAAAAAAATAAGCAAAGATCTTTTGATGATCGTGTTGCAAAATTGATATGGAAAGAATGAACGAAGAAGTGCAATACATATATGATATCGAGTATTAATCAACAATGAACAAGGAAAATGAGAAAATAAAGTAAAAATAATATGCTATTTGTGAACCGATGAGAAATGGTTTAGTTTCATTTATCATCCAATGATATTGGATCGAAGCTAATCGAAAAACTAGCTGATATGCTATTATAAGACTCGGGTAATGTGACTGGCTGTTCCAAACTTAAGAAGAATCATCAAGAAATAGTTCATACTTATCATTCTACACTATTTCGACGATCGAATCAAACTGTCAACCGGGTTGATTAACAAAATTCAGGATGAAGAATATATTACTCCCCTGTGCACGAACATTTTGCTCTTAGAATACAAATGAACAGGTCATTTTCGAGATAAGCGATTATGCAGTGGGTAGAAAGCCATGGCACACGCGGTTATATATAGACTCTCACTCTATGTTCTTTTATTATGCTTCGCGAAAACCATCCGCGAACAAGGTGCTAGATATGATCAAAGAAAAGAAAATACATAGTCTTTAAAAAATCAAGTTGAATAATGTTACTAAAATAGCAATGCCAGCATTTTTAACCGGGAGTGAAACTGACGAACTTTATTGTAAAGACACCTAAGGGCACTTGAATAGTATAGGACTTGAGGAGCCGTAGTAGAACAAATACATTGAGAAACGACATTCATTGTGAGAAGCATTTGCCGTTCGGCGATATATGCCTCATAGATATCTTCAATACGTATCACTCACTATCATTGGATTGCTATTAATAATATTACACATTTCAATATGTATAGACTAAGAGTATTCTGTTCGCCTTTGTCTTTATTATTTCTTAGCTCTCAGTATTGAACCAATACAAGAAGACAGGTAAATTGAATGAAATCAATCGAACCGCAATGTAGTTTAACTACGATGAGAAACCACTTTTTCATGCGGAAAACGCAGTTAAATTCAGCGAGCCAAAAGAATAAAAATCTAAAGATTGTGCAGCATAATTAAATTTTTATTACATTCCTTAACTGACACAGCGAAGCATCGATTTCAGAATTAACTTCGAGTGGTGTTCACAAAAAGTTATTCGAAAGAAAAACAGAATTTCAGCAACTTTTCCGCATCCAATTTATACTCATTCATATATTTGTAACGAAAGATCTTTCATTTTGAAATTTTTTTTTTGCATTTTACTTCTATATTACGTTGACGATACGAAGTTCACTAAGATGTGAATAATAAACAGAAGGGTGTATTCATCATTATCATCTAATGGTGGATGTCGGCTTTGCTACTTATGATTTCTCATCGATGAAATTTCCAAGAATGCAAACGATTTTGAATTTGAAGGAAGAATTCATGTTCAAAATACTCGACGAACTCCTGCATATAATCCACCTGGAAAGTGATCTGCAATATACCACTTTCGACGGATATGAATAAAGATGGCATTAAACTTCGTTACTTTCGAAGGAATAATCGACATAAGAAATGACCTTCTTTGTTTGAAAATCAAATGTTCATTGTGTATCTTTTGTTCGTAGTACATTCAATTGCACAGTGTGTATATAGAAAGCAATCGAAAATTGAAATTCACGTAAGTTTGACAGTGAATCGAGAATATTTCTCTTCAAATAAGTTCCACCGCTGGATTCCGTTCCACTATCAAACAACATACATAAGCTGAATCGTTCAAGATTCGACATTCGAGAGAGAAGCGGACGAATTGCTACACCTCATATTGCATGAAAAAGAAAAATATTTCAGATTCGGCAAAACAATCTCATAAACATTCAGAAAATACATTTGAAAATCTTTGCTATAGATGAGAACATCCGAGAATAATCTTCCATCGGACTGCATCATAGCATAAGCGCGATACTTTGATTCACGAATTTAGGAACTGAAATATTTCTATTTAAATACAAAAAGTAATAGGATCTTTCGTCGATAGGTGGATTAAAATATATTTACCTGCTGAGAGACTTTGGAATGCCAAATAAAGTAAGCTACGATAAAAAAGACAATCGACAAACTAATCCGCAGGCTTTTTAACAAAACATATGATTTGTGAAAACTGAATCTTGAATAAATTGAGTGAGCCCTCGATTGACACCATATAAGGAATAATATACATCAAAGTTCCTTAAGTTTTTCCAAATTATCAGAAGAATTTCATCAGGTAGGTCATTCGATCCAATGTCTGAACATTCCATTTTCATACAATCTAATTTTTCATGAACCTAAGATCGACACGTTTATATATGTGATTTGACTGATATTTCTATTTCCACCAAGAGTCTATCATTCGTCTTATTGTAGAAGAAATGGAAATGAAAATAGGAAGTGACAACACGTCACCAATCAACAATAGCACAAGTACGATCGATAATCAGAACGATGGTCAACAACACAGACAACGTTCATCACCTCGCGTTCAATCATCACGAACAGTTCTCACCGAAGTGGTTTCTTGAATGATTTTTTTTGTTTTTCTTCTCCTCCTACTCCTCTACATTGTTTTCATTTATTTATTTGGTGATGCTACTAGTCAACGTGCCCCTCTCGTCAACATTTGAACAAACTTAAACATGTGAATGCCGTCCTATACAGCTTCTATTGTCATTTCTCGAGTTCCTTTTTACATTGTTGCCAATTGTGATGATTCCTTCTCTCTCTTTCTCTCAAAACAATTGTTTTCTTTTCTCATTTCATAACACGCTTGTTTCTGAGAGATAAATAAATATCTGAAATTCATTCAATCGATCGAATAACCACCAGAGAGCAAACACAAAATTCAATTTGATCCGTTGCACGTATGAAACAATCAGACAACAATCCAGAAATACTAATCGTATAGTGGAAGAGCGAAAAGAAAGAAACGATTTCCCCAAAGATTCTCGTCAAAAAAGAAAAATGAAGCATATAACCTTGACAGTAGAATCTGTCGGGCAATTTATTCGTTCATAGATAGATAGCGAAAGAAGCAAATTGATCATAATGCAATCAAGAAGAAGAAGCCATCGA